CGACGTCGCGCCTATTAATATAAAGCGATCCGGAGAGGTAGAGACTATTGAAGACAGCAGTGATGGGGCGAGTCCAACGAAGCGGCCTAAACGGGGCAGTTTGCGTGGGAGGAAATAGTCTGCGTTGGAAAACATGAGGCATATCAAAATTCAATACTAAGAAGATCGCTATCTATGCTTGGATCCCTTTAAGTCTTTCTTCTTCTTCAACCTGAAGTATTTCCTTTTGTAGTAAATTCATTTCCTCGCTGGTATGTGCAGAAAGTCGATCAGGGAGATCAAAATCTATATTAAAATCGCAATCGTCAATACCACACCCTCTTATTTCCAACTCATCTAATCTAAATTCGTTCTGAAGAGTTTGTATGAGAAAAGACCAAGCGTCTAGACCTTGGGTAGTAATTTTAACATTTTCGAGAGTAAGTCTTCGAAGTGTATTTTGATGTCGCCGTAAGAGCGTCAGGAGTTCGTCTCTCGTGCAGTCTAGATACTCAAGGCATAACCTTTGAAGAAGAGGAATATAGAGGCTTTCTGAAAGTCCTGGAAATTGTTGCTTCTCTTCGCAATAGTTGAAGAATAAAGTAATATCGGTGAGCGCTGGAAAAAGGCTAGAGAAGCTATGAAAGTCTGATTGCCAATCATATTTTTCTTCCTGTACTGGGTCATTCTCTGCAAAGAATTTTCTAATTTCTTGGCTGAAATGATTATCGCTATCCTTAGGATTGATAACAAGACTGAGCTTTGTGATGGTCGTGATTTCGGATTTTACGGCTTTTGCGAGACTGCTTGGGAGCGATAGCATCCGTGGAATAACAGACGTACAACCTTCCATCATATCTCCAAACTCGATATATATCTCCTCTATGGGAAGGCGGCTCTTAATAAGGGCGAAAAACAGTGTTCTGATTACTACTAAGGCATGAACCATGCTATTAGGTAAGAAATCAGAAATAAACCTATTTGGAAGTACGCCAATACGTCGCCCAAGCTTAAAGGCGCCCCATGGTCGGGTATGATCCGATATCCCAATAGCTTTGCAGTTTTTGAGGTTAGTGAGAGCTATCGCTAAATAACTCATATGTTGCCTTTGGGAGAAGAATTCCGTTTGCTCCTGCCATCCATCCTTATAGGTTTGGATTATTTGCTCCCAACTATCGTCGCCCAGTAAGACAACTTCGCCATTCCGAACTCGGAAGAAATCATACTCGTCTTTGAGTCCACAAATCTCTAGTTCTTCGTGGCTCATGTAGTCTTTGGGTTGGATGAGATGATCAACGCAGAGCTCGACAACTTCAACCGCTTGACTCAGAATATGGTGGCGTGAAATGTTCACAAGATTCAATAGGCTTTCCTTCTCTAGCATTACGTAGCGAATGCGGAAGAAGCGTGCTTTGAAAGCTGAAGACGTTGCCTCAGCTATAGTTTTGCATGTTTCCCGGAAGTCTGATAGTCCCGCAAGTGCTTAGGGTCTGGTGATAATAGATGATAAAAGATTTCGGTTATCAGTTCAGCTGGCAAGTTGATAAGAGCTTGTTGAGCCATAACTTGAAGCGCAATATCAAGAAAACCCAGAATTGTCTAAGGTGAGGGGAAAGGATCTGATAGTTAAGCGCCGTGATCACCCGTAATTATGCATGAACATGGAGTCGTCTTGGCTCCCAATAGGTTCACGGGTACCCGTGCGTGTAAAATTTCACGGGTACCCGTGGAAATGACTAAGCAACTCTGATATGGGGCTCATGAGCCAATGAGAGGCACGGCCTGCATCAAACTTATCCGGAAAGTTTACGACTTTACTACGATGCACTCTTCGGGCTTACTACCAGCGTATAACGCCTCCTGCTCTGCCTTATCTTGCTCGACTCGTTTCCAGACTTCGCTTATACCTCTCTCACTGTTTTTAAAGGGGTTTTGTCCATCTTCCGCAATAATCAGCTCATCGACCCGTTTGTGTTCAGCCCTATCCCAGTCCAGATAAGCCATCATCTCCTCCTTCGTCCAATCCCTTGACCCGTGTGAGGTAGTGCAGCGTCCTTTCATCTGCTTATAGTCAAGACACCACTCATAACACTTTTTGTCATAACGTAGCGGAAGTCCCATTGCCCTTCGATACTCCTGGTTTGTTTTGACACTCCCACGAGGTTGAGCACCGTACCAGGCGCTTCTTGCTGCACAGTACCGTCCGTATATCGCCTGAGGTGAATCGTATCCTGGCAGCGAAGGTGAATGCGAATGCGCAAATGGTGATAATACCCGAGGTGGTGATATACTGGTCTCTACCACTATAGCAATAGTCGGTTGAACCAACTCTGGTACGTCCTGCACGGCGTTTGAAGGAGGTTCTTGTGTATCTGTCGTCGTCCCGGTAAATATCGCAGTTGATACTGTAGCTGGATCTGGAGTAGGTGTCGGTTCAGGCAATAAATGCGTGTATCGCAGAGGGCACGCCTTTGAAGTCATAGTATGGCCAACTGTATGACACCTACTGCATTTGCTTGGGGCCCGTGAAGCAACTTCAACAACTTCGAACCCGCTAGGCTCTCGTCTAGTGCTTGATTTGGGAATACTGGGATTCTCTAATTGCAACCTGGGCTCTATGCGCTGGCGAGGCTCCAGCAATAGCTGCGGCGCTCCATCACGCCTCAAATGCCAATGTGCATGGAAGTGCTCACGTAGAAGAACAAGATTCTGTTCTTGTAAAGTCTTCAATTTGTGTAAGCATGGGAGACCATATACTCGAGAAAACGTCCCCGTACAGGCTGTGGAAGGATTTGTGTCTTTCTTCGTGAGCAGCTTCCGTTGCTCTTCTACTTTGCGCAAGGCTTCATGCGATACCCAGCCAAGCACTGCGCCGTACATTGACCCTGAAAGCTCAACTGGTATCCGTATTTGCTGTTTAACTTGATTTGACTCTAGATCCGATAGCTGATTTAGTAAAGCATGCTTCATTGCTCGCCAAGCTTCAAAAAGGTCTAATGTGGATCGTTTCAAGTGCGATTTAAGTAGTGCATGAATACCCTCAACTCGCGAAGTAGCCACATTGCCAAAATGGGTATGCTGATCGACCCAGGCTTTCACTAGCTTCTCCTTGTATGGTTTCAACCAAACGGACGTAACATAGCCGACTTCTTCGAGATGGTCCAGAAGATAGCGTTCCTCAAACTGGGAAACGCGCTCCTCAAAAACCACCTCAGATGGCGAGCTGATGATCGAATGCCAGGAGTTATAGAATTCTTCCCAGCTCTGAGTTGAAGGTTTGAGCGCTGCAGGATTGTTGACTGTCTTTGGCTTAGTAGAGTCAAAAGCTGGATTACAATGTTGAAGAACGGCCTTGTTCGCATGCCAGAGGCAAAGCAAAGATGCAGAAGAGGGGAAGATGGTTGCAACAGCGTTAATGCATGCTAAGCAGCGATCTGTGAGGATAACCGCAGGTAGGCTAGCGTTGCACTGACTATACAAGGATTTGACCCGCTCCAAAGCCCAGGTATAGTCATCTTCTGCCTCGCCGCTAAGAAATGCAAACGCAATACAGAACGACCGTTGGCAAGCATCGACGCCAACTATATCAAGAAGTGGCATACCATACTTATTAGTCTTATAGGTACAGTCTAGTAACATGATGTCTGGGTAGGCTTGGAGAAGGGCTAAGGAATCTGGATGAGCGAACAAGACAGCCGTAACTCGGCCATCTGGTGCAAACTGCATGCGACTCCAGAAGCCTTCCTCATCAAGTTGATTGGCAAGTGCATGGATCGAGGTCTGCCCTTCACGAACATCTCGTTTAGCGGCTGCAATATGATTGTAGATATCCTGCTGGGTCGCTATAGAGTCTGTCGTTTGTCGTATGTATGTTCTGATGTCCCTGGGTGCGACGCCAGCGTTTGAAAGACCGGCCACCTTGGCTTGATCCTCCTCAGATAGCTTGCGATGCGTTGGGTGAGCAGACGGATGTTGGCTTGGGGGATGATTATGAGAAGAAAAACGCTTATCGGGCCGGTGTCTCAAGCTCCATGTGCTCTTATCCAAAGATTCCTTAGCAAGGACGGAAAATTGACAACCAGTCCCCCTACTAGTAGTTTGCCTTTGCCGCGCTATTGATGTGCTTGGCGGATGACACGACCTATCGCATGAATATGTAATCGTCCGTCGTCCGCTTTTCTCCTTTGTTGATCTCCCGGTAGTGAATGCGTATCCCTTTGTCGCCGCCCAGTTGTTGATTGACATAAAAAGCTCATCGCGAGATTTATGATCGCTTTCAGGGGGGAGACTGTCGTCTGGGAATGTGAGTATTGAGTCTTTGAGAGCTATTTCCATTTTTAAGAATATATGACTGAAGTGCTGGATGCAAATAACGCGTGAAAGGTGTATGACACAAGACGCGTTCATTGACGTGGGCAGGTTGCTTAGTCATTTCCACGGGTACCCGTGAAATTTTACACGCACGGGTACCCGTGAACCTATTGGGAGCCAGTCGTCTTGGTAGGATTACTAATCCTGGACCGGTGAAACATTAACCCGATTACTAGCTCGTCTTCCTAACGGGAGGCTTACTTCAACAGGCGGCTTGCCCGCCGTTCCCCAGTTGAAAAAAATCAGCAGGGTCAGGCCCCAAAAACCCCCCCAAAATCCAAGTCCCGAGCCCCCGAGTAGGAGTAGTTGCCCCTCATCCCAAAGAGGAATAGTGCGGGGTCGAGTGGCTCTTGCGTCAATCAGAGTCAGAGTTGCCCTGTGGAAAAGCCCATTTCTTATTCACGAATCGGCCTGCGTGACTCCTTTCCAAACTGTCGCTAGTCGTCTGCCGCTACGTCTTTGTCTCCCTCGCCTGACCGGCCACCTCGAGGTATTCCGCAACTCTTACATACAAACAAAGACAATTACAGTATCTGTTGTTGTCTTTACCTCTGCCAATTGAGGCCGCTCGCGACCGTAAACCCCTTCTCAACACCATCGTACCAGCGAATCCCTCGATTTCTTCGCAGACTCCACCCACGATCTTCGATATGGCGCCTACCGAGCCTATTCTGCCCGTCAAGGGTAAAAACAATATCTTGATCACTTCGGCCCTGCCCTACGTGAACAACGTTCCTCATCTGGGCAACATTATCGGCAGTGTGCTTTCGGCCGACGTCTTCGCTCGCTACTCCCGCGCCCGCGGCAACCCTACCATCTACAGTAGGTCGCAACTTTCAGCCAACTCCAACCATGTACTGACAGTATACTTCCAGTCTGCGGCTCTGATGAGTACGGCACTGCGACCGAGACCAAGGCTCTTGAGGAGGGCGTCGACCCCGCCACCCTTTGCGCCAAGTACCACGCCATCCACAAGGGCATCTACGACTACTTCGACATCTCCTTCGATATCTTCGGTCGCACCCCAACCCCCCAGCAAACCGAGATTGTCCAGGATATCTTCCTGAAGCTGTGGAAGAATGGCTACATTGAGGAGCGCGAGACTACCCAGCCCTTCTGTCCTGTCGAGGCCCACAACACCTTCCTTGCCGACCGCTTCGTCGAGGGTATCTGCTCAGTCTGTGCCTACGACGGCGCCAGAGGTGACCAGTGCGACAAGTGCGGTAACCTCCTCGACCCCTTGGAGCCCGAGTCCGATCCGAACGCTACTGCCGACGATGATGTCGCTGCGAAGGCCACTGGCTGGCTGATCAACCCCCGTTGCAAGCTCGACGGAGCTACCCCCGAGAAGCGCAAGACGAAGCATCTGTTCCTGAAGCTCGACGCCCTCAAGGACGAGCTTGTCAAGTGGTTCCAGTCTTCCAGCAAGAAGGGCGCGTGGAGCAACAACGCCGAGCAGATCACCCAGGCTTGGATTGACAAGGGCCTGAAGCCTCGTGGCATTACCAGAGATTTGAAGTGGGGTGTTCCCATCCCAACCGGGGAAGTCGGCGAGGACTACGCGAGAAAGGTCTTTTACGTGTGGTTCGACGCTTGCATTGGTGAGTGAGGCTCGTTTTCTCATTCTAGGGCAGAGGACTAAACCAGTTAGGCTATGTCTCCATCACCAAGAACTACACCGACGGCGACGATCTCGCCGGTAAGAAGTGGGAGCAGTGGTGGAAGAACCCAGATGACGTTAAGCTGGTGAGTGGTGCTGGCGCATTGCGCCGCATTAGATGGGAGCTTATTCTGACTGCTTTCAGTACCAATTCATGGGCAAGGACAACGTCCAATTCCACACCATCATCTTCCCCGGTTCTCAGCTCGGTACTGGTGAGAACTGGACGAAGCTCCACAAGATCTCCACCACAGAGTGAGTCTTTAGCTTCGTTTTATTGAACCCAGACACTGACCGTCTAGATACCTTAACTACGAGGGCGGCAAGTTCAGCAAGTCGAGAGGTGTTGGCGTCTTTGGCAACCAGGTTCAGCAGACTGGTCTCCCCGTTGATGTTTGGAGATACTACCTGCTCGCCCGCCGGCCAGAGGTGAGCTCAAGTCCATCCGGCTGTGAAAAGGATCACGATGCTAATCTTCACAGACTTCCGACTCCGAGTTCATGTGGCAGGAGATGGTCGACGGCAACAACAACGAGCTGTATGTGCCCCGAAGAAGTCCGATTTCCAGTAGTAGCTAACCAGCACCGAACAGTCTTAAGAACCTTGGCAACTTCTGCCAGAGAGGTGAGAACTGAACCTGGCCGCCGCACTATACAAAGCTAACACATCCCAGTGAACAAGTTCTGCCAGGCCAAGACCGATGGCGCTGTTCCCGATTACACCAAGTACACTGATGACTACCTAAAGAACCATGCCAACGAGGTCAACGCTCTTATTAAGGAGTACATCAACAACATGGAGGGCACCAAGATGAGAGCTTCTCTGCAGACCATCCTGAGCATTTCGGCGTACGTATCTCTACTAATAATATTCAATAAACGCGATGAAATTGCTAACGGGTGAGAAAGTCTCGGAAACAAGCTTCTCCAGGACAACAAGCTCGACAACAAGCTACTTACCGAGGAGCCCGACCGCTGCGCTGCTGTCATCGGTGCGGCCCTGAACCAGATCAACCTTATCGCATCGCTGGTCAGCCCCTTCCTCCCTAACACCTCCAAGGCCATCTTTGAGCAGCTTGGCGTCGACACCAAGCCTGCCATCCCCGAGAGCTGGATTGCCGATGCCATCAAGCCCGGCCACAAGCTCGGCGAGCCCAAGCACCTGTTCTCTCAAATCCCCGCGAGCAAGATCGACGAGTGGAAGGACGCTTTTGGCGGTGAGGAGGTTCGCAAGCAGAAGGAGGAGGCCGCAGCAAAGGCTGCTGCCAAGAAGGCGGCCAAGGAGGCAGACAAGGCCCGCAAGAAAGCCCGTAAGGAGGCTGAGAAGGCCAAGGCTGCCGGTGCGGCCTCGACGGTCGAGTCCGGTGAGAAAAAGGCCGAGGCTGACCCGGCCATCGAGTCGGTGACGGAGGCGATTGCCAAGGCAGATGTGCACACATCCTAAATGTGCTAGTTATGTAAGGCGCATATACAGGTGGACGAGTGATGACAGATCAGAGGCGTTGTAAAGTGCTGGATCATATGCCTACCGGGATTTTCAGTTGGGAGGGGTATCTGGTTGGTAGGCTTCAACAATAGCGAGTCAGATTCAGATTCGGAGATAGAGAATTGAGATTCAACAATACGCTAAACCGTTTAATCTTTGTGGGATTATGTCTATTTTCTTTTACATCTCCATCGTTTAGCATAATATGATTCTTCCCATGCTCTGAATAACTAAGAGTATCTTTCGGCTAAAGTTTAAATTAATCACCAAACGTGAAGTACTTTGGTCTTGGATTTGGCATGAACTTACTATCGGCATTTTGTCTCCATGTCTTTTGTTTAGGCTTTAATCACTGTGACAGCGTTCCTGTAGAGTCAAACCAAACTGTCTCAAGGTAGCGTGACTTGGTTGGCAGGGGAAACGCTCCAGCCGCCAAGTACACCCCAGTTACTAATTAATGTTGACAGCCCCAAAGTGCAATTGCCAAATCAGACATATTTTCCTTTAGTTACAACACACTCACCCATCTAATATCTCTATTCCACCATAATGGTTACTCCGGCATTTCCCAACCATCAGCAGTTCGATCTTCACCCCTCACTGAAGACTCAGATATCCCCCGACGACTGGCGCGGACACGACTCCAAGCATCTCCTCTGCGTAGGCGCCGCCGTATTCCATCAACAAACCGCTGATTCGCCCCCCAAACTGCTTCTGCTTCAGCGCGCCGCGGCAGATCTTGCTCCTGGTCGCTGGGAACTCACGGGCGGAGGGTGTGAGTCGTCGGACCCAACAATATTCGACACCGTCGTGCGAGAAGTATGGGAAGAAACGGGCTTGCGGGTCCGGAAGGTCACTTCTTTCATCGGGTCGCATACGTGGGCTGCTGACCAATGCGAGATTGACGACCCTGGAAACGTGGAGCGCAAGATGTCGTGGAGAAAGCTGTCGTTTGTCGTACAGGTTGAAGATGCCCCGGGAGGGGGATTGCCCGCGGTGGTGCTTGATGCGAAGGAGCACCAGGCTTATTTATGGGTCACTAAAGAGGAGTGTGAGAGGGAAGGGGCGGGTGAAGTCTGTTTGCGATGGTGCTCTGATGATGAGAAGGAAGAGATTCTGAGGGCTTTTGAACTTTTGTAGTCCAGGGGGTCAAACGTGGGCACCTTGGTATGTTTAAATGGTGTGCCTTTCATTGCTGCTGCCGCCCCTCATTGGCGTTCCTGTTTGAACTCCGCGTGATATATTTGTGGCTTTGCCGCTGGCAAATAAAGCATTGTGGAGGGTCAATTGGAAAGTCAGGCAAGAGGCCGACTCAGGAGTAGAGGATGCTTCGAGCGAAACTAGACGTGTGAACTACTACCGCGATCAGTTTGAGGATACATTTAGAAGGGGTCTTGGTTGTTCTTACCGAGCATTTTGGGACTCTTCCGACTATCTTTGGAAATGTGGGATGTGTAACGAGTAGAATAAAAAAACGGGCGGATCTTCGAGACAGCCAGGAGATGGCCTACATTTATCTAAGAATATATACAGTTAAGACTTTAGAAAGAAATGTTCCATGCGAAGAAGGCAGTTAGTCTAGGTAACCAAAGCCCTGAGAAACCCAATGCTACTCCTGAAGAGACGTTCATCATTGGGTTCGTTGCAGATGCAAAGCCAAGTTTTCACCACTCAGTACTGGTAGCAGCTCCAAGCTGCCAGTTTTATAAGCCTAATAAGATCACCCCTCTCTCTCTCTGCAGACTCTGCAGAGACGCTAGTTTCGAGTCCCGTAGATTCTGACCCTCGAAGCCACTGACGCTGTTGGTTTCCGTTTCTATTACGGTTGAGAACAATGGGTTACTTAGGTAGACACCAACTTCCCTTCTCAAAAGAACCAAGACGTTTGTTCGTCATTACAAACAAGCCCCAGCTTCTAGTCTGTAATTTCCCATCCCTGTGCGAAAAGGGCGGCTCTTCACATCATCAAACCTTCCATAGAGAGTTCTGGAGTTGTGGATGATGGAAATAATGAAGCATGCAATCAAGGGCTGTGACTCTGGTGCTTTCAAATCAGTCTTGTTCGACACCACTTATCCGACCGTCGCTTAGGCTCTGCAACGAACGTTTCAATTCATACAATTTCTTAGGAAAAAATGCACAGGTTTTGCAAGATTCATCATATACAATAACATGTAAATGGAGAAAATCTACCGCCAGGCCCAGTTGTCTGTCACAGCTTGCCCTGTCAAACTGCCCCCTGTCGAACCAATGAGATTAGGAAATACTACATGATGACCTGCGTCATTTTGCTGAAGAACTCAGTGTCAGACTTGCATCTTACATACCCGAACCACCTATTTTCGCCATGGCCGACTCGCAGACGCTGAAGAAAGGCGCGCCGGAGCTGTTTACGTATCCCTCCGCCGTCGGTGCCGATAGCATTCGCGTCGTCAAGATATGTCCAGCGGGCAATGACCCAACCCACCTGACAAATCCAGCCGGAACCAAGCCTCAGATTGAGCTCCTGATCAAGACAGTTGCTTTTGAGGACCGTCCGGTATATCATGCCTTATCGTACACATGGGGCGCGGCGGACTTCGACACCGAGCCGTCTCGCGACACGGTGCCCATCATACTCGGCGGCAAGACCTTTTACGCCATGCAGAATCTGCATGACGGTCTTCTTCAGCTTAGAGAGAGCTTTCCCGACACGTGGTTCTGGATCGATGCGATTTGTATAAATCAAGACGACCTCACGGAGCGCTCGACGCAGGTTTCCATCATGGACGACGTTTACACCAATGCCCATCGGACTGTCGTCTGGCTCGGCAAGGCAAAGCCGGGGATCCCGAGGGCTTTCGAGGTCATCGCCGAAGTGATGAGGAGAATAGAGGAAGAAGCAGGGTTGTCTGTCTGGGTGGCCATCTCAAACTCCGATTTCGAGTCTTTGAGAGGCGTGGAAATGCCGGAACTCACCTTGGACGATTGGAGGTGTGTTACCGATTTGTACGCCCGGAGATGGTTTTGGAGGATGTGGGTCGTTCAGGAGGTAGCGCTGAGCACCACCGTCGACATGCTTTCCGGAGATACGACTATGCCTTGGGACGTCGTAGGCGGGTTTGCGGCGTTGACGAACCTCTCGGGGATCCTTACGGAGGCATACGTTCGATTTCCGGAACTTACCACGTCGAGGAGAGATGGGACTTTGGGGTTAGGCGTAGCGACGCAAATCTACGTCCTGAGATCGCTGTGCCGCATGAAGCAGGGCGAGGATGAGCCGCTCAAAGAAGACGGAATAAAGGCTCTTTTGGATTTCCTCGGAGGGACGATGTTGTTCGATGTCACGGATGCGCGAGACAGGATTTACGGGTTGTTCGGTATCTTGAAGTTTTACGCAAAGTATGGCAGCTTCGATGTGTCCTGGGCGACGGTGGATTACAGGTCTACGGCTCCGCAAGTGTATACAACCGTCGCAGAGAACATAATCACGAGTTCAAGACGGCTGGATATCATATGCTGGACAGGAAAGGCGGTAGCCAAACTGGAAGGGCTTCCTTCTTGGGTCCCAGACTGGGGTCGTCGTACGGTCGGGTATCCGCGCGAGGGGAGCGGGCAGGACGCGTCTAATAGTCTCGCAGTGCGGGACCTATCGTTCGAAGTACGGGATTCGAAGCTGTTTTGCCGGGGCCTCAAGATCGGTGCTGTCGTTGCGGTTGGGGAGAGGCAACGACAGCTGCATGATGGTGATTTCCGGAGAACCGCTTCGATTCTGATGAGGCTGCCTGCGCGTTACACTCATACGGGCCAGCCGCGTGTCGAGGCTCTCTGGCGCACGCTGCTGAGAGATCGCAAGTCACATGAAGATGAGAAGTTGGGGGCAAGCGATGATATGGGGGCGGCTTTCAAGGTATGGGCTCTGCAGGCTTATGCACAGGGGGCCGGTGGTTCTCTCAAGCAGCCTGGAGCGAAGTGGATGGACATCGTGAAGGAGGCCAAGGTGTGTGATGAACTTGCGGCAAGCGACGAGACGCGTCTGTTCCCTTCGACGGACGACTTGAAGAAGCGTCTTGGCGAGATGGGCTGGTTGGGCAAAGAGAGTGAGCTGCCTCTGCCGTCGGAAGAGGAGAAGCAGAAAACTATCAAGAGCATCGAAGGGGGGTTCTTTAAGTGGGGTTCTCTGTTCAACGCCGCAATGGAAGGGAGACAACTCGCCTTACTCGAGGGGGACTACCTTGCCAACCTGCCTGACAGCCTCGATGTTGGTGACGAGGTGTGGGTGGTACAGGGCTGTCACCTTCCTCTGCTCATGCGGAAGGGGGAGAATGGCGATGGCTGGGTGATACTTCGGGACGCATACGTTCACGGAATCATGTCAGGCGAGGCAGTTACGCAGGATATAGTATGGGAAGATATTTGCATTCGCTAAACTCCCAACTTGGGTTAAACTACATTAATCATTATTCGTTTTGGTTTATTTTCTGCACTTGACGGGTCCCTTCGGCTCGGGAGGGTACACCACGATGCGGTCAATGTCAGCACCCTTGAAGTCGAAGTCGTTCCACAGACCACCGATGGCGATGGTGTTGTTGGAGCCCTCGGCAAGGGTCAGGTTCAGAGGCGTAGACAGAATGATACCCTTGTGGGTGTCACGTTGGTACAGGGACTCAACCTGCTGCTCATTGCCGTTGACGATGACGCTAGCGATGCGGCGCAGCTGCCACTTTCCGCCGATGCGGTCAGGGGTACCGCCGGGCTGGTCGCCGAAACCCATGTCGTCGGTGTTCTGGTAGTAGAAGGAGACCCACTGGGGCTCGCCAGTGCCCTCGATACCCTCGAAGATGACCTTGCTGTCGTTGCCGTAGATGCCGGTGACAATGGTGCCGCCGGTAGCGAAGTTAGCCTCCTGCTTGAAGGCGTTGCCGGTGGTGGTGGCGAACTCGTGGGCGCTGTAAGTCTTTCCCTCAATGGGGGTGACAGCACCGGTCTTCACATCGAGGTCGTAGATGTCGTGCCACTCGACGTGGATGGACTTCTTCTCGTCATCGATGTTGAGAGGCAGCCAGATGTAGCGGCTCTCCCAGAGGGAGTTGGAGTCCCACTGGTCACCGAGGTAGAGGTAGGTAGTCTTCTCGGTACCGTTGATCTTGAGGTTGTTGCCGGACTGGGAGTTGTAGGTGCGGGTGTAGGCGTCAGAGATGAAGAAGGGCTGGGACCAGGGGCCAGAGAGGGAGTCAGCTCTGAAGGCGACGACGTTGTTGGGACGGTAGCCCGTCTTGTGGGACATGAGGGCGTAGTAGCTCGATTCCGTCTGGACAATGTTGGGAGCCTCAAGGTCGTACTTGTCGAAGCGGTGGACAACTTCAGTGACGTTGGTGAACTCCTCGTTAAAGGCGCTGATGTAGACGTCGCGGCCCTCGCGGCGGTCTCCGTTGGAGTAGAGCGCGTAGGAGCGGCCGTCCTTGTAATCGGTGAAAAGACCGAAGTCCTGGGACCAGTTGCCTAGGGGCGCCGTAGCGTCGACAAAGGTGTAGGGTCCCGTAATGTTGGGGGAAGTGGCCAGACCCTGGAGAAGGAGACCATAAGTTGAGTTGTCGGCATGCCACCACATCTGATTTCATTGTCAGTCAATTGAGCTCGGAAAGAATGGTTACCCTAGAGGGAAGACATACGTGGTACTCGCCGGTGGGCTCGGAGTAAGCCACCTTAGGGCGCTGGATGATCATATCGGTTGAGATGTACGGGTGGCCTTCGATGGGCTCGAGGGCCAGGCCGTGGTACTCCCAGGTGGCCAAGTCATCGGAGCTGTAGACGGAAACACCGCCGCCCTCCTCCTGGCCTTGGAGCTTGTACTCGCCGAACCAGAAGAACTTGCCCGTGTCCTTTTCAATGGTGACGCCGCCGGCATGGGCATTCACGAGGTTGCCCTCAGTGTCACGCCATCTCGCTCCTGGAACAATCCATTTGGAAGAGGCGAGGGAGGCGAACAGGAGGCCGGAGGACAGAATCTTGGTGAGCGCCATTTTGCGAATTGGTGAGAGCGAGGAAGGAGCTAGACTTCGCTTGAGACGTCTCTAAACTCTTCTTCTCCTGACAAGACCAACCGGGGAAACAATACAACCTTAAGTGCTTTTATATTGCTTCATGACTTCATGTATGCGGCCGAGATTGGCCGGCTGGCATTGACCCGAGCGCCGAGTGGACTGTACCGAGCCATTGAGATGCGTTGTAGGTTGGGCGAGGCCAAGTCTCAAAGAAAACTAGAGAGCCGACGATCCCCTAAGACGCAACTTGAGTGGCGCGAGAGGAAGAGAAGTGGCTAGGCGAGAATGAGGGGGGGGAAGCAATGCCAAGCTGGACAAAAGCTGGAGTATTTCCCCGTCCATGACTGGTTACCGTGCGGGGAAATCTTGGAAAAGTTCACTTCATAAGCTCATATATGAAAATATGCCAGTCCGAGTGGTCCAAAGGCAAGCTATACCAGCTTGAGATCGCAAGAACCAGGGGTACTGGTCTATTTTGTGGGTGAAGTGGGCGATGGCGTGCGGGGTTTAGCGTTCGTAGCGTCGCATCCTTCTGTCCCGCGCCCAGGACCTTGTACCATTTTGGGGTTGGGTCTCCGCTGGATTTGATGTCATTTCGGTGCGGTGAAGGGCTAAAGTCCAGGCACCGTTGAGCGGTTTGGCCGTTGTAACGATCAGGTTATTGGAGCGTTGTTTACAATGCCTGTCGTCCCGGAGAGAGAGGCATTTCGTGACTAGCAACCATAGGTAGAGAAAGTGAGCCCGGCAGCTTGGCGGCGGGGGATGCGGTCAACCGCCGGCTCATCTTCGCCGCCCAGGGCCGACCCTGTTGGCCTGGTTAACATTGTTTTGCAGGGGCTGCAGACACGAGATGAACAGGTGAATATCCAATTTTTATGAATGCGACGCTGGTCCACCCAGGCACATGTTCCGATGGGTCAATTAGCAGCGAGAGACCCAAAGGGAGGCCCAGAGAGGCCCTGGTGAAGGGATTGTCAGGTCTGCCCAGCCAGCTGGGAAGAGATCATCATGGCAGTCATGCGCAGCGACAGGCGATGCTCAGGTGAGCTCACAGTACCACGGTGAGCAGGTATATTTGGCTACCCGGCATGGACACCGAAGGGGGCACTCCTGACTGTTGTGATGGTGAGCTGGTAATTTCACACATCTCACCGAGCTAATAACAACTGGCTGACCTTGGTCAATAAGTCGAATTTGGGGAGCGATCATACATATTGGAGCAACTTGAGCTACCTCATCGCCTGTCGGTCTTGGTGCATCGGTGTCTGTATCTTCTGTACTATCGGATGGATAAACAAGAAAACAGATTACAGTACAACGACAACAGACCACACCAAAGGCCAAGCATAAGTGGTGGTAGTCAAGCAAATATAAATTTGATGTTAGACGACAACTTTGGCCAACAGAGATGAGAAGGAATGGACGGACGGCAGCTGCTTCCAACGTAGTGTTTGCTTCCGATTGCATCATGTGGCATGCACGTGATATGTCATCTGACTTGAAAGCAACTTGTCGGAGTATTGATTTTCCCATTCCTTACGGACCGGATATACCTCCGGACACCACCCGTAATTAGGTAGACGAAATGCGAATCTCGATACCAATCTCGATTTCCTACTCAAAGCTTTCTCGCCTGCATCGGATTGGACATTACTGCAACTCACAAAAGCCCCGCCTTCTTCAACTGACCAATTAACATCTTTCTACAGTGGCCATGTTGGGCTTAGCTGAATGATTTATGGGAGATAATACTCAACTTACGTCACGGCTAACACACAATGAGTATACATACCTTGGTTAGGCTTGGGGAGCTTCCAAAGAGGAGTTGGGGTATCTTCAATGTAGAGAGAGTGCTTTTTGGGGCAGCTCAATTTATCCTTCAACAACCAACAACACACAACTTTGTATTGAAATGATTATTCAATATTGAAATTGAACTATTCGTTCTATACCATCTTTTTCATTTTGCATGGCAAGCAATCGTTCCTATCGGGAACTTCGTCCCGCGTTTGATGCCACTTCCCCCCATCAAACATCAACAGCGTCGTCGCCGGACAATCGCTGCCTATCATCACAACCAGGCCAGAAACCCAGCCGACGCAACGTCTGGGTCGCTTGTGAAAGCTGTAGGCAGCGCAAGACCAAAGTTTGCTCTCCCTAACGATCCTCGGAAACACTGTACGCTAACCCTTCGCCCCTGACAAGTGTTCCGCCGACCGACCGAAATGCACCAACTGTATGTCACGAGGATTCGATTGCCGCTACACCGCAGACCCAAACGAGTCCCGCAGCGCCTCATTAAAGAGGAGGTATGATGAACTCGAGCGCCAGAATGACTGCCTCAACGAGTTCTTTTGTGCGATCCGATCCATGCCAGAGTCGCAAGCGTATGATGTTGTGAGGAGGATCCGATCGGGTGCGTCTGCCGAGGATGTCTTGAGCCAAGTCGAGGGAGGATACATGCTCTTGCAACTTTCCGACCGGATAGGGGATGCACCGCATTGCCGTGACATGCCTGCTATTACAACAAGTCCCAGAGGTCTTCTCACGCCCGAGAGCTCTCACGAGTCGACCATATGCCCGCCCACCCCTCCTCAAAGTAGAGCGTCCTCGTCCAATCACATGCAGGCTAACGGAGAGGACGTTGCAAGGCTAAAATGCACGTCTATGACGAGAAACCGTAGCCGGGAGTGCGTGAATCGCACATAGAGCATCACTTTACTACGTATCTGTAAGTCCCGATGACATGCTTATCTCACGAAGACTTGTTTTCGTGGCTAGTTCTAACATGTTTGATAAAGTGTTGCTTCCCATGATGATTTATATAGCCCCTAATGCCACATGGCACAGTGTTTTAGCACTTAAAATCACGCCACAGTCGTGAATGGGGCAGGCTGGAATTGTACAGTTAGCTGGATACAAATGGTTGGGTTCCATTGCAAGACTCTGGGAGTTGTTCTCGACATGAACGGTAATCTGCTATGCCGATATATCGGACCGAGATGTGGCCATTGTTGTCAAGAATCTTCTTAAGGCCTAATTTGGATCAGTTGAGCTGGCAACATGGGACTCTGAACGGTCTAGCAGAGAAGTTTACCACGATTGATGCGGTTCACAACTGGAACTGGGACATTGAAACGGGAGGGCACATAGGATGGTTTGGCGTTTGGTTGCATTCAATCTTTGGACAAAGAAATATTCTGGCGGACAGACAGGCTCTTTCTCCATAATAACGACTCAAGAGCCGAGCCGTGCGCGCGGGAGATCACCACGCTGCACCCGCCCTGGCAGGTTTCTCCGTAAAATTCTCCGTAACCTTGCCTTTACTGGCCTTCTGCCGATGACGACTGATCACGTCACTGCATCAACCCCAGATTTGATTCCACGAATTGCCGTTTAGGTTCGTTCAAGTGGTTGCAGGTCAATATATCCTGACGACGCAGCTTCCAAACGGGGGCATGCTCCGTTTTCTCGGAGTTTACGTGGTATCGCGATCGGCGAATTGAGGCTTATATTGATCACGAGGGTTTGGGTCATGTTCGTTTAGAAATGCGGATCTGGTATATAAGCGGTTACAGGTTTCTGCTTGGTGATTGAAGACTTTAGAGATTAACCAACTCCCTTTCATTGACTGTGCTTCTTTAATATACATCAAGATGCTTCCACAACTCTCCCTCATTTTGGCTCTGCCTATTTTGGCGCTTGCTGCGCCATCACCGGCTCCCCTTGAGCATAGCAAGAGAGCCATTACATGCCTCAAGGTCGGCGCAACGGCGACTGCAAGGTGGACGAACAGCGCAGGCCAGACGTGCACCTTCACCGGTGTTGTCGGAAGCAACTACGGCGCCAACAGTGCCGGTTCTGGAGAGTAAGCTAGCCACTCAAGAGAAGTGATTCTAGGCCTTGAATTGACGTTTATTTCTTAGTTACTCTTGCAACGGCCGCTGCGGGGCTGGATGCAGTGGCGCCGCACTTGGCAACGCCTACACCCAGGACTGCTTCTCCCATGATATCTGCTCGTACTTCAACAACGCCAGCGGTGGTGCAAGGTAAGATGCCCTTGTTCAATACCATACCAGCAACAGAGTTCCGGTGTAATTGACATGTTTCTAGTGACCCCAACTGCGGTGCTGCTTACAACGCTGCCGTTGATGACACTGCTCTCGGTTCGCTTAATGGCTGCGGACAGACCAACCCGTCGAACTCTGTGTCCAAACCGTCAAACAGACCTGTATGCAGTTAAAGTAGATATAGTTGATGTGGGAAGAATTGTATTATGTAATGACTGACTAAATAAATGCATTGAAAGTTAAGCCGGGAACGAAGCCATGAAGTGACTAGACTTTGTGGTTTTGTGGCTGACAAACATCACAAATGTGAAGCTCTGGATACCTAATTGAGATGGCCATATTCGCTTTTTTACCAACTCCATTAGTGCTGCGAATATCCACCCATGCCCGAAGAATGAAAAAGAGTAACGGCCTAAGAGAATGCAAAACACATAGGTGAGTAAAGACAGATGAAATGAATAAAAAAAAATAAAAATGAAAATCATAACTTCAAAGTGTGCATCAATACCTCATTGACAATCTAAAGTGTTATATGAAGTGATGACCAACAAAATGTTTGCTCATGACCCTACTTCATCACACGGTAGCTCTCATGAAGCAATCTTACGTTGGAGAAAGTAAATTACCAGGAAGCTCAAGCTTGATATAATGAAGGCCTAGTGACAAAAAATCCTACTCTGCACTCTGATATCTCTTAGAATCAGCCAGCAATATCATCTTGAACAACTCAATATCGTTCCTGGCGTCCGAAGCACTCGTCTTGGGTTGCTTGCCGTTGATGACGCAGTCGTAAAGATCCAACAACTCCGTTGTGTAAGGATCCTGATAGGTCTTCCTGATCTTACGCTCTTGGAACCCATCGTCTCCGACACGCTCCCGTACTGTCATTGTAACTGGAAGGCCCTTCACGTAGGGAGTGTCGTAGTCCACACGCACTATTTTGTCAGGCGAATAGACTTCGATATGGGCGTCGAACTGCGGGATCTTGTTGAAACCAGACTCGTAGGTAACAGGGAAGTCATCATATTTGAAGAGAACGCTGAATATTCCAGGGAACGTCAAGCAAGCGCCAGCAACGCTCTGGGGCATACCAATGATCTCTCTCATTGCGGAAAGATCATGGGTTCCAAGGCTGATAGATCGTCAGCCGTGAGTTTCTTGAAAGTGCATCATCAACATTTTGACATACCCTCCCAGCAGTCGCAGCATCAACTTGGACTCTGGAACAACAGGGACGCCAAACTCCTTGGCCAGCGCCTGCTCGGAGATGTCCGCCTCGCGCCTCAGTCGGTCGTTGGTGTCCTCATCGCTGTAATCTGTGAACTTCTGCGGAAAAGTGCCGGACTGTTCGACAAAGACGGAATTCGGGCCAATAATGTCCCTGACCCTCGCGTACTGTATCTTCTCCATCCCGCCAACCTCCTTGACGGCATCCGTAAACGCCGTCGCAAACCGGCGCATGGTGCCGACCATCACTTTGCCCTTGGACCTCTTCTCTGCCTCGACCAGCAAGTCGAGATCCCGGAAGCACAATGCCGCCGGCTTCTCGATGAGGCAGTACTTGTCATTCTTGAGCGCCAGTATGCCGTGGTCGACGTGGTACGCATCGGCGTTGGCGATCACAACGACGTCGACATCGGGCGATGAGCAAAGTTCGGCGGCATCTGATGTGGTTTTCGGTGTGCCGCCTTGGACTTTCCTAGCGCAGTGTTGAAGTGCTTGCTGAGATATGTCGCAGAGGTAAGTCGTTTGAAATCGGTGGGAAAGGAAGTTGATGTTAGGGATGTGAGCGACCTGAGTGATCTCACCACAACCGATGATACCAACTCTGAGTATTGGTGTTTGCTGTTGACCGGCCATTTTAGAGAATGGTATGAGTTCTTGTGAAAAAGGGATTATCTTTTCCGTGAAGACCGACAGATTTTTTTGCTGGTCTTGAAACTTGATTTTTGGATGTTGTTTGAGTTTCTGGGAGTTTCTATCAGCAAAGACGCGAACTTGAGCGACCCTTTAAATATTCCGGCGTCAGCGTCGTGGTGTCTGGTTTCCTTCACTGCACTTTGCTATTTGTGTAATTGCAAGAGCCTCAAAATGTCACGAACCATGTGAGATTGGCCAAAACGGAGTTTTGTTCTTCGCTGGCATCCAATAGTCAACCATATGACGTTGGGGAAGTGTGGGCTCTCAGGTCTGCATTCGCCGACACTCCCCGAAACACTATTTTAACCCCCAGAGCGTTGATGCATCACCAAGGAACGCTCTTTTCGCCTAAGCTTAACCGGGTGGTGTCGGAGGTTCATTGGACGCCACAACTCCCCCACAACCAACCCTGTATTCCGAGTTCCTTGACTCTGAACTCCGACTTCCGGCCCCGAGCGCCCCATGGGGATTGTGTGGGTTCAAGGAGATCCGTGATTACTTGCCGAGGGTCTCGAACCTGGATGATGACCGGGGAACTATCCGTTGGTCCAGGAATCTGGTGGAGTAGTTAAATGGCATGGTTTCCCCCCAGGTTTGACAAATTTTTCGAAGCTCGCTTGCCTGGCGCACCTCCGTGACAGAGATTTTTCACCTCCTGTTCGAAAAGGGCCTCAATAATCATGAAAGGGTTCGGAAAAAAGAAAGAGGCGGAGCTTGCTGTTGGTTCGGCTCTTGCAGCTGTATGGCCCATCCCGGGGTTGTTGACGGAAGCACACTGACGTTGGACATATAGGTGCTTCCAGCAAACCCAAAGCCGTGGTACTTGACGCCTCACTTGCTCAAGTTGAACCTTTGCTTATTGATTCCTTTGCTTTCTTCTGCTTCCGTTGGCTATGATGGTAAGTCACCATATCACTCAGGTCCTTTCAGGGAGAGGTTCTAGTTGAAGGCTCGAACTTTGCCACTTGTTGTTAGTTACTGCATTTCGATACTTGTAGATAGCTAACAAGCATTGGCTCGCAGGTTCAATGATGAACGGCCTTCAAACCCTCCCTCAATGGCGTGGATTCTTCGGAAATCCCGAGGGCGCAGTTCTTGGCCTTATGAATGCGGTTTATCCTCTCGGCAAAGTCGTCGCACTCTTCGTTGTCACCTACATCTGCGACCGCTGGGGTCGCAAGCTGCCTATCATCATTGGGCTTGCAGCTTGCATTGGGTTTGCCGTCTTGCAGGGACTGTCGCAAAACCTTGCCACTTTTGTAACCGCAAGAGCTTTGTTAGGCTTCTTCACCACCTTCATCAGTCAGCCAAGCCCCATTATTATCACCGAGTTAGCGTACCCGCCCCAGCGAGGTAAAGCGACGGCACTTTATAATACTTTCTTTGTAAGTCATAACGCTTCTTCTGTGTGACATGGACCATAGTGCTAATAGTACCCATCAAAGTATTTCGGATCTATCTTTGCTGCATGGTGCACCTTTGGAACTTTCAAGAACCCAACGGCCTGGAGCTGGAGAATTCCTTCCATTTTGCAAGGAGCCCTACCAGTCATTCAACTAATGGGAGTGTTTTTCCTTCCCGAATCCCCTCGGTATGTATCTGTCTTAAAATAGTCATATCTACGCTTCGCTGCAATGACTAACACCGACCATGTCTAGTTGGCTTATGAGTCGTGGTCGCAAAGACGAGGCAAGACAGTTTTTCGCAGACTACCATGCTGGCGGAGACATTAACAGCCCACTGGTCGAATTTGAGATGCAAGAAGTCGAGAGCACTCTGAATGCTGAAGCTGAAGCCATGTCCCAGTCATCTTGGCTTGAACTTATCCGAACGCCTGCAAACCGAAGACGTACTCTCATTGCCATGATTGTCGGCTTCTTCAGTCAATGGAACGGCGTTGCAGTTGTCAGTTATTATCTGAATCTGGTCCTCAACACGATTGGAATCACGGAAGTCAAGGACCAAACTCTTATCAACGGTATCCTGCAAATTTTCAACTGGGTGATATCAACCTTCCTCGGAGCTCTTATGGTTGATCGCCTGGGTCGTCGCGCTCTGTTCCTCATTTCCACTGGAGGCATGCTGATCAGTTACATCGTATGGACGGGCCTGACATCTTCGTTTGTTTCCAGTGGAAACGAGGCGACCGGCAAGGCAGTCCTGGGATTCATCTTTATCTTCTACTTTTTCTACGACGTATCTTGGACCCCTCTATTACAAGCCTACCCTGTCGAAATCTTCCCTTACACACTTCGGGCGCGTGGCTTGTCTGTTACTTACATCACCGCCTTTACCGGCCTCATCATTGGCAACCAGGTCAACCCAATCGCGATGAAAGCAATTGCCTGGAAGTACTACATCGTTTTTTGTTGTATTCTTGGGTTGATATTCGGATTAATTTGGTTCCTCTTCCCTGAGACAAAGGGCCATACACTGGAAGAGATCCGAGAGGTGTTTGAGGGCAAGTCTGAGAAGGTTCATGGCAAAGAAGCGGATGTTGAAGAAGGAGAGGTTGAAGACGTCCCCAAGGAGGCTAAAGTGAAGCAGGTTGAGACTGCCTAATGCTGATGATAAAACTGGGGGCTTTATTGACTCACTTTAGGCAAGCCGTGATGAGTTTTCTTTGCAACGGCCTACGGTCACATCCACTACTCAAGTAATCCATACCACCCACTCGTTCAAGACAGCTGCAGTATCTTCAAATAAACAGATCAAAGCATGATAATTCATAAGTAGCTCATGCTAATTCATGCATAATATTTCTGCTATATCGTGCTTGAAAAATCACACCACGTTTTAAGCAAAGTTGACCGTGCGGCAAAAATCAAGATTCCTCCCAAAAACACAACGCCAAGATAAAGCCCTGACAATGCGGTTGACCCCAGAGATTCAAGCATTTGGCCGCTTACTGGCATTGTCAGAAGCAAAGCAAAACTTATAACGAAGTTCATGGTCCCTGGTAGGATCGAGTCAGATTAAACTAATCGCAAAGACTTCCCTAAAACATACCATAATATCTCCCATAATCTTTGGTATCGCACGCCTTACCCATGCATACTGGTACAAGTTAATAATTAGCATTTAATGAGAACGTAGTGACTGTTGAAATCATTAGTCGAGCTATGGGACAAATTGTTAGTATCAGAAGTATACACAGTTAAAATTTCACTGGCAACATGGATGTACTCACCAGAAGCTATCCGCACTGCTTCCAGTGTCAAACCAGTAATAATAGGCTCAACTCACCAGGAGTCAAAGATAAAAAAGAACCAGTACCAAATCCCCATAAAGCAGCGAACGCATACAGTGCTTCGATACGAGTCGAGCCGAAAGCAGTCAGAGTAGCCGCAGTTGTCACCAAGGTGAAAATAACCATGGCAAGCAAAACGTTAAAGTGCCCCAAATAATCACCAACTAAACCAGGAAGGATGCGCCCAAGAGAAGACAAACCATTCAGAATAGCGAGCATGCTGTACCCGGACTCAACCGGAAATCCAGCCCAAGACACTAAAGTCGGAAGAATAGCCGTAGCGCCAAAAATAGCGAACTCTAGCAGAAAGATTGCGCCTGTAACAAAAGAAAAGGAGGCTGAACGAAATGCCGAAAAGTCCATAGCTGCATCCTTCTTGCTGCGGCGATCACCGTGACTATCGCCTTGAGCAATCGCTATTAATCTCGGAAACGGTGAGAGACATGTAAGGCCCAAACACATGATGCCCAAGACGATGAATCCAACAGCTCTCAGAGACCATCTCCAACCCCACATCGGTAGCATTTGCCGAAGAGCTAGAGGGAAGATGATGCCCCCAGTCGACGAGCCTGCCAAAGCAAGACCTAACGCCAACCCACGCCGTCGAAGGAACAGCTTTCCGGTGACAGCAATCCCAACAGTTGTGGCAATCGCATTGCCAATTCCTCCTAGAACGCCCAAACAGAGGATGAACTGCCAGTAAGTTTTACACTCTGCAAGAAGGAAGAACATTGGGACAAGAAATCCGGCCGCCAGAGGCCCGAGCGGCTTGGAGCCGAAGACATCCATTAAAGGGCCGGCTTGGATGCCAAGGAACATGGTGAGGAAGTTATAGACACCTGTAATCCAGCCGATATCCCGTGATGAGTATTCTTTTAATTGATTCTCTTGAAGAAACGCCTGTACTGTCCCAACGGATTGCATGAAACCTGCAGGCACTGATGTTAGCCCGCCTGTCTCGTTGCAATGGATGAGTCTGTATACCGAATGAAGGCATGAGAAAAAGGAACGACCCCAAGACACATATCCATGCTGTTTTGCGCCGCTCAACGTCATGAATTCTACCAGAGTCTTCCTGTGGCCGTCTACCCCGGCTGTCCTCGAGTTCACTGGGGTCGAGCCTTTCTACAGCCGGGCTCTGGTCTTTCATCACAGATTCCATGATTAAAATTAAGACATAGGTGGTAAATACTCTTGAGACTCAAAATCTGGTTATGTTTGCCCTTTTCATACCTGTCGACTTCAACTGTAGCTTTGGGGGTTTGAGCGGAGTTGGCGGAGTTTATGTGGAGAAGGAACTCAGCATCGGCCCTGGGTTCCGTAGGATCTGCTTCTTAGGCGATGTTTTCCCGAAAGCATTGGCTTCTGTGGCCACTAATCCCGTGAACATTCATCTACCGAGCCGATGACAGCTAGTGTTTTAGTGTGGTGCATTACAGCGAGAAATCATCCACAGGGGAACGTCATCAATCAATTCCGACGTCTTCCCGGGGATTTGCCGCTCCTCCTCCACTGGTGTTGGACTCGCATGCCACTACGGACACACCTACAAGAAGGGAGTCTGGCTTAGCGCCGGGTAAATATGTCACGGCAAGGCGTGCCAAGGCTGAAAGCTATTTGAGATGAACCACAGAGTTGATTGTTGAATCTCTATCTAGGAGGCCATGAGCAGATGCTGAGGTCTCAGTCTATAGTAATGATCCATGTCGCGTGCTTGTAGCTAATGGGATTCTGCTCATCTCAGTACACTAGTGACAGCCCAGATCCTAGTGTATATCGCTGTAAAGGGTTGAACTGACATGTCTCGATCCACAAATGAGAACACCTCTTTTTCCAAAATAAGACCTGACGCTTTGGTTAGAGATCTCGTGACCTTAGGCCGCAACTCAGCCCAAAAATGATTATATTACTTACTTTTAAGTACAGTTAGAATTGGAACAGCAAGAGAAAAAGGCGGTGTTATCGGGGCACTTGTGGTCGAAGCCTTTGCCCTGGATACAACCGCTGGATCCGTCAAATGTTTGAGAGCCAGGACCCGAACTACGGCAGGTAGCCTCGGCCATTGACAGAAACGTCGCGGCAAAAGCGAGAAATTTCAAAGAGAACTGCATTTTGTATTTGATGGGAGGGAAGGCAAATGATCGGATGAAAAAAGACTAGATTGTGTAGAATGACTTTACTGCAGAAGGTGTGTTAGCCCGGGGAGGACAGGACTTTTTATAGGTTCCTACGGCAGTCCGCAGGGACCACTGGGTCAAAATTCAATAAATTAGTAGGTATACGGTATGAGGGGTAGAACTTGCCTAATATGGCTAATGTCTCCACTAAGGTGTGTTATCGATAAGATATGAGTGGCTAGAAATTTTAGGTAAGTATGGAGCCCGTGCCTGTATACCCATAAAAAGTCAACCCTAGAACCCTGCTAAAGTCTGACTCCCGGCTTATACCCGTAGTAATCCCCTACTTATAATTATAGTGTTCTATAATACTTACCTCGCTATAGCTATAGCGCCTCCCCCCTTAACCCTAATACCTAACTGCCCTGACTGCCCTAACTGCCCTAACTTCCCTGACTGCCCCAACTGCCCTAATTGCCCTAACTGCCCCAACTGCCCTAACTGCCCTAACTGCCCTAACTGCCCTAACTGCCCTAACTGCCCTAACTGCCCTGACTGCCCTAACTGCCCTAACTGCCCTAACTGCCCTAACTGCCCTAACTGCCCTAACTGCCCTAACTGCCCTAACTGCCCTAACTGCCCCAACTGCCCTAACTGCCCTAACTTCCCTAACTGCCCTAACTGCCCTAACTGCCCTAACTGCCCTAACTGCCCTAACTGCCCTAACTGCCCTAACTGCCCTAACTGCCCCAACTGCCCTAACTGCCCTAACTTCCCTAACTGCCCTGACTGCCCTGACTGCCCTGACTGCCCTAACTGCCCTAACTGCCCCAACTGCCCTAATTGCCTTAACTACCTCAACTACCCCATATATAATTACACTGCCCGCATTTACCCTTTTCGCTCTTGACTCGCGCAAGTGCCTGTAATTCTCAGCCAATCAGAGCCTTTTAAAAATCCTCCCCTTAGGTGTAGACCTATTGACCCGATGCGGAAATTATTGAATTTTGACCCAGTGCGCCCTGCGGACTGCCGTAGGTTCCCTTCGATCATTTTTTTTTTAACAGCAATTGATAGGGGGCATGACTATGCTGTGTTTTGAATCGAGTCAAAATTCATTGTTCGTGCTCTTCAATTCTACCATCATTTTCAGAACTTCACCTGCCTCTTCCGGCAGGAAAAGCCGCCTCGGTAGCCAAGCCTTCCACAGCTACGAGACGTAGCCTGCCCCATTGACTGCTACAAGGCAACAGGTACAAGCCAATTCATTTTAAAGTTCATATTTCTTCATACGCTAATCAAAAAAAGTGCTCATGTTTCGGAAAAAATCGCACTATCGGCGTATGATTGGCTGATACCCTAGATGCCATGTGCTGTTACCTCGTGGCAATCGATGGTATAGTACATATCGTGGCTATAAAGGGCGCCAGTAACTAACACAGCTTGGCTGTAGAGACCAGGTATAGTGCTACTAGGTCCACCGCCTTTGCCAAATTTTATCTTGGTTTTAAGCCTGAAACAAGGGGGTTTCTAATGCAACACTCTTCAGTATAATGGGCTATCATCTGGCCTGGCGCGATTCATTCACGAGGCGAGCTTGGGCCTAATAATGTTGCAAAAGAGTTCTAGGGATAGCACCAAAAAATACGTTTTTATTCTAACAAGTAGCTTAAATTAACAGTAGAATCACATCCACATTTAGTGCTACTAATATGCCTATAGCTTGTCGTACGCTATTCCTCCTGGTTGGCTGCACGAAGCAAACCGCTACCTGATCAAAAGGCTCTTGGATGCTAGAAGTATCTACGGAAGTTTAACTTCCGCAATAGCCGGGTCCTAACAGCTTTGCGACAGCTAGCCGCCCATTTCATGCCGCGATAGCCGACGGGAGCATGAATGATTCAACGTCGTTCGTCGTTATGGGCTTTTTTAGTCATTCCTTAAATTTCAAACGGAGTTTACGATTCATGTTCAGACAGGACATAGTGTAGGAGAAGGGGGCGTAGGAGGGTTCAAAGTCTTCAAGACCCACTAATGTGGAAGGACGCGGTAGTGCGCGGAAGATCGTCTCGAAGTTGGCAGCAAAAATACCGTAGACAGGATTGTCATCACTCATACACACTTGCTTGTAGATCAGAAATCGAAGGTCGGTTCAAGAGCTTTTTGATTCGTCACTTTTGGTTTTTGATTAGGTTTGCGAATACAACAGCCATCGAACATCGCCTTTTACTTTGTTTCTGGTCTTGTGGTTGTGGATTGGCAATCTGCCTTCCGCATGTACTACTCCTGTAAGTACTACTCATGAGTTGGGTGGTTTGTGTGGGTTAGGTGTGCGCTTGTTCGTAAGCATCCATGAGCCCAGCACCTGGTTCAAGTTCTAGACGTAGATCATGTCTCTGACTGAACTTTACTTGGATTATCATATGCCTTCCGCCCAGAAAGACTCTGTTTTCTCCTTTAGAAAAGCCGCGCGAGCAAACTGCTAAGTAAGAACCCCTATCGGGCGCGGTGTACTAATCTTTGCAAACTTGATTTCGTCTCCTCCTTCATTCTATTGTAATTCCTGATTTCTTTGAATTGTATCTTTCGCTTTTCCCTCCCGTTAGTATTGTGTCGCCGTCCTATACACCTAACTACCCACCTTTGCTTTGTGACATTGTATTGTCTCCAATTATTTCTTTACATGTTTCTTTTACTAATCATTTTTAGCCAATTGTGACCTACTGAATCGACTCCATGTTGCCGCCTCCATGCGCACCAGCCAAGCTGCGGAAACCTTGTCCTGCCCGCCGGTAAACCGTAAGCTTACTCGCCCGAAAGCCAAAGTGAGACGAACTAGACACATAACAATTAGGCTAGAAAGGATGAGCATAGGAAGCACCAGCTTATATGCCCATGGTGTGCGTTTCACAGGAACTACCTTACGTATACACTCTTCGCTCGGCGTTTTCGGTAAGCATTGCCGTTATCGCCCCAAAAAGCAAACCGCTCCCTTTTATTATATTTGCAGCGGTATTTCCAGCACGATACACGCGACAATCATTGGGCTTTATCTCTCGCGCAAATAGACCATGGAAGCAATATGTGGTACTGTCGTTCCGTGAAAGCTGCAAGGCATACAAGTTGCGAAAGGCGGTTGTGCTGACTGTTGGTGGAAAACATCTAGTTCCCGATGCAGTTACCGTACTCCTACCTCCTGTTTCGCCCTGTCCTATGTTGGCTCAGAAGATGCTTATTTTGCTAGACGTTCAAATGTATCGCTGGATTCGAACGATCAGTCACTTCTCCACTGAACATTTTCCAAATATGGCCGAAATAGGATATCATTAATCATTGACATATCTTCGTGACATCTAGTCCGTCGTCTATTGGTCATCTTGTGGGAACTTGGCACCACCCTGTCTCCTAATCTCATCCATAATCTCCATTACCCGTACTGTCTCGGCCCAGGGCATGATCTCGTTCTCCTTGCGTCCCGCAGCAATGTCCAAAGCGACGGCATCAGCCTCCCAGTAGAATCCCTTCCCAGGCCGCTCAAAGTCAAACTTCTTGGCCTTAAGGCCAGGTGTTTCCGACTCTGTCCATCCCTCACCAGATGCCTTGGAAGAATGAACAGTAAAAGACCCGGGGACGGAAGTAGCAATACCCTCAACGGTGACATATCCGTCACTACCCTCAATTCTGCAGAAGGCTGGGGGAGTTTTGACCTGGGTCGAGGCGGTCAAGATACCCTGCTTTCCACTAGGGTACAGGAGCAGGGCGGAGGTTGCAATGTCGATGTCATCCGACAGTGTTTGGGTAGCGGCGATCTTTGGCTTCTCGGCCTTCTCGCCAACACCGGGGTCCAGTCCAAGAATCGTAAAGGTCAGGCTGTAAACTCCAATATCAAGCAAGCTTCCGGCGCCTAGGGCAGGATTCTTAAGGCGAGAGTCGGGGCCAAGGGAGGCGAGGTTCATATTCATGGCAAAGTCGCAGAAAACCCGGTGGATGTCGCCGATCTGCTTCTCTGTGTGCAGAACGTTCAGAAGGGAACGCGTCAGAGGGAAGAAGCGTGTCCACATGGCCTCCATGACGAAAACACCCTTCTTCTTCGCAGCCTCAAAAACCTCTCTGGCCTCCTTGGCAGTGATTGTAAATGCCTTCTCACAGAGGACGTGCTTGCCTGCGTTGATGGCGTCGAGGCAGTTCTGTTTGTGGAAAGCGTGCGGCGTGCCAATGTAGACAATGTCAACATTGGGGTCGTTGTAAACCTCGCCATAGCTGCCGTAGACAGTAGGGTTGTGGCCGGGAAGATGCTTTTCAACAAATGCCTTGCCCTTCTCCAGTGATGACGATCCGATGGACTGGACGATGTGCTTCGCCTTGGCGTTAGAGCGCTCGAGAACCAAATCCTCCACAAACCACGAGGAGATGAGGCCCGTGGCAATAATGCCCCAGCGGAGGGTAGGAATTTCGGAGGACATTGTGGTTTGGTTGATAAGTAGGGGTGGTAATGAAGTTGGAAGGAGGAGATCAAGACGGAGGGTGACCGGAGGGCTAGTATTTATGAGAATTGGAGACTGATATGTTAACCCTACAAGGGCGCAAGAGATTATATAGTATGGTCCGAGACGGAATAATCCACTTAGGAGATCTAAGGTTTACTATGGCAACTCCATTTAAAGAGGGATTGGCCAAGTTTGAGGCTTGATCAAGCTGCTTACGATGTTGGCGAAATGGGGCAGTGGAGGTGGTAAGCAACTCCGATACTCCCCGTGAGTAGCAATGACCAATGGCAGTGCTAATTGCTAGGATCACATCTCCCCACACGTTAGGCCCGTAAGAGCTAGCTAGTCTTCCAAATAGCGACGCTTTACGGATAATCTACGGCTGCATAACCAAGGAACTGGCTGCCGCCGCTTTTGGAACCAAGACGATGACTGTGCCAGATTTTGATGTCCAGTCCACTTCATACAAATGCCAAGAAACGTGACTACGGGGTTAATTGGGGAATTGACTTCCCTATTGATGTCAAAGCTGTCAGGAGTATACCACAATTAAATTCACGACTACCTAAATCGAGACTTTTGGTCAAAATACAAAGGATTTTTGCTACTAGGATTGGATTGTGGTCTACTGTGGAAGGCAGTGTGAGAACTGTAAATACAGGCTAATCGGCATGCCAGGACTGATGGTAACTAACAAGTTTAGTCTCTGAATTACTAGTGGTAACGGTGTCTGGAGCATCCACTTGTGTTGCCTCAGTTACCTACAGCAATAGCGACTTCCGCAGAGCATCCTCAAAGTTGTTTGAAATTGATACGGGGGGTGTTGAACGAGTCATTGATACTGTCTAGTAGCTGTGACTCAAAGATAACTTCATTCTTCTGGTAGGTAGGAATGGAGATGTCGGAAAAAGAAGATGATGAATGACCAGCAATGAGAGCAAAACAAAAGCAGTAAGAATCAGGAGACAAACACGAAAAAGAAGATTCAGAAAAAAACGCACTGGTCTTGTTTCACCAGAATAGGCAAAACGCCTCAATTCTCCAAAAGCTCTATATCGAGATTCCGATGAATCATTGTTCCCTGTCACAGAGAACTTGGAAGAACTCAGCAATGCAACTCCTGAAAGAACAATCCCACTAACCACAAACACGCGTCAGAGGAACCCATAGCCCTAATAGATTACGTATATAATTGTGTTTTGATAACCTGAGCAAGTCTGATATGGATCTCTAAGACGAGTCAGTATTGGTTGTTGGACAGCGAGCGGCCATCTCCGACGAGACGAGTTCTCGCTTCCTATCAAAGACCAATGATATCCTCTAACCCCGCCTCCAAACACTAAAATTTCTTATCGCTAGGTTCCACCCCGCATTTCATTTTATCTTTAAATGCTTGCACTGGAAACTCTGGAATCGCTATAATATATGTAAAGAACCGGTAGTCCAGCTTTCATAACTTTGTCAACCTATTTGCGAATCTGACCTCTGGTATAGTACGCGATGAGTACTGCAATCCTCCAGTCCGAGCCGGGGACAACACTTCTACGTTTCGCATCTGGGAATGGCCCCGTAACGCGCCGTATTCTCCGCACACCTCTCCGCGATGCTCTCCCCACCGAAATCCCCATCATCGACATTTCACCTTCATTCGGCGATGCGCTTGCAGATCGAAAGTCTGTTGCTCAGAAAATTCGCAATGCTGCTACCACCTCTGGCTTCTTCTACATTACCAACCATGGCATCGATTCATCCATAACTGATTCGGCTCATGCAGCTTGTTTGGACTATTTTCGTCAAGACGAGGAGGCCAAAATGCAGTCGTGGGTAGGCAAGAGCCGATATTTCAATGGATACAAGCCGCCTGGGTCGCAACGTATCAACAAGTCAGAGAGCATCGATGTACGCGAGACGTTCAGCTGGACTTACGACCCTCGGCATGACCCTGATGTCAGTGACGTCCAGTCCATCCCGGAAGAGGCAAGGCGATTCCTCCGGATAGAAGACTTTCACTGGGATGGAACAGCAAACAGACCGCTGTTCAAGGAGTCAATCATCCGTTATTGGCAGTCTTGTTTGAAGCTGGCACGCGTGCTCGTACGGGCCTTTGCGCTGTCTATGGACCTTCCAGAGAACTATTTTGACGACAAGTTCAAATATCCGGATGCAGCTTTGGCACTGAACTACTATCCTCCGCTGTCCGCAACTTCCAACGCTACTGATGTTGATGCGGACGCGAAAGTGTCGATCGGATCGCACACAGATTTTCAACTCTTCACTATACTATGGCAGGATGCAGTTGGAGGACTTCAAGTCTTGAACCGACAGGGACAGTGGATCAGGGCTGCTCCGATACCTGGAACTTTTGTCGTAAACATTGCCGACTACCTCCAGCGCATAACTAATGATCTTTATGTAAGTACGGTGCACCGTGCACAAAACTTGAGTGGTCAAGAGCGCATCAGTATGCCTTTCTTTTTCGGCTTCGGTTTACATGAGAGCTGCGGCGTTGTGGAGACGTGCTTGAAAAACGGAGAACGACCGAAATACGACGAGATTGGCTGCGAAGCTTGGGTCCAGCGAAGAGCAAAGGCAATGCACAAGATCGATTCAGACGGTGAAGGAGACGCGTAAATCCACGCCATCTCAGGTTGTTTCAGGCCAAGTTGAATGCCAACCAACAGACAAAGTCCCTTTTTGATCATATTGCATTCAGTAGATCACAAATACCAAGCTCCTATTGGGCGCCATGTTCACCCCTTCTGGGACAGCCAAGGATTTTATTCTGGTGCCTGTTGTGGATATCATGCTGCGCCGCTTGTTGATATGATATATGTCTCTGAGTTCCGACCTACCTAAGTTTACTTTGTTATCAAATGTAATGATAACCATGGAGTCACCGCAAGAAAATTCAGAAGACCACAGAAGTTTTCGTCGCCAACCACAGTTTGTATCGTCTACAAATTTTGGCTCTGTTGCAGACTCGAATTCAACCGATGCTTCCTTGTCGTCAACTCGGCCCTTGGTCAGGGCCTTTAACACTTCGATTGAGTGGATCCAAGATCAGTTTAGTCGATTGCGGAGGCTTCGGAAGCCGAGGCTTCTTTGGGAGCTTATAGCTTTGGGAGGCTCAGCAACGATTGGAACTGGGGTGTCAATGTAAGTCTTTTAACTTGTATTCTGTTTGGTCTGTTTGGCGAGTTCTCAGTTCCTAATTTGAGCGCCAGATCTCTACTCTACGTGTTTATCTTCATTCTTCAACCTCAGGTCTTTCGCAACATTGCTTCTGAAAGCTTCATCTCGAAATACCCAATCGATGCAGACGGTCACCCAGTTGACGGCCTAGCACGATGGACGGAAGACTTTTCTCGCTCGGTCGTTCCCATTACATGCCATTCACATAACGACTATTGGAGAAAGTACCCGCTCTACTCCGCTCTGGCAGCTGGTTGTACCGGAATCGAAGCCGATGTATGGCTCAGTGACGATGGGTCAGACATATTAGTCGGGCATGACCGAGAGTCGCTGTCGCCGGACAAGACCTTGCGCTCCATGTACATCGACCCCTTACTCGCTATCTTGAACAAGATGAACCCACCGGAGACGTGGTCAAATTTTAGCCGTACGGATTGCGCTCAGGGTGTTTTCAGAAGTCGGCCAAACGTCACTGTTGTTCTCCTCTTGGACGTGAAGGACGACGCCCTCAAGACCTGGCCCGTCGTGATGCAGCAGTTGCAACCACTTCGAGACCAAATGTTCCTTGCCCGGTACGAATCTGTCGTCGTGGGACCTAATTTGGTACTAAAGCAGCATCTATGGCCAGGACCAATCACAGTGGTTGGAACAGGCGATCTCGTGGAGAAGCGATGGGCTAACAATTGGCCTGATGAAATGCATTATCGGTATTACCACGACGCTTTCCTTGACGCTCCGCTTGAGCGTCTTCCCGACGAAAATTACAAGTTTGGTCTCTACGGTAAAAGTATAGCGTGGGACCCAGAGGATGCTTATTATACTTCGGTTTCTTTCCAGCAGAGCATTGGATCGGTCCGCACAGGCTTCAGTAACAGCCAGCTCAAAAAACTGAGGTACCAGATTGAAACGGCCAAATGGTCAGGCCTAAAATCTCGGTATTGGGATTTGCCTAGCTGGCCGATAGGTTATCGCGACTATGTCTGGGAAGTTTTGACGCGTGAGGGTGTAGACATGCTCAACATCGATGATCTGCAGAGTGCATCAAAGCGAAGTTGGACCACAGGATACATTGGCAACCTCATCTGGATGATTTCAATGTCGGTTGGCCTTTTCCTGCTCTCTGTCGTGTTGACATATTTTGGCTACCGGGCCATCAAGAAGCAAATGGAGAGAATGACTACTCAACCAATCATGCTGGAGTAAGGTAGAATGATTCTTGGAGACAAGCGCAATTAGCAATGAATGAATGAATGAAATCTGTACCTCTATTGGCGTATAGTTGTGCTATCATACTTCTTGGCGTATAGTCAGTGGTATAGGAGTTAGAGAGGTCTTCAGGAAGTACTGCAATAGTAATATATAAACGCGTAAACCTATTAGACGCGTTGAAATCTCTCGAGTACATCGCGACGGTTAGCTATCAATTGAAATGTTAATTTTGGTGTTGAATGTATTGAAGAAAACATGGCTTATTGACGTATCGTTACGTATCCCTTTCGTGAGGGGTAAAAAGTGGACGAAAATGGGTATTATGTACCTGTAGCCATTTCGCACCCGATGGGATACCATGGCGCTAGGCATTATGAAGCCTTTCGTAAACCTAGCCGTCAGTGTTCACCCCAAATCCAAGGACAATATAAAAGCCCTGTGATTGTGTTTCTTGGCCACTTGAAGTCAAGACTTTTCACTTGGCCTTGAACCGATCCGATCTTATCAAGACATCATTTGAGGACGGATAATGGGCAAGCTTTCCACAGCAGGATGGATATTCAAATGCACAAGACTCAGCTAGACAAATCATGCCGAAGTGCCATAGAGATGGAGTACGTTCTTTCTGGCGCAGCTTTGAGTGGCATTAGGAAGAACAGTCGAAGGGTTTTAGTCTTGATTAATTGTCGAATAAAACCCGAAAGATTTCCATCTACTAGGTAATCAATATGATTGTCAATTTCTCTAAGGTAAGAAGAAAGTGACAACGTTATTGGTATAGGCTTGCGGATAGTGATCCAAAACAGCGATGACACTAACTGAAATTAGTGAATGGATCCATGCTGCAAGCCAGCAAACCCCTGACCAACCTCGCATTCGCATTTCTGAAGACGTTTTCTTCATATCTCCGCTACTCCCCGCACACATCCCTCCCCCGTTCACTTGCTCCCAAAACCGACTTTCCAAATTCAACTCGTTTGGGTCATCTCAAATTTGTTGATGAGGGACTTGCAGCCATCTCGCGCCAGCTATCTCCACATATGACCCGGTATCCCGATTTCCCGGTGCGGCAGAATTACAATCATGTCAGGCCCAGATGCAGGAAACGAGACCCCTGATACGGGGAACAAGAGGCGCCGCACATCGGGCATGTACCAGCGGAGGCGTGCCGTAGCCGCCTGTGGGCCTTGTCGGGTCCGCAAGACAAAGTGCGATAACATCCGGCCCGCCTGTGGCTTTTGCCAACGGAACGGCGGTCTCTGTACTTACCCCGACAGTTCGAATGATTTCTCAACGTATGCTCAGTTTTCCCTATGATCTACGTAACAGAATCCTAACCCTGTACTCTCACAAGCTTTGACCCTGCCAGCTTGGCGATACTTGACAGAATTAATCATGTTGTCAATCTCTTGGAAACTCGGCCACCGCCGCCGCCGCCTCCACCAGTTGATCCTATGTGCACAGCAAACTTTTCTCTTGGACATCAGATAATATCACCCACGTCAATTGACGGCCCGCAACATGGCGGATCTTATGCCGTTATTAATGAAACCCAATGTCAAGCGGGTGACGGTTTACCCGAAGACGATGTCATGATACGATTCGACATCCCAGATCCTGCAGCAGCGAGCTCAAATTGCGAAGCAATTCTGCGATGGCCTGCTTTCAGAGACATGGTTCCTGAAATAAACTCGTTCATTCTCGAACAGGAAGATGACGACCAGGACAGTCTCGGCCAGACAAGTGCTATTGGGCCCAGGAACCTAGGAAGAGGTGTGCAAGAAGACGACTTCACTGTACTTTCCAAGAGATTTCTCGCCTATGTACACGTCAAAAACCCAATACTCGACATCTCTGACTTCAAAACACATGTGAGAAACGCTGTCGAAAACGGTCCACGCTGGGACGGTCCATCCTGCCTGGTAGTAAGTTGACTTGTATCCCAAGGCTCGCCAGCCACTTACTGATGCACCGATTCAGCTTATAGCTTGTGCCCTCGCCTGCTTAGCAACCCCTTTTCAGTCAGAATCTAGCCTCAGTGGCACGCCTGAGTCCATTCGGTCATCAGCGTCTAACTCCACAGACCCAGACACCGCGCAAGCATACTATTTTGCAGCAAAAAAACGCCTAGGGCTCCTGCAGCCATCTTTGCTTCAAGTGCAGTGTCTGTTTTTCTGTGGTGTGTTCGAGATGTATTCTCTTCGCCCGCTACCCGCTTGGTTCTACTTTAATCAAGCCTGCGTCCAATTTAAAAATATTCTCTGGAGACGGACGCAAAGACGGATCCCCGAACATACTGACCAAAAGGCACGACGTCTTGAGCAGCGACTGTACTGGTCTTGCATGAAATCCGAGTGGTGAGTTCACATGTGTGTACATCTCATCTTATCATGTCCTGTACTGATTTAGTCTCGCAGTGAGTTGAGATGTGAGATACCGTTACCTTCGAGCGGGATAACGCGATTGGATTATCCCAACCTCTTTCCTTCGCCGCCATCCGAAGTTGTTTCTCCAGCACCTCAGTCTAGCGCGGTAGATGTTTTAGAAGACGACATTCAACCAGAAGAGGAAAAGAGCTGGTTTTACTATCTGGCTGAGATCTCGTCGCGAAGGATGATGAATCGTGCGATATCTGTGATGGGCTATCATGGGGAAGAAGCCTGGATTCGCAACGTCGCAAAAGTCATTGAAAAATGCGAAGACTTTGATCAACAAATTAATGTCTGGTAGGTCTTGAAATGAGTGGCCTGGAGTGACTGGAAGAATAACCACTAACAGGCAGCAGGTGCTGCCACATCCCATCGCAAATCAACTGGCAGAACCACGAACTTTCGAACAACGAACTGGTTCACTACATACAGAACCGAGCGATAAGCTGTCGCGAATGGATTCATCGTCCGTTCGTATACTACGTAATCCATCAACCGTCCGACGACCCGTGGATTAGCCGCGCCATGCCCCTCGCGGAAAAGTGTCTCGAGATCTCGGTCGAGCTGCTGCTCGACGCTAACCCGCACCATCGCCATCACGGAACATGGTTCATGGCCAGAGCGGCCATGACCCGTGCCCTCTTGCTCCTGGCGGCGGTCAAGAGTGGCAAGTTCCGACTTCCGGACCGTTGGAAACAAGCGGTGGACTCGGCCACATGGGCTCTGCAGCGCTGGTATGGCGAAGCTCCGGACCTGCGCAGGGCAGCGTCCGTGCTGGAGGATCTTGTTGGTCGGATTGTCAGGGCTGAGGAGTAGGAAAGGGTCTGTGTTTGCAAACGCCAACTCGCTTAACCTGGAGATGGTCCGACACCCTTCTTCTGTCAGCTGTCGGCGTTGGATACTTGTCAGATCGGGCTTTGTTGTACGCTAAGGGTTCTATGGAGAAGTTCCGGCGGCCGACACAGCCTGTTAAGTGCTAGGAATATGCGCTCTAGTCGTTCTAGCCAACTATGACATAATAAAGACGAGGCGAAATGAAGCAGATGTAAAACCGTTGTGGTTGATTCGACATGGAACTAAGGAAACGAACTGGCGCTTTGACATTTCGGCATCAAAGACCAGGGTGCTCAATCCCTCACGCAAGTGATGCACTGCTCATGACTTTCCTTATTGAGCTCACTATTTTTTAAAAGATGTCCTTTACAATGCACAGTCCTTTGTTCGACTTCAACCGCGTTGTTTCCATTTATACCATGACTTTCGAGGAGCAGTGCCAGGAGGGATATCGCTGCAGAGATTCTGAACCATTTTGGCCTGTATTACTTCTTATTACAGGCACTTTCATAATGAGACAATGAGCTTTTTGGTCAGAACACTCAAAATAGCAAGAAAAGAAGGCTTATTGGGCCTTCAATACAGTCGCGACTTATCTAAGACATCTTCATGGGCAGAATCATCGTCACCAACATTATATCCACTTTACAACTAGCAAATGAATTTGTGGCAAAGTAGCGTCTTAGTTCTCAGAAGAGAAAAGAATAGATTTGAACCTTTAATCCATTTTCACCAAGTTAAATTGAACCATCAGGAAAAGAGCTGACGTAATTCATCTTCGCCTTTTGTTGGTTCCAAGCCATTGTCTTAGTCTCCTGGGCGCATGCCACATTATTCGCTGCCATGTGATAGTTTGAGACCCTTTTGGTAGCTTCAACCCCCCATCAGCCGGCCGGACCAGGGGGGCCACGTGTGGCGAAGCGCTCACTCCCGTCTCCCACACACTGCTTTTTTTTTTCGACTTTCACCTTGACCCCCAAGCTCTGGTCTCCCGTTATGCTGCTCCGGCTGCATCGCACATCCGCCCTGCATTTAGACTTTATGGCTTGGCGACTCCGAACAGCTGTCAAGTTAGCCTCGTTTCGGCTGCGTCTTGTCGGACGTCTGTTCGCAAGGAACCGATCGGTTAGCTCTTCGTTGTTCTTCTTGGTCTTGATCTATTTGTGTACAACTGCTTCGCTGATGGGTAATTTGTTCTTGATTTTGTGGATACTAGAATTCACTGTAAGACAACCAGAGCAGCTCGAGTTGCATGCTTGTCAACTCTTGATTTGTTGGAGGGGTAATTTGAACTGAAGCGTTTGCTCAAGTTGCAGACGGGATCGAAAGTGGCTTTGCGCAAGCGGGATACTTTTCCTCTTGAATTGTAAAAATTTTATAGATCCCGTTTCTCATTGATGAGACCAAGACCCTGGAACTAGTATCCCTCACTTTAAAAGTATTGGAAGACTAGTTCTTATATGGGTTTTTCAATTTGAGATAAGGTGAGGAAAGAATTGTATGACTTTTTTGCGAAGCAGGTCGCGTGGTCAAGCGTTTCCGACTGCCTGGGGTGATCTGGATAAAGCTCAGCCACACCACCTCGAAAAAAAGTTGGGATGAAGCTCTTGTCACGTTGACCTCACGGGGTCCTTGTGCCAGTCTGTCTCCTTGACTTGAACGTGCTCATGCATTTACTTTTCCTCTTTCGAACCACTCACCATTCATAAGACTTTATTCAAGTCTTCCCCCACCCCCCATTTCCCTTTCTTCTCGTTCTTTACATATCATGCACTTTGTCTGCAGCTTCGCCTACATCAACTGCCAATAAGACCATCATCCACATACATCACATCCGCCTTGCATACACGACTGGTTCAACGATTTTGATTTTCTCTGGGCAGCTTGCGCCCACCGACGGTTGCTTGCACTCTCCCACCCACTGGCTTATCAACATGTCGTCGTATTGCGAGTCTAGTTGCGACTGGGATAGGAGCTGCCATGTGGATGGCTGCTCGAAGAAACATGCCTACATACGCCGCGAAGGTGACATCAGGCTCTACTCTGAGTTCTGCGCAGACCGTAAGTCAATTATACATTCATCTTGCTAGCAAAAACTGACTAATTTCATGTAGACACTTGCAAGTACTGCGTCTTTGGCGAATCCATGTGCAGGAAGCCAAAAGACACACACCATCGGTTTTGCTCCATCCGTAAGTACCTCATTCTCTGCTTCTATCCATAGATATAGCTGACATATTTGAAAGACCGAAAATGCGGGGTGGAAGACTGCGTGAACAGAGGGGATTGTCCGCCCACTGTCCCCTTGCCTTGGATGTGCCCAAGCCGTAAGTTCCACTAGCTGCGAAATCCGAGGGTATGACGCTGACTGGTCCCGTGGACAGACATATGTAGGGTTGATGATTGTTGGAAGCAGAGGCATGATCACTACGGCTATTGCAAAAGCCATCGGTGCTTGACGGTCAATTGTTTTGAGAGGCGAGTCGCAGACTCAGACTATTGCGTCGACCACACTGGAAGGATATGCCGTGAGGAAAACTGCCGGGAATACGTCCATCACGACTTTCGCTGCATCTTACATCAGAAATGCCCGGTCAAGGATTGCAAGCACTACCGATTTAGACATAAGGACGGACTGTGGGACCACTGCGAGAAGCGTAAGACACCCACACCTAAGCACGCTACTTCTACCCAGTGAGCTAATCGTCAGGCAGATTATCACGAAATTCGCTGTGTCGTCAAAAACTGCAGCATTTTATGTCTCCCCAACTCTCGGTACTGCCATCTCCACAAGTGCACCTTTGAGGGATGCCTCAACTTCCGGGACAACGAGAAGGATATCGACAAGATATTCTGTCGCGATCACGGTTGCGAAGTTTCTCGATGCTATGCTGTGGCCATTGTGGTCACGAAGGGCGGAGGCGGCTTCGGGCCATACTGCCGTCGGCACACCTGCACCGTGGCTGACTGTCGCGAAGTATGCGAGAGCGGGAGGTACTGTGGGCGTCACTCTTGTCAATGGAGCAGTTGCGAAAAGATTCATCTAGATGGAGGAAGTTTCTGCGCAGAGCATGAGTGCAAGACTGCTGGATGTCGCAAAAAGCCCAAGCTTCGTCTGGGCTACTGCGAGGAGCACTGCTGCAAGACAGACGGGTGCCTCAACTTTTGCGACATCGGATCCGACAAACTGTGCTTTGAACACTCCAGAGGAGAACTGCACAAGAAGATCAAACACCTTGAGGACAGATTGAGGGGACGAGGTCACGACGCACAGCATCACGAAGATCTGAAAAGTCGTCACGAAAAGTTGGTTAGAGATTACGACATATGCGTGCTGCGATTGAACGAAAGCCAAGAAGAGGTTCGCATCTTGAGGAGCACTTGGATTTCGGAAGAGGACAACCGCATCTGGAGGAAAGATCTGGAGGACCGAAACGCACGGTTGCTGGTTGACCTGAAGCGGGAGCAGCATAGGGTCGAGCACTGGGAGCGCAAAGCAGGCGAACTACTGCGGCGAATTGACGAGTTGGAGTGCCTGCTGACGGATGAGAGGCACAGAGGCCCCCCATCGGACATGTACGAGCGTCAAATCGCGGACCTCCTGCGCAAGGTCGAAATTCTCGAAGAGGACCTCCGAAAGGAACGCGAGAACCACTCGGTACACGAGGGACGAAGACGCGAAGTTGAAAGACTTTTGCGCATAATTGCCGACCTTGAGAGAAAGCTTGTGGAAGAGCACAAGAGAGCAACAAGAACCGATGAACTTATTAAAAAGGTGGAGATGCTCCAAGGCATGCTCGCCAGCGAAAGGGATCAGAAAGAGATGCTTCTCGAGGAAATCGCCAAGCGCGATGAGTACGATCGTTGCCGTCGGGAACAAGATGATCGTCGTAGGTGGAGAAGAGGCAGTTGGGAGAGACGGTCGCGCTATTGATTCCAGGCGACGCCGGATGCGGCGTTCTGGGGCATCTGTGAGATGCCTCTAGATGGAAAGCCTTAATACATCAGGGCCGGAATGTTTGATTACTTGTAAAGATAAACAGCGATTGATACCCAATTTCAGATTGTTTTCGAGAAAGATACAAGTCATTATTAAGTAGACAATGCAAATTATTTGTAAAGTAGACGATGACACACAAGAAGCATTGGTTTCCGTCGCGCATGTGACATACTTCTTTTGTAAAGTTGCATGGGAAACTTCTAGCCTAACTTGGACCTCACTGAGCCGACAAATGTCTTCAGAAGACATGTAGCAAATGTTGTCGGGGTGTGGTAAACTGAAAGGAAAGCAGCATAAACGCCATATCAATCTAGCTATTGCAATAGTCGCTCGCAATGCATTGTGTGAGCAGGAACCTTTGAATTATGAGCAAAAAGGCAAATACTTGGTCGCACCCCTTCTTCATGTGAGCTGGTATAATCGTCTTTGAGAGTCTTCGATGTCCACCCACTCGGCTGACACTGCCCCAGAGAAACACCCTTTTTCCTTTCATCATACTCTCGGTGTTCGGTTAAAAGACGTTCAACACCCTTTCAGCTTCTTTGAATTAATCTTCCATCTTAACCCAAAAGACAATGGCTATTCAACATTGTACTCTGAAGTTTTGCCGTCAATCGAATCCTGTTGTCCTCTTAGTCTTTGGAAGGACAAAGGCTCAGTTCCATTCTTGTGACAATGCGTGATCAACCTACGAAGGCATACTCATTATCGTCAGAGTTCTTTCTGGCTTGAACAAAAGCGAAGTTGTTTCGACACAAGGGCATTGTATCTCAGTGATTCTAGGTCTTACCGAAGGCAGGTATATAGTCGAGGAATGGTGTCGCATCAAGCCAGTTAATTCTATCAGCCAACACAATTACTAAAACAATTTCAATCTTCCTCTGTTCTTATAAGCTTCTTTACTTCATCACCAACCTCTGAAAAAGTTGATCTTCCATTTTCTACGTTCAAAACCACACAATGTGTCAAGGATTTATCAATTACACCATTTGCCCTTGCCCAAACCGAGGATGCCCACGACGGCAGACGTCAGACATTAGCAACGAGATCCTCCAAGCCAACGAGAGAGGCCACATTACCCATGTAGAAACGCAACGTACTTGGGACGACAAAGCTCGATGTGATGCTTGGTGGCTCGAGCAGCCGATCGAGGTTTCCAGAGACCCGCACGCATCTCCCGAGGGTCGTTGCCGCGAATTCGACTTGCGCGGATGGAAGCCCTACAGAAAGCTTGGGGAAATTTGTGATGAGTGCAGGCAGGAGAAACCACAACCTCCAAGCGAGGTTGATCGTTATGATGATACCCGCGTTGCTATTCCGTATGTCCTTTACCCCGCTGACAGGAGACCGAGACCTCAGCCTGTCAGGAACATCAAAGTCCGCCTTCCTCCGACTAGACCGCTAAACACTGCAACTAGAACCGAACTTTCCAATTCCAGAGCTCGAAATTCTCAGCGCAGAAACAGGGATCCTTTGACGGGGTTTCGTGCTGCGGTTGCAATCGCGATAGAGCCACCTCCGCCACAGAGGGAGAACGCAACCATTGAAGTACACAGCGAGGAGAGGCGCCGCGCAATCTGGCGTTCCTTGTCCAATTTCCGCAATACTCTAGGTGAGTCTTTGACACCTCGACAAGAAAGCGGACTGGGTAGCCAGCAACTCATTGGAGGCACTAGGGAGGCAGGTGAACTCCGTGTAGTTGGTCGACTTAGTAATCCCTTCGGCCACAGTGGTCGCATTGTTCGCCTTGAGCACCTTAGGCAGGGTGAGGTATTTCTACCTCTTTCGCGAGGAATAGGAAGACAACTTGCGCGGTCCCGCCACCCTTACGGAGCTATCGGAGACGCAAATGAACCATCACAGAATCGACCGGTATGGGTGGTAGCAGAGGAACCCCCTTCGAGATTTTTCAATGGGGCTCCTATACCACAAATGCCATCTTCTAATGGGCAGTCTTCAGGCCAAAATCAGCTAACGGGACAGCCATCGACATCAAATCACACTCCACGTAGAGGTTCTGCTTTTAGGGGAAGGCATTCCAACCATCTACCCGACATTCAAGAAGACAAAGAATGAGAACAGGGTAATGAATTTCTGTACTGGTGATTAGACATGATAGACGGTTCGCAATAAAATTTTTGACCTCTTTGCTGGGTCACCCTTCCTTTTAACCAGTGTGTCAATGATTATGTCTGCTGAAGTGTTAGGGTTGATGCGAACGGCTTGACGTTGGCCGCCATCTCTGTCGGTTGCTTTATCTGAAGGTTAGCAAAAGCCAAAGCCCCGCAATTTCAAGGTAATTAAACTAAAGAACAGTTGCAATTCTTCTTTTAATGACATAAACAGAGGCATAGTTCATCCAACCTGTTAGGTTTCTGTTTCCCTCCTTCTTATCAGAAGGCCAGTACGGGACCTATATCGAGGCTTAGTCAGCAGACAAGATGAACAACCCGATAATCCCCGCTCCAGAGCAACGTCGATCGCTCAGCACCTGAGACATACTCGTGCAGCAATCGAAGAACAATGTCGAGCGCCGTGGGCTCCCATGGCCTGAGCGATGCTCATGATGATCGCGCTAACCCAGAGCCTCTGCGCAGGTCGCGGAAAGCAGGCATCGGCGCCCTGCTTGCCATGATGCTGCTCGTGAACCTGGCTGCAAGCCTGTATCAGCTTCCATTGAACAGGGTGGTTGAACGACGTCTCTGTCGTGAGCACTACTTGTCCACGGATCCCTCAGTGATTGACGGGCATGGAAACGTAGATGAGAGTCTTTGCAAGGTCGATGGGGTACAGCAGCGCCTAGCCTGGATTCAGGGGACTATGGAAACGGCATGGATTGTTGGAGGTTGGTTTTGACTCGTTTAACACGATTACTTTAGATCTGGGCTAACAACATGAATAGATTTCGCTGTCACAATCCCTCTAGGTTTCCTTGCAGAACGATATGGACGTCGCACCGTCCTCTGCCTCAATCTGATACCGCGTATCGTGATGCCAGCATGGGCCGTGATTGTTGGTTATTTCGAACAGATATTGCCGACCAAAGCCTTTGTTGCATCTTCGTTTTTGTCCGTACTGGGTGGAGATTGCGTCTTCAACTCTATTACGTATGCGATCGCTTCTAACATGACTGATGATCATGTCCAAAGGTTAGTCAAATCCTCTTTCGGCCTGGTCGCGCAGCTTCTGACTTGGTGGTAAAGGGCCACCTACTTTGGATGGATGAGTTCCGTCTCTTATGTTATCGCACTGCTTGGACCAGCACTTGCGTCAGCCACTATGAGCTTGCTCTTATGGCTGCCCTTCTGGATCGGCATATGCTTGCTTCTTTTGGCCTTTCCTACAATCTCAATGCTAGAGAGCTCGGCCAGTACACAGGCTTCTTCTCCTCGGGCGATCAACAGGGATGAGCAATCACGGCCACTACTCTCTTCTCCGATTCTGAAAGCACAAGACTCTAGTCCTTCGCTTTTTAGGTCCATCGTCCAGCGTTTCGGTACATTGCGAGATATTATCGCAAGCCACCCCCGCAATATGACCCTCTTACTCATCAGCTTTGTATTGACCTCTCTTGCAAGCTCGGATACCAAACTCTTGGTTCAGTATATCTCCAAACGCTACCACTGGACATTCGCTTCCACGGGTTATCTTCTTTCAGCGAAAGCCGTGGTCAATTTCACGCTTCTCACAGTCATTATCCCCGCGCTACTGCGTTCGCGAGGAGCCACATCTCGTCATGTTCCATCCGAGCTCGCCAGCCACCAGATGAACATGCATTACGCAAAAGTTTGCCTCGTCGTCTCTATTTTAGGAGCTCTGGCGATAGCTCTTGCTACACAGATCTGGATGTTGGTCCCCTCGCTGTTTCTTTACGCCCTTGGCTCCGCGCTCCCGATCTTCACTCTGTCCCTGTTGAAATCGCCATTTATTGCCCCGAAGCGAAACGATGATCAAACAGGCTCGGCAGACCCAGAGTCTCATATATTTTCCATCGTTATGATGGTCAAGACGTCTGGGTCGCTTCTCGGTGCACCTTTGATGATGGTACTTTGGGTTAAGGGGATTGCTTTGGGAGGTGCAGCTTTGGGTATTCCTTATTTTGTGTCTGCAAGTTGTTATCTTGCAGCTATTGTGGTACTACTCAATATTCGCACCCACTAGTTAGATAGAACACATTTACCGTTGGACGGGAGACGAATAGATGACCGAGCTGTTGCTTCTCGATTTCATCTTGATTTGATTGGCTACTCCAGCTTGCTGCTGGTAAGTACTGCTGTTTTTCTATGCACCCCGCGGTTGGATCGCTTTCTGGCGCCATGCAAGGGCAAGACGGGAATGCAACCCAACCTTTGAATTAAATATGCAAAACTGGTTCAGATGTCCTAAATGAGATGTTTACCATTACGATCTATCTGACGTCGATGATCACAGGAGTTGGGTTGTCATCTAGGGACTTGATGGGTCAAATACTTTGTGTACCTGTCACGTCAGTGCCTGAAATTAGCTTGGTATACATGGATGTAAGCGCTTATTATGTGTTAATAGGAGACACCTCCAGTGAGCCCAAGCCATACCTCATAAGGCACGGATACCCTCACGGTTGCAAACATGACAATCAATGTAACCTTATCGATATCTTCAGCTTATCGATAAGCTGGTGGCGGCATAAGCTCCTTCAACCCCCGTTCTCAGATGACACTCTTCACCGCTTGCGGCAACAAAAGCTTACTTAATCACGTTATCGGGCTATCTGTCCAAGACTTATCAGCGACATCCAACCTCACTTTTTGGATCCACTTCTCCCACTCTACAACTCATCGTGGGACCAGGATGTCGCGCGATTCCACGACTGGCGGACACGCCGACCCGCAGGCCGGATCATCTACAAACGCTCAATCATCGACTTCACGAGCGCAATCCCGCACTCTTGTCATCACCACATCAGTTTCCAGGCAGATCGCTCTTCTTCCCGATGAGCTGCTCCTTCAGATATTCGAGGCTGTAGGCCGAACCTCACGCAGCGACCTCTGCGCTGTGAGCCGTGTGAATAGGGCCTGGCACGAGCTCGCCGACGCTATTCTTTATCGTCAAGTCCGTTTCGACGATCCAGAGCAACACCTCGTCTTCTCGGAGTCGTTGAGTCGTCGCATGCGCCGCGGCTCTGCCATTCAGGATGTCAGCCTTGAGTATCCTTCTCACGAACTTTCGCATCTGAGGCTCGATGGGCCCATTCATGGCTCACACCACCCACCGACCCGCTTTGAAGCTCTAAGTCGAACCATTAGCACCATGAGCAACCTCGCAACCCTCGAGGTGTCCGTCCCCGTCACGCTGCTTCACGGAATCGGCGCGCTGTTCAACGGCCCCTTCGATTTGGCCTGTCTGAAGCACTGCACGTTATTTTACCAATGTCCTGACGATGCTTATTGGGACCTACGCGAGAATGTTCACATATTTGCGCATCCGACACTGGAGACCCTTGTCATTAAAAAGGCGAAACTCGATTACCGTGGCTTTGACCTCATTGAGCGACCTCACGAGACGGCGCTTCATAAGCTGCATCTCATCGAGTGCGACATTAATGATGATGCTCTTTCGGATATTCTCGAATTTCCCGAGGGTTTGAAAGACTTTGTCATGACGCAACTCGAACAGCCAAGTCCAGAACTGGAAGAGAGCTCGGACAACTTCAGCGACTACATTTTGGCGTTAAATTCACAAGCACATTCGTTAGAGACTATCACCATTGACCACCCATCTCTCTCTGGCAGGAAGCCTGTGAGAATGAGGGACTTTGAAGCGGTGAAATTATTGAGGTTAAACTGGGACTACCAGCTTTTTGGCAAGTCATCCAAGAAGCCTCGAATGCACTCTGTTGGTCTTCCGCCCAACTTGGAAGAGTTGGAATTCTTCAATGAGCTCGGCACAGATGAAGAAGTCACCGAACTGCTCGAGTACACTCTTCAGGTTGCCAGCGTCACTCACAGTAAGCTCAAGAGAGTGGTTGCTGTTCAAGGCGACAATGGTGTGCCGAAGGAAACTATCGCAGCTTGCAAGACGGGTGGTGTTAATTTGGACATAATCGGTGCTTTTGATGAGGAGGGGGATGGTGACGATAATGATGATGGAAAATAGAACATAAAGGGTAGGGAGCGTTGTTGGCCATATGGGATATGATAAAACAAGAAAGAAACAGAAACGAGGTGTAAAGCGGAGGACGAAGACTTAGAGTCATAGACTCATAGAGCGTCAGCTGTGTTTTGTAAATTTCCTTAGACGATTAGATATGTTAGAAACTCCAGAGCGAGCCAATTGTCATTTTTCATTAGATCCCATGACCTTTGTTTTTGGTCCTCCAAGACCCATACAGCGTCCTGGTGCCAGTGAATGTAGTCAGTGTAAAGAGCCGATTCTCCAACGTCTATGATTCGCTGCTTATCAACTTCCAGCAAAGAAACCACACACAGATTTAGACTTATTTCATTAGAGTAAAATGCAAAACTAGAACTATTCTACAGATGGATAGTTCTCCCGCAACTGGAATGACTAAACGAAGTAGTGTCCCGCGTCAATGCAGCCTTGACATATCTGCCCGTACTTCTGGACAAGACTCCGGCAGTCGCATGCAGGACACATGCACTTATGGACGCCTTCATTGCGTCGATCTCTCGGTTGGCTCATTTTGTTGGTGGTGGGTAATGAGGGCTTGAGGGATGATAGAATGTGCTAGTTGTTATGGTGTTGAGTAGCGGAGGCTCTAAAGTGGTAGTGAGTAGAATGTGCATGTGTATCGGCTGTAGGAGCATTTCTCAGGTTGGAATTACGTCGCTTTTGTATCAAACCGCCTTTTGCTCTGTTGCATTCACCGAAAGGTAGTTACGCATACGTACGAAATATAAAAACTCAATTCTATTTCCCAGGTTGGTGTAGTTCTGGCTTGGGACATTTAATCATCAATTCACATATGGCATTCACCAAGTCGAGTGCTGATAACAATAAATAAATCTATCCTGTCTAACTTTTTACCACCCAACATTACGTCTAGTGATTATATATTATAGCGGCAAGGGCCAACGGCCATGGCATAAGATCCATCAATCCCGTAGGAGATGCCGCATTGGTACTGGTGGGGGTGCTTGTAGTGGTGGCGGAGACCAACATCTCGGAAGGGACCGTGGTCAGGGCGGCCGTCGTCGTCGATGTCGATGCGGAAGAGCTCGTGGACAATCTCGTGGACGTCGTCTTCGTCACGACATCTTCCGGGTCGCCCTGTCTAACGATGCTCAAGTTGTAGTTGTTGACCTCAAAGCGAACCTCCGCCCCGGCATGCTTGATCTCGGTGCCGAGCTCGAGTTGACCGAGGTAGAGGGCTCCGGAGAGCAGACCCTTCTTCCAGATGTACTTCAACAGCGGGCTGTAGTCGGCGTCCGTCTTGGTGAGGTTCTTGCGAGACAGCCAGGAAAACACGTGCTGGCCGCCATCGTTCCAGCCATGATACAAAGAGAACGGGGTGCCGTCAATGGTAACGACATCCTTGTCGGGCGTAGAGTCCGCCCAGCCCAGAGGCTTAACCGTGGGCACCCACCATGGCCAAATCATAATCTCAAAGGGGGCATTGAGGCCAGTCGAGTTAGTGATGTCGTCGGACAGGAACATGTCGACAGCGACGTTGGAGTGGAGGCTGATCTCATCGAACGCCCTGGCCTGCTCCTCGGGGCTGGCGTTCTCCTTGCCGGAGACGTAGGTCCTCCAGTTGGCAGTAAACTGGAGTCTGGAGACGTTCCACAGCTGCACAGGCAGACGTGCGGGATGAGCCTTCAGATACGGGAAGCCTTTAACTAGAGAGGCTTCACCTGTCCACTTGTAGGTGACATCAAAGCTGCGACCGCCATCATGCACGGCCATGCACTGGTAACCTGAGCTATCGTTACCCCAAGCATTGTTGTTGACTAAAAGTGGTAAGTGTTAGCAAGCCTCCGTTCATAATGAGACGGGATCAGGAAAAAAGCAAACATGAATAAGGGACCTCTGTAGAGTTCCAGTGATCTGACTGGCCGCAGAGGTTGATGTCGCCAGTCGCCGCCGCCACAGGTCCAAAATGAAAAACGGTCAAGATGGCGACCAACAAAGGCGATATCGAGAACGCCATCATTTGTTCGCACGTTTAACGAATAAATGAAGACTGCACGACTCCAAATAGCGAATGACAGGGTCGGCAAAACATTAAGAAACTATAAACAATTGCGCAAGCATCGATACCCTAGTGACAAAGAGTGTGCCACGAAAGGTTGGTTGGCTGTGGATTTTTCAGAGACGCAGGAGGGAAAACAGGCCCCCGGAGAATAATAAAAAAAAAAAAAATTAAAACCACCACCACACCTAATGTCGGGCTGCCTTCCTGGCACCTGGAGACTTGGAAAACGTACGCCAAGTTCCAACAACCGAAGCCCAGGCGCTGGGCAGATCAGCTGCAAATGAATCTACGACAGTCCCACAGAAAAAAGAAATAGGGGCAGTGCTCGCTAAACCTGTCTGGGACATTACCCAGGGGCGTTTCCAAGTGGACAAGCCACCAAGTGGATTTGGATAAGCGCAATCTCACGAGCAAAACAAACCCTGGAGGAGATTGGAAGATTGGCGCCACTGGGGCACCTAGGTTATTTTGGGATTCGTATTCCACCAGCCACGCAAGCAACTCCATTCCACTGAGTAAGTGTAGCTACCTTACCTAGTAGCCAAGGTAGCCTCAGCATTGACCCCAGACTGTTCCCTTCGATACGGCCCGTCAATGGTCCGGACCTTATTGCACTTCCGCTCTCTTTACTTCCCGGGCCCGCTCCCGATGTGCTCCGAACCGAGCGGATCCAAGTTTCATGCTGGCTTTCAATGTCAAGATTTCGTGTTCTGTATCAGCCTGAAAAGTACGTCGCATGTGAATGAAGATTCATTGGAGCATAATGTTTGCATCAACTCATGCAGTGGCAGCCTGTTTAAGCCCTTGCAGACACGCCCTGTTTCGGGTAGAGTATCCGGATAGAGTATGCCTTGGATGGGGAGCCGCATGTGATGTACCGCGATGAAGGTTGGCTGTGATCGAGAGCCAACCAACTTTGTGCAACATTTTAGTATCCAATTGTAACTTACCACGCCCGAGACGGTTGACGCAAGTAAGAGCAGGCTGCCGCGCGGGGTAAAAGTACTGTACACATGTTGATGTCGTACAGCGCACGTTATCCATCAACGACGATATGATCATGCTCGCCTTAATAGATAAGATGTCCTCGTCCCCAAGGACACCTTTCTCTTCACCAAGAAATTTTGACAGCACCATCTCGATCACTCAAAGGCATCATGGTTGATATCAACAGCGAAGACACGGCTGTTACTGATCATCTGGTGGACAAGAGGTATAACAATCCTCTGGACCTACGTTCGCTTCAGGAGACAATTGATAACTTTCCGGGAGTTTCTGCTTCAGAAAACGAAAACGATGAAGTTCTGGTGAGTTTCTTTCCAGACCTTGCACTCCTGTGTCATACTAATTGATGAGAACACAGCCCCGAGACTCACTTCCGGCGTGGCTCCTGGATCGTTGCATAACCTGCTCTGACGAGTGGGATGACCACCCGGACTTCGTGCTTCTTCGAGACAACATGCCATCGGGTACTAGCGACGAAGCCCAAGAAAACGATGGAGCATCCGAATGTTCAAACCCAGCCGCCATGTATGAGATGGAAACTATTTTGTTCGAACAGTTTAATGGACTTCTGAAGCCTGCCTCCGGTGAAGAAGGTGATGCAGGACCCGACTCAACCCCCAACAGCGGAGTTCGATTTGCCCAGAGTGTCGTCAGGTTGCAAACACACATACCAGCAGCCGACGAATGCACGGCTTCGTTTCTGAGAGCCGTGGTGAAGCAGTTCGCAAAGAACACCGGAAGTGACCTGATAACCCTTACGCGGGATGACCTCGAGGACCTGGCAAATCACTTTCGACCTGAAGAACCATCTGACGATGTCAGTGACGGTTCCAGCGAGTGTAGTGACGATTCGGATGATACCACTTATGTCGTGCTGGCTCCGGGCCTCCGGACCCACTCTGCCGCGTCTCGGCCGCGAGGTCACGTGACCTCGCTCCAGCGACCGTATTCTTAAGCGTCCTTCGCTCCGCTCGCTCACTTAGAGAATACAAGCCGTTTTGTTCCTAGTTGATGCCGCCCGTGCCTGACGTCGGTCACCACAGTTATGAGCCCAGCTTACCACATCACCCCTTTCTACTGTTAACCAGACGAAGGGTTCGTGGCGGAACACCATCAACTCCTTACGGTCTTCACAAATTTCGCTTCAAACAGCAACTTCTACAACGAAGATGTCGTCGCAGATATCTGTTCTCACGAGCACGACAAGGCTAACCTGCCGCCGGGACTTCCCCGTTTGGTACGACGCTCTCTACGCCGAAGCCGACGCAGCAGACGTCTGGGATCTCATAGACCCAGACGACACTACGTCTCCGTCAGACCCAAGAGAGGACGATGAAGAACTCTCGATCGAATCATGGATCACGCAGCAGAACGAAAAGCAGCGTAGAACCTATGATCGGAAGCGGAAAGCCTACGATTCGATTCTCCAGCATAGGGCAGAAGCGAGTGACGATACAGGGGAAGAACTCCAGGAGCCTGTAGCACAACCAACTCTCACGCAAAACACGCCCGGGATCTTTGAAAGATATACGAACTACCTCGCTTCAAAATCAGGCCGCGACGTCCTCAAAACTCGTCGGGAGCGGGACTTCGACTCTATTCAGCGTTAGGTTAAGGAAACGGTCGACAAGGACATCCTCTACGCTGCGAGATCGGAGATCCTAGCGAACAACCAACGTTCACTCCGTGCTCTTATTCAGTACCTTCGGAAACGCTACGCTCCAAGCGAATCAAGCAGTCAAACTACAGTTCGCGAAGAGTACCTTCTCCTCCTGGAAAAGGCCAACACAAGCGTAAACCCCCAGACCTGGCTAAGAGACTTCCATCGAGTACTGCTCCGCGCGCTTCGATTCAGAATACCGGAAAGCCAGGGAACGCTCGCTTCGAAAACTTTTCTTCGAGCGGTGGGACACCGTTTTGCCCCCTCCTGGGCGACCTCCGAGCTCACTGAAATTGTCAAAATGGAGCGCAAGGGGGACCGCATCCCTACTGTAAGTGAATACAGGGATATGCTGGAGGACTTGCTGTATGAGGACACCCTATACGACAAAAATCGGGGTAAAACAAGCGGTGTGTACGCTACCCTTGCCGGTCGCCTGAGCGAAGCAATCTCAGATGGAAAAAGCGGTTCGAAAGGAAAAGGCAAATCCGAAGCGTGCCCCTGCAACAAACCCCACAACGCAAACCCCCTGGAGTGCACCCGCGTGGAGTACGCCCTTACCGGGCGAATCAAGCCTTCCCAGGACAAACTATCGAGGGACGAGTGCAAGGAGATTCGAAAGCGTATCAATCAGTCCGAGAACTATGATCTCCGAGCCGAATTAGCTCGGAAAGGCTGGATCTGGGCGACGGAACCTCCCAGCTTCCGAAACCCAGCGCCGCCTCGCAATAGGTCGTCAGGAAATACCGGCTCTAAAGCGAAATCGCAGCAAGAGGAGAATGAGTCAGAGGTGACACTGAAGAGAAATATCCACGCAGTAACGATCAGCCGTGAACTTCTCCGGGAAATTTCGGACGACTTCGACTCGGACTACGACCAACCAAGCGTATTTGCAACCCCACTGACGGGACCCCATGTTCTGTCACGAAGCACGGTTCTCGACAACTGCGGAGCTACGCACCTTGTTAACAACCTTGACTTGCTTGAATCGTCTTCTATTAAAACGTGCATCGGCGACGAGAGAGTCGACTCAGGAACTGCTTCGTACCCAATCCTAGCAAAGGGAACGTGGATCTTGCCAAAAGCACTAAATGGCCCTGATGGAGACCTCACAGCAGACCTTACGCTCCATAACGTTGGATACGTAGAGAACTTTCACGTTAACATCGTTTCGGAAGCACTCCTCCGAAAGACAGGCATCTGGTACTCCGGATTGGATAACACACTTCGCCAGGGAACGTACAAAAACAGCGTGGTAGTCAAGCATCTTGTTAGGAAGATGAACATTACTTTCTTCGAATATAAGACCGGTTCCCAGTATATTGCTCAGAAGCGAATTACCTCGAGTAACGCAGGAATCGTGAACCATTTGGTGCTTGCAGTACAGGATCCCGCTCGACTCTCGCTTCGTAAACCACCTGATAGGTATGATGACGCCTGGTTATGGCACCTTCGTTCGGGTCACCTCGCACCAGACGCACTAGAACGAATGGTGTCAAACGTGAGAGGAGTAAAGATAAAAGGACCCACGCGTCTGGAATGCGAATACTGCGCGACAGCGCACGCGAAACAGTTAATTTCGAGGCGAACCTCTGAACGGAAAGCAATTCGACCGTACTATAGGGTCTCATGGGATCTCTTCGACTACCCGACAAGCTTTGACAAGAACCGCTGGCTCTTAGTGATCAAAGACGAATATACCGGTCGTCTTTTCGCGTTTCCGCGCGTAAGTAAATCGCACACCTTCGTCTTCGACGCTCTCAGGCACTTCGAACGATGGGTCGCTCGCCAACGAGGCGTCACCCTGTGCAAGCTGAGACAAGACGTAGAACGCGCGGTAATTGCGATAAACGGAATGACTGAGTATCAACTTTGGGCCCAGCATAACGGGATTGAAATCGAAGAGACACCCCCCTACACCAAGGAACCCAATGGCGGAGGCGAACGAGCGGGCCAGGAATTAATAACCCGAGCGATAAAGATGCTCAGCGCAGCGGGCCTGCCAACTACTCTCTGGGTGGAAGCAGTCATGGCAGCCGCCTACCTGTACAATATGTCACCACGGAAGCGAAGAGCTTGGCTCTCACCAATTCAAGTCGAAGAGAGCTGGTTCCGACAGTATTTTCGCTGGTGGCAACCACAATACAGCGCGAGCCTCGCCCGCGACCTTCGCCCCCACTGGGGCTGGACGTACGCGTATGGGTGTAGGGCTTATCCCCTGAAAAAGGACCGCGAAGCGGATAGGAACAGACGTAACTTCAAGGTGGAACCGCGAGGACATATTGGATATCTGGTGGGCTACGTTATGGACGCTCACAACCTATACAGAGTCTGGATACCCTCGCTTGATCAAGTGATTATCACGCGAAACGTTACCTTTGACGAGACGAAGTTCTACTCGAAGGACGATGCAAAAGCTAGTTTACAAGCGGAGGTGGCCGAGACAGTCTCCACGGAGATCTCGGAACCTCCGGCTACGGCGAACCCAGGACTCCAATTCCTCGGACTCGCAAAACCAAGCGAACTCGTATTTTCACTTGAAGAGCAGCCCCTGCCACCTGCCTTCGCGCCGTCGACCGTAATCTCAGAAGAGACAACGGTAAAACGCTCCGCGGTTAACAGCCGACGCGAAGAGGGCCTGCTCACCCCGGAACCGACCCCTGAGCCGGCCGCAGCGCCGGAGGGGACGGACGGGCAAACGACCGGCCAACAAAGCTCCGAAGCGATGGACGCCGGCGTTCCCGACCCGGGGCACGAAGCCCTCTCTGAGGCGGTCGAAGACGTGATATACGTCAAGACCAACAACGAACCTCCACGAGAACCGGCCGTGGAGGCCGACTCGAGTAATGATCTCGGGGGTGACTCCCCAACTCACCCGGTGCGGCCACACTCGGATAATGGGAACGGGCGCGAACCCGAGATAAAGACCAAGCGGGTGTACAACCGCAAGGACTACGGCCAACAACAGGGCAAACCGAGACGATCACCTCGCTTCGCCCAACACTTCGCATTCCTACAAACGGAACGTAATTGGGAAACTTTCTTCCATACCTATATGCCTGATCAGCAGAAGGCTGTGGAGGAAGCGAACCAAGCCCACTATACGCTCCATTGCTTCGTCTTCGCGTCAATACACCAAGCGAAGCACTCCAGAGCGGTCACTCCACAGCGAGTGAAAATACACACAGATGAGCTTATAAAGCCCCCACGAACGTGGAAAAGTGTTGAAAAAATGCCGACCCACCTCCGAAACCTGTTTTACGAAGCGGCCCAAGCCGAGATAAGTAAATTAGAGGAGATGGACGCTTGGAAAATCATTGACGAACACGAAGCGTCTACGAAACCTATTCCTCTAAAGTGGGTGTTCACTTACAAGCTTGATCAAGACGGCTACCTCGACCGCTGCAAGGCACGAATTTGCGTCCGCGGCGACCTCCAGGCGAAGCATCCTCTCGAACAGACCTACGCAGCGACCCTCGCAGCAAGGACGTTTAGAGTAGCGATGGCGCTCGCGGCGGAATTCGACCTTGAAGTAGACCAATTCGACGTAGTCAATGCGTTTCTAAACGCAACAAGAGGACCGAACGACCCGCCTGTCGTCTGCTACCTACCAGACGGCTTCAAACAGAACGGGAAGTACGTCGAGCTCCGCCGTGCCTTATACGGGCTACGAGACGCTCCCCTCCTTTGGTATAAGGAGTTCTCATCAACGCTGCGGCGCCTGGGACTCAAGCCTGCAAGCGAAGACCCCTGTCTCTTCACTTCAAACGACAAGAAAGTGATGGTACTCTTCTACGTAGACGATATCCTCGTCTTATACCATAGGGACCACCGCGAAGCTGCTCAAAACGTTATAAACGGGGTGAAAGCCGAGTATGAACTCAAGGACCAAGGCCCTGTCGAGTGGTATCTAGGCATTCGCGTGATACGTGACCGTGAGAAGCGAACAATTAACCTCGCACACGACCAATATATCGAACGCGTAGCGAAGAAATTCAACCTTATCGACTCGATCGTGCCGCATACACCATTGCCATTCGTCCCGCTCCAGAAGAACACCGCTGAAGCGACCCCTGACCAGGTAAAGCAATACCAAGAGAAGGTCGGCTCAATTCTGTACACTGCGATCATGATTCGCCCCGACGTCGCCTTCGCTTGCGCTACACTCTCGAGGTTCCTAACGAACCCGTCTCTCGAACATCAGAAGGCCGCGAACCAAGTCATTAGATATCTTTATCACACTCGCTACCTTTCGCTCTGCTTCGGTAGCTCGGGGGGTGCAGGTGCCCAAGTTCTCCTAATTGCGGGCGACGCCTCGTTCGCAGACGACGAAGAGACGCGGCGTTCATCTCAAGGGTACATCATCTCACTGTTCGGCGGTCCCATTCAGTGGAAAGCCGCGAGACAGAATACCGTTACCACTTCTACTACAGAAGCGGAACTCCTTAGCCTCGAAAACACTGCTAAGGAGACCATCGCTCTCAAACGCTTATTTCGGGATATTGAACTAGACCTCGGAGACGTATGGAAGATCCATTGTGACAATCGCCAAACGATTCGCCTGGTAGTAGGCGACAAGGAACGCATCTCAACGCGCCTTCGCCACGTTGATATACAGAACATGTGGCTACGCCAAGAGTATGCCAAGAAGACGTTCGACGTGGTATATATGCCTACCGACGAGATGCCAGCAGACGGTCTCACAAAAGCACTCTCCCGAGCGAAGTTCGAACACTTCAGGGCACTTCTAAACCTACAAGACATTCGGGCACAAGTCACAAGAAGCGAAGAGAAACAGGTGCGCGCGAGCAATGCTGGCCCGGAGGCCGAAAGTTAAATTTTGACTTGGCCCCTGGCCAGGAAGCATGATACGCTCCCAAAGGAGCAAAAGCAAGCGTACTTACGCCCCGTAGGGCGGGCTCTTTTAACGACCTCGGAGGGAGGCCGCGTACGTGTCCATCAGGACGTTGTACGCGGGGAGAACAGCCGCCGGCAAGTGTCCTCCAACAAGGCTGTCAATGGCAGCACGGAGACCAGCCGCTTCGGCCACGGCCGGAACCGCTGCAGAAGAGTCAACGGGCAGAGGAAATAATAACTGATGGGCAACCCACGTTGTGGGCCAATCAGAAGGCAGGATTTTCAGAAAATTCAACTGGCAATAATAAGAGGCAAGTACGACGGTTGAATAAAGGAAAGTGCGATTATTGCGCCAGGCGGCGCGCAAGGGCGAATTTCGCCATATTCACATCACTTCGAGCACAAAGACCGAGGCGAATACAACAACACCTCTCTTTTGTTATATATATATTCACAAGAGGCTCTGAATAGCCTCATAATCTTGTATCTAGGCGATAGTAGCGATATGGCCTCGAGGCGCGGTTTTCCAGACGACTACGCGCCGTCTGGGGGGGTGTGTCGTGCTGGCTCCGGGCCTCCGGACCCACTCTGCCGCGTCTCGGCCGCGAGGTCACGTGACCTCGCTCCAGCGACCGTATTCTTAAGCGTCCTTCGCTCCGCTCGCTCACTTAGAGAATACAAGCCGTTTTGTTCCTAGTTGATGCCGCCCGTGCCTGACGTCGGTCACCACAACTTACGAAAGATGTGACTACTTGGAAGTCCTGTTCCGTAGGCGGCGGCTGCCACCAGGAGTCGTGCGAATAGATCCTACTTTTGCGCAGGAGCCTACGCAGGAACCAGCACCATGTGATGGCTTCATCTCGGACGAAGATGAGGAAGATCCAGAGGCCGTGGATCAAGCGGTATGTTTATGCTTCGGCTCTTTCACGAAGATTGTAAGCTGCTTACAACAACCGCACCTAGCAACTGCCGCCCTTCGCCAGACTCCTTCATAAGTTAGAGAAAGTTCAATGGCTTGCTTCACGCCCGTCTTCTCTGATTGTTCACATGTTTATCGACAACGTCCATCTTACCGACCTGCTTCTGCTCGAACTGCAGTCGACCATCGACAGCTTCTCCGACGGGGAGAATGTCCTGGTAATCGTCTCCACAGAGACACGTCCCGATGACAATCCAACATATTTGTTTAGCCGATTCGCCTCTCGCCCGGCCATAGTTTTCGCCTCAGTTTTTAAATGTCCTATGTCAGTTGTACCCGTACGCTCAGCCTCGCAAGTTGCCCTGATCAAACAGGACGGCAAGAATGAATTGAAGTCCCGCAACATTACCGCTCTTAAAAGAGCAATTCGTCGCAAAATCCAGCCGCATCCGAGTCCCATTCTGTTATCCCCATCGACAGATTGGGAATTTCTGGAAGGCTCACCCTCGGCTGAATTACTCTCTCAAGTCTCCATCAGTGATTTCCATGTCGAAGCAGTACTACGAATGATTGGGCATTCCTTCGTCGATGACACGATAAAGAAGGCCGTGCTGTGCCTCGGCGTCGGGGACAAGGCTTTGCAAGCCTGGGACGATCTCAAAGCCACACTCCCGCCTCAGCCTCGTCATCCCCTCCCCGGTCGACCGCCTGGAGCCCCTGTTCGGCCGCTAGGCGGTAACCCTCATCCAAGACCTCACATGCCTCTCCCGCCTTTCCCAAAATTTCAGTTGGACCCTCGTAACGATATAGAATCCCCGGAAGTTGCCAATGGAGAGGATAAATGGAAAGACTTCCCTCTAGCCACCCAGAGAGTCCTCCGTGAAATCACTTCCGGACCGCAGGATTTCTCCTGCAAACACTACTGGGAGCGGCAATTCCTACATCTCCTGGTTTCCCCCCCGAAAACCGAAGCAAGCTGGGCCGACATCGCCATCCATCCAGAAGCCGAAAGGACCATCAGGGACCTTGTACGCCAACACGTCGATCCCAACAACTCCGCACCGTCCTACGGCATTCTGCGACGCAATCACATCGGAGCCGCGTTACTCTACGGACCCCCTGGAACGGGGAAAACGCTACTGGGGCGCGTATTGGCACGGGAGTCCGGCTCAACCGTCATCTACCTCACCCCGGCGGACATCAGAAGCCCCGCTATGCCTGTTAGCGATCCATCCAAGCCCATCCGCGCCCTCTTCAATCTGGGAAAGATGTTGGCGCCGAGCATCATCATGCTTGACGAAGTCGAACTGCTCTTGGGGTCGCGACGCGCCGGCACGCCCTACCAGATAAAGTCGTTGGCATCCCAGCTGCTGTCTGAAATGAACGGACTGTCCGGGTCCAAGAAGGCGCCGCTCGTGTTGTTTTCCACGCACTCGCCCGGTGATCTGGACGCGGCGGTTCTCCGCCACGCCCCCAACCGCATCCACCTGGGGCTCCCATCCGCGGCTGTGAGAGAAAAGATATTTGACATCGCCCTCCGGGACGAGATCCTCCAGCCTGGGCTCAACTCCGATCTCCTCGCGAGAGCAACACCTCGGTTCTCGGGCTCGGATATAGTCAACTTGTGCGTCCAAGCGGCTGGCTTGTGTACCACATTTGTAGAGGATGGTGAGGAGGACCAGGGTAAGAGGCTGCTAACTTGGACTTTGTTCCAGGAGGCATTGAAGAAGATCTGTCCCACCTGGACTAAAGAATCACTCAAGGGGATACAGGAGTTCGCAACCAAGCATGACACTGCAGCATTGGCGAGTATTGAGGATCTGGATGCTGAGGAGCACTTGGAGGAGGACGATGGATTTGTAGAGGTGCCAGAGTTCTGAGCGTTAGGTATACTAATGAGTTTCTCTCCCTCTTTATCTATTCGGTTTGGTTGCGCCAGATTGTTCACGAATGGTTAGATTTTGACAATGACTTAGTGTAGGTTTATGCCCAAATAGTTGGTGTATTCAGTCGTAGATGTACTTTGTGAGCCAACCAAATGACTATTTACTCGGCAGAATGACCCCGAATCTAACTCTGGGTATAATGAATGAATCCCTTTCTATAATCGTTCTGAGGTCTAGTGGAGTGCAGAAGACTCTTTCCAGGCCTTCGTTTCACCATGTCACCAGACTTGTGCAAGATTAGAACATGGGTGCAAGCAGCATACTGAGGTAGGGTTAAAGGCCTTCATGTTGAAAGTACGCATGTCCCAGGCCCAACATCTTCAACTGAATCACCTCTACCGTAAGAGCAGGGGTCAAGAGTAAACTGCAAGTATTATTGAAATGCGAAACTGTGCGCTGCCACCAAGAGCGAGCCCAGCTTGCCCATGGCAATAAGCTAACAACAGAGCGGACATGATTGGGCCTCCATCGTGTATGTATAGACCCGGCACCTGACACTGAATCGATCCCCAAACAAATGACATGACCAAAAAAAACGAAAGATGTCTAAAGTCGCTGCAAAAGTCTCGCGCGTCTCGATCATCTGAATGCAACCTGCCAGCCCGTGGGCTGGTATCAATGCCAACTCTTAAACGCCTTAAAGCAATACACCACAGTGTAGGCAGGAGCGTCTCCTCTACTGTCTCATCTACAATCGTATACGTCATCAGTCTGTATGTTTGTATGTTCTAGTGCTTCTCTAGCACAACTCCTTGTCCATCTCAAGGGGGGTAGCCTGCGGTGTCGCAATGACGTCCGGAGTGGTGGCTCCAGAGTCAAGCTTGTCGTACTCGGTAGAGTCGACACTCTTGTCCGACCTAGAATCCTCATTGGACTCTGTGGTCGCGTCTTCGGCCGCTTCTTTCTTTGCCTCGGTTGTTACTTTGGCCTCGTCCTTCTCTTTAGCAACTTGATCATTGACGCTAGTATCCTTGGACTCGGTCTCCTTCTTTGGTTCCGCAGGCTCAGTGTCGGTGTCATCAGCCTTCACCTCAGGGTCTTCCTGCTTTTCACGCTCTCCGCCAGCATTGGCCTGCGCATTGTCCAGGTCGGCCTCGCCCTTCTTGCCCATGCCGCCCTCGAGAAGTTCGCCGCCTTCCATGACGACGCGAAGCTCGAGGTCCTCGTCCATGGAGTAAACACGGACACCGACAATGCAGATGGCGTTCCATGGGTCAGGCAGGCCCTCCTCCTCGGATTCGTAACGCTCATCGTGGGTCTTGGGAGGCCCAGCAGGAGTAAGGCGCGGCTTCCTAACCATGTCGTCACTGCTGTAGAGCTCCTCCCAGTCCTCGACGGGCGAGTCCGATGAATCTCCGTCCGAGTCATAGGCCTTGGCAGCTGGGGGTGGGGGTGGTGGTGCGGGCTGGGCAACATCGTCCTTTTTGCTCTTTGGTTCTTCTGTATTGGATGCTTCCTTGGATTCATCCTTGGATGCCTCTTTCGAGTCATCCTTAGAGTCATCCTTGGAATCATCCTTGGCGCCGTCCTTGGAGTCAGCCTTAGGCTTATCATCCTCAGCCTTTTCTTCTGTTGACTGTTCAGTCTTTTCAGAGGCGTCAGTCAGAACAGACTTGTCCTGGTTAGCCTCCTCTTTGACAGCCTCTGTCTGGACGCCTTGGTCCTTAGGCTCCTCATCTTCCTTCTTCTTGGCCTCTTCCGCAGCCTTCTTAGCTGCTTCCGCATCCTTTTTCGCTGCTTCTTCGGCCTTCAACTTGGCTGCTTCCTCGGCCTTTGCGATTCGACGCTCACGCTTCTCTGTGTTCTTCTTGCTCTGCTTCTTTGTGATTTCTCGGTTCATGTGGCGTCTTTCCCACAGCTTACGACGCTCCTGTCTACGAGAATCAGAAGCTCTCTGTTGCTCCTTTACCTTTCGGAGTCTAGCAACCTCTTCTAGATGGGCCGTGCCCTTGCTGTGTGCTAGGTCGTACGCGGCGCCGATCTGGGCGAGCTTGTCGTTCTCAACACGCTTTCGGCATTCGCGTTTGACAACGTCCTCGACAGAAGGCAAGTTATTATCCCTCTCACCAGTGACGCTCATAAAAACGCTGTATTCGCCTGCTGGCATGTCTGGGAGCTCGATGGACACAGACCGTTCCATAAGATAGTTGCCGTGAGAGCGTACAATGTAGTCCTCGGCACCGGGGCGGCTGCGTTCATGGATACGGAAGTGAATACGGAAGGTGTATTGGCCCTGAAGTCCCTTGAAGTACCTCGTGTCAAGCTGGGATAGAACCAAGACCAGAGGACCGTCTTTAGACAACTTGATCTGGAACTTCTCGTTGAACTGGGACTTCCAAGGAACTTCAACGCCAATCCAACGCTGAGTGCATCGCCAAGCAGGATCCCGGAATAGCCGCGTCCGGTCAATGTGCTGATACTTGCGGAGGAAGTCTTCGTAGTTGATCCAAAAAACTGAGTCGTTGCCGAAGTGGTGGCCGAGCTCTTCCTGGACTTCGGTGGTCCACTCTTTAGACCCATCGGACCAGGCGCCCTCCCACAAGCCTCTACGAATCTTACCCCAAGGGTTTCTATCGAATGTAAGTCAATTGAATTCAGATAGGTAAGCAAGCACCTTACCTGAGCTTGATCAGACGCTCTCCGCACTTGAGCGTTCTAGCTTCCGTGATAACGTATGCGTGGCCTTCGGAAATGCCATCTCTCTCACCGTAGCCTCCGTCGAGGAGACCGGTAGAGCATCCGAAAAGGAACTCCTCGTTAACCTTGGAGAGTTCATTTTCCCAGAACCCCTCGGTATCGAGGATATCGGAGGTGAGCAGCTCGGTAGTAACGCCGCCGGAGAGATCTTCCAATCCCTCGCCGATCCAACCACCGGAAAGAGAGGCAAAATCGCCGTGAGCCTTGGCGTAAGCCTTTTCGAGCAAGGGCACCCATGTTTCATTTTGGTCCTTGCATTGAGCGAAAAAGAGGGCCTTGGAACCGGTCTGATACGTCTTGCGATAGACTCGCTCGACGTCCTCTCGGTCAATCTGCTGCAGGAGATCGCGCTGCATGCTAGGCGAATCCCAACAAGGCGACTTAAGGTAGAGCTTATCGTCGACAATGGAATAAATCCATTCGCCGTCGCGATAGAAAACAAAGCCGTAAATGCCAATACGAGTATCATACTCGACACAGATACGCTTAATTCCATCTTCGACATTGCAAAGGGCAGTCAAACTAGCCATCAGCCAGCAGTTGCCTAAGCTGCCCTGCTTAACATCACCGCCATCGAGATTCTTCATGAATTTGGGGCTCTCAAAGATCTCGTGCACACGCTTGACGGCTTTGGGAACAGATGCGCTGGGGTTAGAAAGTGTCGTTCTCGAGAGTTGCCACTTTGTTTGACCTAGGGTGTTCAAACAGTGGCCCTTTTCCCACTTCAAATCCCAGTCCTACAAGTACGTTTAGCTTCCGGGACTAGGGACTACTAACAAAACGGTCGTTGGTACTTACAAGATCCCAACCAGGGTCGCGGTATCGCATATTGACTCTCCGGCACTCCTGGATGATTTTTTTGACCTTGCGACGGCATTCGTCGACAGCTCGCTCATAACCGGCGGTCAACAGCTCGTTAGGCTTGTCTGCATTGGCTGGTGGCAGGACAGGGTCGAAAGGCAGCACAGCCAGGGCCTTGTGAAACTGCTTAGTTTGGAATTTCTTCCAGATGCGGTTGATGGACTGCTGGGGAGGGGCCTTCTTCTTCTTTTTCTTCTTCTGGTCGTTGTTGTTGGTCGAGGCCGGAGCCGGACGAGGGCGACGATGGTCTTCCTCTTCCTCTGAGGAGCTGTATCCGTGCATGTTGGCGGTAGGACGAGTACGGGACGAGAAGCAGAATTCGAAAACCAATTGGTCAAGAAAAGTCGAAAAGAAGGATGTCGACTGGGGAAGAGGTTGTGGCCAGGTTTTATTCAGAGCGGGTGGGAGGTGGGAGGCGGCCTGCGCTCACTGCGTACACGGGTCAGAAGGTTAAAAGACCGAATACCAGAGAGCAGCCCGATGCCAGGAAAGCACAGATGGGCGACTCAGGGACAGAAAAGGTAGAGACAGGTTATGGAGGATATTATTTGGAGCATTAGTTGAACACGAGTCGTGGATGGCGGGATGGCGAGAGGACGTGCTTATAAGGAAAACGGAAACTCGATGGGGTCGGGCAGGACAAGGAAGGGCTCACCTGGATTCAGAGTCACAGCCTCGCGGGATGTATTGGATAATGCGACAGGCGCGAGTCGGATCGAGGCAGACGCACGACGGGGACCACGAGGACCATCCACACACCGCATCAAGGCAGCAAAGGCGTTGAAGTCGAGCCATTGACTTTCTGGGACACGGCGCATCCGCAGGAGTCCACCCCGGGGCGGGCGGGCAGCGGCAAACGCAACAGCATGGTACTGTGGGAGTTGGTCGATGCTTGGTATATTCAGGGTTCCACCCAGTCTAACCAAGGGAATAGTACAATGTCGACCTCCAGGTTTCTGCCTCTGACCTTGTCCATGAACATCCATGAACATGCATGCCGAAGGGGCGGGACATGGGCGGGGCAAGGGTCTTTCTTGGCGCTGGACCGGTTGTTTTCCAGGATCGATAAGAGGGTCCTCGAACGCGCTCTGGGTCTCGTCCGTTCTGGCGGTGGAAGAGGAAGAGAGCAAGTGCTGTGTTTGTGTCTTACTAGGAGGACAAAGGCGGATGTTGGAAAAGCGGGCGCCTCATGGCTGGTCTGGGCGGGATGCGTATCGGAGGTTGCGTGAGAGAGAGAGAGAGACAGATACGTACAGGCGGCAAGTTTGTGGGGGGGGGAGAAGAAGGGGATGGATGGCAAGGCCAAGGGTACCACTACAGTTGTAGTGGGAAAGAACGGTACACTATGGGTACTTTCCTCCGGTACAAGGTGTCATGCACTGCAACAGTGCTAGTGCAGTGAGCTGTGGGCTTCCAGTGCCTTTAGTTAGCACCCCTTTCAGGGTCCAGTCGGATATTCTAGCGTTATGATTGGCCCCAATGCTTCTAGCTGACTGATAAGACCCTTTCTAGCGAGGTGGACAATGTTCCTTATCAGTCCAGAAGGGGAAGGGATTCAGAGACAAGCTGATTTAGAAGGCGCACATCTACTACTTTTGGTCCCTTCGCTGTTCTCCCCGTACTTCCGCCGGACACCCATTCAATGTACACACACTCTCCTCCCTCTTTTCACTTTTCCCAATCTCTCTTCTCCGCCCTTTGTTCTGCACACCTTTCGCGATTTTGTTCGGATCCGGTTCTTCACCATGTTTGTGCCATGTTTACCCATGGATGGGGAAAATCTCTGGTGGCACAGATCTATCTAATCCCATCCCTTATCGTCTTTCGCAAGATTCAACTGACACCAGCCGTTCCACCATCCAACACAGCCGGGTTTGGGTTCCTACAGACCATGTACTATGTCTGCCTCGGCGATCCACTGTCAGTGCCAGCCGACCTTGCCGATAGGGAAGAACCCTGGACGAAGCTGGACCTCTAATGCCTTCGGCCTGTGACCCCCGAGTACCACTAGTATGTAGGAGACCACCGTGGTATTGGGGGCTGAACTTCACGAGGACTTTACTTCTATTCGCCCTCAGCTGGCTAGTTCTTCGAGGATATTTACGGACATGTAAGAAAAGTGAGGCCATTACTAGGCAACCAAACCCCATCGCGACTACGACTGCCTTACACCCAAGCCTGTCCGTCATCAAAACCCGACTTTTGGAGAATCATTGGTCTTTGGTATCGATTTGATGTCTAGGCAACTGCGTCACTTGACACAGTCTATACTAGCAGAGCCGCGTCTTACGAATATCGCAAATCAGGCTGGCTCGGCTTTTGAAATCCCCGCAATATGAGATACGAAAACGCGATATGAGGCTCAGTTTTGACCTATCTCCGCCAAAAATCGTCCCCCGATGCAAGTCGTAAGCATCTGCCCGAGGCTAACCCGTATCACGAGGTCCAGTAGAAACCAGTAGGCTTGGCCCATCTCAAACATCACGCAATCAACCCTCTCCACTACGGTATTTCCACTTGATGGCGCGCATGCCGATTAGTACATTTCACTGCCAGCCTCAGCTCCTCCTTTGGGAAACCCGGCAGCTTCGGGCCCAAGATTCGTCCATGAAAGACACCACCGTGATAGCTCAAGATGCCACCTGCCTCAGACCCTAATCAACGCCTCTACCTACCGAATCTGTCCAAAGTCGACCGTGTGCCCCTAGCGGACGTTGGCGGATAGCTCGCCCATCAGAAAAGGGCAATCATCGCTTGGCTTCCACCAGCGAATGGCACCAGGGACGCGCTCAACGATGATTGATAATCCGGGGATGTCCATGCGATGGCTGGTCGACATGCCAATCACCCAGTCCCATCCTGTTTGGGGTATGGGATGACCAGAATAGCATGGGGGACCAGAGCCCCTGTACTCCATTCCGACCTCCCTGTTATGCAGCCTGCAGGAGGTAGAAAGGGGGCACGAACCTCTCTAACCGAGTCAATCCCAGTCCGCCAGTTCATCGTCTGTCAGCAATCATAGTACTGCACATGAGAAGTCCAACACAGCGCTGTCGTGTTCCCTACACTGTTGAACCGCTACCCATCTCCTTCTCTTGGAAGCCTTCCTCAGCCTCAGGATCACCAAGACGGCTCGTCCGCCTTGTCTGACAGGCGCATGCAACAAGTTTGGCCTACGCAAACCGGAAAATGCTGCATACTGCATAGAGCCAAAGTCAACTTCCGGCCACTCCCCGTCGAGCTGTTTCACCCCCACCTACAACTTGAACTGAAGCACTGCATCTCCCGGATGCACTGTTCGACGACGTGGACACTTGTAGACGTTGAACACGAAGCATTCGTGTTTTTTTGTTTTTTTTCCCTTCTCATCAACAGATGATCAATCCAACGTCTGACAATATGTTTCGCCTCGAATTTGATCTTGGCTTATCCGCTACTGGGGGCTGCAGCGCGCAACCTGCTTGGGCCCCTTCAATGCCACCCATGTACAAGGACAAGAACTAAGTTTTCTCTAGTACAGTTAGTTACTCAAGATACTTGGAGAAGTACTTTGATGATTAATATTAATGAGACTTCTTGGACCCGGACTGATTCGTGTCGCTCTCGAAATGGCCACAGCGGGACAGCGGAAACAAAAATTGATAGTACTTCGAAGAAGAAAAAGGACTTGTGATCTGCTAAATTAGCAAATACTTCTGGGCCGGTGTGGATGGACCCTGATCGTCCAAACCACCAGAAACACGCCAGTGGCGAGAAGCCCAGCCCGACCGACGGGACAATCATTCCGAGAACGTTGAAGTGGCATGAATTACTAAGAACTCCCGAGTATCTTCGCACTAGCTTCTGCAGGAGAGTTACTTTTTCCTCGTGCTAAGTTGTCAGGGTTGCCGCTTTGGGTCAAGGTCTGGACCGAGGCCCTCCTATCGGATCTTGTCCGTCACTCACCGACTCACCGCATTTCCTCCGATGCCGCAATTCGGACCTCTGAGCTGCTAGATGAAGGCACGTGTTGGGGAAAAGGCAGTCTTCCTGGGTCTCTTGCACCGCCTGTATACAGTCATTTCGGCCCGGTTCTCCTGTCTACTATTTTGAAGCTATCATTCACTCTGAAAATTGTCGTTACCTTGGATGGTCTGGACCCAAATCTTGGTGGGGATGCTTCAACTTGCCCAGATGACCGGGTCGGGCTTGTGGGCCCAGTCCATTTCCGGGGAACATGCAGAACCTTCTAAATGCTAGGTAAACACAAAGAAAATGGCCTCCCTAAAGGCCTGATGGGGTTCTGACATTCTCATGTTCCTTGCCAGGCACTCAGGGAGCTTGAATTGCTCGACGCGCGAAATCCTATGTGGACCAGCCTCAGTGGGTTGTCCAACCATGAGCTGTGAAGCGCCCTGCATTGTCTGCTGCGCGCCATGGGAATGATAGATACGATGCTGAAAGCTAGCAGGATGGCCCATCGGTTGTGATGTCTCACAGGAGCTTGCAATGTGATGCGGCTTGCAGCAATGCGGGACGGTCCGCACCAGTTTGCATATCTGGTTGCTACACGCCTGATCAGGCTCAGTTTGTGCGGAAGCCCTGAAAGCAGCAGGTTGAAGGTTTTTGGTGTTCACATTTTCGTGGAATGATTAGTTTTGGCGGTCTGGACATATCTTCGATAAACACCAATCAAAAAGCCTCCTTAACTCCGTCCCATCCGTGACTTGGGTAGGTTTGACGACGCAAGTATTTCCTCAGCTATAGTTTTTATGTCGTCTTGTGTCCATTTTTAGCCTCTGTTAACCTGGAAGTCAGGCGGGCCCTGGTTCAAAATGGCATATGCCTGTCTAAGTGGTTCTTAGTAGAGTTCAACCGTTGCGGGCCACGATTTAAACTTCATCAACGGGATTAACGGGGATGCTCGCTTGATCAATGCCTCCGTCATTACACCCCATCGACAGGACACTGCTTTAAAGAATATTTGTCTTTTTCTTTCCATGAGCTTCGCCATGTTTGCTAGATTAACTACAGCTTACCGCTCGACCGAGAGCGGCGGAGGTATTTCACCATGGCTGTCGTCGCGGGATGCCAAACTGCAGTATCGGAGAAAGCAACGACGCAATATGCTGCACCTGTTTGACGCGTACCATGGTAGAGCATGAGCACCAAGACAGGCTTCATCGGAGATGGCTCTGCGGTCTATCATATCTTCACAGCCTGTCGCCTGTGCAATAGTTCTGGGAGACATTTCCCCCATACTGAATTCGACAACGACAACGGCAAGAAAACTCCAAGGCCTAGGCAACCAATTACCATCTTGACCTGAGGTTTCTTCCCGCAGTAATACAGTCAAAACAATGTCGGAATCAAGATCGGAACGTCTCCGCGCCATTGAGGTGCTTTTGGAACGCACCGTGATACGACTAGAGCAGATGCGCTCTGCACGACCTATTTTAGGACAACCAGCTCAAGTCACCACGGAACCATCAGCCGAGCAAGACACAGAAACGAGCGATACGCAGGAACTCCAGTCAGAGCAGGATGTCATTGACGAGCCATCAGCTCAGCAATACACAGAACCGAGCGACACGGAGGAACTCCAGTCAGAGCAGGATGCCATCGACAAGCCAGAAGTCACAGTCTTGTCGCAGAATGATGAAGACGACGAACCACATGTTCCTATTGCGGTCGCTCCAACAAGTTCAATTAGATGCTTTCCGTCCGGTCACCGTGAGGTCGTAGACCCAATGTCTTCATACCTTCTTCCCGAAATCACCGCGCAGTACGCTCATCTGCGAGAAGCGCCTGCTTTCGGTATCATTGGACGTCCCATAATTGACGACATACGTAGAGATCTGGTGGCAGACCAAGAGGTAGAAGAGTTTGGACATCTACCTCTTCAATCACTTGGCCACACTGTTTCGGGCCAAGACAACACAGAAGACCAGCCCACAATGGCTCAAATACACCAAAGATCTCCTTGGCAAGGTTTCTCATCCCAGTTACCTCTGCCGGTGTCTTCCCATGCCCAATTCCCCTATGTTCCGTACCACTTGACAGGAGGATGGTGGGAAGGGTGCGGCGTTGGACTTGAATCCAGCTGTTCTGTTCCTAGACTGGGACGCCCTCCGTCGTGGGCGGTTGAGGACAAACAACCCAGTCGTGTTCAAACGCCTCATAGTGAAGGGTCGATAAGCCCGTGGTCTCTCTTGCATACTAGCAGAGAGACCTCCTCGGAATTTGAGGATGCTGAAAGAACAATATTCCGGCGTCTCTGGCGCACTAACGAGGTTTCATCTGAATCTCAGGGTGACAGGATGGATGGAGTGCTTCTTGAGGAAACTGTCTGAAAGAATTTGGGAGAACGTGAGTGAGGATGAACCGGGGAATATGTAGAAAAAGGGTTGCGAACCTTGGCTTGTCTTGATACATGGACACGTCGAAGGTTCGTCAAAAAGGGATATTGAGATAGCGGCTGTGGTTGAAAAAACAACGGGACTGACTAATGTGCACTGGTCAGGGTACATATTTCTGGTCATAGCATTCCAGAGTATCGCCAAAAGGCGAATATTGAATGGTTGTCATGGTTAAGCGACAGCGTCGACAGTCCACAGGCGTGGGCGCGAAAGATCAACCTAGGGAGATAAGGTGGCCTTGGTTTGAGGTAACCAACTAATAGACCACTTAATATAACAAATCTCAAAAACAAATGGTTCTGATGATGTGAGTGACATGCTAATCATTCATCTGGCTACACGACACTACCTACATGCATCCATCTACTGAATGAGTCTCAAATCCCTCTCATTCGCCTCGGCGCCTCTCTTGTCAGCGGGATCTTGGACCGCAACAGCACCATAACTGGGTCCCTCTGCCGGATCCAGAGCCTCCTCCTCAGCGGGGGCTAAAGCTGCCCTCTCCTGGTTCTTGCGATCCATACGCGCCCTCCACGGCCGGTACACCAGAACCGAGCCAAGACCGACAGCGACGAACATGCCACAAATGCTGCCACCGATAATATCAAAATGCTCCCCGATTGCGTCAACGCCGTCCCAGAACCCACCCTCAGGCTCGGCTACGTTTGCGATGAGCGAGAGCACCTGGATGATGCCGATGAAGGCTGAAACGAAGACAGTGATGCCGGTGAGCACGATGGAGTAGTACAGAATCGCAACGCGGTCCCGCGCGAAGGCCTTTGAGGTGTAGAGGGCCATCATGAGCGCACCGTCGGTGGTGTCAAGCAGACACATGCCGGCTAGTTTAAACCAATTAGCAAACTCGCCTCGACATATCTTGAATATGTGAACTAACCAGTGAAAAGGACAGGAAAGATGAGAATGAGCCAGATGCTCGTCCCCTGAGCGCCATGAACGCTGGACAACCCGAGAATGGCAATCTCAGAGCTGGTGTCGAAACCGAGGCCAAACAAGATTCCCAGTGGAAACATCTTCCAAGGCCGATCGACAACGCGGAACACCTTCCTGAAAACGTTGGCAAGGAAGCCCTCGCCTTCGAGCTTCAGATTCGTCACAGCGTCCCCTTCGTCGTCTTCGACTGTGTCTTGCCCGGAAATGGTCTTCCTGCGCTCCTCCTCAAGCACGGCCCTAAGTCTCCTGATGAGTTTGTACAGAACCCAACCGTTGCCCGCGCAGAGCAGCAGCAGGAAAGCGGCGCTGACGCTCGTGCCGATGATGTTGCCCCATCTCGCGAACCCGTCAAACCGGTCCCTCAAAGCGCCGCTGGTGGCGGCGACGACGACGCACGTTACGATGACGATTGTGCTGTGGCCCAGCGAGAAGAAGGTGCCGACGGTGACGGGGCGCTGGCCCGAGGCGATGAGGCGGCGGGTCATGAGATCGATGGCGGAGATGTGGTCTGCGTCCAGGGCATGGCGGAGACCAAGGACGTAAGACAGAGCGGCGGGAGAGATGAGAGCCGGGTGGAAGTGAAGGATTACTCCCGCCACGATCCATACTGCGACGTTGATTATCACGAGGAGCGAGATGATGCGTATTGTTGGCGCGGGTATGCCGTTCAGAAAGGCCGGCACCGGCAGGGAGGAGAAGGGCACGCGGAAGCGCGCCATGGCGGATAGCAGTTGACCTGGACTTTTTTTTTTTTCAAGATGTATTTTTGTAAGGGGTTTGAAGTGTATAAGTTGGTCTAACTTTGGAGAAAATGAGATGAGGAAAAGTGCGTGAAAAACAATCACGAGGTCGGCGAGAACAGAACAAGCCATTCACGGCCGCGCCTCCGGCCGGCCAGCCCATTGCTAAACACCCTCGTCCCCTCCACCTTGTGCATCTTTTACAGCGCATCAACGCATAAAACTTGCTCAGGTTGATCAGATAGCGCCCGCAAAGGTGGCCAGCACATGACGGGGGGATGACCACCATGACCCCTCCATCTTCTAGGGCGTTATCTTATCGACGGCAGCTGTTGGAGACGCTTGGTGAGGGGCTATGCGGGGACCTTGTGTGGGGTTTTATAGCGGCCTAGCGGGTGTATCGTGCCGCTCGGAGCCGACGGCGGCCGGCGGCCAGTGGCTAAAGGCGGACTGACATGTATGCCGGAGTTGGTCATTTCACGACAAGATTTTAGAGATAAGCGTCAAATACACATTGCGTAAAGGTGCTTCTGAGAGGATTAGTTGGCCGTCGGTCGGGCCCTGGTAGACAAACGGAACAATCTTGCCGATGGGCACACCAAACACCGAAGAGAGCATTATAGCAGCAGCCTATTCTAGTTAGACAGGTAAGCTAGACTGAGCAGCATGACCTACTTGAAAGCCAAATAAACAAATGCGACTACTGTATGTAGTCGCAAGTTTGAATATGAAATCGCCGTAAGTGATTTCCCGTTAAAAGGAAATATGTACCATGTAGCTGCTTTAGTCATTATCATACCTAGGTTCCTAGCCAGTGTCAGGGCTGTTCACTGTTAAAAGACTTGGATCACCGTCAGCTCGATTCCAGCTTGCCTAGTATGTTTCTGAATGATGAAAATCCTATAAAATAAAGAAATACTGATTTCGTATTGTCCCTTTCTGACAGATCTTTAAACTGGAATGTCGTCCAAATAGTTAGTTTAGCCAAGAAACGATGTGGATAACTGACAGACCTTTAACTACTGAGCCGAATGAGAAATGGTGTGGCCTGTACTGGTTTAGTAAACTGAAAGTTAGAGATGCCAAAATGTTTCTTATAGGTTCATCTTCTGCTTCTATCCGAATTAATGTTCAGCAAACCCTTCAGAGCAGCAGCTGCTGGGGTTCATAGATTGGAAAGTGGGAAAGCCAACTCTACTGGAATTGCTTCTGTTCAGGATCATAATGAGTCGCAATTCCAATGGTGAATCTTCTCCACTATCTGAAATAGCTGCAATTCGCTGATTCTATGAGCAAAGTCGGCAATTCTATTTAGGTCATCTTGAAATATCTCCTAAACTCTGGATTTGAAAACAACAATTAGGCTCCGTCGCTAACTCCAAGTCCAACCCATGTGCGGCGTCTACCACAAAAGGGAACGGCATAAATCACCCGCTTCCACACAAAGCCAAGTTACTCCGAGACGATACGGACATTATTCTTCCACGGCTCTCGGGGCATCTTGAGTTTGTTGATTTGCTGACCCTCCTGTTCGTATCCAATGCCGATAGTGCACAGGATCTTGAGATTCTCATCGATTCCCAATTCCCGTTTAATGATGTCCGGGTACCCCGCCGGGCTCACCGAAACCTGCGTTCCAAGGCCTCGCTCCGTTAGCAAGAGCACCAACGTCTGTAGCCACATGCCGACGGACACCACGTCAGGGTCAGAAAGATCTTTGTCGATGGCTACTATGCCCGCTAGGGGCGCGCTGTAAAACTCAAAGTTGTGCTTCACGGCGGCCATTTGCCCTTCGGTGTCGTCGCGGGAGATGCCATAGCCTTGGGGCCCGTAGACATGCCGGCCCAGTTCGGAGCGGTAGTGCTGAAACGGAACGGGAATTTCCGGGATCTGCAACTTGGTGCCGTCCTTGAAGGCCGTGGTGAGGGCCGTGGTGAGCCGGTGGAGGGCGGCGCCGGAGACGAGCGTCAACCGCCAGGGCTGTATGTTGGTTGACGAGGGAGCGTGCTGGGCGAGTTGGAGGGCTTCTTCGACGAGATTTAGAGGCACGGCCTGCTGAGGATCAAAAGCCCGGGTGCTGTGCCTTGCCAGCACCGTCTTGGAGACTGCGGCGTTGGGAAGGGAGGAGAGCTCTGAGGCGGCCGTCGCCGTGGTTGTGCTCTTTTGGCGCTCTATTACGCTCGGCATGTTGGGTGATGGCCAGTTGCTTCTCCTCTTAGAACGGTGTTACACAACTTGTTGGACGATTTGTGATGTTGGGGCTCATCTTCAACTATCCTTGCTGTTAATATAGCTGCATTGCTTGATGGTGCACTCTACAAATTAGGATTGCGCCCGATTGCTGTGGGTGCGCAGCTTTTGCGATGTTAATCCAGTTCACGGACGAATTGCGGTCGTGACATCAGCAGGTTTGCAGCGCTGAGTTCAGCATTTCGGAGTTAGAGGCCGATTTGTCAGGGATCTGACAAACCATTTTGCAAGGAAATACGACGAGGCGTTTTTCGCAGCATTGATCGACCTGTAGGGTGAAGTTACAAAGTTCCTCTTTTTACTCAATTGAGTGTGGCTTTCCAAGCCCATGGTTCTAGTGCTGACGGGCGCCCCAATCCCTTCCAGAAGACCCTCATGACGTGATTGGCATGGTACGATCCTACTTTGAAGGAATTATCCAAAGCACCGTGGAGGACTAATTGGAATACTGGGACCGGTAAAGGATCCTCTTTACCCCACGATCGCCAAGTACAGGCTGCGAATTTACTATGATGAGACTACCAGCGGTAGCTGTTGAAATAAGCGTCTTATTAAGACCTCTATTATGTTGCTTAACTTTTGTTAAAAAGCACCGACGCTATTTTTCGACAATAATTAGCCTTGAGTGGTCTCTGAAACAGCGTGTGACTTGGTCGCTTGCCGTTCTTACTGGCACTCGCGACGCTTTCTATCAGGATCTTGTTAGTCCACTTTTTCATTAGAGCCTTCCTGGTTATACATTAGTTATGTCCCTTGGGTTAGCGTCAATCTCAAACTGAGTAAAGCCTTCACATGGACATAACCTTTTCTTGGGGGTTGAATAACCCTTAGGCATGCTATAGTTGGATCTCTATGGCCGGTGCAACGATTTTGAAGAATGATAAGAAGTTTGTAGATCTCAAAATACTACTGAATAAAACGTCTGGGAATGTTTGCTTGTAGTCTCAGGTCTGTGACTCTAATTTGGGTTGTTTGTAGTTGTTCATGGCCATCACTACCAAAGCGCTCTAGAGGAAAACCGGTCTTCTCAACAATGAGCAGTAGTTGTTCGAGTCTAGTGTGATGCTAGGTTTCTCAAATTAGTGAGGTTGTTAGTGAGGTAGCCATGCTACAGTGGGGCATCCACCTAATAGGTAAGTGACCAAGGCTCACGACCTGATGCCCGGCACTCACGACACTCACAAGACGAGAATACCAAGTGAGTAATTCTTCATTCAACTTAATATCTACGAATTATCTCATGGCTCCAGTAAATTCTTCTCGCGACGGGGCTTCTTTTAAAGTATTTGGTCTCATGCTTATGCATCGTCAGAGGGGTACAAACCCTTTCGGTGTCTTTGCTCAGTCAGCAACCTGCCGGCTTTGTCAACTTCACCCAGTTATCTTAATCATCACTCCCACCTGCCTCCACTTCACCATTATAACAGCGCCTGGCTTCTCAAACATCATTTCTCTCACAGTTTTGACAACAGTTACAGAAGAGAGTGTGCAATCAATAAAATCTCACTGCGACAGTTCATGAAAGTGCATCTACTTCTCATATTCGCCTTCGCGTACATCGCCTTCACCTGCCCCAACCCAGCCGCAACCCTCGCCATGCCGCAGACTTACAACAAGGCCTTCATCCCCCTCGAATCGAACCCGGAAGTGTTCAATGAACTCATAGGGCTTCTCGGCGCCTCGCCCGCGCTGCAATTCGAAGATGTCTTCGCGCTCGACGACCCCGCACTACTCCCACAGAAGATCCTCGCTCTCGTCCTCGTCTTCCCCACGACACCCACCTTCGAGGCCCGGTTAACGGCCGAAGAGGCGGGCGCTCAGGATTGGATGGTGGAGCACAACGAAGAGGACGAGGACGCCGCGTGGTTTAAGCAGACGATCAACAACGCCTGTGGGCTGTACGCCATTCTACATGCTCTGGCCAACGGCCGTGCCAAGGACTTTCTGAGTGAGTAGATTATAAAGGTTAAACTAATGACAAAAAGTACAATGTCTAATGCGAAATAGGGCCAGGATCATTGTTGGACACTCTGCTATCCATTACGGCGCCGATGGACCCCGCTCAGGCGGCCATGGTGCTCGAAAGCTCCACGGAATTGGAAGATGCCTATTCTTCCGTCGCAAGAAAGGGCGACACGACTGCGCCGGCAAGTGCCGAGGACGAGGTGAATTTTCATTACATTTGCTTTGTCAAGTCTCCTGACACCGGCCATCTGTATGAGCTAGATGGCGATCGTAAGGGGCCCGTTGACAGAGGCGTACCGGACGAGGAGCAGCGGGTGGACCTCGGGGACAAGTCACTCGATGTGGTGCGGGACTTCATTGCCAAGGGAGGGGAAAACATTGGATTCAGCCTCATGGCCCTGGTAGAAAAGTCATAGGTAGCAGCAGGCACTCAAGGTTATTAAGCAAACAGTGTAATGGCAACATGGAAGCGCGTTCATTAGTCACTGGGCAGCTACGCCCAGTTTAGTTTGTACATTTGTGCTCATGATGATGCCTTAGCTGGCCTGAATGATCTTCTCCAACTCATCAGGGTCCTTGATGGTCGGCGTCAGGTTTTCACTGCCAGTAGCGGTGATGAGGATGTTGTCCTCGATTCTGTAAATGGTTAGCAAATGCCACGAAGAGGAGTCAGTATCGGGAATGGCTTACCTCACACCACCAACGTCCCAGTACTTGTTCAACACATCAGTGTCGATGAACTTGGAATGCGCCGCATCCTTCAAGTACGGCTCGATGATGAAGTTGCAGAAATAGATGCCCGGCTCAACGGTAACAATGCTACCAGCAGGCAGCTTGCCTCTGACACGCAGATAACGGAACATGGGGTCCGTGTCGGCGTAGTTGGGGTTGCCGCCGACGTCGTGGGTGTCCATTCCGAGGTAGTGACCCAGACCGTGAGGGAAGAAGGCAACGCTAGTTCGGCTCTTGAGAATCTCCTCCTTGTCTCCCTTCAAAATGCCGATGGCGTGGAGGCCGTCGATGGCGATCTTGTGGGCCAGCAGGTGGATATCATCCCAAACGACGCCCTCTTTCAGAGCTGCCGTGGTCTCCAGCTGCATCTTCAACACGATGTCGTAAATCTCACGAGATTCCTTGCTGAACTTGCCGGAAATGGGGAACGTGCGTGTCTATTGAGGTCAGAAGGCAAGCACTCACCATCAAAGTTGCAGAAGCGCGACTTACAATATCAGAGGCGTAGCAGTTCCATTCAGCACCGCCGTCCAAGAGAAGGTTGAGCTTACCCTCCAATGGAGCATCGTTGGCAACATAGTGCAGGGTGGCTGCAGCACGGCCTCCGGCAAAAATGCCGTGATAGGCCTGCTCTTTGGCGCCGTTGGAGACACAGTGGTACAGGAAAGTAGCTTCCAGTTCGCTCTCATTCTTGGCCTTCTTCACCTGCTTAACGACAGCATGGTGGGCATCAGTAGAGATGGCGTTGGCCTTCCTGGTGAGAGCAATCTCATAGTCGTCCTTGACCACACGGCTTTCCTCAATGGCGGTCTTCAATACGCTAAAGTTCTTGCCCTCAAACTCAAGGAAGGTAACAGAGTCCAAGACCTGGCCCTCAATGGCGAAGACGGTCTTGCTGGAGCCTTTGCCCAGTCGCACAAGCTCGGCATTCACATCGGTAGTGTACTTGACATGGTCGACATCGTAACGATCCTTGGCCTCCTCGGCGCTAACGGGCAGGCCAGACCAGATGACGCTATCAGGGTCGATGGGAGGGATAAAGAGAGTGGACTCGGATGTGGAGAGGTCGTAGATGTAGTGGCAGTCGGCGAGCGGGCAACCGGTCAGGTAGTAGAAGTAGCGGCGCTGTCTTTGTTAAACGTGTTAGAGCGAACCATTGGCCAGATGAAAGCAAGTACACATAGTAACTGGGAGTAGAGCAAAGCATACCTGAAGGGTTCCGGCTCATCATTATCCTCAATGAGCTTGGTCATGCGACCCTCGGCATAGAGGATACCGCTAGCATGGGGAACTTTGGACTTGACAATATCGGCGACACGGCGGGCATGGGCCTTGGCCGGGTACTTGCCCTTGAGGACAGTCTCGTAGTCTTGAGCCATGGTGGCGATAGGCGTGGCGGAGAAGTATCGAGTTGGTCTCGGAGAGAAAGGCGCTGCAATGCGCTGCTTCGGCGAGGGTACAATAGCTCCGGGAGTTCCGCCAAGGGGTCTGGATGGCGCTATGGAGTGGATGTGATTTCGGAGTCGGCAGATTCTGCTAGATGCTGCAGGAACAGAGATGAGGTGTGAGCAGAACTTGGTGCCGCTGTTGCAAGTGACGACACGAGGTGATGTTCTAGCCAACATCAAAGCTCTTGCGCCTGAGGCGAGTCGAAACGAGGAAGGAGGGGCAGCAAGACCAGTAGGCTGGTCACGACAGTGAGGGGCACGAGGAAACAATGCACCGAGCTAATCTTGCTACGTAGTAGTGGGGGCTGCGCTGCACTGTAAGCCGAGCAAAAGCGCAGGTGCAGCGGGACAGCAAAGTGGTGGCAAGGACGAATCACAGCAACAAGCTTGGTCAGATGAGGAAGCTGCTTCCCAGACCCTTCAAAGGACTTACCCTAGAGGACGTTGGAGGACCACAGTGCAATCGCCAATTTGTTATCTGTGGTGTCACTGTACCCACCGTCTCCGTACTTCCTACTGACCTCTGCCAATCAACGTGTAAGACTCCTCGGTTTAACGAATTCGTCCTTCCGGTTAACCGTATTATGTAAACGTTTTTCTTTATTTTCTCTCTTTCATTCCAGCCAGTGGCGTGTCGCCATTTGCCATCACAGCCAGCCAATGATGAGATAGATTGTGGATATCTGGTGGATTCATGCGCACCACCCGCTGATCTTGCAGAAAGAAGGCAACTGGGCAGAGAGACCGTAGAAGCACGTGAGAAATAAAATATTACGGCAGCCAAAAAAAAAAAAAAAAAGGACACACCCAAAAGTCACGATGATCTTTGGCAGCGTTTCCCCAAGGTCTCCAACAACCCAATCGCCCTCCGGCTGTTCCAGACTTTCTTCCAGTCCACAATCCCACATTCATCCCAGCCCGGCCCTGGACCGTTCGTTGCCTCCCTCCCACTTGCAACCTCGTGGCACCACTCCCGCAGACGCGGCTTAAAATTCAAACTACGACTTTATAATGACCATGGTATTGCCCCAATCCACCCTCCACTACTTTGTAGTATGCGTTAGGTCCACTCTTGGGGGACTTCCGCCTCTTTGGCAATGACACTTTCGCAGGGGTCGAATGGCGTCGCTGAAAGGAGGCTCCAACACTTCAATACACAAACCGTTCGTTTTTACCTCTATTACCACGCTAATGCCGTCCATCTGCCATTTTGAGCCGCTCGTACAATGATACCTTGGGGAGCCTTACGGACAATTGCTTCCCGCTTGCCACGAGGCATTTCTCTAATCTCCTCGGACTGGCCGATGCCGTTGCCCAGGAACTATTACCACTACAAGGCATATGGGTTCTCGAAATGCTTTTCATACCTGAAGGAGTCAATACTGGTTCGAGCTGGACGTGCATCGCTACCACAGCTTGACCAATCCAGTCTCGCGCCCACCAACCATCTCAATCCTCCCACCATGAAGGATGATCAACCTAGGGCTCTCGCGCGTCTCGTTACTTAAAAATATTTGAAATGACAACTTTGGCCCTTACATGGTACGGCCAAGCTTGACAGTCTGATGTTCTGTTCCCTCACGTCAACGAAAGGGGTCAGCCAAAGGGTCATTCGTCTTCTGCGGGTGAATCCTGCCGAAGCCACCATGATCAACATGTGGACCAGGGAGAGATTCAGATGTCATCTAGCCCAAAAGCGGCACAGAGCAAGCCACAAGCGGGACATACCACGGGAGACAACTGCCATACTTCCTTGCAAGCTGTGACGACCGTCATCAAACATCATTTCTGCCACCTCCACCACCACCACTCCAAGGCAGTGAGCCAAAACTGCATCTTGGCAGGGTTTGCGCGCTTTAACAGCGACAACCACTTCCATCAGAGCCTTCTCACAGCTCTCATGGTCTTCAGATGGCCACGGACTTCGCCCGAAAGCATTGAGTTTTCTTGACTTTCCTCTGCCGCCCCGACCGGGGTCATGAGGACGTCGTCCAACATCCCGGCATGCGACTAATGTCTGGTTTGCCAGCATTAGGTCGCACCGCTCCACTACAAGTTTCTCATGTCACCTTTTTCACTTCTCCAGTGTCAGTGCTTTCTTCCCCAACCTTGGCCACCAGCCCACAAATCTCCCCGAGGGGAATTAATGGACCTGTCTGTCCAATATGCTACTTTGACCAGACCCAGTCGAACCACTGCACAATTAACCCGAGTCAAGTTTCACCCCTGGTCTTAGTCAATATATCCTAGGGTATCCAGGCTTGTCAGCGCCAGGGCACTCATCGGGCAGTCATCGACATACTTTTGGCTCCTTGCCCATCCATCACTCCCTTGCGCTGTTGGCCTCTTCCAGAGTGGAGGTGGAAGGGCAAGAATCTCCAAGACTCCGGTGCAGTAAGCCTGCATTCAACCAGGCAACGCGACATCAACAAGCACAGGATGCCACCCAGAAAAATGGCGCTTGTCCCTGCAGCAAACAACCAAAACTGGCCTGCGAGTGCACACTGGCGACCCAGAGTTGCCATCCGCCTGGGATTTATTGACCTGATTGACCATGGCTGGGACTTGGTCGCCTGACCGTCTTGCGCCGTCACAGTTCAGCCACGGCGCATATACTCGCCCACATGTAGATGACATTGAAGGTTACCAAATGATGAAGAAGCCGCTTCACCGAAAACGCGCAAAATAGCTGGAAAAGTATCTAAACGGAGGCAACAATAGACCTCTAGCCGACATGGTACGCCCGTAATCAATCTGTCTAGGTACATCTCTGGACCCTGATCATCCTCGAACGATACATCTCCGAATACGGACTCTGTCTGCCTGCCCGTCTTGTCCATGTTTAATCGACAGAGACCTAGGCCGTATTTCCGAGCTCTGCGCTACCTCCTCCCGTCGCTTGCAGTTGCAAACTTTTTACTAGTCACAAATTGCCATCAACGGGTCCGTCTCCGTCGGAGCTCCCCGCGCCCGTGGCCAGTAACAAACCCAGGGATACTCCAGACGGATACATGTGCAGCTACAGAGATCGCAGTACGAATTACCTCCACCGCCGCCCAGCCATCAAACACCGCCGTATTCCGACCTAGCATTCTTGGGATGGAAGTTATTGATCGAATCAGCGACTTCCGTTTCTGATCCAACGTAGAAATGCGCGGAGCCCGAGATCCATCATCCGAGTATCGCACCCTTTTGCGCCCGGCTTTTATTCGTTTAAGAAGCCATCAACGTTCCATATTACGCCAGTTCAATCAACCGTTTGATACAGTCTTAAAGTTAGCGCACACCTGGCCCACCAGTTGATCCATCCACTTCTCTGTTTTCGTCCAATGCGGTACGGGAACGAGTCGGGTTTTGCATCCTTCATAAACCACTCCCGCAGTGAACCATGGACACTTGGTCGCCTACCCCGCAACCAACCCCGACCGCCACACCCCGTAACCCCCCGGGCACTCCTCCGCCCCCCGTAGCACGCTCGCCCGCAAAGCTGCAGCTTATTCAGGCGCCTTAGGCTCGGCAGTCCGCCTAATTTCGGACCGATAGGCACCAATTCTTCTCTAGTTCTGGTGAAAAAGTGACAGACATAGGCGGACTCGCCTCCCAACCAATACTAGCCTCTCACTGACGTGGGTCTTGGTTTGCAGACTACCCTCCCTCTTCCCTCTGGAAATGACGTAGGACAAGCCTCGTTGTTAAAAACAACAGCATCCAGGAAACGGGGTGGTGCCAGGCATGGGTAAGAGGCAACCGAGCGCACAAATTCGCCTGGTTTTGTGCAGTACCGCCGGTTGCCGTTCGTTTGAAGTTTCAGAGCAGGAAAAGAAAACTCAAAGATGCGTACTCCATGCGTGTCCCAAGACATGTCAAGTTGGTTCAAGCTCATCTCAAGCCTTATGGCTGACGGCTGGTAGCGTGCTGGGCGGTGTACTTGTGGACTTGGTGGACACGCGAAGCCTCGACGATCGAGCTTGGGTCTTTGTCTTTAGTGCAGTTGGTGTCTCTTGTCCCCGCGCTGAACAACACTGTGGGCCACAGGAGACTACTCCGTACTGCGGCCAGAGTCGATGAATACGCCAAGAACTTGGCCCTCGCGATCACTTCTCGGCGTTGCGGGACGGGTGTAACTGGATGAACGACTCAGATGTCACCAAAGCGTTGCACGTTACATCTTGGAGCATCCAGACGCGCCATTGACATGGGAGTGGTGCATGTGCCACCATGACGGAGTATACGCGACCAGTATTCTCAGGATATGTTCCCTTCCTTCGTCTCCCTTGCACATGTTATTCTGGGCCCAGCCCACAAATACATTTCCGTCAATTCGTTGCCCCCCGGTGCACATCCAATCCTCGTTGGCGCAGCTGCAGGAAGATGAAAAAGCAACATTTACACGCCTACCAGCCAAGTCCACGCACGGCAGGGTCCGGCACCTGAGACTTCATCCTTAGACTAACTCTTGCGCTTCCAAGGGCAGTCTTCGCGTGGGGCAACCCTGGACTGGGAACTTGATTACCCCGTCGATCTTTACGAATCTCCTCGCGTCTCGTAGTTACGACCCCAAGAGTTGAAGCTTATGAGAGGTGTGTGCGGAGAACGCCAAGAGACCTTTTCGATTTTCTGGGTAGAGCATGTTCGATTGCTTTTGTCTGTGCCCATGGGGTCGGCCTGGTTGCTATAAAGATCCTAGGCCTCCCCATGCGAGATCCCTTGTTTGTGTTGTTCTTGGTTCCTCTGCAGGTGCGCGCAGTGCTTCCATTGATTTGCGAAGCCAAATTGCAAACGTTATCCTAAGTTCAGACTGAACGCGCCGAACACAACCTTTCAAAAAGAGCTAGACGCGGGCTACTTTGCCTGTCAAGCTGCCACCATGGCGGACCGTATTCAGTCCACGGAGTAAGGTTTCTCTACACAACCATCTGACATGAAACCTTTCTGACGATTTTGCTGTAGCAACAAAACTGCTGATGTCGTTGGACATCATGAGGAACGCGGCACTCATATCGATCCCGTCGACTTGAGCCGCAACATTGAAGCGAAGTAAGCTGACCCCTCACTGCCTCAGCAGGAACGAACATTGGTTAATAAGTGATCAGGATTAAAAACCCTCTTGAGGGAATCGGCTACGAACAGCTTATGCACGACGTCGAGGTCTTCTGTCAAGAGAAGGGTCTTCAGGATGAAATCGCTCTTTTCCGCAAGGGCGCCCTGATTGCGCAGGACCCAACCAACTACCAGAACATTGGAGGTACTGAAGCACTTGCACCCGATGAGATTCAAGCACTCCGCGACGAAGTCGAGCACAAGTGGCGTATGCCCAAGAAGCTTTTCTTGACCATCGCGACCTGCTCCATTGGCGCTGCTGTTCAAGGTTGGGATCAGACTGGTACCAACGGTGCCAACATTTTCTTTCCCAAGGAATATGGTATCGATGGCAACAGCGTGCATGACACCATGATCTTGGGTCTCGTCAACGCTGGTCCTTATATCGGAAGCGCGTACGTCTCATCGACATAACTTTACGTGATCTGTTACTAATTTTATGTGCAGTCTGATGGGTTGCTGGCTGTCTGATCCTCTCAACCACTACTTCGGTCGTCGCGGTGTCATCTTCTTCTCTGCCCACTTCTGCATCTGGCCTCTTATCGGATCTGCCTTCAGTCACAACTGGCAACAACAACTCGTAAACCGTCTACTTATGGGTATTGGCATGGGTGCCAAAGCCTCAACCGTGCCCATCTACGCCGCTGAAAACAGCCCGCCTGCGATTAGAGGAGCTCTCGTCATGTCTTGGCGTGAGTTTTGAGCCCTGTACCCGATGATAAGTCTCTAGCCTGCTAACTATCTACTAGAAATGTGGACTGCTTTTGGAATCGCACTCGGTACTGCTTTTAACCTGGCTGTTTATTACGCCAAGCATAACTGGCGTCTGATGCTTGGTAAGTTTAAACGCTGCCTGTTTTCTGTTCTTTTCCCGTGTCAGACATGCTAATCACTGGTTGCACAGGCGCCCCCTTCCTCCCTGCTGTTCCCCTGCTCCTCCTGATTTATCTCTGCCCCGAGTCTCCCCGTTGGCTTATGAAGAAGGGACGCTACGTCCAGGCGTGGAAGTCAATGATCCAGCTACGAAACCACCCGATTCAATGCGCCCGAGACATGTACTCCATCCATGCACAATTGTCACTTGAATCCCAGGTGTTGACCAAGAACAACTATGCGACTCGTTTCACTCAGCTGTTCACAATCCCGCGTGTGCGCCGCGCCAACTTGGCTGCGTTCACTGTCATGATTGCCCAGCAGATGTGCGGTATGTTAGACCAATACACTTTATTTCTGAGGGTGATTGTCTTTTCAAGTACTGATCCGTCTACACAGGCATCAACATTATTGCATTCTACTCAACTACTATTTTCAAGGATGCCAACATGAGCGAGTTCCAGGCCCTTCTTGGTTCCTTCGGTTTTGGCATGGTCAACTGGCTCTTCGCCTTCCCTGCTTTCTGGACTATCGACACCTTTGGCCGACGATCGCTGTTGTTGTTCACGTTCCCTCAGATGACATGGACACTTCTAGCCGCTGGTCTCTGCACGCTCATTGCACCCGGCACCACTCGCACTGCCCTGGTATCGCTTTTCGTCTACCTCTTCGGTGCTTTCTACTCCCCCGGTGAGGGTCCTGTGCCCTTCACCTACTCTGCCGAGGTCTACCCCCTGTCTCACCGTGAAATGGGCATGGGTTTCGCCGTTGCCACTTGTCTCTTCTGGGCTGCCATCTTGGGTATGACCTTCCCGCTTATTCTGAAGAGTCTCGGTGTCGTTGGTGCCTTTGGCTTGTATGCCGGCTTCAATGTTGTCGCCTTCTTCATGATTCTCTTCTGGGTTCCCGAGACCAAGCAGCGCACCCTCGAGGAGCTTGACTGGGTCTTTGCTCTGCCCACCAGCCACTTCGCCCGCTACCAGATCCAGAAGTCCATTCCTTACTTCATCAAGCGTTGGATCTTCTTTGACCGCAAGGCTACACTGGAGCCGCTCTACACGTTTGAGCAGGCGCACCGAACCGAGCGTTCTGACTCCAAGGACGTCTCTGACGGCGACAAGAAGAGCTACTAGATGCTCGAATATCGCTCCAGTCGCTACATATGTGCGATTTAATCGTGCACATATAATGAGGGGATGAAATATCGATATACCCAGGTGGAGGTGGATTTGACGAACTTAACTTTCTTGTATGTCAGGCCTTTGCGTTTGACGGTGTAATATGTGGTTGGTTTCCTTCCACGATTTCAATCTAATGGTCCTTGGGCCTGCTACATTCCTGCACTCGATACCAATTTACTTCATTACTCTGCTACTATGTTTTCCGTCTGCTTTCTGCTCGCAATGTGAAGTCAACGTGAAGTTATTACCTAGGACTGCATCACTAGTAAATCCCACTGCATCTGATGATCACAGACCAGCTACAATCGTGTCCATTGACGACAGAAATGTCACGGTCTCGCCATTCCGAACAATGGGGCAGCGCAGATTGCCAATTCCCGCGTCCTCGTCATCGGAAAACAGACCCCACTGTCTCATAGGTGTGTGTGTGTTGCCATCACGATGCGCCAAGCCTGCGCTTCCAACTGCCTGCTCTTTGCAGCATCCTCACCCCCGCAATTTGCGTTCTTCCTGGGTTTCTTTGCCGTCTCTTGGCATCGCGTCTTGGCATGGAGGTGTGAACCTTGGTGTTATCCTATCAATCGTGTGAGATATTGACGAGGTTCAACATGACTCGAAGCAACGGGGATGGGCCCGCGGGGGTCTGTAAGTCTCCGATCCATGGATGTGATGGCCGGGATTTGATCCCCGTGTGAGCGGCATTGTGGAGACGTAGACTGCGGATCTGGCGATGGTTTTACGGGAGGTTATATAGGGGACTACTTTGAGTGTATGTATATATATATCTTTCAGAAAGTGCGTCATATGTGCCTCGTTTTATTGGCTTTATGTACGAGGTATGAAATATGTACAAAGAAGAAGAAGACATGATTCGGTAGCAGTGACCACGACATTGTCCCACATGTAGAGTACAGCCGTATAAACCTCATGACCGACTCGAGCCGCCATGAACATATACGTCAGTATCCCACAAACTGCATACTCTCACCGGAAGAATGAAGCCCAATGCTTACTTCTTCAGCGTAAGCAGACCAGGCCTGTAAGGGAGTCTGCCATAATCACCACCAGAGTTCGGGGCACGTCCCTGGTAAAGCAGCTGCAGGTTGCACGGGTCGACGGTCATGGTCTGGTCGGGGTCGCTGCGGACCAGGTCGCCGTGGCTGATGTCGTTGGTCCAGGTGGCGCCGCTGTTCGCCTTGCCGGCGAAGGGCCTGCTCTCGGTGGCGGCCTGCGGGGTCCACGAGCCGCCGAGGCTGGTGGCAGTGAAGGACCGGAAGTACCTCCCGTTGGCGCCGACGGCCTCGACGATCATGAGGTACCTGTTCTGGCCCTTGACGGTGTACACCTGCACGGCCTCGAAGAGGTTGTTGGTCGTGTCGCTGAGGATGACCTGGGACGAGGAGCCAAAGTTGCCGGGGAAGTTGCCGATGGGCATGCTGGCTCTGTAGATCTTGCCGTTGTCGCCGGCGAAGAAGAGGTACATGTTTTGGCTGTCGCCGATGAGCGTCTGGTCGATCGGCCCCGTGCTGGAGCCCGAGATAGTGCCGGAAAAGAGGGGCTGCGCGGCCGACCAGCCGTTCCCGTTGGTGGGGTTGCTCGAGGTCCTGTATGAGAAGGCCGTCGGGCCCCACTGGTACGCCAGCACCCAGATGTTCTTGGGGCGGAAGAAGAAAAGGGTCGGCGCGACGACCGAGTTCGTCATGGCGTTCTGGCTAGCCGAGGCCATCTGAGACCAGTCGGAGAAGAGGCCAAAGTTCATCGACCCCCAGGACGAGCCCTGGTCGTGGGTCGTGGCGTACACGAGGTGCTGCCCGTTGTAGGGGACGGCGGTGAAGTCCTTCAGGGAGGCCCAGCCTGACTTGGGGTTCGCAAGGGGACCCGTTGATGTCCAGGAGTAGGTCGAGGGGAGACTGCATTGCGCTGCGACGCCTGCTGCTGAGGCGAGCAGAATGCCGGCGGGGGCAATGTCGGAGAATCTCATGATGATAATGATGATGAGGCCTTGGCTTGGAGATTATATGAGATGATGAGTCTGACTAGTTGTAAGTCCATCATTCGACATGAAGCCAGAAGGTTGAAAATATATATACGCTTAGGGGCTAGACATCGCATCAATACAGCTTCAGCAAGATCCTAGAGTTGCAGCTTTCTATAGGAGCGGCTCGCTGGACAGTGCAGTAATACATGACAAACCAATAGCTCATTTGCGGAATAAAATTCGACGTAGCAAATTAACAGTATGACGAAGACCGGCTGATTCAATGTTACCTCGATCTTCCCGGGACTTTAACCGAGACAGTTCGTCTCGTGTTATACGAGATGCTCGGAAGAATGAACGGGCGGCCCGCTAGGGTCCGGTACCCGTTCCAGAACGATTAATCGCCCCCGGCCGTAGCTAAGCCTCGACACCGGGGCCGGCACACGGCACATGCGTGCTAGCTTCGACTCCAATTCTCTTTCCCCTTTCAAGTAAGCTTAAATCCAGATAAATTACCCCGAGAGTCCTTTATTCCGGGTCGCGGCAATTGTCCCCATAAGCGCTCCAGTTAATAGGTAGACTTAATAACAGAAGTGATATAGTTGACTAGAGATTTTAATACAGTAAATATCCACCAATACGTAGCATGTAAAAGAGCCTATCCGAACACCCCGTAATCGGGTTATTTTTCGGAGTCTTGCCTATATTACTACCCCAGACTTGGCAACTGACCAGCTCTTGTCTTGGCTAACATTAGCAGACCCTTCTCTCTTTTGCTTCATAGTCTCTCGTTCAAGTTTGTTTCGTTTCACAGTAGTCAACCAATCAAGATGGCCGTCCTCAGTACGCTCATCGCCGTCGCTGGCCTTGGTGCCTTGGCCCATGGGCAGATCACAGTCGATGCCAACTCCCATCTTCAGAAGATTGACGGCTTCGGCTTCTCCCAGGCCTTTGGCCGCGCCAAGGAGTTCCAAAACGCCCCCGCCGGGCTCCAGAAGGAGGCTCTTGATTTGCTCTTCAGCACCACCAAGGGCGCTGGCTTTAGCATCATCCGCAACCGTATTGGCTCGGGTGGAAAGGGCGACAGTATCTTGCCTACCAGCCCCGGTTCGCCTTCGGGAAAACCTGCCTACACCTGGGACAACGACGACCGAGGACAGGTCTGGTTCACCAAGCAGGCTGTGAACTATGGCGTCAATCAGATCTACGCCGACGCGTGGAGTGCCCCTGGCTTCATGAAGACCAGTGGCAACGAGGCCACGGCTGGGTGAGTTGCTCCTCTGCACAACTCAAGAGTTTTGCCATCTTTTGGGTTGCAGACACAAAGCTGACTTCCTCCAGATACCTCTGTGGCACGACAGGCCACACTTGCGCCTCCGGAGACTGGAGACAGGCATACGCAAACTTCCTCGCCCAGTACGTCAAGTACTACCAGCAATCCGGGCTCAACATCACCCACCTCGGCTTCCTCAACGAGCCGGACTACCAGTGAGCTATGCCAGAAACAACCCGATCCAAGTGAACACTTACTGACCAACCAACCAACCACAACAGGGTTAGCTACTCCCAGATGCAAATCAGCACCAACGCCCAGGAAGCCATCTCCTTCATCCCGACCCTCTACCAGACCTTCCAGTCCGCCAACCTCAAGACCAAAATCACCTGCTGCGATGCCGTCGGATGGGGCTCCACCGTCAAGTACACCAACGCCCTCGTCCCCGCCGGGATGGAGAAGTACCTTGGCCTCATCACCTCGCACACGTACTCGGGCGACGCGACCTCGCCGCTGAACACCAAGCTGTCCACCTGGGTCACCGAGTCCGGCATCACAAAGGCCTTCGACACGACCTGGTACAAGAACGGCGGGCCGACGGAGGGCATGACCTGGGCCCAGAAGATCGCCGTCGGCATCGTCAACGCCCGCCTGTCCGCCTACCTGTACTGGGAGGGTTTCGAGCTGAAGCAGCTCCAGTCCGACAGCCACCTGATCGACACGCTCGACGGCAAGACGGCGACGCCGTCGTCCAACTTTTGGGCCTTCGCCATGTGGTCGCGGTACATCCGCCCCGGCGCGCAGCGTCTCGCGGCCTCCGGGACCGTGGCCGACGTTCTCACGGCTGCCGTCCGCAACACCGACGGTTCCGTCGTCGTCGTCTTCACCAACAACGGCGGCACCGCCCGCTCGACGTCCGTTTCGTTCCAGGGTTTCACGCCCAAGACTGCCGCTGCGTACGTCACTGACAACGACCACACTTTTGCTTCCACGCAGTCCAAGTTGTCCGGGTCGTCTGTGTCCGTGTCTGTCCCCAGCAAGGGCGTTGTTACTGTCAAGCTCACGTAGAATATGGCTCTGCGATTAAGTTGACCAAGAGTTGGTCTCGATTCCATTTGTGTACATAGTGTGTTTTCTTTTCGGACATTGTATCTTTTGTTGTATATACGTTTATACATCCAGAATTGGATGTTCGCAAATGGTATATACGCACCAATAAAATTAAACTGCTTGCAGCGTACAAGCGGTAGAGGTGGACTCTATACAGGTTATAATTGGCTACTATGATAACAGTGATCATGTAACCTAGTCAAGTAGTTTAGGCTAAATAAAAGACTGCGACCGAGCTCACCAATCGTTTGAAGCACCTCTTCCTGGATACTCAAGTACTCAGCAAGCCTCCTTACCGGCCCCATCGGTCGAGAATCTCCCTCCTCTTCTCACTTCTCTGCCTCGCCTTTCCAGCATCCACCCTCTCGACTCGCTCCTTAATCTTCTCCACCTCTTGCCCTAAAAATGCGATCGACGCCTCAATGCCCTCGTCCACGAGTCTGACGTCGCCAAAGGGGCTTTCGGCCAACAGGCTGTCGCGCAAAAGCTGCACAGCGAGCTTGGCATCTCCCAGTTGAGCGGCGGCAGTGCTCTCGAGCGACTCCTGTGCGTTCCGCGCCACGTCGCGGGCTTTTTTCTGCCGCTCGGCGAGTAAGTCGGAGAGAATAGCGATTTGGCGCGCACCATCGGCGTCCTCGGGGAAGGCGATCGCGAGGGAACGAAGAAGGGCGTCCATTGGGGGCTCCTCGAGCATTGAGGAGCGGCGGCGGTCGGCGGTGTTGGAACGTTGACGAGACGGTGAGCTAGGGCCAGTGTTACGACGGCGGATGGGCGAGACAAGCTCCTGGGTGGGGGTCTTCTTCTTAGGAGTCGACACGGGGGCAGATAGCTCTGAACGGGCGGTGGAGATGAGATTATTGGTTGCGGCCTGGTGAGATTGGAAAGTCTCGATGCGAGCGGATAGCCGGTCAATGTGATCCAGGAGATAGTCAAGACATTCGTCAATCTGATATGGTCAGACATAGTTCCTTAGCTAGGTCGATTACAAAAACGACTTACGTAGACGACTGCTGCAGCCGAGCGGCCAAGCGACTGGCCGTTCTTGTTCGACAATGACTTCAAGGCCGGCTCGAGATACTGCTGCTCAACGGACATTTGCGCGACAGGGAGAATCTCAGAGTAAAGAGACTCGAGCTCCTCCTGCAGGGGTTTGACATCGTCCGAGGGGTTGGGTGTAACCTCCCCGCGATGGGCAGAGCTAAGCGCCTCGAGGTAGAGGCGGTCAAGCTTTGTGCGTACCGTTTCAACGGTGTACTTGATCAATCTTTCGGTTATATTAATTAGAATGTCTCAGGGCAGATGGGGTAGAGTGTACCTCATGCAGATCTCGCGAAGCTTTTCGACATGCTCGCGGTCTTCTGGGTCTTCCGTCTCCAGCTCCAGACTCAGTTTGCGCAGACTGAGGAGGAGCTTGTCATCGGAGTGGAGCAAGGCGTCCAGCGTCTGCTGGAGACTGCTCCCTGACATCTTGGACTGTTGCTCCAGATCCGAAGCTCTGAACTCGAGAGTCTGGGACAGCTCTTCAACCTGGGCATACAGTCAGTGAGGCATCGTTAATGGCGTCAACAAGCTAGCATACTGATGTCATCATCTTCCTGCGTTCCGAGTCGTGCTTTTGGGTCCGCTGGAAGACCAGGTCAGAGCGGGCTTCTTCGACCTTTGCATTGCTCGTGACCAGCTTCGCCAACGCATCCTGCTGCTGTCTAAGAGTCTCGGTCTGCTTGACGATAGCAGCAGTGGAGCGATTCAGCTCATCGATGGCCTTCTGGATCTCACGTTCGCTGAGAGCCTGGACGGTAGCCAGGTCTTGAGCGTCCACAAGCTTATCAATCTGGCCAGATTTGTCGAGTGTCGAGTACCTAAGGAGCCCTTCTCGTAAGACATTGTCCTCGCTTGTGCAACCGGTTTGCAACTATACTTACAGCGCCAGCTCTTCTCGGGAAAGCAGGTTATCGGGCCCAAGGTGAAGGCGCGCCCATTCGTTAAAGGATGTGCCGTGCTCCGGGTCATTGAGGGCTTCTTGCAGAGTATGTCTGTCGATAGCAACACCATAGCTCCGTATAATGCTCTCCAGCGTTGAGGAATCCATAACGGGGGATGACAGGGCAGCGAGTCAGTAAGCTGAGAGTTGCGGTCAAACAGAATATGGTAACTCGTGTTCAAAAACGAACACCTCTGGCGTTCAACGTGCGGCACGTGGTGATTAATTCCGAAGGCAACAAAGGACGGGCCGTGCCTTGGTGTTTGGCTTGTGTCTGGCTCTAGTCTTGGCCTCGACTTGGAAGAGTCTGATTCTCCGAGAGACGGCTGTAGCTAGCACAGGAGTTGCGGTTGTCCAATGACGGGAAACGGCTGAGTTTGTGATCTGATTCACGGTCCAAGGCAGACGGATGTCTTCCAAGTTTTTGTTTCCGTTGGGTGTGGCAGGGCCACGACGTCCAAGGAGACACACACCGCCGTCGTGGTGTGACGGGTTGAGCTTCAGCTAGAGCTTGTGTAGTGTACCGTCTCGGCTCAAGTTGCTTGCCGAGGGATAGAGAGGCAGATCCAATCGCTATGTGGTTTCGAGCATCAATTAAGCTTGAGAAAAGAAGCCAACAATACGAAATACAAAACACAATGTGATGAAGATATGTTCGGGTCTCTGAGATGTGAGAGAACGAATGAGAGAAGGAGCCACTCAACGGAGAAGAGGTGCAAACAAAAACGTCGGTCGGAGCCCAAAGGCAGAAAATTACTAAGCCAGAACAAGACAAAAACCCCACTAGCAGCTCACTTTAGCCGACCATTAGTGGGGACTCAGCGGCTGTCAGGCTGCACAGACCCCAAAATGCCCCCCCAACGATCATTAATCTGCAGTGGCCAATGACAGCTACGAACAGTAATGCACACCTCTTTAAGGGCACCTCCACAACACTACACCAACATCAATACAACACCAACGCCTCCACCAACACCACTTGGTGTCATTGGACACGGCATCCTGCATTAAGAGAGAAACTTACAGTTGCCTCCTTTCTTCTCTGATAACAATCCCCCAAGCCCAAGCAACATCTATTTTTGTTGTCGTTTGCAGCAGGTGCCGCTATGCCGTCCATGCCACCCTCCACCAGGCAGAATGCAGATGACAGCTGTCGCGATAAAGCACGTTTGGGTAGAAGCCTTCAACATGTCACTTTTGACACATCTCATGCAATTTTAGAACAATGCTCAATCTTTTCTTCTTTGGGGTCCTTTGGGGGGCCCGGGGCGGCAAAGAACGCCCGATTTAGACACAACAAGACAAATCGGCACGGTCCGGACGGGAACCCCGTTGGCAGGCCGGGGAGGGATACGCCCTGGCCACGTTTGATTCCCCGTACTTTATCTTCAATCAAAAATGGACCTCAACCGGCCTTTGATATCTGAAGTTTAACGTCTTATATCAGTCTCCAAACCAAGGGCGATCAACCGCAGTCTGCAAAGGGTGGATCCGCTCCCGGCCCGGCGTCCGATCCGTAAAATGGCTCCATCGCGGCCCTGCGATGCTTGTTTGCATCCCTCACCTCCCTCACTTCGCCACGGGAACACCAAGTTTGGAGTCGTTGTCGTTTGTACTGTGTTTCCCGCACACTCCCTTTCCAGCTGGACCCCATCTCGAACCAACATGGACGCCGGCATCAAAGTCTTCCGTGACGTGTCAGAGGGATTCTCTCGCGAAACCTCGTATCTCCTCCTCGGTCCCATGGGATAAATACCTTCGCGTGTGACACTGGACGGGAGGCAAGACCTTGTGTCCAGTGCTCCATGTCTCTCTTGTTCATGTTGTGACAGTCCCGCGGGTGCCGATTGCTTCCTGGTTCTGGGACATTGTTATACTTCGTTCTGTAACACCTTGAATATTGTTCCCTCAAAATGGCCGCAAAAGCCTTTCTCCCCTCCAAGCTCGCTTTCTCCCAGATCTTCCGCTGTCTAAGACACTTTACAGACAATGTCCTCGATTCATTACCCCGTTTGTCATCGCGAATGTCGAGAACAGGACGAAGCAACGTGATCAACAGTACATGGAGGAACTGCGGCCGGTTTGTTGCCGAACGAGCAAGCCATGTCTTTTGTGTTGCCGTCATCTACCTCGGTAGCGAGTTGCTGATATGGAGTCTCTCTCTCACTCTGAGACCGGTTGGGCTGCAGTTCCTATCGTCTGTCGCGGGAATGATGCTAGTATTTGCCGTGATGGTCGTCCTCTGCTGGGCATGTCCCGGGTCGGATGGGTTCTATAAGCGAAATATCAAGTCCAAAGTCAGTCGCATTCTCATCCATATCACCTCCTCAACTAACACGACCAGATCGACTTCATCAACACCAACCTCGGGCTCGGCTTTCCGGTTCCTATCGTCACCATCAATCGGCAGGATATACTCGGCGGCGGCGGCATCGGAAGGGTAATTGGGACCTTTGGTGAGCCATATCAGCACATAAATATGCCTTCATAGATGCTGACCGACCCAGTAAACACGAACGTCATCTTTTGGACATTCATATTCCTTCTTTCATGGGGAATCTTGACAGGGCTGGTGAAGGTTCCCTCTTTGAAAGCATACAGCTTGAGCAGAAAAGCAGAGAACACCGAACAGACCTGGATATCCGAAACGTCTCCAGCCCCACCACGCCTGGAGATGCCTCCTGAGCCGGCCAGCCGTAGGCCGTCAGAAAGCACTACCCTGAACGGAACCACGATAACTGGACACCACGCCGATAAGGAAGCCGGCTTGGTCCCGGACTCGAGGACCGTTTCGGCATACTTCACCGACAGCGACTGTCCCACCCCAGTCCCGCCACCTCCGGATGCCGTCGATGAGCCGCATCGAAGACTCTCCGAAAGCACACAGATCTCGGTACAACAACCCACCACATGGGCCGTCTGGGCAGAAGAATGCTACCCCATAGCCCTGGCCGTCATTCTCATTGTAGCTGTGGGCATCCCCGTCTCTCGCATCGGGGGAGACGACCGCATCCTCGATGGCTGCATGATGTGGTTGACCTGGACCACTAGCACCAGACTCCAGCGTACCTTCAGTCGCACCCATCTCCTGACCGCTTCTCCCAATCTCAAGACGACGGTCACGACGCTTCTAAACCCAGTACTCCTCATGACCCTCGCCATGACGGCCTACACCCGTGCCAGAGCTGCCGCGACGCACACGGCCATCGAAGAGATCCTCGCAGCATTCAGCGGCGGAACTTCACTCTCAGACCTGTGGGCATCAAAGACAACAAGCTGGACCCTCCGGCACGATCAACGTGATTGGTTCGGCGCAGGCGACGCGGCTCTTTCGATTCTCGAATGTGGCATCGTCGTCTGGGGCTTCAAGCTCTACGAGTGCCGACGTCAAATCTGGAGCCGTGCCGGCGTCGCCGTGGTGCTCATCTCGACCGGTATGGCTGGTATGAACGTCTTCGTGTCCGTTTTGCTGGGAAAGGCGGTAGGCCTCGAAGGTCCCGAGGCTTTCGCGTTCGCGGCACGTAGCACGACACTCGCTCTAGCCAGACCGGCCATGGAGGCGCTACAGGGCAACCAGGTCGTCAACGCTGCGCTGGTGGTGAGTAACGGCATTCTAGGCCAGCTCATGTACCCCTTTCTTTTACCGAAATTCGGGTTGCAGGGACCGACACGTGATGATTGCGACGAGGAGGAGACGACGAAGGACGGCCCGCTCACCATCGCCGCTGGGACAGCGATCGGCATCAACGGAGCGGCCATGGGCGTCTCATATCTCTATGAGAGGAAGATGAGGGCCGCGCCTTACGCTGCCCTGTCCATGACGGTATTTGGTGTTATGACTGTTGTTTTTACTGCTGTTAATCCGTTTACGCACGCACTGCTCTACCTGGCTAGTTAGCAAATAGACTGGAGGCGTCTGGTGGTTGTTGATTTGAGACATCGTGGGTGGCGTTTCTGGACACGTAGCGTAGTACATACGGGCACGTTATTGAATACAAAAGGGAAACATCTATGCTCAATCAACTCGTCAAATGCGTGTGGTATTTTTGGTATACATCCATGCCATCTCAGCATGCGAAATGCAAAAGCAATAGAAGAATTGCCAAGGCTCAACGGAGCCGTCTCGACGGGCCTACTTGGACTTTTCAACCCGAAATGCATGCATACTTGTTGTAATGCTGTTGCTTCTTTTCATTGCCCTCTCTCCATCATCTCTACTCCAGTCTGTGGCCAGTTATTAGCAAGCGGTCTACCCGACGCAAGGTAGGTAATCTCACCTCTCAATCAAGTGCAATCCACTTGCTGTCTCGACAATGCTGCTAATCTCGCCCGGGTTGAGGCCAAAAGCAGCGTCCTCAAACTCCTTTTGCATATCGCCCTTGCCGAAGTAGCCCAGGTCACCCCTCTTACGGGCGCTGCTGCAGTCGGACTCGGTCAAGGCGAGCTCTCCAAGGGAGGTCTGGCCAGACTTGATCTTTTCCTCGTGTGCCTTGAGGATCTCAAGGGCTTCCTCCTTGCTGCGGGTGATGTCGGCCTCCCTCCAGCTCGATGGGCGTCGGCTGCCCTTGTGCTTGACCAGGAGATGGGCGGCGCGGATCTTGCCCTCGGGGACGGGGACGGCCTGGGGCCTAGCGCCGAGACTGGCGCTGTGGTGGGTGGCCATGTAGTGCTTCAGCTTCTCCGTGTCGGTTCCTGCGGGCGGCTCCCAGCGCGAGACCTTGTCGGCAGCATTGAAGTAGTAGGGGAGGTTCTTGGAGTTGGAGTGTCGCACTTCCCAGCCGGTGGGGAGACCCGTGTCAGACTGGCGGAATGTCAGTGTTAGCTAGCATGTCGTTTGGCTGGAATGGCATTGTCTCGAAGGGGGGATGCGTGTCCGGGCTAAGCCCAGCTCGACAAGCCTTCTGCCACTGACGGAAGAGGAAATAGTGGTATGCGACAGCTGAGGTAAGGATGAAGAAGCTGGGGCTAAATCCAAGGCTGACAGAAAAGGAGAACACCAGGTTATGGAAGGCAGAAGAGGAGGCGAAAAGGCTGAGGAGGAGCTCGTTGCGGGGGCGTCGTTGCTTACCATTGTTGCGATGTGAGGAGATTCTACAACAGAGCGGTTTTATTCGAGATAGGCGGGGAACTGTCGCGAACAGCGGGGCGACAGAAGCAAAGGTGAACGAGGTTGAAGAGACGGGCGCTGGGGAGAGGTGAAGGAAAAATAAAAAAGAAGAAAGGTTAACGATGAGGAACACGAGGGGGGGTTACAGTTGGTTCGGCGTTGTGTCTTTGCTTCCTCCGTTATGGTCCAGTAGGCAGAGGTTCTGGGGCCAAAAGGAGCTCAAGGATGACGTGCCGCTGCCGGGGTTACGGTTGTTGCTCCTGGTTGTTCTTTTTTTTCTGCGGAGAGGAAAAGAGCTTCAGCAGCGCTGCTAGCCAACCAACGTTGCTGGGTGTGGAGAGGAGAGAGAGGGGAGAGACTAGGGGGGGACCACGGGGACATCTGGTGACCACTGATAGACAGGGGATGGGGACCTTCAGCTGCTATAGCGCTGTCCTTGGAGGCCCTGGAAGGCGGGGGAAGAAGACGCTGGAAAGAGGGTTGCCCATTGACAGAAACCAATGTTCCCATTGGTGAGGTACCCGCTTTGGTTTTTCGACAAGGTCGCGTGGCGGAATATGGCCCGTGCGTAGCTTTGTCAGCTCACTCCAAGGGACTTCTCTCTCAGCAGGTTTCATCTCAACTCATCATCCTGGCGCCCGTTCTTGTCCTTGTTTCCATTTCAAGCTTGTCACTTTGTCAGTCGACTCGGGGTTTCCCAACCCAGGAGCTGCCGACCGATCCTATCAGATGACAATTTTAGTTCTCCAATCATGACAAGTCTGTAAATGGGTATTCGTACTCCTGCGGCCACATAAGGGACTGCTGAATAAACTTGGAGACCACTGCAGCTGCAGTCTTCAGTCATGCAGGACATGCCTAATGTAAGGGCGTACCAATCAAGATGACCTAGACATGAGTTTTCAAAGTTCAGGTTTGCCATGCTGTGTTAACTTCAGGCGTTTTCTCCGCAATCCAAATCTAAACCATACGTTATCCTTCGTCTAATATTTACACTTCAAGTCTGATTAAGAACAAGAAAATGGGAAAAGGCTAATTCAGAACTGATGACTCGGATGGGGAATCTACTGTACGAAGACTGATGTGGCTTTCACGAATTCAAAAAACAGAAGTTCAGCACACGTCTTCAGAGATGATGCTCAGTGATGCATTCAACCCCAAACTCGCCACAAGAATAATTGACGTATAATGTGTGGTCACAACTCCCTTGTCACCAACCTTGAATTCCTGTCAAAAGATCCCCCCACCGTTGCTGGGCGGTAAGAGTCACTATCAACGGAAGTAATCGGTAATCTTAAACCATGTGATCTGTGACTTGAATGGCCTCAGCAGTCAACATGGGATGTTTGACTCGGTCAGCTGCACCAGCAGTGTGACAATTTACCAATACACTAATAAGAGGCATTCATCAGATAAACAACGCATCTCAAGCACTCCATAAATAGAAAGTGTCTATATTTCCATCTTTTAGAGTCCCTTTGAATTATATGGAAGTAAATGTCAAAATTCCTACGTCACAGCTTGCCGTGATACACCGCCGGTGACCTTCGGTAAACCGGTGACTCAGCTAAAAGTTTGGTTACCGCCCCCACCTTCGCCCCCCCCCAGACACAAGGCACCCGTGCGCTACCGCCTTTCTCCGTTTGCCTTCGCGTGCCGCTTTCTACTTTTTCCTACTCAGACTTCGCTTCATATTACAACGCTTCCACTATCATTTACATCGACGCGCTTCCCCCCTTCGCACACGAGATCGATCGCTTTCAAACCTAGGAGAAGGTTTACGAGATATATACCTATATACGCTCTCGAATAACAAACAATTTCCCACACAAACACACGCTATCCCGATTGATACGATGGCTACCCCCATGTCCACCACCTCTCAGGAGGAGACTGGAAACAAGAAGCTCGAGCAAATCACCTTCCGCTTCTGCTCCGAATGCTCCAACATGTTGTACCCCAAAGAGGACGAAGAAACCCACAAGCTCCAGTTCACCTGCCGCACCTGTCAATTTACCGAAGAGGCCCAGTCGACCTGCGTCTTCCGCAACGTTATGAACAACGCGGCCGGTGAGACTGCTGGAGTGACCCAGGATGTCGGCTCAGACCCTACTGTAGGTGACTCCCAGTCTATTTCCGCCCCTGTTGTCTGTATCGGCTGCGGCTTCGCCATCATGTGCACCAGCTGTGGCAACCCCTCGGACGACTTCGTCGTGTCTTCGGTCGCCGTTCAGCCTGGCGCTCCCCAGGGCAATCGGGCAGGAATCACCTGGGACGATTTGATTGAAATGGCCGACGAGGACGCGTTCGACGAATACGACGAGGAGAGAGAGCCCAGCTCCGACGACGAAATCAACAAAGGATTTGCAAGCATTGTTCTCAACCAGGAGCCCGCCCAGGCTCCCCAGCACGTCTCGTGGCCGACTTTCCAGCTCGCTGTCAACCAGTGATGGATCCCACCACCGCATGGATACTCTCAACAAGCTTCTGGATGCCCGGATGCTGCTGGGTTGGCTGTTGCAATGGACTTTTCTTCCTTTTGGATTCGAGACCTCCTTTGTGAACAGCTGGCTGACACTGCGTCTCTCCGGATATAGCTTCCACGATCAAACAAGGAATGCCCCGTCTGCAAAGGCGCCGAGGCCGTCTTCTTTCAGTCTCAGCAACGTAGTGCTGAGACGGGTATGGTGAGTTGGACACGGATTGGTTAATATAGATGGCAAGGGATAAACCAGCTAACTCGAGCTCAGAAATTGTTCTATGTCTGCTGCGATTGCGGTCACATCTTCCAGTAACGGACGCGACCCACGATGATACCCGAGGATTGGAATAGAGGAGGAGGTGTTGCATTTCACGGAGTCGGTATGGCGTTAAGCATTGAAACGGGGAAAAGGCCTTGGGCCATGGTTTCGTGTTTTCATAGCATAAATCAAGATGATCTATATTTTTGGCTTGTCACAACACAAGCCATCTTTCAGCACCTCGCGTTCTTTCTCACTGCAGTGACTTGACTTGTGATGTTTGTCTTGTGTGTATGGTTGATGAAGATTGGTATCGACTGCCAACCCTGGAAACGCCGGCTCATGCATTCATATAGTACACTCCCACCCTCTGATTAATTTCTTTTTCCTGTACATGTACAAAGATCCTACACGTCTTCCCCTCTCCGAATCGAATGGCAACTCCTTTTATGCGTGCATGGGGGCCATGGAAAGGATCTTGCTCCACTTCTTCTTCCTCAGCTCGGCGCCGACGACGCCGTTAATACGGGAGCCCACGGGGTCACCGGCCTTGTTGATCAGGACGCAAGCGTTGTCGTCGAAACGGACGACACTGCCATCGGGGCGAAGAGTCTGCTGCTTGGTACGGACGACAACGGCATGGCGCATATCTCCACGCTTGACCTTGTTGGCGGCCGAGGAGCCAGCCATACCACCGTCACCGGCACCACGGTGCTTCTGAACAACGACGACTATTCTGTCACCTGTATGTATGTTAGAAACTGCCGTGTCGGTCATCGTATGAAAGGAAATTGAGGGGTAGTCGTACCGATACGGGCGTGTCTCTTCTGGCCAACAACCATGGCGCACTCAACAAGGGCAGCGCCCGAGTTGTCGATGCATTGAAGCATCGTCTAGTCAGCCGTTAGAATGCTGTTGATGACGTTGGCAATTATCTTGGACACACACCTTTAATTGAATCATATTGACGGCGAGACCTCGTGACGCGGCAGTGGATTCCCAGATCTCCCCTAGCTGATCGCTGTCTCTGAAGCTATATCGACAAAGTGGAACTGCAAACTTCAAATTCCAGGCCGCGAAATCGGATATACATAGAGCCGTTCCTCCGAAACGACGTGGGAACTGGGGCGACGGGGGTCAGCTGCATTCAGCGAGGTGCAGCCAATTGGCTGACGTAACCCGTCCAACTGGTCTGTGCGACTATTTTGACGTCTCAGCTGCGGCGTGGGGCCCGCTGCGATAATTGCCTAGCCACTGGATTTTGCGAGTTCTGGTTGGGCAGGACCCCGGTAAGGCGCAATCCAATGTTTCCCTCTCTCGCATCCTTCTTCCTTCCTCCCCTGGAATCTGTTCAGTTTGAACTGACAGAAGAGGGAAGAATTGCGCAGGCTCGGGCAGGACACACCACGACTACCATATTGGGGGCAGGAGCGAATTAAATCGGGGACGAACGGCGACTTCCACTCCCAATCTCTCATCTCCAGCCTCACCTCATTTCCCGTTCCTCATTTCACACCCAAAACACATACTGTGAGTGTGAGACTCATCTATGTTCCCCCCCTCCTCTCATACGGTGAGGCTATTGCGCTTCCCAGTCTCTCTCTTCGTTCCTTTCCTGCCACGATCCACATCCCGGCACCCTCGTTGTTTAGTTGTCTCTATCATCCCAGCAAAAAGCATTAATCTCCACCACTGACACCCCTCTGGGACCCTCTACTCCGTTGGTTCTCTTTTTTGGGGGATTTGTTTATGCCCCTTTGATCGGAAGATATGACGACACCAGGCCGAAGCTGACCATTCGTCCAATTCACCACCCGCTCTGCGCTTGTTTCTGGGGAACGCTCGCTTCTACCGGCCTCATCCGCAATCTGTCTCTGGTCTTAGCGGCAGTTTTTTTTCGATCATTCCTTCATCCCGGGCCTGGCTGTCACCGTTGCTGTTGCCCCGATATCCGCTCGGCCTGACCTCGTGCGCTTTGCGTGGGCTATCGAAGGGAGCCCAACCCCAAGACCTTGGTCCTTTCGTCCACTCCTTGCTCTGTGCGCTGTGCCTGACGCTGGTCCCAACACTCGTTTAGCCTTTTCCGCAACCCGCCGCAAATCCCTTCCTTCACTATTGCGTTGGACCTGAGATTGCGACGGCGCCTGCGAAAATGCCGCCTTCTGCTGCTTCCAAGAAGCAGAAACCGGCGCTCACCTTGGCCCAGCTTGCCTCGTATGATGACTTCTTAACAGATGCTCTTGTCGACCATGTATGATCACCTCCGGTCCAGCCGGCCGGCGCAGGCACGTTGAAGCTGACACCTTGCACAGGCATTCTACTGGACAACTATTCCAAAAAACCGAAATTCGTACCACCCTTCCCGAGGAGTGCGAGAGGAGGAAATCACCAAGATTATCCAGTCCGAGATCGCTGTCAACAAAGACCTCGAGGCCGCCGAGCGCAAGCTGTTAGCAACCGATGGCTTTCGCAAGTTCTTCGCCGCCCTCAAGACAGACAAAGCCAAGGATGACTTCAAGAGACACCTACGCCGGTACACCCAGATCTACCTCCCAGACTGTCCTTTCGAAGTCAATTCGACCAACCGTTACACCATAGTCTCTCACGAGGCTGCCATTACCGCCCGACGGTTCATCAGGAGAAACGAGAACATCAAGTACCTTGCCGGAACCCAGGTCAACATTTCCCCCGAGGAGGAACGGGAAATGACAGCCCGAAAGAAGGACTTCAGCATCATCATTTCCGCGAGGAGTAAATGCGCCAGCCTGTTCATGGGTCCTGCCCGATTTGCGAACCACGACTGCGGAGCCAATGCGAAGCTGATGACTACGGGTGCGGCTGGCATTGAAATCATTGCGACCAGGAATATCGAAGTTGGAGAGGAGATCACCGTCACATACGCCGAAAACTACTTTGGAGAGGATAACTGCGAATGCCTTTGCAAGACGTGCGAGGACAAATGGGTCAATGGCTGGGCGCCTGCCGAAGGACAGGTTGTTGTTAAGAAGAGCATAGAAGAGTCGGTCATGGACGGCTATTCTCTGCGTCGTCGAAGGAGAGATGATAGCACTGGGCCTTCTTCCCGGACGCCGTCCGTCACGCCAGATATTCGGCCGCGGGTATCCAAGTCACGGCTAAGAGGTGGAAAATCTGGCAGGGATTCACTGGCAGTTGATTCGCCCATGTCCGATGCGGTGTCGCCGAGCAAGAAACGATCATTCGACTCGCTCGTCACACCGCCCATCACGCCGTCAAAAAGACGCAAGCTGTCAGCGGCAAAGAGTGCGCCTGCCCCTACGGAACTTATCAGCTCAAGAGACAGCTCAGCCGCCGAGTCTGTGCGCAGCATGTCTTTGACGAGCGGATCGAATGAGGATGGCTCAGTAACGGACATCACTGAGCCAGAAAAGGACACCCCGGAGCCAAGCCAAGCAAAACGTAAAACAGAGCTCGTCAAAGAGGAGGATTGCGAGGAACCAACGGAGCAAATCTTAGCCAATGCGGCGCCGTTCTCCTCCCAACGGTTGAGTAAGAAGAGTACAGCACCTACAATATCTTCTGAAACGTCCATGTTGGTTCGAGAGGCGTCCGTCTCTACGACTAGGTCAATACCCATCTCGTCGTTGTGTGATCCTCCACCACCACCATCCGCACCTTCCGGAAGAGGCATGTCTGTTATTAGAACAATGACGTCCCCGACGAACGTCACTGCCTCACTACCAACAAGGCCCGTCATGAGCATCGCAGCAGCAATCTGTGAGAACATCAGTCCAAGAGCAGTGGCGATGTCAGATACCGGTGCGCCGGTCATCTCTGGCAAGAACAGTTTGAAGATGATGCAAATTGACCATATGTTGATAACCAAAGGGTCTCAAGCCGGCTCCCGCCATCATGTGCGGGAAACGTCAACTCTAAAGGCTGTGACGTCAATTGAGCAGGACACCCTGAGCATCAGCAACTCCGATAAGGTACAGAGCTTGAAGGTCGAGACATCGGCTTCAACAGAGCATCCTTTGCACATCGCAGACGACACTGAAGTCTGTGCGGAAGTTGATGAGACGATGGAGGCTGCTGACCAACCACCCCTGACGAAGCGCAAGTACCAACGGCGAACTTTCATCAAAGAGACTACGCCACCCGCAAAGACTCGGACGCCTGGCGATTATACTTTAACGCCGCTGCTGCTCTCTGAGCCGCAGACAGCCTGGGTACGCTGCATGAACTGTGAGACGGCTTTCGTGCAGCAGAATGCATACTATACGAAGAGTTCATGTCCGCGGTGCGAAAGGCATTCGAAGCTTTACGGTTACATCTGGCCAAAGACCGAGAAGGCTGGACCTCGTGATAAGGAGGAGCGCATACTGGACCATCGCACCATCCATCGGTTTTTGGGACGTGACGATGAGGCCCGAATCCGTGGTCGAAAGAGACCTACCACAGGAGGGCCGTCAGAGGCGGGTGAGGATGATGCGGGGTTGGAAAGCACTGGCGGTGGTGGCAAGGCAACGCCCAGGTACAGAATTGGAAACAAGCGCCAGGGAGCCGCAGAACAAGATTCCGGGGAAGCTGAGGACACAAGCGGGTTGAGACGGAGCTGTCGGATGCGAAAGGCTAGCAGTAAGGTGGCAAGCCAGTGACCAACCGGAGTGATGCCGCCATAAGCCGGGAAGGGCTTCTTTTTTTACGTTCAGGGCTCACATCGTGGCCCTCTTTTTTTTTATTTTACTCTCCGAGCAGTAACAGACGACGGCGACGTATAATTGGAACATGAGTGGACGGGAAGCCAAAGAGCGGTCTCTTTGTTTCATTGCGTTGTACATTCTGATTTTCGCTATGCATGCATAACCTGCATAGGTGCCGGGTATATATATCTTACATACGATAGTTTACTAGGCCGTGTACCACCACGATTTGAAGGGCGGTGGGTAGGCACACACACACACACACATACACATACACACAAAGTTCATGGCACACTTCCGTTTGGCGTTGCGTTGAGAGACAACATTCCAACCATATGTCTTGGCCAGAGCTCTTTTAGTTCAGATAAGGAGGCATTGAAGGCATACACTCACACCACCTCCCGCATTCGCCTAAAAAACGAGTGGGAATCGAGAGACAGAGAGAGTCGGTGAGAGGTCTAGAAGGGGGAGGGAAAATTGGTGAGCAGCTACAGACAAGAAAGGATTACTACATGCCATGGCCGTACACTTGCTGTATTTGTTTTCCTCGGACCCCAAACTTCCGGAAGCGGACGCCTGCTCTCCCATATCTGCATCCTGCGTTCTGCAACTTGCGGGTCGTGGTGATGGTTTCGGTCGGTGACCGAAAGCGACTTGCCAGACGCTTGTTAAAGCATGGACTGACTGACGGTTTGGCATAGACACGCATCCTTTTTTTTCCCCATAACTCACCTCATACTCACCCGATACCACACATACACACATACACACACACTCAACCCCCCGTCGCCTCCAACCCCCGCGCTGGATTCAAGCGACTGCATAAAAACGGTCGCGAACGGTGCGTCGCTAGTCCACCTGCGCTAAAGCCAACAGACGCTATCACGCTAGCTTTTCCTGCCCTGCTTGTCATAAAGGTCGAGCACACACCACTGTCTGCTCACTACCGGCCACTGGCTCACCGACTTATATCTTGGCCCCCTTCTCATCGCGCTCTTTTCGGATTTGCTAAAAGAGTGATCCTCAAGTCATTGCACTTCTTCACACATCATCCAAACATCTACAAATCGTCCAAGGCCGGTCGTTCAGAATGTCAACGGAGACCTTTACGCAAAATAGTCTCTTCAATGCCGGCCTCTCGGGGCCAAAAAGCTACTACTACTACGAACAAGAACAATATCACCACCACCACCACCTATACAGCCCGTCACCGAGGCTCTCTGCGCTGGCCTCTCCACATCTGTCAGCGGCGCACGCCCAGGCTAAACAAACCAATTCATCTTTCAAGCAGTCGACGACAACAGCAGCATCAACAACAATAATGACCCGGCAACAACGGCGAGCATCACAGCAGCTTCAACCTCAGCCACTTCACCCGCTCGCAACGCTGGTTGCAGTGGTTTTCGACTTTTTCCTGCGCGGCATCTTGGACCTCACGTGGCCGTTCAGGGAACTCTTGAGGATGATCGTCAGGGGAGTCTTCGCCAGCCTGTGTTGGGCGTACCATGCCCTGCCGTTACCGCTCGCATTGGGTCTGCTCTACTTTGGGTTTCAGAGCGTGCCGGAGGCATTACGAAGCGTCGAGGAATTGAGGGCCGTCTATGACACTCGTCTGGACGGTGGGTTTCGGGCGACACCAGACATATCCGGTGTCGAGGGGCTCTACGCTCTGGGAGAGCTTGCACTCGTGAGGTGGGGAGATTTGGGCGTCTTGTCGGTAAGTTCTGACCTCTGTGACATCATTTTCTCTTTTCTTTCCTTGAACTTGGTTTTCTTTCTTCTTTTTTGGGTTCGAAGTGCATCTCATCTATTTTCGAATATGGAGGTGCTTTGGGCAGAATCAAAACATTGGTATAAAGCAAAACAAGAAAGTGTTGAGGCTGACATTTTGTGGTCCAGGCGTTCTACTGTCTCGCTTTGATGACGGCGGCGTATGGGGTGATGCTCTTCATTGAGATGCGCGACTACGTCCGCGACACCTGGGCGCTCATCGAAGTAGAGGTCAAGGCGTTACGAGCGGACGAATCTAGCTGAGTCCCGAATGGGATTAGGTTCTTCTGTCTGCTTGTATGCCCCTTTTGGCTTCATCTCACACTCGCTATCAGCCTCGCCTTGTTGTTTTACTAGTTTTTGGTTTGCTTTATTTTGAGTGGGGGAGTCTACGGGTGAGATTGCTGATCACATCATCATTCCTCTCACTCTCATTCATACCCTCTCATGTTTTGTTTTAGAGGGAACAAAAAGCGGGCATCAAGCGACGCAAAAGTTTAAAAGGTTCCGCGGCGCTTTGGGCAGAGAATTCGCCCTCTTGGCGTTTTGGGTACGGTACTTATTTTCGGTTTTAATCGGATGAAGACAAAAGGGGCGATCATTCTGTTTTTGGGGGGTTTGGAAATCTGGAAGATCCAGAGAGACGATGACGGGGAATGTAAGACTGACGAGAGCTGGGCCCCGGCAGCGCACCCGAAAGTGACGGGATCTAGCTGGGCCCATGGATGGACATGGGCGACGCTTTGACGGACACATTTTGACGATTATGATGATACAAGAATACTTAATGAATATACAATACTGTACCAACACTTCTCTCCCCCTTCGGTCCATATAGACATGGATAAAGGGGGAAGAAGAACTGCAGAGAAATTCAAACTCTCTTGAGATGAACACATTTCTCCCCTTCTTCCTAGTTCACCCCCCTCTCTCTCTTCCTCTGTCGTGTATGCACCAACCAGCTTCATCCACGCCTTGTCAACCATGCCTGATTCGGCCCTCCCATTGGATTCGGACTTTGCAGCAGCGTATGCATGTTTGCTTGGTGGGCTGCCACACCACTGTTTGCGCTCCTCTGCAGCCAACAAAGCTCGATACCCCGACCTGATTGGACGCCACTACACCGAGGTCACCCCTTTGCACCCCTTACTTGCTTATTACTGTCTTCCCCGCAATTCTTCGACAGCTTATCTGCAGATGTTGGATGGCAGTAGAATGTCTGGTCTTGTCTGTTCAGCGGCAATCGAAGCATCAAGTGGCTTGCGTCGGTTGCCCTCTTTTTCTGCCAAAGCAGCAGCAGTTCAAGATTTCGATCCGATTAATGGTTGATTTGATCGATTCATTCATTGACTGACTGGCTGAGTGAATGAACGCTGATTGACTGATACTCTCCGGATCTTTTCCCCTTCGGACCGCCAGCAAACTTCCGCCCTACCCCAAGCCTTCACCCCTCCTCCATCTGGTAAGGTGCTTTGCTTCAAAGTCTCAGACCCGACGGACTCGGGGCGAGTTCCCCACCCCCAAACCGCAGCCCCGTAACCCACACTTCCCCGGCGTGCGAGGTGCTTCTATTTCCGCTATCCCGCCATCACAATGGTGAGGCACCACCCAGCGGCACGGACTGCGACAGTATCCATCACCTCAGCTTCAGCCCTCGCGCGGAGGGGTTCGCCATATGGTTGTAGTAGTAATAATAGTCCGTTGACGGATTGGGCATCTCCACAACACACACATACACACACACACACACACACACCACGTGTCGCGGCTTGGGCGCAATGCAGCTGAGGCAGATGAGGCAAAAAAAGGAGGAGACAAACAGGATCAATCGCGTTTCCTGTTTCGAACAACAGTCATTCCTTGGCAGGTTTGGATCTGCCCTCTTTAACCTTTTTGCCCGTCTGCCTGGTCCCGCCTCTGGGGGGGCCCTTTGAGGGTTGGGTGCTTGGCCGTTGGGAAAGTTTGCTATAAGGCGGGCGCGCTGTCTGACCTCCGAGTCGCTTCATGTTTGACGGGCTGATTTCTCGAATGTTTGCTCATTCACTCACTCTCCCCTGCGTTTGCTGTCCGACTCCCCCGACATGAACATGCTTGACCTTGCTTGAACCCACGATTCATGCTGCTTAACCGTTCCATGTCTAATTCTTCTTGAACCGCCTTTCCGAAAGTCTCCCACCTCCGCATTTTATCCCCCTCCCCTTTTTTTTTCCCGTCTTCTGAGTTGTAATTTGCCAGAAGCTTCGTCTCGATCATTCTTCCTTCTTCCGTCATTTGGCCGTTTGAGGAATTCTACGACAGACCGAGTTCGGAAACGTCACGAGGAGGGAGACTGAAACAAAATTCACCAAGACAGCATTCCTGCCCAACAAACGACTTATTCTTTATTCCCCCTTCTCCTTTTTTTTTTTTTTTTTTGTGTTCAGTCAACGTCCAATATGTTGAGAATGTTTGCCAATATGGATGGGTTCGGGGGTATGTTGTTAGTGGTTATTGTGCTTATGGTGTTGGCGGTCGGGGCCTCCACCTTTAACTATGTGAGTTCCCTGTCGCCCGGTCTTGGCTACTCCCTTTTTTTTATTTCGGTTTCTGCAATCTTACAGACATGGCATCTGGTTAGAGGCATCGGTGGCTGTATGCTGACATATCTTGGGGGGTTGTTTACAGATTTTGACCTCGGGAAAGAGCAAAGAGATTGATGTTGACGGCGTGGATGACTCCACCTACGCGTTTTACGCATCCAAGAGAAAGAGAGCTTCTAGTCAGGTCACCGGATTGAATCGTTGAGTGGCTTATTTGCTGAGACTTTGTTTTTTTTCCTGGCAGGTGTGAAGCGGGTTACCTTTGACCTTTGACGTCCTCCGGCGACGTCAATGAGGCGGTTTCCTTTGTCGAATGTCGGATTTTTAACGCGAGGCAACCGGAGTATGACATGGGGATCTGCGCCTCGCGATGATTTGTTTGAGTATTGCAGCATGAAGCCGAAGCGACGGAATGCGTTGGACTGGGTTGGTTCAATGTCACCCATCGCCGACGACTCACGATCTTGAACCAACCATGATTTTGGCGTAAGTGTTAGGACCACGCGGACAGACAGTTTCTATTTTTACTGTAGCCATTTTATTGAGAGGCAGGCTTATACGAAGGATAACGTTAAGGCGTGATATGCTGGCTGTTCCTTTTACCTGAAGTCTAAAGGCAACTCTTGAGTAACTATACGTATGAAGGAAGATGGTTTTTAGGAAGATACAAAATGAGCCCTGTATACAAGCTCCCAAGTACGCTGGCTCGCTAAATGGTGCATGTATGACCATCTTTTCATTCAATTCCCGTTTCTTCCTGCGCGATATCGGTTTTATTTGCTTGCTTCATCCGTCAATCAGTTGCTGTTAAGCCTATTCGCACTCAATCCTCTGAAATTTGGATACTTGATATATGTTTTAAAGTTTCTACATGTTAAAGAGCTGGCCGCACGCTTTCCAACTAATCTCGGCGATCCTTAGGCCCATTGCCACTCCCTGAGTAGTTTTCCCAATCGCAATGAGAAACAATAAGCGTATAATGAGTTCGACGCCGTAGTCTTCGGCTCGACCAGCCTCGTCTCGTAGGTGAGTTCACGTCGCGCACAACGAGACGCCACCATTTCCCATGACCTCACGACCTTCTCGTTCAAGGCGATCTGCCATGTTGCCGCCACAGTAAGCAGCGCCACATCTTTTCGAGCGTCGTATCTAAAGATGAAAACCTCACCGGCGCCCGGGGCCCATATTTCCATCAATCTCAGTAAGGGCATGCGCAAAGCAGCTTCGCTTGCCTCAAGAAGCAGGTTTACTAGGTTTGACGGACTTGATGCTAAGTCTCCAATGCGTGTCGTCAAGGCTAGATATGAGAGGACCGGCCAGACGCGGACATCATTCATTGCCTCTGTAGGATTCCCTGACACGTCTTTCGACGCGTGCTGAAAAAAGTCTTTGGCGTCGACGGCGTGGCATAGAGTAAAGCCTCGGAGATTATAACTTGCATTGACTGCCGACGATACAAGGTTGTCGTTGGCAGGCCTATAAAAACGAGAGTTTCCATGTAGCGAAGATTGGGCCTCCCAAAGATGTACTGATTTGACCGTAGCAGATTGGCTTGCAAAGTCGAGCAACGTGACCATTGCCTCGTTGCGTGGAGTTTGGCCTGTTTGATCAACCGCATACCACGGCTCGTAGCTGATAGTTCTGAGACGACATAGACTCCGGAGAACTTCGGCTAGTAACGCACTTGACAGACTCCTGTAGCAGAGTTGATTCACGGAGAAGCGTTTAACAATGGAGACTTGGTCAAGGCTAAGAGATCTAGAGCTGCGGTCTAGTAAGTTGCCGAGAAGACGCTGCTTGGAGTTCAAGGAATGTGTACGGCTTCGATCATGTTGAGTTAGCAGCCCGTGGCGATGCTTCCAAGGGTGGTCTGCATCGCTAGGGGAGCTGGCGCTCAACTCCAGTTTAATGCCTCCCGTGGGTGAGCTGTGAACCCATGTTGAAAGAGCACAGAACAGCTTCTTTAGAGCCTGGGTGATGATCTTATTGTTTGCCTTGATCGTGGCCTTGGTTTCCGGTTTGTCAAACTGGTTGGCAGAGTCGTACTCCTCGGTTTGCACATGAAGCGAGATCTTCTTGACAAGATTCCTTCGGTAGCCGTAGACGATTGAATTCAAATCATCAATGTCGACGCCTGGAAATTGAATCTTCAGGTCTAGGAAATTCTGCGGTTCGAAGAAACCTTGCCATTCCCCGGAAACACTTGCCCAGTATGACAACTCATGCCTTTCATTTCCCCTTTTGAGCTCCTCCAGAAGCTCCTTCAGAATCATCAGTCTAACCTCCGCCGGTAAGACTGCCCAACGAAGATTACCATTGGCATCGTCAAGAGAGTACGTGGTATTTGAACGTAACTTCATACTTTTCTCTGGGTCGCCGGAATACGGGATTAGCTTGTTGAAGTTTCGGGAGACTGAGAATGCATTTGAGATTATGATCGTGCCAGTAAACTGGAACGTAGCGGTGCAAATGAAGAAAACCTAGGATTACATGAAGAGATCGACTTTTTTCTCCGATAGGCGACTACAGAGGCATTTATCTGGCTGCGGTTTTGTGACTTATTGTTTGGCTTCGCGAAAGACATGGCATCAGCAAAGCTTAACACATCTCAAGATTTGCATATTGCCACTTCAATGTTCAGGTATGCTAATGTGGTGGATTTCGGGTCTTGTGCCAGACATACAAGCTGCACATAGCGAAGACATGGTTATCAGCCTTATTCGTAAGTGGCTAGAAGATGTTGATGGAAGTGAAGGTAAGGCGAACAGATCTCCGGTAAGTGTAAGCTAGTTTCTACAATCGTGGGTTTTAAACTTCACACGATGATTATCATACTCCCTTGCCTTTAGAAACCTCTTTAACAACTTGTACAACTCGTACAATTCGAGATATTTACTGAAAATAAGATTATTAGGAAACTTTGATTCTACTTGACACCGCGTAGTTTTCATCATGATTGTAAAACCCACTAGCGATCAATTAATGTAAACACATAGATGCTAGACATTCGGCTAACGCAAATGCGTTAGTTGCTCTTGAACCTGGCACTCTGCTGATATTGAGATGGCGTCAATTTAATTCCTAGCCGATTAAGTTCGCAAGGGCACTGCAATCACTTTGCAGGCCTCGCGCGCGAAACACTTTAAATCTTAAAAGCAATGGCTCGGTTGAATCATTCAATAGAGTTAAGGCCAGGCCACATATGAATTGATTGACGTGATGAGCAGGGGAGGCTCCTTGTCAGTTGGGCTCAGATATATCAAAAGTGGAACAGCTCATCACGCGCAGTGTCGATTGTGCACCCTGCATTGTTAGTGAAAATTCTCGCTGGATTGTGGATTGCGCTTGGACAATCCACGAGTTCTTGTTGGACTTCAGCAAAGGCGCAAGACGACATTATTGACTGAAGTGAAGCTATTCTCTAGGCTTCAATTGCTCGTATGACTTAGTGTAGCATCGGGAATAAAGGTGCATTATGGTTGCTGGGCGAAGTGGGGGGTGGCTGTGCATTGGATTGTGCTTAATAGTCGGAATGGCCGAGGAGTTCGTCTCGAAGCCGTCTAACCATGGAATCCTTCACAGCACTCCTCCAGTGGTGTTGATTTGATGTGCCCCGAGTGACTATGTGGCTGTGTGTAGATCCTGGCTCATCGAGTTGCTGTGCCACTTCTTGACTCTTGATCATCAGGGTGGCGCTGCAAATAGGCAGATAATCTACATGACATCACATGCTGACCCAAACATGCTTTTAAAGAGCAGAAGATCCTCATCAGATGGAATGGTAATTAAATCAGAAAAACTCTCAACTCTGCGAACATCTCGGCCTGACTCACCAGTCAGTAAAAAGAAACTTTTTGAAGTAACCCACCATGACACTATCTTCCGAATACCTGAGACGAAAGCCTGCGGCGGACACCTCCGCAGAAGAAGCCCCACCGCCGCCGTATGAAGCCAAGCCGCCCCGTAGCCCGGCGCCCGGCAGCAGCCAGCCACCACTGGATCAGCCACCGAAGAGTCCAGCGCCGGCGGGCTCGCAGGTTGCGCGCCAATTCCCTCCAATGTTCAACGTCTATTCGCAAAGCTTCAGTCGGACGTTTATCCTGGGCGAGCACCAGAATCAGCCATTCTACGCAATGTCAATCCACAGCGGCCTCAGCAGCTCGCCGCCCATTGTGCTGCATTCCGGCCCTACCAACACATCTCCGCCGCTCGCTTCGGTAGAATACCACAGCTTCAGTAGCAGAATGAGCATCACGCTGCCACCTGCTCCTAAAGGAAGCCCAGGAGGAGGACCAATCATCGAATTGGAGTCAAGATCCGATTTCCCGAGCCAGAGCTATGTCTTTTCCATGGGTGTCGGTCCCAACTGCGAGAGGGTAGAGCAGTTCCAGTGGCGGACGAGCTCCGGTGAAGCCATTGCTGTACTCGACGGCCGACACAGAGGCTGGAAGCTGATCAGGTTGTCACAGACCGTGCCGCCTGACGCGCCTCGTGGTGTCTTCCGAGGAGGCGACGGAAAGGAGGTCGTTGCCGTCTGGACGGACGCCAACATGAGCATGTCCAAGGCGGCCAAGTTTGCATTCATGGGTAGCGGGCTGACCGGAGAGCTGGGCGAGCGGTGGGCAATTATGGCCGCCATGTCCGGCTTAGCTATTTTTGAACGGGAGAGAGCGCGGCGGCAACGTAGACATGCCGCCTAAAGTCGCGCGCGCGAACATGTTTTTGGAACCTTTTGGGGGGCGGCACGGGGTACAGGCAAGGCTGTGGGATTGGGCGGCCAGCAAGTGAGCAGCGCCCTGAACGAGTGCATGATTGGATTGCCGGGATGTTAACGAACTGTTTCGTTTTGTTTTTCTCTCTCTCTCTCTCTCTCTCTTTCTTTGATACCCTGATCTTTTAGACGAACATGACTTAATAGAATACACATAAGCTGATGTGCAAGGAGAATGACTCGAGTGATTCTTGTCCCTCTCTTACAGATAGTGCTGTGTCTTGTCCAATCCTACCTTGTCGGATGCTCTGAAGGGGTTGCGCTGTCAGGGGGGCTTCTTGATTGCATCATATTGAGTGATGCTGAGACCTCCTGTTCAAACCTAGAGAGTCCCTTTGGCTCTGCAGACCTAGCAAGAGTCAGCTGAACATGTGTGCTAGAACCCAACTAACTCGGCCGAGAAAGTCATGATGTACAGAAAAGCCAAGCCTCTTGCCCTGAGTTGAGATCGACTCTCCACGAAGCATCCCGGGATCACATCAAGTGTTGGTTTTCCAAAAAGTGGACTGTGTTTGGAAAAACGCAACGTAATGTATGGTCGCCCTGAGGATTGCCATAAGATCGACGATTGTTTTGTGCAGCCCAACCGCAGACCGATCAAGCGAAAAGGATGTGGGAAACCCCCTGCTTGGTCTTGGTCTTTATGGTGGAACAAGTGGGACAATAAATTGAGGTAGCAACCAGGGGGTGGCCCCAAAGGCTTGGAGAGGGCCAGGCACCTGGCTGACCACGGCGGTGGATAACTGGACGACTTGCGTGATGTGCGGTGAAGCGCTGAGCCGGGGTAAGAGATTTGACGAGTGCATGGAAGGGGGATCAAAGATGGGATGGATTTATGTGGATGGGACCATATAAGGCCGCAGCCGAGAGGCCCGGCGGCTGGCAAACGGCACAAGATCCGAACGGCCAACCCGTGAAGACTCCTGAGAAAGCTGTCAAGTGACGACAACATCAACAAATGAAAAATTCACTCGCATTGACGGCTACAGTAGTGCATGCCCGCCAACGTCGTCATCGCTTCAGACTAACGTAGTGGTGTGGGCACGGGAAGTCTATCTAGCACATAGTAGCATTGAGTAAAAACGGGCAACGTTGTGGGCGGACAGGTGGCGTACTTTAAATCAATCTCGCATCGAAAAAATCCTTTTCTTACAGACTAACGGATCATCGGCTCACAGAGAGATCAAGCGTAATCTTGAGTCCCCATGGCCTAGGCAGATAACGGTGCTTGTTCCCGTGCCATATGGGCCACTACAAGGCCCACGAGGGCCCATTTTGCATCTTTCTTTTGGGTCGCCCCAAGAGCTCATGTCCGAAGCGCTGAGTTGACGGGTGATAGAACCAGAAAGAAGGAATACGGGGCCAACAGGAGCCGGGTGAGGCGAGATTCGAGAACACAGCCAGATCCATATTCCATTTGGCTAGTTTAATGCCTGTGTCCTTTCTGGGTAGGCGAAGGGGCCCAGCTAGTCTGGCCAATCTAGCCAACCGAGAGGCCCAGAATGTGGAACAATAGATGACGGACCACCTGAGGCCTGCGTATGTTGGTGTTTGCCCTGGCCCTGCTTCTCAAGATTACTGAGATCAGGAGGAGGAGGCGACGACAAACCCGGACGCGCCCAGGGCAAATGTTGGCGGCAAGGCTCTCAACTGGGAATAAAGGGCAGAGGATTGGTGGAAAGGGGCTAGATGGACTTGCCCAGTGCAGGGCCAAAGGCAGTTTTGAGCAGGACGTCTGCCCCTGGAGCTCCGCAGCGGAGGCTAGACACATGGAGATTCAACCTCTTTTTGGTGATAGCGCGTAGAGCGTTAATTGAAGCCACGGAGGCTGCAGGGCGAGTCTGGCGATAATTAAGAAAGGGGAGGGTCAGGACTTGGCTGTTTCAGGGTGGCCGCCGGGATCTGACGGGGATCCGACCGGGGTCGGCGCCGCAGTGACCAATCGGCACGGCCAGCGAACAACGGATTGGTGGTCGTGATCCCGGCCACCCTTGTCCGTTACCCCTGGCCATCGGATCGACCCATGTCTAGGGGCTGTCTCACCTTTTTATTTTTTTCTTCCCATGTCAGCACAACTGACATTTCGACTGACAACGAACTAGTTGCTTGCTTCTGTGAGAGTGACCACCACTTACATACAGACTTACACCATGTTTACTAGTGTTTGTTCCGCCGCACCATGCCCTTCTGCTCTGTATCTCACACGCACACCCGCGTAAGCGCAGTCGGTACTCGCTTGTAACCCTTGACTAGGCCTCCCCTCCCCATTCCCTCTCTCCAATCCCAGCAACGTGGATGCGCCGAAATGGCTTCATCCCCCTTTCTCACGCTTCCCTTGCCTTTCTTCGAGAGCTCTAATGGTCTTAGTCTGCTTTCACCACTCGTAGAGACGCGGTTAACCACCACCCACATCCCAGAATCCCAGCTCGCCTCCCGCATAGGCGAAATCCCCTTCCCATGTTGATCCCCACCAACCTGGCCGGATATGAGTGTCCTGCGTATAATTGAAACTTTGGCGGAGCGGCGGAAATGGTCCTTTCAATCTTGAACCGATTGAGTTGAGCCCTGTAGTCTGAACGGCCCAAGTGACCGTCTTGGGAACAGGGCAACGATGCCTTCCCGTATATATCACCACCTCTCCCGACCATCACCAGTTTCTGATCTTCCCTTTTCCGACCCATAGTGTTCAGCTTCACTTGACTTGTGATTCTATCTCATTCCTTCGTTCAGATTCGTCATTCTTTTCACTTGACCAGGCAGTCATTCATTTTTTTCGGTCTTAGACCTTCCAAACGCTCATTTCCAAACAACCCAACCCAGATATTCTCACAGTCAAGCCACCGGCACTTTTTTGATCAACAACAACCCAAATAAAAAACAAATCGCCAAAATGAAGTACACTGTCGCCTCCCTTCTTGGATCCGCAGCCCTGGTGGCTGCCCACGGCTACGTCGAGAATGCCACGATCGGCGGAGAAGCCTACACCTTCTACCAGCCCTACCAAGACCCCTACATGAACCCCGCCCCCGACCGTGTCTCCCGTGCCATCCAGGGCAACGGCCCCGTCGAGGACATCACCAGCATCGACCTCCAGTGCGGTGGCTACTCCGCCGGTGGCGTTGAGGGCTCCAAGCCCGCCAAGCTCGAGGCCAAGGTTGCCGCTGGCTCCGAGGTCACCCTCAACTGGACCCTCTGGCCCGACTCCCACGTCGGCCCCGTCATCACCTACATGGCCAAGTGCCCCGACGCCGGCTGCACCGACTGGCTCCCCGGCACCGAGGCCGTCTGGTTCAAGGTCCAGGAGGGTGGCCGCGAGGGCACCACCAACAACTGGGCTGCCACCCCTCTCATGAAGGCTGGCAACTCTGGTGTCAAGTATACCATCCCCGAGTGCATCTCCCCCGGACACTACCTCGTCCGCCACGAGATCATCGCTCTCCACGCCGCCTACTCCTACCCCGGCGCCCAGTTCTACCCCGGCTGCCATCAGCTTGAGGTTACCGGCTCCGGCAGCACCACCCCCTCCAACCTGGTCGCCTTCCCTGGTGCCTACACCAAGGACGACGCCGGCATCGTCTTCGACGCCTACAAGGCCCAGGAGTACAAGATCCCCGGCCCTGCCCTGTTCTCTTGCTCCGGCTCCAACTCTGGCTCCGGCTCCGGCTCTGCCCCCGCTTCCTCTGCCGCCCCCGTTGCCACCTCCGCCGCCGCTACCTCCGCCCCTGCTGCCACCTCCGCTGCCGCTGCCCCCAGCGCTACCCCCGTTGAGGCTGAGGACGACGAGGACGACTGCCCTGCCGAGTCCGCCACCCCCACCTCCGCTGCTGCCGTTACCCAGGCTGCCGTCACCCCTACCCAGGCCGCTGAGTACGATGATGAGGATGACTGCCCCGCTGAGTCTGAGGCTCCCGTCGCCACCCCTACTCCCACCCAGCCCGTTGACGAGGACGACGAGGACGACTGCCCCGCTGAGTCTGAGGCTCCCGTTGCTACCCCCACCCAGGCCGCCGAGGAGGAGGATGAGGATGACTGCCCTGCCGAGTCTGAGGCTCCCGTCGCCACCCCCACCCCTACCCAGGCTGCTGACGAGGAGGACGACGAGGACTGCCCCGCCGAGACCCCCTCTGCTGTCGCTAAGCGCCAGTCTTTCCACGAGCGCCGCTCCGCATAAAGGATTTCGTGATGCCTTTTATCTACGGTATCCGGCCTCAAAAGAGGGTTGACACAATCTAAACCGCTCAGGGAAAACCAGTTTTCCCGTGCTTGCTGGCGGACCTTTCACACTTGTGGTGGTGTCCCGATGCTGATTCGGTCTCGACCAATCCGTTTCATGTATAAAGTCTTTGTTGTATATCGTTTTTTACCTCACGTATATATCTATCATAACGATATAGATCGTACCATTTTCACGTTCAAAAATATGCTTTGCCATTTACCTTGTGATGTCGTGATTTGCTGCTCTAGACCTGATACCGTTTTGAGGTTTGAAATAACTGCCGTGTTTACTGACATTGTGTTGGTGTTTGTTGTAGGATGTTAATTACATACTCTAGTTGACTTTCTTCCCCGTGTGCTGTAGTTCCGCGGCCTAGCGCTCTTTGTTTCACAACGGAGGTGGGCTAAACTAATCACAGCATAACAGAAATCGACTGTCAAACAGGGATGGAAGGCTACGGAAAGCTTGTATTTGGTATCATTAAACTGTAGATGCAAGGTCTTCCATAGATGCTCCGAAATATCGAATTGATACACATGACTCTAAACGCTTTTACTTCCTCCGCTGTACAGGCTCGACTTCTCAGCACTAACACCCTGGCTTGAAGCAGCAACGCCAGAATGTGTAGAACGGCGCTTCCTCACAACTAGGAAAGCAATGCCGCCGGCAATGGCTACAACACCAAGTGTGACCATTGCACCAATGACACCAGCAACAGCGTTGGACATGCCACCACTGCTCTTGCTAGAGGCTGAGCTGGACACTTCGCGTTGGCTGGCAGGGCAGAAGGACACCTTGCTGGAGCAGGCGGCGCACCACTCGTCGACGGTGCTGATGGCACGCTCCTGCATCTCGCTCACGAAACGCGGCCACGAGAGAGTCTCCTCGTTAGCTCCAAACAGCGGGTACGCGGTCAGCTCGCCGAAGGTGCTGTTGCGGAAGAGGAAGCGCACGCGGAGGTCGTCGTCTGCATTGGCGGGGAACGTCGTGGCGTCATCACTGTAGAGCTCGAAGGCCATGGTCGAGGCGTAGTCTGGCAGACCAGTAAAGTTTGCCGACACGCTGACGAGATCTGTGAGACCGAAGAAGGCAAGGAATGTATCGTAGCTGCCGGATAAAAGGGAAAACTTGAGCTTGCCCTTGGAAGTGACGGTCTGGTTCAGCTGGGTGAGGATACCAGCGGTGAGGGTCTGCGCGTGGATGGCACGCTCGGGCTGAGAGGCGTTGAAGTTGTAGCCAAACTCGGCGCTGTCGGCGAGGGTGCGCAGCTGGAAAAGCTCCTCGTCCGTGACGTTGCGAGCCAGGGAGGTGCTGTTGTGGATGCGAGCGACGTTGATGAGGTCGAAGATGTCGTAGGCGTTCTTGTAAGTCATGTTCTCGGGCTTGTAGTCGTACACGCTCTCAAGGACGTCGTAGAGGCCGCCATAAAAGTCTTTGGTTGTCTCCATGCGGGTCTTGAATTCCTCACTGGCCTCAAAGGCCTTGTAGGCCGCGGCGTTCGCGGGGCAACCATCGTCGCCCTTGATCCAGATGGTGTCGGGGGAGTTGGAGTTCTCGCCGTGGAGGAAGACATATTGGTAGCCGTTCAAGGGGCTGGTACTTTCACTGCCGTTGTTGAGGGTTGAAGTTGCGACTTCAGCGTCGAGCTCTACCAGGGGAGGGTACAAACCCTGCAAGAAAGCCGTTGCAGAGTTCTTCAAGAGGCTTTGGTCCGGAGCACTCGCGTAAACCTGCGATGAGACGTACTTGTCCTCCGAGATGCCGAGGATTCGGTGGGGGGAGCCAGACTCCAGGTAACGGCCGCGGTAGTCGCTGCCAACCTGGAAGCACTGCTGGGCTCCAACGCTGGTGATGGCCTGGGCTCCATAGTGCTTGGTGTTACCTTTAGAATGTGAGTATGACAATTGACTTGTTGGGCAGAGAGCAATTAGCTAATCTACGTACGATCTCCGTGGCGGGTGAAGACAACTACGCCGTGGACTGTCTCCGCAACAGCGGTGCTGGCGAGCCAGCTCGCGACGATCAGGGTCTTGCCAATCATGATATCACGACACCGTTGGACTCTGTTAATCTTGAAGTTGAAGCAATTGCTGTCTAAGAAAGTGAGGAGCACAATGTCTTTCAGACTGTTGCGAGAACTATCTTGAGGCTTTAATACCTCGGAATACCCCACCCCCATTCTTGTAAGCCGTTCGCTTACATCCCAGTAGTCACATTTTGCTGTCAGTATGTCGTGTAGAAAGTTGTCAAAGGCGGGGGATCCAGTAAGTCTTCCAGTCCCGTGGCGCGGAGATGCTTAACGTCTGGTCTATCGCCAGTTGCCAAGAGGCCAAGTACTTGGCGTGCATCGTGACGAATCAGACCATGAGATAAGAGCAGCGGTCGGGGCCGACGATCAGTCAGAGCCCCTCCGAGAGCCGATGAGCGATCTAAGCCGGCTTGGCTAAGAGAAGTGCTTGTTTTCTTTGCCTGTCCTGAGAAAGGGTGGCCAAGAAAGAGTTAAAGAGGAGAGAAATTAGGGATTGAGACTGGGCGAAACAGTTACACGGTGCACTTTGCGGCTTGGTATCACCTCCCAATCGTTATCTATCCTTCACTTGCGGTCTTTCTGTAGCGTTGATATGCCGTCAGCTTTCAGGTGTCACGCAATGGATTCCCTCTTGCAGACCGGGGCACCAATTCATACGTCACGTATCCTATATTCTAGCAGATTGCGACAATTGCTAAGCCGACTCCAGCATAGTAGTCCAAACTATCAGAAAAGGTCGCTGCGGTTCTGTGTGTGTTGATTTTGGAAACCGCGACAGGTGAGGTTGCAGGAATTGACTGGAAGTGAGAAGAGTTGACTATGTTTCACTCTGTGGCTCACTTTTCGCTCAACTTGGGCTCGTCAGATAACTGCCCGTTGAAGGCTGGAGTAGAATGCCTTGGTATAGACGACTCAATCGACTACTCTGTTTAGCTACGTTTGAGAATATTGTACTGTGATGCCTCTCATTACTCGAGGAACCTGGAGGGGGGCAGGAAATGGGCCTGCTGTCAATGTGGGATTACAAAGTAGCTACTCAAGAGGGAACCCAAACGAGTTAAAAAAGAAGATGAAGATCAAAAAGTGACTAGCAAAATGGCCGACCTCTAATGGTTTGTACTGCCACCCAGTTGAAATAATTATCGAAGGTTGCAGCAGGAGCCTGTAACTCAATGAAGAACCCAAGTCTGCCTTGTCACGCGATGGTCATGCTGGCATGCGTAAACCAGTGACCAAGCCTATCCTAGTGAAGCTAGAACAGTTTGTAGCAAGTTTCCAAGATACAGCAGGATGATAAGGATATCCATACTTAGTTCTTAAGGGAATGTTGGACAAGTTAGTGGGTAATTAACGTAACTTGATAGGATCCTCTACGGATAGTTTAGCCAGTGTGACAATAGAAGCCGAAGGTAGGCCCTCTTTCCGTGTTGTTGACACGGAGTAGAAATTATGGAAGGACAGAACAAAAGAATCATAGACAGTTTCTCGTTCTCATTTATTGTAGGAAAACAAGAGATCCCATGCTCTACAACGAAAATAGAGGTTCCCTACAAGTTTAACCTTAAAATCTGAAGATTTAGTTTGAATTGGGCATACGGAGATCAAGTTTTTGTGTAACTTCTAGGCTCATGGTATTGTTGTTTCATTCAACTTCGAGTACGTCCCTGAAAGGTTTTAGACTTTTAGAGTCTTCATCTAGTCACAAAACATTTTAGCAATGTTTTGCGAGTTGAACGTAGCATTAAGAGGCATAATACTCAAGAATAAATAAGTTCCCTAGAGTGGCGAACTGCACAGGCATCAGTGAACGCAGTTATGAGTGTTACTCTGTTAGGCTCATTCCTGATGCCTATTTAAGGGAAACGTGAGGATTATTGCGTGATATTCTAAAACCCTTCACATCTATCACTTTGAGCAGTATAGAGACTACAAACTAGCCTTTACCCCTAAGCAGGCGGCATCAACATACAGCTGTAAGCGCTTAAAATGATCGACTTTGAATCACAGGCATCAAGTTATTCGTCTAACGTAGCACTCAACCATGAGAAAGCATACCTGCTGTTTTACATTAGACTTGGAAGGACGACAGCCAGAGCTTCCATTGCCAGATTCGAATAATACCTTGTGGTTGATTAGATTTGCCACATGTGCCCTTCCATTTTGCTAGCCGTCAAGAGCCGTTTCATCCTCAGATACCATTTGAAATCTTCTGTGATACCACCTTCTAAATATGTTCTCCATTCAAACTTGGTCATATTTGGCATACAGTAGGATCCTTCTAGTAACTCTTAAAGGACATTGTACGTTTAGCTGCGAACATATCTTAGGCCAAGAAAGCCAGTTGCCCTTAAAATTGAAGACGACACTGCTTAATGACGTTATTTTTACACAAGTTGTAGGTTGTGATGATTTTACGCTCCACTTTACCTTCTTCAGAGTAGTACGCTGTGGTGTGTTCAAGATATTGCATGAAGTGAGCCTACTAAATGGACTAAAGTACACATGATGTGTGACGAGACCAAACTACGACCATTTCAACAGAATTGTTACTGTGTCACTGATGTCTGACATCCATATTAGTCTCCCACAACTTACACGAACGAATCAACCTACAGTCTTACCCTGCAAAGGAGCCTTGCGCAATACTTACGGCTGGCATAAATGACTTCCGAAGAGTAAAAAATATGGAGAGCACAGCAGGCTAGGAACGCAGCGGCCCGTATGGGCTGAGACATCAGCTACACCAAGCCGCTTGGCTGCGCTGTGTGATCTCAACAAGTCACAAAATGGTCGCGAAACTTCCAACCCAGCACCGAGCCCAGTGACGAGTCGCTAGACGTTGACCCCTACCTTTGAGAGAACTCGGCAAGCGAGATGTCAAGCGAGATGTTACATTCTAGAGTGTAAAGCCCAAGACAATCTTTCGGCCGTCGCTGGCCGAAAAATTAACGTGCCGAGACACCAGAGGCGTATTGAGGCAGGTGACGGATTGGCTCAACATCGAGATCAGTCAAATTAGTTTCTTGACACGAGAGGGAAAAAGACATCCAGTGCGCCGGCAAAATCATAAACCTGCTCAGCGACTGCAAATGCGTGTCCGCGGGTTTCCGGTGTGAGAACCGGTTATGGAAAAAAATCATGTTTGGCCAAGGAAGCTGAGCAAGCCAGATGGAGGTTTTTGTGTGTCATACGGTTGGACCAAGCACGAAGTCGATTGGTCTTGTCTAGTAGGATGGATGGTTGGATGGTGGTGTAGCTGCATTCAGCCGAAGGAAAAAGAAAGATATGCACAGCGACGTGTCTGGAGATTTGGGGACAGGGGGGGGGAAACTGTCGGTAAGCAGAAGCCAGTCACCTTTTTTCGTTCTTCCCTTTAATTTTCAACCTTTTTGACACATTCTATTGTTCATGCCAGTTGATGCGTCCCCAGGGAAAAGGGAGCAGAGAGAGGGAGAGAGGTGAACAAGGAGTCTCCATTGACAAGATCCCTAGTGTCGAGTCTGAGCGTTATCAGATTGTCCGACATTATCGGAGAAAGTCTCGGAGAAAACTCCAATGAGGCCCAACAGCTTAATCAGAGCTGGTACGGGATGTTGCTGGGCAGCAGATAAGGAAGGGACCAGCAGATATGGGAATCTTGCGCCATAGCTTCCTCTTCTCTCTAGTTTGTGCACCCCTTCCCTCCCCGGTTGTACCATGTATAAGCCCTGCGGCTTGGTCGCTCGACTGGGCAGGAGCAAGACAAACTCCAGTCAGACCTGCTTCGTTGGTGAAAGGGTCAGGAAATCAGGTGGGCTGAGGTAAGAGTGGGTACACAGAAGCTGATGTGGATCAAAGCGGCTCCGTTGCGGCTGTCGGTCGGGCCACTGATTGGAGGAATGATGCCATGACTTACTGGTAGAGAGCGGCCTGTGACCTGATCTGACCTGACAAGAATGAAAAGGAAGGAAGGGACCCTCAGTGTGCAAATAATTGTCCAATAACGCAATACGGAGTACGAACTCTTGAGGTTGAGGTTTGCCAGAAAGAAAAAAAAAAATGGAGGGACGATGGCGAACTACAGGCACGTGGCAAGCATGGAGCATACTGATTGCTGAATCCAATCAGGCCGATCCATGATCTAGAATGAAAGACCTATAATCCTAGTTAATTAGACTGTACTGTCACTGACTTTCCACGATTTGATTGATACTATGTGCACAAAGGCGTCAGTACAGGCACCGCTGTAGAAATACGGGCTAGCTAATAAGAATGAGGAGGGCAGTTTCGTTATACCTGCTATAGTGCTATGTATACATACATGACACGAGGCTTTGCTCTCAGGTCTAGTTCTGGCCCAAGCGGCGCAAGGTTGATGGACAACGTGACCTGCAAGCGAAAGCAAGCAGTCTCCACGGAATGCTGGACAATGAAAATGACGCCATCGCAGGCTCGCGTTAGCTCATCCCAATTAGGGAGATTGGCAGCCAGGATGGCGACATTGGCGGCGGCCTTAACCTCATCGTCGGTACTCGGTGCAGTCTGGAGAAGCCCTCTCTTCCAGCTGTGAAGGGAAAGGTACGGACAGGTACCGACAGGATTCCCCGCAGAAAAAAATATTAACGAGAACTGGGAGAGCTCGGAATGAGATTTGAAGATGTCGCAAGTTTATGCTGAAAAATCAAGGTTCTAGACGGAACCGACGGGACAAAGCCTTTTTTTTCTCTTCTATTTCCATCCTTTTGTGGCTAATGGTTACCAAGCGCAACTGATTCATTTCGGGCCCCAGCGGGATGACGCGAGAGAAACTGAAAAATACGTGGACGGCGATGGGCTAATCGCCGATCGGGCCTCAATAAACGGAACGGAGCCTTTATTTCCCACTCTTGTTTCTTACAAAGAGAGAAGAAAAAATTGAAAAAAAAAAAAAAAAACAGAAGATGAAAAAAAGAGAGAACCCGCCTGACCGTCTCTCTGGCGGAGATGTTGATGGCAGATTCTAACTGGTCGAAACGAGGGAACTGACTGATGAAAACCACCTTAAGGCCCAGTTCGTAATGCTTAGTGCATGCCATGTAGCATGCTTGAGCATATTGTTAAGTAAGCTTTTCCACTACGAAGCCGGCGTGCACCTTGAGAAATGCTCCATTCTGGGTCATTACGGTAGTGCTGGTCAGGCAACGTTTAGGGCTCTGACGCACGCCATCCGGCAAACTCAAACCATCATGAAAAGAGACACACATTGATACTGGGTGAATGATTGAGATGTGGATTTTTTAAGGCGTTTGTGGTGTATCAGCTGCATAATCGCGGGGAAGAAGGGGAGAAAAACAAGACAACTGCACCAAGACCAAAAACACACATACCTAGACACTAACCAGGTATCGTGTAATTTACTAGGGATAGAAAGAGTAAAGTACTTGCACAGTCTCTCTACCTTCGGACAGCCCCCAGCCTTACTTGCCTTTTGCAGTCTCGCTTGTCGGGTTCCGTCCCCCGCAATCTTCAACTACCTTCCCAACCAGATCGGCTATCGGTGACGGTGCAGCGAGACCCGTCGCGCTTACCGTATTGCTTCGCCGCAGCGATAACCGTTAGCCTGGCTCGCCCAGGTTCGCCCAGGCTTAGTAACAGCAATTCGAGGCGCTTAGTGGTCATTTCGCCGCCGAGAGTGGGCCTGGACCCCTGGGAACCGCTGTCCAAAAGTCAAAGGGTGGAACGTCTGGGGGGGCCACACAGCGATAACGCCATTTTCGCCCCAAAGCACCCAAACCGCCTCTTTGGTTCTGGCTCCGTCTGCGGTTTTGCTGTTGCTTGCTGTGTTTGACAAGCCTACGAGTACGACTCTCAGGTACCTTTTACTACCATTTTACTATTACAGCTACCCTACTGCTACTGCTTTGCCCAGTCGAAATCTTCTCCGCTTTATTTGATACCCCCCCAGCGCAAAGCCATTTCGACATCGGCCTCCTCGCTCTGACTGACTGTCTCTCTTCCTCAACTGTTGCTCTTTGGCATTTCGAGAACGGACAATAAGTACGTCGCTCCCCCAACACACAATATTTGCGATCCCAAGCCCGATCACGACATCCCACAAAGCGAAACCCTCTGCGGTCACGACGACGACATACTTTCCTCTATACGTCCTCACCACCATCTTCGGCTGAACCTTGTTGTCAATCCTCACCCCCCTCTTCCTCCAACACCTGTACCTCCCAAACCGCCTATCCAACCATTCAACTCAACCCTCCCCGGCTGCTTCATACCTGGACCTTCGTCTTACATGGTTCCCGGACAGCTTTAGACGTCCATCGAAAGAAATCAAGCGCATCGAAAGAAAAAAAAACTAGCTTAAAAAAAGCAAAAACCGTCCCATCTGTCCGCCCCCTTCTCGACGAATAACCAGGGGCTCAACCTCCTGCCAAACCTGCTCTAAGCCGCTGTTTGTCCCTCAACAACACCAAACAACAACGCCCGCGCGCATACTCGACAGCCTGCGCTGTAATTGCGTGCGCTTGCGAATTTCCCCCTGCTTGAACCAGTCGGACGCTGTTCCTGTGGATCATCTGGGGCTCCCTTCTTTTGGAAGCTGGCAGACTTACTCAGATACAAGCCATACTGCAATTAGCAACCGCGAATCTTGTTTCCCCTGGCTCGCACGCCATCGCCAGGTCCTCTCGCCTCACCCGCTCCCAAACCGCCCACCGACATCCACACGCCCCCCCTACTCTAAAGGGGTCACTTTGCGGTCACTGTACACGGTTCCATCCGTCTGTCTCTGGCCCCCGTCATTCTCTTGCTCGCTCGTCCTTGGCCTTGGAGACTTTGCTGTGCCTGTCAGACAGGTCCGGTCTTGTCTCTCCGTATCTGACCAGCGCCTAGCAGCTTCCGTCTCGCCCCGGATGATTTGATACTACATCCCCCCGAATCTGTTTTCCATTGCTCGCTGAAACATATTGCGGCCATGGACCTCGCAAGCACGTCAACCGTCCCGGATCCCCGGAGCATGAGCCTGAACCTGGACCTAGACCTAAGCCATCCGTCGCCTTCGTCGCCCAGTCGCCGCCGTGACGAGCTCGCCTTAACATCCACCCCATCTCCCAACTCCTTCATAACCACACCGACTTTCACCGCTGCCACCGACTCTCCCTCGACCTCCAAATCCACCTATACCTCTGCCTCCGCCGCCAACGATGTGATCACGGCAACTCAGCCCCCAACCAAAGACAACTGTGATAGACGGAGACTCGACGAGGGAGACAACTCGAGATTTCCTGCGAACATGCCGACCCAACTGGTCGGTCAGACTGTTACACCCTTCCTAAGAGAGCACATCCCCGGCATCTACGCCCCCATCGGCAAGCCTGACGTCCAGAACGAGAACAACAACCTCAGCCAAAAACGAGACCCAAACAGCAAGTACTGCTATCGTCACCGCCCCGACGCAAAGTGTCGTCGCGCAGCCGACGAGTCCAAGATGGTCCTGATCCAAAGTGTAAGCCAAGCCAGTCTTGCTGCCCACAGGGATTACCGACTCCGTGCTGACACATGTGCACAGGAACTCGATAAGCTCCCCGTGGCTGACCAACAGGCCATCACCCATGTCTGGTCTCTCTTCTCTGCCGCTCCTGCCAAGCATCGCGATTTGATGCTTCAAGGCATCATCACACAATGTTGCTTCCCTCAACTATCTACCGTCTCCCGCGAGGTCCACGAGCAGCTCAAGATCGACTTCATGGCTGCCCTCCCCACCGAAATTTCCTACAAGGTCCTCGGCTACCTCGACACCGTATCGCTCTGCAAGGCCGCTCAGGTAAGCAGGAGATGGCGCGACCTCGCCGACGACGACGTCGTGTGGCACCGCATGTGTGAACAGCACATCGACCGCAAGTGCACCAAGTGTGGATTTGGCCTACCACTTCTGGAAAGAAAGAGGCTACGAGACTGGAACAAGCAGAAGGAGCTCGCTCGGAGTCATGGAGTCGAGGAGCCCGCCGAACAACCTCAAGAGGCAGCTGCGGAACCGGCATCGTCACCTAACGCGAACAAGAAGCGGGAACTAGTTGTCCTCGATGACAGCAGGAAGCGTAGCTGCCTTAGCGAAGTTGGTGAGCCTGGTGCGCCCAAGGCCGGATCCGAGAAGGAGCGTGACCGCCTTATCAGACCATGGAAGAGCGTCTATCGTGACCGTTTCAAGGTCGGCTACAACTGGAAGTACGGCCGGTGCCACATCAAGACGTTCAAGGGCCACGACAACGGTGTGACTTGTCTACAGTTCGACGACGATATCCTCGCCACGGGATCCTACGACGCCAAGATCAAGATCTGGAACATTGAGACAGGAGAGGAGATTCGCACTTTGTCCGGCCACACCATGGGCATCCGCACGCTCAAGTTTGTCGGCAACAAGCTCTTCAGCGGCAGCTTGGACCATACCATCAAGGTCTGGAACTGGCAGACGGGCGACTGCATCAGCACGCTTCGTTGCCACACCGAAGGCGTCATTTCGGTTGACTTTGACGGCAAGTTCTTGGCCTCTGGGTCCATTGACAAATCAGTCAAGATTTTCAACTTTGACAGCAAGGAGACATTCTGTCTCCGTGGGCATGAGGACTGGGTAAACCATGTTCGTCTCGACCCTGGATCGCAAACCGTCTTCTCAGCTTCGGATGATTGCACCGTCCGATTGTGGGATCTGCGAAACAAGACGTGCATCAAGACTTTTGAGGGTCACATGGGCCAGGTGCAGCAGATCTTGCTGATGCCGGAAGATTTCGAGCCGGATGAGGAGCTGCTCACCGGTGACAACACCGACACCGCGTCCGTTCACAGTGGCAGCGGACGTGCCCGCAGCACGACACCTTCGGCTTGTGCTAATGTGGCGTCCATTCTCGGGTCCTCCTTCGGCGACTCAACTTCGGCGGAGGACGAGCGGTCGTCATTCGGCAGCGCTTTTGCATCTGACCCCACTCGGCAGCTCCCGCCCCGCTATATGCTCACGGCCGGACTGGACAATACCGTCAAGGTGTGGAACACGGCCACCGGAAAATGTCTCCGCACCATGTTCGGCCATGTGGAGGGCATCTGGGGCCTTGTCGGCGATACCCTCCGCGTCGTCACCGGCGCCAACGACTCGATGGTCAAGGTGTGGGAACCCAAGAGCGGCAAGTGCGAACGCACCTTTACTGGCCACTCGGGTCCCGTCACCTGCGTCGGTCTCAGCGACAGCAGAATGGCCAGCGGAAGTGAGGACGGCGAAGTTCGCCTTTACAGTTTTGAGGCGGATGGGCCACTCGAGGAGTGTGGCACCCCTGCATAAACCAGCGATTGGAATTTTGTTTGGTTTTTGATCACTTTTTACTATTCACATTACTCTTTTCTGGCGGGCGTCTGGCGAAATGATTCCCAAACGGCGATTTTACAAGAGACGGACGATATTGTTTTGCACGTTGAAGACTACCTCTGCAACCCTACCTCTTATCATTTTCAGATTATTTTAGAAATGTCCTCGGGGACTTATGGGTATCGGGTATTCAGGGAACCGGGAAGCAAAAACCGGTCATGGGGATGGCGGCGTTTTATGGATTGCTTTTATGACTCCTTCCACCATCAAAAGGGAAGGGAGTAGGATAGGATAGGGTGGGAAACCAAAAAGGTAGCGGCAGTGTCCAGAGTATAGGATATATCATGATGCCCGATTTAATCTACTACACAGTGGTTTACGACTCATACCATGACTTTCACATGCTCGTGTCTCATGTTGGGACCTGACAAAGTCGCCAGCCTCACTTTAAAGCATCTTACTACTGCTACTACTAATACTCTTAGGTAGTAGAATAATTTCATCTGATACCGGCGCGTCATGGTCAGATTGGGTACAGCGGCAGGCAACACTAGGGACCTGGTTCAACCTGGTTTCGAACTGGTTCCCATCCCTCCCGTCCGTCCCTCCATCAGCTGATGTGACTTTTGTGTTCCTTCAAGCAAGCTCATTTTGGGACTCCTCCTGGCCCATGAGGGCAGTGCCTGATGAGAGATCGAGGGGGAGGGGAACGAAAGCTACCGAAAACGGCATAGGGTCTCTTCCTCTCACGCTTGTCTCTGATCTTTGACTTTTTTTTGCAGACTTATGTATTGAAGAAATCAAGTTCTCTTTTACGTCGTGTGCGTGTGTGTGTGTGTCACTGCACTGGGCTTTAGTCCCCCCCCCAGGACCAGCCTCCGAACCTCGGCTTTGTCCTGACGAATGGGCCCTGCTTCTCGGCCCAAGGCCGGATGTGTTTGTGTCTCCACTGGTTGGGGGAGGGTGACCGCCGCGGTGGTGGTACGTACCGGAGTTGTCTCTCTCCCCCGCAAAATCACAAGCTCGGCTTGGAGTCGGTAAAGCTGGAGGGTGGGTACTCACGGTAGATTACGACGTATAGTTTGCGGTATTGCTTGTGGTTTCTGCCGCTACGTCACTTTCTGGGGGGGGAGTTTGCTGCGCAGAATCACAGGCCGAGAAAGTCGATGTATTGGAGGTACACACTGGACCTGGAAGTTGACTCCTCACCCCTCTTTATGACGGTGGATTCAGTAACTGATGTAGATCCAGCTTCCGGTCGTCCATTTTGAATTGTCTTCCACCCGGTATAACCCCCCAATTCCCCCCTGTTTCTACCCAGATAGAGAGGCAGAAAGACAGAGATGGAGAGAATAGACAGAGAAATACTTTTTAAAGAGAGCGCCAGGGGTAGTTTCATTCTTCATGGGGGTGAAAAGAAAGGATTCGAAGGGTCCCCCCTTTCACGCTTGCGGGACTTGCCAATCAGCCTCCCACCCCCAGTTTCCGTTCCGCCGAATCGGGATGGGTGAAGGTCATTGTGTCGCAACACACACGCTTGAAGATTTTCCAATGGTTTGAGCCACTCAGATCTCGCGTCCCCTTCGTGCTGCTGCTGCTGCTGCTGCTGCTGCTGCGTCACTCTCATGCCAATCCCTCTTTTTCTGCCTTTCCTTCCATGCTTCTGCATATCTTCTCTTTCTTCTAGGCTGGGGGGCGGGCAGACTAGTCAAGTGTACTTTGCGCGTAGAAGTTTTGGAAGCGTCTGATCTCTTACCACCCTTCCATCCACACACGCCCTGGCGCCCGTATTGCCGATGCCCCTGGCGCTGGTTTGTGTGTGTGAGTGTGTGTATCTTATGCCGCGGATGAAAGGGGATGAGGAGAAGCTGGGAAGTACACCTCTCACTTATGCTGGACAGGTGTAGAATGCGCATCCAAAGTCACACTCACTCTCTCCCCTACACACCACGCACATTACCACATGGCATTGGGCAACTAGCTCTTGAGTCATCTGCCAATGGTCCTGACTGGCCCTTGCGGCTGATTCTATTCTGGCTCGTGCCTTGACCCTCCCTCCCTCCCCCCTTCACTCCTCGCGCATCTGATGCGCCACCACCTGTAAATGGGTTTGTTCCCGCCCGCTCTGCCGTGGCTTTCATCATCGGCGCCGAGGATGGAGAGTATGCTTTTGTACGGTCCCTGGACGACTCTGTTCCGAATCTTCTTCTTCTTCTTTTACTTCTTCCTTGTCCCGTCCCCGGTTCCTTCCTAAGCTTTCCTCCCCCCTCCTCCCTTTCTCCTTGCTCATCTCTACTTGTATGACTCCTCGATTACCTTCTTCTGTCTCACGAAGCATTGTAAATTGCCATTGATATACAAGAAAAAGCGAATTGTCGTCTTTGTTGAGTTTATCGTACACGGCGGCGCGAGCCTTTCTTCTTCTTACCCCTCCACCTCCCCCCCTCTCTCCCCCTTCGTTCTTCTCGTCCGCGGCGGTAGCATCGCGTGTATATCATGGCCTCCAAAGTGAAGCAGGATGGCAAGACGCCGCCCTCTGCGGCCACGAACCTCATTGGTATGTTGTTGTTGTTGTTGTCGTTGTCGTCGCCCAGCCTTTTTGTCACTGTGGCTTTCTTGTTTTGCGCGCCCGACTAACATTGATTTTCCAACAGCCGGTGGTGGTGCCGGTATGATGGAGGCATTGGTCTGCCATCCCCTCGGTAAGTCTGCACGCACCCTGGTTTCCCGGTCTGCGCCGGACGTTCAGAACAAACCCCAATTGACACACCCTTCTTCTTTCCTATCGCAGACACGATCAAGGTCCGAATGCAGCTGTCGCGGAGAGCGCGGCAGCCCGGCGCCCCCAAGCGCGGCTTCATCCGCACCGGTGTCGAGATCGTCAAGAAGGAGACCCCGCTCGGCTTGTACAAGGGCCTTGGCGCCGTGTTGACGGGCATCGTGCCCAAGATGGCCATCCGGTTCACGAGTTTCGAGAGCTACAAGCAGATGCTGGCGGACAAGAAGACGGGGGTTGTCAGCGCACAGGCGACTTTCTTGGGTGAGTCTCTCTCTCTCTCGCTCTCTCCCCTTCCTTTCTGCCGGACAGACATGTGGTTTTGTTAGGCTGTTGAAGAGTGTTGAAATTGACGTTCAATTGCGCAGCTGGTCTCGCGGCGGGTATAACTGAGGCCGTCGCCGTCGTGACGCCGATGGAGGTCATCAAGATCCGTCTCCAGGCGCAACACCACAGCATGGCGGACCCCCTCGACATCCCAAAGTACCGCAACGCGGCGCACGCGCTCTACACCGTCGTCAAGGAGGAGGGCGCCGGCGCGCTGTACCGCGGCGTGTCTCTCACGGCGCTGCGCCAGGGCAGCAACCAGGCCGTCAACTTCACCGCCTACTCGTACTTCAAGGAGGCCCTCAAGAAGTACCAGCCCGAGTACGCCGGCACGAACCTGCCCAGCTGGCAGACCACCGTCATCGGCCTCGTCAGCGGTGCCATGGGCCCCTTGAGCAATGCGCCCATTGACACCATCAAGACGAGACTGCAGAAGACGCCGGCCGAGGTGGGCACGAGCGCGTGGAGTCGCATTGCCAAGATCTCCAGCGACATGTTCAAGTAGGTTTCTTCTGTCTTCCTGCGTGTATCGAATCGAGTACTGACTGCATGGAAATTGACAGACAAGAAGGCATGCACGCCTTTTACAAGGGCATCACGCCGCGCATCATGCGTGTCGCACCCGGACAGGCCGTGACGTTTACCGTTTACGAGTACCTCAAGGAGAGGCTGGAGAAGAGCAACCTGGCCTTCACCGGCGGGAATTACGAGGAGTAAAAATCAAAATGGCGGCTATGCGGAGGGGGTATTGTGTTAGGGGGCGCCGCTGCTACTGCTGCTGCTGCTTTTCCGGTGGCTGTCTGTTGATGCGAGAGATACCAGGGGTTTTAAATTTGCCATACCTATTTTGGAGGAAAAGAAAGAAAACGGCGGCAGGGTTGCGGCATTTCGTGTTGAAACTCCGGGATTGCAAGTTAATGAAGCACTGCGGAGGAGAGACTTGTAGATACGCTGAGTTGTGCGCCACCATTCATATATAGAGAGGTATTTGCATTGCGAATCATTCTTCTATTTCATCACTCGCTAGCCTGATCTACAGGCCCCCGGAACACCAACGCCGTGCATGCGCTCGCACTGACTTTATATTCCGCTCCAATTCTAATTTTCTTTCTACCAGATGACAGACAGACAAGACATCAGGCACTGTCCGTTCACCTGCCGGGACGCTTGGGTCTGCTGAACCCTTGTCTGGTCGTCACCTTGGGGTGCAGCTCGGCCAGGACCGTCTCCTCAGTGACCTCGCTCGGCTCTTCCACCTCGAGCTTCTTGTCCAGCGTGAGGCCGGCCTCGCTGGACGCGACCTCGAGGACGGCACGCTTCATAAGCGGGTACAGCATGCGGTTCTTGATGGACTTGTTGCCGGGGGTGACGGGGCAGGTGTAGATGAAGAGCAGGGGGCTCGACTCGGTGCCGTTGTGGGTGTGGGTGAAGCGGTAGAAGGTGAAGCGCGGCTCGGTGGAGGAGATGGTTTGCGTGAGCTCAGAGATGGAAGAGGGCTTCTCGTCGGAGGGAACGAGCTCGACAGACTCCTTCTCGGGGTTGATTTTCTGGTGGAAACGGCCAGTTAGCTATCTATGGTCATCCAGAGACATGGATGAAAGTGATTATACGTACCAGCATAACCAGCGGACGGCCTTCGTTCAGCTCCTTCAGAGCCGCAAGGGCGTCCTCGGCAATGGGCATGGCGAGGGTCTTGCTAAGGTGGATCTCCCGTGTTCCCGTGCCGGTGCTCGCCTCGGCCTCGGCCTGCTTGACGGCACCGAGGCTGCGCTCCTCCTCGGTCAGGGGCGCCTCGAGCTCGGTGTGTGCATCATGCTTGATGAAGCCCTGGGCAGAAAGCTCCTCCGGGGTGGTTGCGAATATGGATTCGCGGAAGTGTTCGGAACCCAGCTTGCGGACGAGGGTTAGGCGGGTCGAGGCGAAAAGCATCTTCTGGCGGACCTTTGCCGAGTCGGGAACATAGGTCACGGCAGCAAGGTGTGGAGCGGAATCGTAACGGCGGAGAAGGGCGTAGATGGCTTCATTAGGCTTGAGGTGAGGCTGGAGGGAGGAGAGGTTGTCCTCGAATGAAGAGGAGGTCTTGGGGAGGAACGTGACAGGTGTAAGGGTTTCAGACTCGATTGTGATGACGAGACCGAACTTGTCGTCGTCGGAAAGGAGTTTGTTGAACTGGGAGACAAGCTCCTGCGAGGCTGATGGCTGTTAGCTTCGACTGGGTGAATGAGGGTATTCGCGTTATGTGGCGGTGGGAGAGGTGGACATGGATTTGAACGTACCAGAGATGCCAGACTGCATACTGGCGGTTTGGGAGGGACAGCTCTAGGTATTCACAATTGACTACTTAGAAGCTGATCCGTTCCTAAAAAGGGTAGAAGTCCAGTTAAAATACACGGCTCTCCCACGAGATCGAGGTGGGATGGCGGCGGTCGGTGCTGTGTGAAGCTGAAGATGGCGGCCGCTACGTCAGCTGTTGGGTGGATTCCAGGATGGGGACGGTGGAGGGGAAGCAGCAGCTTCCCACTTGGGCGGGGTTCCGCCGTCAGTTTTGTATTACATAAGCGAGCCGGATTGCTATTCCCGTACCTTGCTTGGTACTAAGTATTTGATTCATCACCATATCAACATATAAATGGGCTTTTATACGGCTATTATGCTGCAGTAATGATATGTTACGAACAATATGGTTTGATGTATTCCTGGAAAGCCTTTCGATATCATCATCCTGATCATTCGGCGCTCTATCTCAACCACATCCATGCCAACGCTACAGCGCCAAAGGCGGCACCATATGTCGCAATAATCTTCACCGACTTTATAACGGCTTGATTGCGGAAGACCCTGCTTGACTCGCTATGCGCAGCCCTATCATTTGCAAATGGGAATTCCTTCCCCTCAGGCACTTCCTTGCCAAGAAAATCGCAAAGCGGCTTCCATCCATCTTTGCCTACTCGGTACACCAGCAGTCGTTCCGGCGCGATGTGCGCCTTGATGCGCTCGGAATGCCGTCGATAGATCTCGGGGGACAAGCGGCGCAAGTCCTCGAGCGTGTCTGCCCCGCCGTAAGAACCGCGGAAGATCTTTTCCATTGCCTAAACTGCCCGGTTGCCGATAATGGTGCCAACAACCTTGAGAAGCAACTTGTTCGATGGCTTCATTGATGGCGCGAGGACCTGGCTGTCGTAGCTGTCAAACCACTTGTCCACGTCACGTTCTGTGAGAATGATTTTGGCCTCCGGGTACGCGTCGGCCAACTCCACCGCAAAGTAACACGCCAAATCTGTCAACGCATCGTATTTCCCAAAATACTCGTCCCAATCTTCCCGGGAAAAGGGCTTTCGCTATCGAAAAGGTGCCGGTCTTTAACATGCCTACAGCAATCACCTTAGGAGGCCCGACACCGCGAGCTTTACTTTCAGAGGTTGCCATGACAGCTATCCGTTTGATGAATTCCGTCGAACTGTAGCACGCTGATACAGCTAGGGTTGTTTAGAGGTTCGGCTTACACATGGGGGACTGCTGATCTTTTGTATGTCTCCCGCAATTCCACTCGCGGAATCCTGCCTCTCACCTTCAGTTGGTCTTGGCACCAATGAATGTGCCCCAAAGGCCAAATCCTCCGTAAGACGGCTTGTACATAAGCCTCTAGTCAGCATGCGCCGTAACTCCCAAGTTTATACCAGAGCTTCTAGCGATTCGAGAACCCAGGTTACTTCCCGTCATCTTTTCCGGATAAGCAACTCGCGATACTTTTCCAAGCTTTTGCCAATAATGTTGATGAATGGCCACTGCGTATTGCTCTTGAAAAAATGCGCCCATATTTTGAGGACCGCGAGACTGAGCGAGGCGGGATCTCGATCCACAATCACCTCGGGCTCGTCATCGTCAAAGTCGACAACGTCGTATGCCTCTTCGACAATGCACCGCACCCAATGCAGTATCCTATCCTCGCTATCTGTGGCCCTGTAAGAACGATGGCTTCGATATTTCCTGACAAATCATAGGACTTACCACTGAGTGGCATGGTGGCCGAGGTTTCAGTGAGAGAAAAGAGCCACTTGCTCAGCAAAACAGCACATTCGAGGCCGGAAAGCGAATGCCTCACGCTCCAGAAGAAGGCCTGGCTGCGGGCGACGCGGTCGACGCCAAGCCTTACAGGTATGCTGAGCATGTGAGCCGTGTACAGAAGCGCAGTGATGACACCGCCACTTCTCTCGACCGCCGGCGACATGCTGATGGCCTTGGCTATGCGAACAGGGTCACGGGTCTCTAATAGGCGGTAAGGGCCCAGATGAAGATAGATGCGGACATAGGCAAGCCCAAGCAAGGAACTGGATGTAAAGGGAATCGGCCCGTTCTCATTATTGGGATCGAGACTCGATTCGGGGGCCTGCTGCCACCCCGCAGTCCACGATCGCAGGCCACGTCTGATGAGAGAAGTTAACCTTGTTCATGTGTGTGTGAAATGACGTGAGAACTTACTCGAGCTTTTCAACCTCCTCGCAGGGTAACGATGCCGAGTGGTCCATTACCGGAAGTGAGAGATCCCGAACGATATATATCCTTTGCAACAGGCCGTGCAGGAGCATGTAGTTACCCAGTGGCGTGGGGATGGGATCCAGAGGCGCGGTACCATCGGTGTTTCTAAGAAGTAGGGACAAGGCATCTTGAAAGAAGAGTTGCTGTTTCTCGGTTTCCCTTCGAGCGACCTGCCACTGCAACGCATTTGTTGCCTTCCATTCCCTGGTGGAGCAGGGGAGCCGGAGGCCGACCTCATTAGTACGCAGAACCGGATACACATTGTAAGCTATGCTGTGCGTGTGCATGAAGGAGAAAGCAATGAGTTTGGCCCGTCGGGCAGATTCCTGTTGAACCCACGTATGCCACGCAGCTTGTGGTGTGCTTTGCTCCGCAGGCATCTCTGGCTCGTCTTCTTCGTAGAGGCCGACCTCACGCAGGACCTGAGCTAGAAGTGCCTGTAGGCCGAAAGCCTCCTGCACGAGACGAGCTTTAGGTTCCCACGTGGCGTAACCCATGAGAGCGATCAACGCACGAACTGTCTCTATAGGCTCCCACGGTCCCCAGTCCCGTGCTTGGATGGCTCTCGACTCGCGTCGTTGCGGAGAGAGATTATTCAGGTTGAGGAACGAGCCGGTCTTGGGACCAAACTTGTCAGACTCACGCCCGAGTCTCTCCAGAAGGATAGCCTTGCCAGCATGGAATAGCCTCTCTGACATGCGGTGCTCAAAACAGTACTGCGCCCCTACCGCAGCGAGGCCCAAAATGAGTTCGAGTGAGTGCTCGAATATCCTCCATGTCGGAGTATGGATGAAGGGCATATGTGAATGAAACCCTTCAAAGTAGGACGTCAGGTAGCGACTGAGTGCATGACGAGAGGGGAACTTGAAGTCGGGATCCAGGATATCACGAAAGGTCTCTATAGACGCAGTGAGACGAGAACGCTGCTCATCCGTGATACGGTACGGTTGAGATTCTGTGTCGGCGGAGCGGGGTACTTGAAACGAGGTCAGTGTAGCTCGACGATATCAAGTGTTATGAATAAGCCTCACTTGAATCAGGTAAGTTTTCCGCTATACGGTTCCCAGTGGGCGCCGACGGCAGCCACGAACTGAAAGGAGTCCCGGGCCGGGTCCTACTATGCCGGGGACCGGGAGTAGCAGTCCCTTCCCTTGAATCTCTGATTCCAGAGTCAATCTCATTGTCTCGGTCTGGGCCATGGAAGTAAGGACTCCATTCCGCAGGCAGACCGACACCGTCGAGAAAGTTCGCAAATTCTCTGAAATGAGCGTCAAACCCTACAGCTTCATGGCCGCCTATTACGATTTGTGTCAGAGGCAAGTCAAAAAGATCGGATCAAAGAGCTGGAGCCTACTGCTTTCGTAAAATTGGTCCGTTATCAGGCTCTGCTGATATGATGCATCAATGAGACCACCGTTGCGAGGAACGGCCATGGGGTATATGTCTACTGGTTCTGCTGGCGGAGCTTGTGACCATTGATCTACGCTCATTCCAGAAAGAGACGCAGCAGCGGCTAGGTCAGCCTCGACCGGTCCATTGGTGAGTTCCCCGGAGTCCGGCTCCGACGCACCTACCGGAGACTCGGACCCGTCTTCATGAAAGGCGATCCGCTGATGGCGGGTCAGCAGGTCACGTCGAGCAAACGCCGCTCCACAACGGCAGATGAATGGCTTCTCCTTGGTGTCTGGCACGTGAGCAGGTTAGCATTGATGCATATGGCGGGGTCCCCGCAATCTGGCCATGGAGAGAGATTGTGTCTGAGCATCGGTGAATCATGCGGGTATTGGAGAAAGATAGGATAGAAGTCAAGGAGGGGGCGACTGACGAGTCCGCACATGGCGCTCCAGATGCTCAGTGCGTTTGAATGTTCGTCCGCAGTGAGGGCATGACCGGGTATCAGGGCCGTGGCCGGTTCGCCTCTTTCGCTTAAGTGGAGTCGAGTGTGGTCTCGGATGCTGCTGTGGTTGTGGTTGGGGCTGTTCTGGGGGCTGGTTCTGCGTGCCAGGACGGTTGTGAGACAACTGCCTTGCCAGCATTATTGCTTCTCCCCCGTCACGGAGTCTTGGTTGGAGGTGATGGTTTCGTTCGAAAGGCAGACTGAGTTGGAGAGAAGGTAAATTGGGGCATCCCCTTGGCTTATGTTGGAGAAAAGTTGCTTGGTGGGGCGGCTTAAAGACTCCAAAGGCTGTTATCTTTGGAGACCATGACTCGTATCATCCACCCCACCATCCATTAAGGCTGTTATCAGCTGGAGTAGGAATGTTGACGTACCCCCATTTCACTGCGTATATCTTGCTTTCTCCGAAGTCGTGTCTTGCCTGCTTCCCCGCAATATCCACAAAATACACCGAAATTGGGTCTTGTGAGCCGGTTCGGTCGGGTGTGTTGGAGTAGTTGAGACACGATACTCATCAGACTGATGTCAAGCCTCCAGCCGAGAATAAACTTGAAGTCAGTTTAATCTGATCATAATCCCTTTTACAATATTTTCGTGTTACCGTTGTAAGGGTCCCCTGCTCTTCATTCAACATGTTCAAGTTCCCAGGAGTGGTGTTCATCACCGGTGCTGGCGGGACAGGCACGTAAAATCTCCCCATGCTACGATGCCTTGTCACTAACTATTGTCAGGTATCGGAGCAGCCGTGGCCAAGGGATTTGCGCGGTCTGGGTGCTCAAGGATAGCCATTACCGACCTCAATAAAAAGTCCCTTGCCAGCACACGAGATGCGATTCTCGAGGCCAACCCAAAGGCTGACGTCTTGAGCCGCGATGGTGACATTTCGGATGAGAATTTCGTGAACCAATTAGTGGGAGATGTTGCAAAGAAGTTCTCTCGCATCGACTATTCTGTGAGTTGTGCGGGTATCCTGGGAAAATCATTACGATCTCACGAGACTTCGACGGCTGCATTCGATCTCATCACGAACGTCAACTATAGAGGCAGCTGGCTGGTCTCTCGAGCAGTGCTTGGTCATATGCTGAAACAGAAGCCATTGGAAGAACATGGTGGACAAAGAGGCTCAATTGTGAATATTGCCAGTCAACTTGGAATCGTTGCTAGGCCATCAGCTGGTAAGTTCAATGGAGTCAAGTGCCCCGCGAATCAACACTGACAAAGTCTTGCGATAGCTCCTTACTGTGCCTCAAAAGCGGCCATTATCAACATGACGCGATCTGACGCTATTGATTACTCCCAAGATGGTATTCGGGTTAATTGCGTGTGCCCAGGGGTCATTGCGACGCCAATGACGACAGCGTCCGAGGAACTAGTCCAAAGATTGAAGCCAGCAATTGATATCGCTCCAATGAAGCGTATGGGAACACCGGAGGAAGTAGCTAATGCAGTTTTGTTCTTGTCTTCTAGCCAGGCGTCATTTGTCCAGGGACACGCACTTGTTGTCGATGGCGGTTATATCATAAACTAAGGCGGATTAGTGCTGAACAGGATCTAGTATGATATTGGGATAGTATGATATTGATTCAAAGCAAAGACACACACACACTGTGAATTGAGTGAGTGTATGCGGAGCAATATTCCCAGGCCCCAAATGGCTACATCAACACAACTAAAGCCCAAAGAATATGTCTGTTTTTGTAACAACGTACCAAGTCATCATAAGCTTGAGGTGTTAAGTTTGAGTATGAATACACAGAGTAGACGAAAGAGCTGTATTGACAGTGTAGTGATTTGATATACGATAATGAAATGAAACGTCTTGAGTATCCAGTAACTTCCATGTTTTATTATCTATCATTTAGTTCTAAAGCTGCTCAAGCAGATAGCTTCACCCGCTTCAGAGTTGGCGAACTGTTGCCATTAATTTCAGTCATCGTTCTACCACCCACATCGAGATTCTTTTCTTTTGATAAAGAGCCATTAGTGTGTTGGAATTTCCCTTCGCCACCCTTGATGTTGCGCCAGTCAAAGTTCCTCTCCCAGGCATGCCCAACGGCCAACACCTTTTGTTCCTGCCATAGCCCTCCTACAATCTGCATTCCAACTGGAAGCATTACCTGCGCATCATCTGCTGCGTGAAGGAAGCCAACCGGTATGGACATGGCTGGATGACCGGTTACATTGAAGACGGCAGTGTTCGACGTCAGGCCGATCGTGGGCTCAAAAGAGCCTAAAACTGACTCTCGAGAGCCGTGTCGTGGTGCCACAAAGGGTGTCGTTGGCATGATGATGACATCGTATTTTTCAAAAGCTTTTTGGTAGGCGTCTCTTATTTGGCGACCGATGTTGATGGTTTTGCTATATAGGCCGGGGAACTTATCGGAAAGATAAAGGCCATTGATTATAGTGTTTTTGGTTGACGGGAAGAGCTTCTGGAAGCTTGGGTCAGTCCATGGAAGTCTTGCCTTTTCAAACTCAGTCAGACCCAAACCCCTATGGCCAGAAGCTCGACCCAGGATCCCAGAAGACCCTGCGATGCGTTGCTGAAGCGTCCAGATTGAGGGACCCTCTAGATGAATAGGAATTGAAACTTCCTCTATGCTAGCCCCGAGCCCTTCCAGTTTCCGCGATGCTTCTAGGACATGATCTCTGACTCGGGGATCAACAATTTCTTGGTGAAATCCCTCCTTCAGAAGACCAATTTTCAGTCCATCGAGCCGACCAGAACTTGACTGGAGGCCTTCAGTGAAGTTATAAGAACCATGAGATGCGGCTCCAAGGGACTTATCATCAATATCGTCGTAGCCTGAAATAACATCAAGACACTGGGCAGCCTCAATGACTGATCGACATATGGGTCCGGCATGGTCGTCAATAGGATCACCGCTTGTGATGCCCGTGAAGGGAACCAATCCGTGTGTTGGCTTAACCCCGACACATCCGCAAAAGGACGATGGAACTCTGATGCTCCCGCCTTGGTCCGTACCGAGTGCAATATCAATCTTCCCGGAACCAACCAAAGCTGCACCGCCTGATGTGCTGCCGCCTGTCGAATATCCTTCTTTGTAGGGGTTATCGATTACACCTTGGGCACTGGTGAAAGACGCCGTGGAATTGCAGAAGTGTTCGCAGGTAGAGGTGCCCAGAATGTCTGCCCCAGCATCTAGTATCCGTGTCACCACCGTCGCATCTGTTGAAGGCACCCAGGGGGGGAAAGCATCACTGCCAAAGAACTGCGGAACGCCAGAAACCGCAATGCAGTCCTTCAAGCAGGCTGTCTTTCCCTTGAGGGAACCAGACGAGGGATCTTTAGAGGACTTATCACCACGAATGCGAAACCTGTAAGCCCACGCATGACCGAATTCCTGCTCTTCCTCTGCAGGCAGATGAACGTTTTCGCGAGGGTACTTCTTAGTATCAGGTATCGGTTGGTAGTCGGGAAGGCTGCTGATGCGGGTCGCGCAATCGTGCACCGCGGCCAGAAGCCTTTGATAGTCGGCGGACTCTTCCGGCTTAATCGTCAAACCAAGCGGTTCAAGGAGATCCTCGACATCTCCCTTTTTGACAGGATTCTCTCTATAGAATGAGTTTAGTTACACATGGATTAGATGTAGGGGTGGAATGGCAAACGCACGCCGATATGTCCTTGAAAAAGACGGACATTGTGATCAGGTGGGCGTGCCTTGTCCGTTCACTATGTGTCGTCTTGTGATGGTTGACAGACAGTAAAGTCAGCTTGTAGGCTGTTCATATGGACTTGAGAACTAAGGCATACTGGAGCCACGAATATTTGCCGGCCACCTCCTCCGAGGGCCTTACAGTCAGTAAGTGGCAAGGTCTATTCTAGATGACAAACAATTGCAATCGGCATTACTAGACCAGATGGTGTCAGTATGACCCCGCCATTTGATGCGACTCCACGACTTGGAGTTGGAGAAGGGCTAATGGGGTAAGATTGACGGACCAAGCGTTGGAGTTGGGGTTTTTTGCCAGGACTAACTCCACACTGTATCAGCAACTATCAAGGCTGTAAAAACTTAGGAAGCTTTGCAAAGAGCAAATAGTGTACAGGCATTGCGATTAGAGAAATTGGGTGGTTAGGCTATTCAGTCTGCTGATCAGACAAGGGCGAGTGCAAAGGGCCATAGTGGTTTAAAACGCAAATTGCTTGACGCCCTACTCCGCCACCTGCACTACCAGTCTACCTTTGAAAGCGCTGTCTTGATATGCATCTAGAATACTCGGAATTCCGTCAAATGGAACAAGTGTGATCTGTGACCTGATTCCTGCCCTCTCAACTGCTTCCATCATTCGTTCCGTAGCCAATTTGCTCGCAACATAGCTCCCTCGAATAGTGAGTTCTCGAAACACTATAACGCTTGAATCGAACCTCCAATTATCAGCCGGCAGACCTAGAACACCCATAACACCCCCAATCCGTAATATCGTTAAAGCCCAGTTATTGGCTGCCAAAGAATCTGTGCAGACTACTGCTGCTGCAACACCTTCGCCATTTGTGAAATTCATAATCTGAGTAGCAGCATCCTCGGCGCCGGAGTCGACCACTAGTGATGGCCTCAAATCCTCATTTGACATTTCCGTAGCTAGCTGTCTCCCCGCGGGTCGGCTGTCGATGGCTATTGTGCGGAAGCCCATAGCCCTTGCAAACTGAAGACCGAGGTGACCGAGGCCGCCTATACCAATAATTGCCACTGTCTCACCGGGGCTTAAACCAGACGTTGCCCGCTCTAACGAGCCCCAGACTGTTGCACCGGCGCACATCAACGGGGCGGCTTGATCGAATGGCAAAGATGAGGGCAAGCGAACTGTTGTCTCCGGGTCAACAGCAAGGTATTCTGCAAAGGCCCCATCATGCTGGAAGCCCGCAGTTTCTCTCTTGTCGCAGAATCTCGGATCAAGTTGCGTGCTAGTACGCCTCACGAGTCCGCAACCACTGCATTTTCCGCACGAATTCTTGAAGTTGAGAGCCCCAACTCTGTCACCAATCTTCCATTCAGGACTGCATTCGGTGCCGATTTGAACAATAACACCGGCAGGCTCATGTGATGGGATCATTCCCAAAGGCGACTTGAACTGCCCTTGCAAAACCTGCAGGTCAGAATGGCAGAAGCCGGCCGCATGAACCCTAATAAGAAGTTCATTTTTGCGAATGGTAGGGACATTTCTCTCAACTAGCTCATAAGGTCTGTTGTACTACGTTGTTTTAGTATTTCTCACATTATGAGGACCTGATCGGGGAACCTACCTCTGCAATCTGTGCAGCTCTCATCCGACTGGGAATATTTGGGTTTGACATATTTGGAGGCGATTAAGTCTCGATAACCATGATAGTGTAGAATGTGACATCCTTGGGTTTGTTGCGGAGGATAAACGTCTAAAAATGTCGAGCTTTGACCAAGGCCTTGTTCTCCAGCTGTTGCCACTGTGATGAGCGATCGACCTCCTTCAGAGTTGGAGGATTTTACCTCCAACTCATCGGGCCATTCTTATCTCAATGCCTCCAACTATCTATCAGGTGTTGTAGCCTGACACCGGATAGCCTTTGCATTAGCGCAGCCCCTCTTCTTTGTCAAACCCCAGCACAGCTCCAGTATCTTCAAGTAAACAAGATTACCCCAAGATCTATCTTCCAATCAGAATGAGCACCCTGACTACACCAGTGAGCCCCAGTCGCGGAGTAGTCTAGCCTGAGATAAACAAACGTGTAAACGTGTGCAGACACTAGATGAATTTGATAGACTAATGGGGTACTGGGATGCATTTACCCCTCATTTACTAGTGTGCTTGGTATCAGTGCTTTGTTTCTTAAGTTCAGAACCACCCTTCTCGAACAAAACTCTCACCTTTGGTCATACGCTGCTCAACCCCGCACATCACAAACGCAGACATTCGGACATACAATTCACTTCAATCATAATGGGAAAAAAGCGTGTTCTTGTTAGTTACGGCGTCGATGTGGACGCCATCGCTGGGTGGTTGGGATCATATGGCGGCGAGGACTCACCCAATGACATCAGCAGAGGTAAGCAGCTCATGCTTAGAAAAGTCGCCACCCTAATGACCGTGGCTAAGTAGAAGGAAATTGACCATCTACAGGATACTTCGCAGGCACAATCGGCGTCCAGAGGGTGCTAAAATTATTTGCCAAGTATGATATCAAATCTACATGGTTCATTCCCGGCCACAGTCTCGAGACATTCCCTGAAGAGATGGCAGCTGTTCGAGACGCTGGGCATGAGATTGGTCTTCACGGCTATTCGCACGAGAACCCAACCGACATGACCCTTGAACAGCAAAGAGAAGTCCTTGATAAGACGTATCGAATGCTCACTGAGTTCGTGGGCAAGCCACCAAGAGGTAGTGTTGCGCCTTGGTGGGAGACTAGCAAGGAAGGCGCGCAGCTGCTTCTTGATTACGGCATTGAATACGATCATAGTATGAGCCATCATGATTGCCAGCCATACTATCTCAGGACTGGAGACACGTGGACAAAAATCGACTACAGCAAGAAAGCCAGCGAGTGGATGAAGCCACTCGTACGAGGAGAAGAAACAGGACTAGTAGAGTTGGCAGCGAATTGGCACTTGGATGATATTCCGCCATTTCTATTCATCAAGAATGCGCCAAACAGTCACGGCTTTGTCAATCCAAGAGACATCGAGGACATGTGGAGAGACCACTTCGACTACTTTTACCGCGAATACGACGAGTTTATTTTCCCCTTGACTATCCACCCGGATGTTTCAGGGCGTCCTCATGTAATATTGATGCACGAAAGACTCATTGAGTACATGATGAAGCATGAAGGGGTGGAGTTTGTTACAATGGAGCAAATCTGTGATGAGTTCAAGGCGAAGAACCCACCACCTGCTGGAGCAGTATTGCCTGCCGCACCTGGGGCGATTCTCAAACAATCATAAAGCAGTAAATTGATAGAAAAAAAAACAATATGAGATTTACTTAGGAAGATTTTCGTTTTCCAGTGACTGTTGTAATAGCCGGGACCCAGAGTGAAGGAGCTATTCGGACCGGCCGCCAACCCTTCACGTGACCCGCAACCGGGTCGTCCCCACGAGACTGGCAGTGCGAGAGATTCATCTCCCTCGTCCACTTCAACCTTCCACTTGTTGTGTTGAACGCATCTCCAGAATGTCACTGCCTTTACCTTTAAACTTTAGTTGATTGAGCACTCTTCCACCCGTTTGGGTAGACCCCTGATACCAAAACTGGCCGATTTACCATCACATTATGTCTCTTACTGAACTGCCAATTACCTGTAATGCCAATATACGAGGGTGCCTCAATGAGCCTTGCCATTCCAAGTTATCTATCAATAAGTCTCCACATCCTATCTTTTAACATCATTTCTTCGCAAGCCCCTTTACCCCGCGCTTATCGCTATGACGTCCGATCCGTATCAACGGAAGTGGATCTTTGGAGATAACTCGCCTTAGCAAAGGGTCTTCAGTGACTCCAACGTCGGCATTGTGTTCAGAAAACTACTCCAACAGACCTTGAATACCCCAATCTTGTGACACTAGTCTCTTCACAAACCATGTCAAACCCCACAGATTCTCACTACATCCCTGGACGGGCTTTTGACTTTGGCTGCTGCCAAGGGTGGGTGACCCATGAACTTGGAGCGGCATCTGAAGCTCCTCGCGGGGTTGGGTGGGCTTTCTATGTCGATAGTTATCTGCATCGGAAACTTGTTGCCGCCGGGAGATAAGCCACCCAAGTATTCGTGTTCTTCACAGCGCGTTCACGAATGATAGCGCCTAAATACTCCAAACCCAGCAACACACATGCGTCTTGATATATGAGAGTTGTGGTTTGTCTTTTTCGAATGTGCAATCGGCAGCTCTACCAGTACATGCACAAGAATTTGACAATTCCGGACAGTCGAATTGAATCTTCCCAATATGTCAAAAACCACGCCTGAAAAGACCGACGCCATCTCGCCGGCTCCAGCACGTAGCAGCGGAAGCATCGATGCCGGAAAACTTGAAAACACCGAAGATGCTAACGAGGTTTTCAAGAGAGGCGATGGAGCTGTGGACTTTCGCACAGTCGGCTGGATCCATGCATCCGTCATTTTCCTGAAGGGTGAGAGAGCATTACTGTTAGGCTCTTCTGTTGACAAGATGAAGCTAATTTTTTCAAGTTATTTTCGCCACTGGTGTCCTTACAATCCCTTCCGCCATGTACGTCCTTGGTGCGCTTCCGGGTGCCATCAATGTCTTAGGCTGGCAGTTCTTGAACACATATTGCGCTATCGTCCAAGGCAACTTTCGTAATGCCCACGCTGGATGCCACTCAATCGCCGACATGGCCAACGTAGTTGGCGGTCTTTGGTTGAAGGAGGTAGTTGGCGTTCTGTTCCTCGTCACCTACGCGATTGTCGGGGCCTCTGGAATCTTTGGCACATCAGTCGCTTTCAATGCTTTGTCCAACCACTCGCTCTGTACCAACTCTTATATGCTCGTTGCTACTGCTTGTGTCTTTATCCTTGCGAGCGCTCGTAAATTCGAAAAGATCGCTTGGCTGACATGGGCGGGCTTCCTGTCGGTCTACATCGCCGTCTTTATTGTCGTGTAAGCTTATACCTGAACGTAAAGTCTTCGTTATGATCTTTACTAATGTTTTCCAATTAGCGTGGGAGTTACACAGGTCGACCGACCTGCTGCTGCCCCTAAGACCGGAGACTTCGACCTTGGATACCACGTTATTGGAAATCCCAACTTTGTTACCGGCATCACTTCCGTGGCCACCATCTTCTGTTCCGGTGCCGGTACATCTGCGTTCCTCCCGGTTATTTCGGAGATGAAAAAGCCTCGTGATTACAACAAAGCTGTATACCTTTGTATGGGTATCGTCACTGCTTCTTACCTTACATTCTCCCTCGTCGTCTACCGCTATTGCGGTCAATGGGTTGCGTCTCCATCGCTTGGGAGCGCCGGCGATCTGATCAAGAAGATCGCATACGGTATTGGCCTCATAGGACTAATGGTCAGCGCTTGTCTTTACATTCACGTCGCTGCTAAGTATCTTTTCGTTCGCCTCCTGCGCAACTCGGTTCATCTACAGAAGAACTCAATCGTCCACTGGGCTGTCTGGCTCAGTTGCACTTTCACCATGTCCGTCGTTTCTTACCTTCTGGCTTCTGGTATTCCTATTTTCAACTACCTTCTCGCACTGGCCGGAAGCTTGACATTTGCCCCTCTGGCACTGGGTCTTCCGGGCTATCTCTGGGTATATGATCATCAGCATTATCGCCAGGGGGCCTGGTGGAAAGTCCTTGTGTACTGGCTAAATTGGCTTATGATACTGCTGGCTGTGTTCTTGACCATTGGTGGCACCTACGGCGTCGTTCAGAACATTATTGATGCTTACGCGCAGGGCTTGATTGGGGGAGCCTTTTCTTGTGCTGACAACAGTGGCTCATCATAATTCTTGGAAGGAGACGAAAGTTTGTTTATTTGCGTAAAATGATAAAACAAAATTAAACGGCAGCATCATTTATCCGAGTAGCTTGGAAATTAGGTAATTTGAGAAGACTGCTATCTGATTTAGTAGTGGTGTCACATTCCCACAAGACCATCACGAGGAGCCGTCTGCTTTTCGTGTGGAATAGAGTGAATCGTAACATCAACATAACAACGCGTGAGTTCTGAATTTTGAGGCTACCATTTCCATTTTGATTCATAAGCCTACAAATAAAAGTGCAACTACATTCTAGCTAACTCTAGCTTTGAGTTTTATCGAAGTTAATGCTCCAGCCGGTGCAGATTTGTGCCAGTCTCCACCACGAACGCTTCTTTGTGGGAAAAGGCTAAGGAACAACAATTAAAATTCCCTGAGTTACTGACTGTGTGATATTTTATGTACCACGATGGATTCATTTTGAGCATTACGAGGCTGACGGAAATCGGGGACGCTTCGGACACCGAGGCGAGTTGGTGACACCGGGGCTCAAGTCTCGGAACACGGCACGCTTCGCCACAGCAACTCATGCACCCTGGCAATTCAAACCTTCCTATTTAGTAATTACCAAAAGTGTGTTATACAGAATAACCACAAGTCAAGTCAACCTCCATGACATAGATACAAAAAAGTGCCTCAGCGTTTATTTGGCTATAAAGCTGTCTTCCTCCTCCATGCTCGACATATAGTCTCTTTATACCACAACTCAAACGCAAAGAACGTAAAATATCCAAGACGAAAAAATGATGGTCTCCAGTTTAAACATTCTTTTCTTTCTAAGCCTGGCATCAGTTGGCCTAGCTGCTCCCAAGACGTCGCCTTTGGTACCTAGCATTCTTATGAAAAGGGTATGTGATCTGATGTTGTTGCAAGATGCCTTCAGCTCTAATAGTTGATGTGTTTTAGAAGCATACATGCCTTAGTGGTGTTGTTAATTGTTACTACGGGAACAGTTGCGACTCTCACGCCTGTGTCTCCTGCTCTTGTTGCCCTGGTGCCACTCACATGGGGTGCGGTAATGCAGCAACTGGAACATGCGTAAACAGAGGCGGAGGCAACGGGGTTACTTGCTAAGTAATCATCCAGAAGCCTCTTGAATGGTGGATGAAGGGTATCGGGTTGGTCAAACGCCGGTGTATTTCAATTGGTCTTTTTTTCCATTTTCTTGTGGGCTACCTGTTACAGGACAGGAATACTTGCTTGACCGGCAGCCCAATTGTGCTCTTTGGGTAGGGAATTGTTGAAGGTCCAATTCATATACGGGTGTTGAGTTAAGAAGTGATAAAAAAAACAATTAGGCGAAGCATCAATCATCCATGCTGTAACGTGGCTAGAAGGAAATAGCGTCTGAAAAGCCAAATTGATATTCTTCTTCACAAAGAATGAAGACGACTAACTGTCACCAGCTGTGAGTCCGGTTGATTGAAATACAACAAAAAAGGACGAATCGCATATTTTAGTTTGTAGGAAGGAAGTTTCTTCTTCTTTTGGGGGTTTCCTTCCCTTTTCGAGTTGTGGTTCACATTAATCAATTAAGCATTTTCCATTGATTAGAAATCGTCTTTACTCTTAGTGATTGACCCCGTTTTGTTCTTTTGTGGCGACTCATGGACTGTACAAGCTTCTCAAATTGCCTACGTTAGGTCCACTTCGCGCCCTTCTTAGGCTGTCTCATCCACTCTGCGTGGACCTTGTACACCATCGAGTACCATCAGTTTTACGTGTAGTAGAATAAGCTTTCGGGTTGTTAAATCTAACCGTTGCCGTAGATGGCACTTGCCTAGTTCGGACTTTTTAGGGAACTGTTCTCGATTTGTAGTTGAGACTTTGATTTTAAAAAACCCCATACGCGACTTGAACGAGCTTATGGATGATCACTTTAAGTCATGCCTGCTTGGTTAGGTTTTTTTTTAGAGAGCTAGTTGCGTAAAAACCTGTCAAATCTGATTAAAGTGCAATTTAAACTGTCATGTACGCATTTTTAGACCCAGCAAGCAGAAGCCCCAGCTACCAATGCACCAAATCTTGAACCATCACGGGCAAGCCTGACTTCATTGACTTATTCGCGCCGACACCAACCAGAACAGCATTGCCGCCGTCGCGTATATAGGCAGCACGCTTAAACTTGTCACCTTGATCGCCAATGAGGACGTCTCGCAGCAAAGCGGGATCACCTCCACCATGTCCACCTTCTCGCTTCTCCACGTCAACAACATACGGCTCATCGAACAGAGGGTAAACGACAATCTTGGTTTGCTCAACACCCCCTTGAATATAGTTTTTCTCCAGATCCCCCAAACCCTTTTCGGTCACAGTCTCGCCTCCTGCCGAATAACCGCTTTCGACGACATTCACCTCGATTCGGCCCTTGCTTCCATTGAAAACGCAGCGATACCCTTCCCATGGCGCATACGCATATGTGTTATACGTCATAACCGCGCGGTTCTTGTATTTGATGATCATTGAAAGATTGTCTTCAATGGTAATGCCATCAGCAAAGCAATTCCTGTCGCGGATATAACCATCTTCATGCTCGGCTTCCAGATAGAGTTTTGTCACGCAGTCAATTTGCCCACCACTTATGGGGTAAAAAAAGATGCTTCCATTCATTAGAGACTGTCTAGGGGTTATTGGGTTGATTATATAACCGTCTATTCGGTAATTACCGATTTGAAGGTTTTCATGCACAAAATGACATCCCCGTTAGTTTTATATGGGAAACAATAGCCGGGTGCATGGGTTGATGTTAGATAAACGATATTAGTTTGATGCAATACACCTGGGGTTCATTGAGCAAAGAGTGATTCATGTTGTTGATTGAGTGGTTCTACCCATTCCGGTTGAAGCGGGGTTCTGTTTTGTATCTACCCGTTCTTCCCGGTTTCAGCATATTGCAAGAATGCAACTAAGCTAGATTTCCTAGCATTTTATCCGGACGCAGGCGTCAATCTAACACACCCCCCCAGTTGAGGCCGCTTAGGCAGAGACTGATCCGCTGGGTTACTTAGTTTTCCAGTTTTTCCATTTCACCTAGAAGTTCCATTTCTCCCAGTGTGGGCAGCTTTCTCTTCTCTAGGTGGTTGGAGATGTCCACTAGGCCGATTTGTTTGATAAACGTCTTGAATGGCGTATGGCTCATCGGTTTAGTCAGTCCGTCTGCAACCATATCTGCAGTAGGTCTGTATTCCACTTTGATTCTATTCAATTGAGCTTCCTGTCTCAACCAGTGGTTGTGTATATCAACGTGTCGGAGTTTTGTCTGCAACTTGGTGATGTCCTTGTTGATCAGTTGTATTGTCTGGATGTTATCGCATTGTATTCGTATCCGTGATTCATCCAATTGAAGTCCAAGTTCCTTAAGTAGTCGCGATACGAATATAGCTTCTTTGGCTGCCTGAGCAAGAGCAAGTAGCTCGCTCAGCTTCTGTTGTTAAAGTAGTAACGGTTGCTTGCTTATTAGCTCTCCAACCGATAGTGCCTCCAAACAATCGCATTACATAGGCTTGGGAACTCTTGCGGTCCTCTGTATTGTCTGCAAACGAGGCATCGCTTGCTACGAAGAACTCATCGTCTCCGCCGAATTGCAAGGCAAGCGATTTGGTTTTCTTCAGATAAAGCAGAACCTGGTCTGCTGCTTTGTGGTGTTCTGGACCTGGGTTTGCGTTGAACCTGGCTAGTTTTGATGCTGCGAAAGCTATGTCAGGTCTAGTAATAACGGCAGCATATAGAATTGATCCAATCTTGCGTTGGTATCGCCTTATGGACGCTATGCTAGCTTGTTTTTCATACGGTCTTAGCTCTTCGCGTCTCATGGGAATGTCATGTCGCTGATCTCTATCTTCAGATAGGTTAGCAATCTTGTCAATATAGTCTGACTGTGATAGCCAGATAAGTTTCTTGTCTCGGTCTCGAATGATTTCGATTCCAAGGAACCACTGTAGTGGTTTTCCCCCCGTTAATTTATATCGTCTCTATAACTTTCCTGTTACTTCTTTGATTTCATTCTCTTTCTTCTTTTCATATGCCAGGACTATATCATCCACATAGAAGAAGATAATGATAGCTCCTTTGATCATGCAGCAGGGCTCATGTGGAACGGTTTCAAACCCGAGGTCTTTCAGCGTAGCCATAAGGTCCTTTTGCTACAGGAGTAGTGACTCTCTTAGGCCATACAACGCTTTCTGGAGCATCAGGATGATTCCTGGTTTCCGATAGCCTGGAGGCATGCGCATGAATATGTCCTTGTCTAGCTTTGCGTTTACAAACGCGTTAACGGCATCATACTGGATTAGTTCGAGGTCGAAACGTGCAGCAACCGCCATCAGTGTCCGGAAAGACCGTCCTGCTAGTGTTGCGGCATAGGTTTCTTCATGTATTGACTTGATTTGCTGGTCTCCTCTAACCACGAGGCGTGCTTTGCCCTTTTGAAACCGTCCATGCTTGTCGAATTTATATACGTATACCCACATGCAGTCTAGGACCTGACAGTCCTTCGCACGGGTGTCTTTTCGACTTATTTCAATCCAAGATTTCATCTCGGCGTGACTGCGTAGATGTTGTTGTTCCGCCGTCTCGAATAGCGTACCCATGGGGTGGTTTCTAAGATCAGCATGGCTTCGCGGTAACGGAGGCATCTGCCGCCTGTGTAGGCAACTTGGATTCTTTAACAGTCGTTGAAGCTTTGCTTTGTCGATCTGCTTTCCTTCAAAGATGCCCACCGGCGTGGCCTGTCGTCCAGCCGCAAACGCTGCCTTCCATGCTTCAAAGACATCATATAAACTTTCACCTTTCTGAGCATTTGCTTGTAGGAATTCCGAATCATCCCGAATCGTCATAGCTAGAAGTGCTGTCGGTGGAAGAGACACAGGGGATGGGTACGGACGACTCTGGGCATCAGAATTCTTGGCTTGGTTATCGGTGCCGGCTTCTGCCTGGTCTCCCGTGCCGCCTTCTGGTTTCCCCAGGTCGACTTCCGCGTCCCCGGTTTGTCCAGAGCCTTCGTCGGTACCAGCTGGTTGATCAGACTCAGCCTCCAACTGTTCAGCTCCTGTATCTCTTTCTACTTTATGGAGAACGGCATCTTCCCAACTGAGCTGGGTTCCGACGTCCTCGTCTTCTCCATAAAGGCCCTCCCAATTTGTTTGGGGTATAAAGGCACCGGTGTGGTCTTCTTCTGCTATCATATTTCGGTCTGTTTCTGGTTCCTCAACCTGGTCAAGTAAATTGATTAGCTCTTGCTGTCCGACGTGAAGGAGGTCATCTCTTAATTGGTTCAAGTTTCCGTTAAATAATTCGTCTTCGTTAAAAATAACGTCTCTTGCTCCGACGACTCTTCCAGTCTGAGGGTTCCATATTCGATAAATGTTTGTTGACTGGTACCCCACAAGAAAACCGATCCATGCTCTTGGGTTCAACTTTTGCCTTTTCTTCCGTTGTAATTGAGCATCCGTCGTCATAGCATATGCCTTGCATCCATAGACACGTAGGTGTGCTTGGTATGGCTTTCGGTCTTGGACCGCAACCCCGTCTCTGTGCGCTAGGGCGGTATAAAATCTATCGTACGGTGTTCGCCAGCTATACATATGCTTTGGCGTCCGGTTGTACAGATATACAGCTGCACGGTAAATCTCGACCCACAGATGCTCTGGCAGCCGAGCTCCTATCCTCATAGCCCGCGCTTTCGCCTTGATAATTCTCCCTGACACCTCAGCTCCTCCGTTCTGTGCTAGGGTGTTCGGAGCTGATGCTTCGACTCTGATATGTTGGGAGTGAAGTAATACAGATACAACTCCTCCCGTCACGATTTCATTATCGCATTCGATAATCTTTGGTTTGATTTGGTATTGTCGTTCGAGTATGCCGGTTATGTTTTTCAATACGGTACTGATCGTTCCTATTCTTCTTTCCGCAAGGTAGTAGTCCCAAATCATTCCCGACCAGCGGTCCGTGATTAGCATTACGCTACTTCTGCCTATAGGGTCTTTTAGAAGGTCATGAAAGTCGATTGCTAATCGCTCACCCGGGCCGTAGCCTACGTTCCGTGGTTGACAGCTTATTTGACGCTTCATCTTGGAAAGTGCGCATCCATCACATTCCACCGTGGTTAGTCCTTTTATCCGGACCCCTTGTGAGGTATTAACTAGATGTTCCAGAGCCTGAGGTCCTGGGTGTCCAAGTCGAAGATGCCACCTCCTTGCGTCTGCTTTCATAGCACCTTTCTTTGTCCAGGAGTTCAATTTGTGTCTTCGAGTAACGAATGCAGTATTCGGCGTGTTAGGAGGTATATCTTCGATGACGAATTGGTCATATCGGTCCATAACCTTGCATACGATTAAGTTATCGAATGACCTTATGTAGTTAGAACGAAGACGATTGTCCCACCAATATCCGCGTTTTCTTAATTGTCTAAGGGATACCAGATTGCAAGGGAAATTTCCACATAGTACGACATCGTTCAGTTGGATTATTCTTGGTCCTCTCGGTCCCTGGGTTTGTATGTTCACATTCCCGTATCCTTGGATAGGAATTCTGCTTTCTCCAGCAAGGATGAAATCCCCAGCCTCCGATCGACGGAAGTTGTTAAACCGGTTGAAGTTATTAAAGATATGTATTGTTGACCCTGAGTCAAGAAGAGCCGAATTCTTCAATGGGTAGTATGTAGTGCAGGACATCGAATTAAACGCAGAGACAACGAAGCTGGCTGTGCACTCTCTAATACTTCGTCCTAGTCAATCGGTAGCTTCAACGTGTTTGACTTTCTTGATGCGGTTGATTTCATCCTTGAGAGATGCGTCGTTCTTAAGTCGATGTTCAACCGCATCACGGATTAATTTCCTGCCCTTGAAGTAGTCTGGTGCATCGTTGGAAAACACATAGTAGCAGTTTTCTAGAGCGTGATTGCCATCACAGGCTTTACACACTATATTAGTACTCCGTATGGTGACTATGCGTTTTCGCTTTCGGCTGTTGACTTGGTCTTGACTAGGTTAGCTCCCTTCTTCGTTATGCGTTTCAGCCTCCGTCCAAGATGTATTGTCGCGGTCTGCAGCAAAGGTTAGGCCAAATACGCCTTTGGTTATTTAGGAACCTTTCTCTCGCGAGCTAAGAAGATCTCGACGTTCTGCTTCCTTCCTGAGGTCTTTTGCAACCTCTCCGATCGTCAATGATTTTTCCTCAAGTTTGTTTTTATAGATTCCAGCATATATAGCTGCCCAACTTCCCAGAATTGGTTGGATGGCCTTGGTCAAATCGTCGAACCAAATATTAGGGTCTTCCACGCCTCCGGTTTTCCTCACGAGCACATGGTTTGCCGCCATTTCCCAGGAAGTAATCCATCCAGCGAAGTCTTTAGGTACCCTAGTCAATATTGTTATAGCTGCCTGGTACTTTCGACGAGCCGCAGCTTGTTATTCTCTTTCAGTAGCGCCTACACTCGTCTGTAGGTTGGAGTACCATGTCCTCAAATCCCATATAGCGCGGCAAGAGCTCTGGCGTAAGCCATAGTCAACCGTATCAATAACCCAAGCCTTAAGCTTCTCAGAATTTGCTTCTTGCTCTTTGTATTCCTTGTAGTCTTGTTCGTAAACCCTCCATTCGAACGTAAAGGAGGCTTTGTCGTCCGCAGTAAGTTCGGATAGATTTCGAGCATGGAGGTGTAGGTCAGTTGACTCAGTTGCTGAGGGTAGGGAGTCGCCCGCAGATGACTGGCTAACTGTCTGACTCGATTGGCCACTGTGGCGGGTCTGTCTCCCCTGTTGGGACAGTTGCTCCGGGTCGGTAGCTCGAGTAATCTTTCGATTATAGGATTCAACTGTCGGTCTCGCAGGTTTTTCCATTAAAGCTCCATCATTTTCAGGATTGATGTAATCCCATAAATGCAAGCCTATAGCTTTTGTTTGGAATTCTTCGTCCCAACGGCCCCAGTCTTCAAAGGTCCGTAGTAGTACCTTCTTAGATAAGGTATTGCCACTCGACATCGTATCTTTCCATGCGCGTAACTGGCTCTCGAGCGATATGAGACTCTTAATTGTTAGATAAACGATATTAGTTTGATGCAATACACCTGGGGTTCATTGAGCAAAGAGTGATTCATGTTGTTGATTGAGTGGTTCTACCCATTCCGGTTGAAGCGGGGTTCTGTTTTGTATCTACCCGTTCTTCCCGGTTTCAGCATATTGCAAGAATGCAACTAAGCTAGATTTCCTAGCATTTTATCCGGACGCAGGCGTCAATCTAACAGTTGAATGCATGCCCCGATATATGCAGTGGTCCGTGTGACAAGTTTCTTCAGCTGAGCGTTTTGGTCAATGTGAATAGCAAACGGGTCGTTTTTCGCTTCCTCATTATCAAGGTATCGTTCTCCAAGGTTGGTGACGCCACGTCGCTGGGCATTTTCCTTGCCATAGAATCGGAGGTCTCCAAGGCAATAGACCAGTTCGGGTTCAGTATTTAGCCAGAAGTGGACAAGGTCGAAATGATGAATTGATTTGTGCATCTGGATGCCGCCGCTGGTCTCCTTGTTTCGATGCCAGCGACGCATAAAGTCGGAGCCGTGAGCGCAGTCGAGAATCCAGTCCATGTGAACTGTGGCTATTTCGCCAATCACATCAGATTGAATCAGTTCACGGACTTTGGTGTGGTGAGGAGCGTATCGATAGTTGAACAAGACACGGACTTGCTTCCCGGTCCGTTTTTCAGCATCAATCATTAGCTGAAGCTTTTCCTCGTCGATTGTCATTGGCTTTTCTGTGATTGCATCACATCCAAGCTCCATTGCCCTAATGCAATACACATGATGGAATAAGTCAATTGTGGTGACAATTACGACGTCCGGCTTCTGCTCAGCAATCATTTTATCGAAGTCTTCGGCCTTGTAAGTAGGCACTTTCTGCCCCCCGAGTTCCACAATCCGGTCATTGGCTGCATTCAGACGAGTCTGGTTCGTGTCGCAAATTCCGACAAGGCTGGAAACATTGGCAAATTCTTGAAGGATGCTCTGGTAGTAAAAGGCGGAACGAACGCCCATGCCGACAATGGCATAACGTTTGATCTGGGTAGAAGCCATGTCAAATTACAGTGGAATGAACTTGGTGTTAATGATGTTGGAGAATTCCTGTTGTTTGTTTTGGATCATGAGGAGAAAATAGAATCAACGGAAGCCTCTTATATGCAAACTCAAACCCCAATGACCAGATGATGAGAGGCCATACCTGAGAGGGTATGCCGATGTACCTTTTTCGACATAGTCAAACTTTAACGTTGATTTGTACCACTGTACACACAGGAGCACTTGGCAATGCACATCTGAAGATCTAATCCCCAAGCCAGGCAAGTACACCCGCCACATTTTGGTTGTTACATTCTTTGGCCGTTGATAGTTGGCTGAACAGACAGGACTACTACCGCGTGTAAGAGCGGAGGTTTCCTCAGACGGGTCGGAAAGCTGCGGGGTGCGTCCGAACGTGGATGGAGTGTATGGGAACTCCACCCGGCATAAGTCCGAACTGCGGGGTTCCGATCTAGTTCGCATAATCAATCAGTCATGAAGAAGTGATACGAGTTCCGCTGGTCCACCGTCTCCCTTCTAGGTTCCGTACGTCAAACAATCAGCTAGCATTTGATCAACTAAATCAACCGGCAAACATGCATATCCAGAAAGTCATACTATCACCCCCTAGTTTGGAGGAACTTGCTGAGCGTTTGCAAGCCCCCCTTGCTACCAATTACCACCAATCGTCAGTTACTGTCGAGACATGCCCCGATCTTCGGCAAGCGCCATTTAACCTGGCCTCAAAAGGTCTTTGTGGGGATGAAAAGATCGCAGACATCGGGGGCCAGCCAAACCTATTCCCTCGCCCAAGACTGGACAGAATATGGAATATGCATGAAATTGGGAATGCCATCGAAATGAGTCCCGAGAAAGGCAGTTTGATCGGTGCTGGCGCAGGCCCGTTTCATATCATTGGCCAAAATAGCGAGCTTGCACCAAACCTTGGGTGGGAGAAAGGGCTAGACCAGATTCTCAATCAAACACGGATCATCAAAATCATCAGCCAAACTGGTGCTGTCTGCGTTGAGAAAAGCCCGTCTCTAGACTGTGGACTGATGGCAAACCTTTATGGTTCCGAGGGCAACCCTGGCCAGGTTCTCAAAATAACTGCGCGGGGACGTAGGGGGGACGAAAAGAGCTTCACAGAATGCATCCGTAAAGGCATTATTGCTGCATATGGCGATGACCGAGCAATAAGTCTTGGCGGAGCATTCGTGGTCAAATCAGGAAAGGCAGTGTATCATGTTATGCCCGATTTTCCTCCGCAAAATGAGCTTCCTTTCAAAGATCGTAAGCAGGTTGATGACTGGCTGACTTGGCATAACTTTGATGCACCCGTTGTTTGCTTGTCAGTCTTTCACTCTGCAGATCCCGGCAAAATGGGACTACGAATGGAACATACGCATGCATTTTCTGCAGCGGGGAAGGATGCTGGAGGACACTATCATTATGAAGCGAACGGGTCAGAAGACACCATTGAATATGAAGGGTACTTTAACACTGCAAAGGCTTTGTACAGGGTAGATAACCCGTCAATAATTCAAACTTAATATTACTCTTGATAAAAGTCGAAACATCTTGGGATCTTCATGAACCTCACCGTACAAAATGACAGTAGGGGGCTACCTAAGCAAAGGCAACATGGAGAATACCGTTCTGGTAAAGCACTTGGAGGGAATGGACACTAGTTCATCGGGATGAACAAGCTCCAGAACAGATGCCAAGGGCATATGTCGGTATGAGCTACATACAGGGGTACTTTATGTGTACTCAACGAACTCAAAAAATATTTTTATTCGAATCACAGGTCACACAGGCTGCTCTCATAGTTAAAATTGATTAGAGAAACTTCAATGACACGAACTGAAAATTTGATAAAGTTTCTAGTAGTGGTCTCTAGCCTTGATTACAGGTAATGTCAACGTCCTTTCGAAAAGAATTGTATTCTTGGCAACCCAACAACTTGATTAGTCTTTGACATGGCTTTACATCATCAAAGGCAAATATTGCGACACATTTACACCCTACGTCTCAGCTGAGGCACGTTTGTTAAAGTTAGTCCACTGCGTTTAAGATATTATGCTATTTATCCTTGCTGACTGTCTCTTTATGAAATTATAATGGAGAGGCGATGGCATGTAGTTGCTTGACCTACCTAAAATGTACCATAGTATTCATTAACTCGTTAGCCAGGATGGCAGGCTCAATGTTGTGCTACAATAGTTAAACGGCGACAATTTCTACTGATATTTTATTCCGGGCCGAATGTGTGCGGGGTAAAGAACCGAGAGTGGCAGAGCGGAGAATTTCCTCTTTTGGGGCGGGTGTGACTCGTGCCACCTCAGACAAGTCTAACCGACACCAAAGTTCCCGCTGTCGTCCTTTTCCAAATTGGAAACCTTCCCGCCTGTCTCATGGACCTTGTTCGACGAGCTTCACAACAGCCGACCTGTTCGTGGGTGCCTTTCCAGCAGACTCTGCGCATGTGGAACCTGAGCTAGCAGTTCATCATATTAAGATATTCTGCGGGACCAGGTCGATTAAGCATAGCGTCATTCATGGAGATCGTTTGGCAAGCATCTGGTGGTCCGGCCAGAAAACGTGTTTCCCAAGATAAGTCCATGTTACCCAAGTTTAAGGCCAAATGAAGCTGACACGGCTTCTCTGGTTCCACCATGCCAAAACTGCCGCGCACGGAAGAAGAGATGCTACCATGCTGAGCCGCCGGAGGGTAGTGGGAAAAATGCAAGCCCTGTGGACGTAACGGAGCCGCATTCGCCCCCTGCCACTCGCGAGCCCAGTTCAAGCCCAGGCCGAGTAAGCCCTTACAACCCCGAGTCTGTTCTGGAAGACTTGTCAGAAAACCCAAACCCTACATCAACTCCAAAACAGTCGAATTTGTGCCCCAGGCATTCGCAACCCAGGCTGGAGAGTGTCATGCAACGTACCACAGAAGTGGTGACAACTGAGGCATCAACCGACAGAGCCCAGCGACTACTGTTCTGGCATCGGAAACAAAGGAAACGAGCCGCTTCACCCCACTTATCCGAACACTATCGACGATATCTGGAGGATGTTGGCGCATTCCTCGTGCTCCCAAAGTCGACAACGGACGCTCTGTTGCCGATTTATACGGCGTCCTTGGACGATCTCATTCCTATCATGGACGGCGCAAGTGTTGTACGTGATCAGAGTAACGGGCAATCTTCCAACTACCTCGTAAGAGCGATATGTCTTGTTGTTTGCAAGAGCAAACAAGCTTCGCCATTCTTACAATTAGTCGAAGGTGGTCCGATTCTCGAACCTTTGGAGTTTGCGTCCAAGTTGTTGGAGGGACTTGATGCTGCAGTTAAAGCAAACCTAGAACCAGACCGAGTGACAAAGATTCAAATCCTCACGTTGATGCACTTGCATAATGATGGGCTGGCTGGAGTAGACCGGTCTTCCAGTTACCTGTCACAGGCCATTTGCGAAGCGTGGTCAATCTCCTTACATCTTAAAGTCCCTGGAAGTCCTGAACAAAAACGCTGCGACTTTCTTTGGTGGACGCTCAGAAACTTTGACCGATTGAACAAGCCGATCATGGCGGCTGCACCCTTTATGATTGATGATACCGACGTGGCTGTCGATCGTATCAGTCCGAGAGAAGATGACTACCGTTCTCAAGTAATGTCAATTTCTTTGACACTAGGGGACCTGATGACTACAGCAACTCGAGTTTATAAAGCTAGCTCCAAGGCAACTGTTGACTTATGCGACGACTTCCCATCACTTTCTGAGCTCACTTCAGGCACTGCTTTTGAGCGATTCCACAGATCCCACGCAGGTGAGCTAGCTTCCGGTGACTGACTAAGACCTTGTTGATTAATGAAGCAGCTTATCTCGAGATTTGGTATCATGTCGCCGCCATGCTGTCGTGCCGCTACAGCGGGCCAGGCAGGCCTCAGTATTCCAGACGTCTAGCATCCGCTGATAGAGTAATCAGCATCATTTCACAGGAGGGTTCGGAAAGACTTCCGCCACTTCCACTCATACCCTATGCAATTTCAATGGCCACAACCGTAATCTATCGTGCATTGCGAGACGAAAGACGCAATACCTCCAAAGCATGCGAGGACCTTGGTCTTTGCTGCAATGCCCTGGAGATTTTGTCTGAGCGATGGACAAGCGTCAAGGGTGTGGCGCGGCTGGCAAAGAGATTATTGAGGTTCATTGATCGAGGAATAACTCAGGTGCAGCTGGGAGACAAAAACGAATGTCTCTGCAGGGACTGCGGGTCTCACGGAACAGCAGTCTCGGCTGTAAGCAGGCCACTGGAGATAGCCCCAGAGGGCCGTAATGAGACAGTCCATATCCTGCAACCGACCACACCAATACCCTGCTTGGTAGATAGCAGCCAAACTCTACACCAAGAGAACGGAGCAGGCATAGATCAACTTGTGCAGCTACAACCCGGCGACTCTTGGGAAAACTTTGATGTATCGTACACTCAGCTTGATAGGGCATTTCACGATATGTTTGACGATGGGATGCCAGATGTTTTTCGGGATCCAGCGGCATGGGATTTTATTGAAGTACCAAACGAAGCATATAGCCATTGGTCGACGCAATAAGTAATGTGGTTAGATATTACAGTGTCGAACTTGAAGTGGTATTTTTCGAACAATGGATAAGAGTTCAGGTCTGCCCAATCACAAGGAGTCTATTTACTATTGGCCAAGCAAACTACATCGTTTCGTATCCCTCAGGGTCAAATCATGTAAGGTTTGAAATCTCCCAAGTTGCCATAAGCTCCTCCGGCCCTGAGCTAGTTTCTACTGCAAATATCCAATCTAGGTCGATTCCTAGTTCTGCTCCCATCGCTTCGGTCGCCGGCTGAAACTGCGCCCAGTTGTGCTGATGTTTCTTGACTGGTTGCGAGGTTGACGAAGGGGAGTCGCCGTTGGCAGCCAAATCCGATTCTGAATCCTTGCGTAGTCGTTTCCGTGGAGTTTGAGACGAGCAAGTCGCAGTGGACTGTCGACGTGTGCGATTTGACTTAGCTCGGACCCCCCACTGCCGTTGAAGCATGACAAGAAAATCATGAGCTCTCTTCGCATTTTCCCATGATGGTGAAAATTCGTCGAGTGCTCTGAAACACGTTCCCAATTGTACCGCCAAGTTGTCATATTCGGGCCATGGGATGTGAGATACTGTTGCAAAAATCAATAGCAACGCCGCAGAGCAAGTGATTGTAACCCCCTGTATGTTCATCCGTCGAAGAGTGTATCTGTCTTCGTAAAGTTGGAGGAGTTTTGCTATTGCTACTGCTGCTTCAATGCATGCTTTTCGAGCATGGTTGTATCCCGGCCCTCGCGGTGGCTGAGGTTGTATGTAGTGTTTTGACATCCAAGGTCGGTGAGCATGAATAATTGCTTGAAAGTAATGCATACTAAATGTATGTTAGCTTCATCTTATCAATTAGTGTTTGTAAACTTACTGTAATAGTAAAACATGAGGTAAATATGGCGTTGAATTATCTGCATCATTTAAATTCACCTGAAGAACCGAAGGTAACGCACTTCTCCAGTCTGTTAGTTCCTTTACGGTTCTTTCATTCATCTCTTGCAGAATTGGCGAGGGGATCTTTTGGCTCCCGTAACTGTCAGACGTTAGTCGTTTTCCATTTTAGAATACTAATAGTCAGGACACACAGTGAATATCCGAGAGGGGCCATAATTTCGCATAGCAATGCTCGTTGGCGACTCAAATCCTCTGAATAGTCCGTCATCGGGCTCCCCGGAGACGCCAGCGATGTATAAGAGGACCACTGCCCCGAAGGCTTATCACTTATGACACTTCCAGGCTTCGCAACGGTAACGCCTTCCATGCTTATCCGAAAGGGTCGGCCCAAATGAAACCCCCAGAGACTAAAGCTATTTAAGCATAAGTACCTTTAGAATAGAACATGAGAGGGACCTACTGGTCAACGGTGTATGCCCCCCAAAATACAGTTTTGCGTAGATCAGCTTCAGCTTGGCTGATAGATCTTTTTTCCACATATGGTGTCATATCAACATGCAATGCCAAGTCAAATGCAAGGCGCATGGCCATTCCTTATGTGAAAATAAGCAAATAATTTGTACTTGTCAAATGTGTAGCCTTACCACTATAAAGCCAGCCACGAGCGTCTCTTTTGCATCCGATATCGTGCCCACTGAGTACTACCATGGCTTGAACAGTCGCAACTGTGGGACAGTCCAGTTCAATTTCTAGTAAAGCTTTTGCTCTGTCGGCAAAGAAGTCTGAGAGGGACTTGGGAAATGTAACGAAGGTAGGATGGTGGCGTGATTCGAATGCGGCTCCTAATGCGCAGCTGGCATAAAAGTCAGCAAAGACTTGGCTTTTACCAGAAGGCTACAAGTCAAGTGTTAAAAGTAAATTTCTTTGTAGACTCACATTGAGTTGCGGAGTGCTTCAGAGTAATATGGAGTGTCAAACTTGCCGTCTCGCCACTGCACTTGTGCTCTTTCGTACATGTCACGCTGTACCACGTGAGACGCAGGATCCTGCCAAGTGAAATAGAGGTTGACCAAGTGCTCTTCGATGCTGTTTGGTACTTCTTTGCCGATATTCAGGCGATCCAGGTACTCCTGGCCATCATTACGAACTGTGCGATGTACGGTCATGTTGTCCGGGGCAGGCATGTGGACTAAGTTGAAGTTAGATGTGGGGCCGTAATACCGAATTTGGCCATCTGATCCGATTTGAAGAGACCCGACACGATCTGACAAGCGATCTATTAGTTCTTCGGTGCTTTCAGTATCGCTCGAATCACTATCGCTGGGCGGCGAAGGCATCTGACCCTGACTTGAGCCATGGTTGGGTGGGTACCCTGTCGTTAAGATATCCCTTGTTGGTATTTCATTTAGTAAACTTGATGTATCATCAGGCCCGTCCAGCGGACCGTCTGAATCATGCCAATCCCAACCAAGCAGATCAAGGCAGTCATTGTGTTCGTGCTGTCTAGGGGATTGAAGCTGCCCCGGGACATCCTTCCATTCAGCGGGCAAGTTTGAGGTCAAGTCGTGCGTTTGGGTGCATTTTGGTGTATCGCTGGCTTGTTTATCCACATCGACCCCCGTTGATGTCATGAGCCGTCGATTCGGATGTGGTGTTCGAACTCCTCGAGTCATTTCGGTATTAAGGTCAGGAGTTTTCTGATACCCCTCGTTGAGTTGCAGCGTCGTGGGCTCCAAATCTTCCCTTGTTGAGTAGGCGTGCGCAAGGCCAACGTTTTTCAGAACTCGTAATAAAACTGTCTCATCATCCTTTTGCATAACCGGGGCCTTGAGGCCATTGTGCTGGATGAACTGGCTTAACTGATCTATCCGAGCGCAGAGGAGTTCTATTGCCATCCTGAGAGACAATCTAGTTAAATATTAGCTCGATATTCACTGTTATTAACTTTGACTGCAACGTGGGTAACTTGCTTTCGTTTGTCTTCGTTGGCTTGAAATCGACAGTCTTTGCCTTTACGTTTGCAGTTGGAACAACAGGGGGTCTGACCATCACACTAAATTAAGAGATTGAGAAGTCAAAATTCTAATAACAACTTCATAATTGGTTGTTTGCGGATGTTTATCGGCCCACTGCTTACCTTCACTTTACTCTCACGACACGACAAACATGCCGTGGTGACATGTTTCCTTTTCGTCGACTGTGGTGCTGATGCCATGATGGCAAGATGATCTCGTGACTTTTATTTGCTCTTTCAGCCGTGAAAAATCGTCATTTACTTGTGTAGGAAGCAGAGAGTGGAGGGAAAGTAGATGAGGAAGAGGTTCAATATTGTGTTTCCCCGCGCTAAACATGGATGCCATCTTCGGAATTCAACCCCCGTAGATCCACAGACAAGACAAACCCCACAGCCACCCCAACTTTCCCCGCACTCAAGGTTCATGTCGTGGAGCAAGGAGCCGGCTTATGCATCGCCCTGGCTGTGCATCTCCTACCATGAATACGTATAGCATAGTAAGCTTAAATGATGTCAAGAGTGGGTTCACTTTCTTCTCAAAACTAACTTCTTAGCTGTTTAGCATATTCTACGTATTTCATCAGATGGGCTCTGTCCTCTCAACTTGTCTGATTGAAGCAGAATCTTTTCTACAACATTGAATGCTACCTGATGTTTGCTATTCATGATCCTAGGAGCCGGATTAGGGTGCCTCAGGCTGCGCCTGCATTCTGGTTTCCAATCGTGATACTCTTGATGTTCTGATATTCTTCCAGCCCGTAAAGACTGCCCTCTCGGCCATAGCCGCTCTCTTTAACACCACCAAAAGGCGCCTCTGGAGCACTGATCTTGCCAGTGTTCACACCCACCATCCCCACTTGCAGTTTCTGCGCTACACGCATTGCACGGCTTATATCTTTTGAAAAGAAATACCCAGCGAGACCGAATTCGGTGTCATTGGCCAGTCGTACAGCATCTTCCTCAGTTTCAAACTCGAACACGGGTGCTAGAGGTCCAAATGTCTCATCCTTGCTTACTACCATATCTTCGGTGACACCAGAAAGTACCGTCGGTTGGAAGAAGAAGCCTGGCAAGTCTAGAGATTGCCCCCCAACTTCAACCTTGGCACCTTTGGAAGTCGCATCAAGGATGTGCTCCCTAACTTTCTCAATAGCGGCTTTATTGATAAGTGGACCCTGCGTGACGGAGGATTCGAGGCCTTGGCCCAACTTGAGCTCAGCTACTTTGCCAACCAATTTGCTAGTGAACTCTTGAGCGACCCCTTTTTGAACATAAAGTCTGTTTGCGCTATTGCGGCATTAGTATTAAGCTAACGACGTGATGCCAGGCATCGGCAGACGATCAACAAAAGAAGTGGACGCTACGTACCAGACACAGGTCTGTCCGGAACACCGGAATTTACAAAACATTGCGCCTTCAACTGCAAGATCGAGGTCGGCGTCATTGAAAACAATGAAAGGGGCATTACCGCCAAGCTCAAGGCTCACACGCTTGAGTGTTGTCGAGGCCAAGTTTGCCAACTTTTTACCTACCCCAGTCGACCCAGTGAAGCTGATTTTTCGAACTAACGTCGCACACCCACTTCTCGCACACCCCCACATTTCGCACACCCATAAATCGCTCATGTAGAATTTTACCCTCTTCAACATTCTTTAATATCTTCACCACTTTTACAGCGATTATTATAATTCTTTGAATAGTTACTCTTATACGCTTAATGGGCCAGTATACGGAAACAGAAGTCAATCAAGCTCTCAATGCAGTTGCAAGTGGGCAGAGTGTCCGAAAGGCAGCTCATGATGCTGGAATTCCACCATCAACCCTCCAGTCTCGATTAAAGGGTTCACAGGCAAGAAATGTAGCTTTCTCTAGCTTCCAGAAGCTATCTCCAGCACAGGAAAGTCACTTAGCTGAATGGGTGCGTATCCAGGCGGCGTTAGGGCTGCCGCCAACACATCAACAACTCAAGGAATTTGCCCAGCGAATCCTAGACATCAGAGGCACTACCCAGCCACTTGGGAGAAACTGGATTCAGTTCTTTATTAAGAGAAATCCATCAATCAAGGTTCATAGAGCTAGAGCCATCGATTCTAAGCGTGTCAATGGGGCCTCAACTAATGTAATCAGGCAATGGTTTCAACAACTCGCCCTTCCAGAGATCAAGGCGATCAAACCACATCATCGCTATAACATGGATGAAACTGGTATCCTAGAAGGCAGAGGATCAAATGGCTTAGTACTGGGATCATCAGAAAGCTCATCAATGCGAAAAAAACAGCCTGGGTCTCGGGCTTGGACAACTATGCTTGAGTGTGTCTCTGCAACTGGTCAGGCGCTTCCTCCACTTGTTATTTATCGAGGGAAATCGGTTCAACAACAATGGTTTCCTCTTGATATCCATAAACGTGATATTTACAGTGGTTGGAAGTTCACAGCAACTGAGAATGGCTGGACTTCAGACTCTACAGCTGTGGAATGGCTTGAGAACATCTTTATCCCTCTGACTAAGCCTGATCATCCCTCTGAGCAGAGACTATTGATCCTAGACGGTCATGGCAGTCATGAAACAACAGAATTTATGTATCTCTGTTATAAACACAAGATATATCTCCTTTTCCTACCGCCACATACATCCCACGTTCTCCAACCTCTAGACCAAGCAGTCTTTGGGCCTCTCAAGGCGACCTATCGAAAAGAGCTTGGATACCTCATTCAACACAACGATTCTACAGTTGTAGGCAAACGGAACTTTCTTACCTGCTATGGAAAAGCACGCCAGATGGCATTTTCAAGCAAGAATATCAGAAGCGGCTGGAAAGCAACAGGACTATGGCCCATTTCGATAGCTCGACCGCTCATGAGCCCTCTACTGCTTGAGAATGCTTCCAAGCCCTCAAAGCCAGGCTATTCTACGCCTATGAGGGCCTCTGATGGTGGAAAAGACGAAAACTGGGCATCTGCTACATCCATAGTAGCCTGGTCAACGCCCAAGAAGACAGTTGATCTATATGATCAACTTAGCTTATTCAGCAAGTTGGATAAAGATCAGCAAACGCAGCGACTGTTGTTTCGGAAGGTTCAAAAGGGATTTGATGAAAAGGACTATCAATTGGCTACAGCAGAGAAGAAGATTGCAATGTTGGAAGCAGAAGTTGAGGCTGGAATGGTACGGAAGCGGCGTAAGGTCCAAATGAGCCCAAATTCGAAGTTTGCCAACATTGAGGCAATTCACAAAGCCCAAATTGAGGCTGGCGAAATTGAGGATAGCTCAGATGAATCTAGCGAGCCTGAATTACCTATTAAAACTGGCGATAGTATCACAGTTGCAGGAGACGAATCAGACTTATAGTTATGAAGTTGATGAATACCTCATGATGACCCAATTTATGGGTGTGCGAAATGTGGGGGTGTGCGAGAAGTGGGTGTGCGACGTTAAGGGGTTCGTTGCAAGCTCAGTTGCCGCTTCACGATTTTTTGTGGGACAGACCTGGATTAAGCAAGGTGGCAGGCCAGCTTGGATCGCCAGTTTGGTCAAGGCAAGACAAGTGTAAGGTGTCTCGCTCGGAGGCTTGATAACAACTGAGCAGCCTGCTGCGATAGCCGGTCCGACCTTACGAGTGATCATTGCTGCCGGAAAGTTCCATGGTGTGATGATTCCACACACACCCACTGGCTCTCGAATCGTGAGTAGTGTTGTATGTGGACTAGATGATGGGATTGTTACACCATAAGCTCGGGTGGCTTCTTCGGCAAACCAGGAGATGAAGTTCGCAGCATACACAACTTCTCCCCTTGCTTCTCCGTACGTCTTGCCGTTTTCAAGACTAAGGATGGTTGCGACTGTGGTGTTCAGCAAAATTTTGGGAGATATTCGAAAGATACAACACTTACTGTCCTCTTGATTGACTAGAATGAGATCGTACCATTTCCTCAAGAGTGCCCCTCTTGAAGTACCTGTAGTGTTGTTGAAAAATGCTATCTGCGCTTTGTTTGCGCTATCTATAGCCTTTTTAAAATCTTTAACATCGCAGTCGGCTACCTGGCCCAAACTCGTACTAGTTGAGGGCTCTTCAGAAGTTGTTAGTTATAGCAAAATTTGCATTGATTGATTGATAGCCTATACCGACAACGTCAAACTTTCTGTCCTTCGCAAGCCATTGGCCTTCAATAAACGCGTCTTCGATAAACAAGTCTTTTCTGCTTAGCTGAATCGTCTTAAAGTTAACAAAAGCCATAATGAGAGTTCTCTAAGTCACAAACTTTGATTTGTATCGGCTGGGAGATTGTTAACTACGGACCTTTTTCAGGGCATTTTGATGGTAAGTCGCATCAGCACTCGCGTAAGTCTCTGAAATTGAGCCCATAATGAAGGATTTATAGGTTGTTTAAAAGGATATTTATGTTTTCAAAATTAAAGATCAAAGTAATGTGACGAATGACTCAACTTTTAAGGTTGAAACAGGCCATTCACTCTTTATGTAAACAAATGGAATTGGCTCCCTTTAACCTATTGAATCCAGCATTTTCACACGCTCCACAGATCCCGTCATTTCCAATATCTATAATGCCGAAGATCCCATTCATTCCAAAGTCCGGTGATGTTTAATCACATTTCCGACGTCGTTAGACACGCGGATTACAAATACCGTCGGGAAAATTGGCCGACCCTGCCAAGGGAACCAGGTGGGGCTCTGCCCATCTCTCGGAGGGTCAATTCCGACCACGATTTATGTCAGTCTTGACACATGTACCGAGTCTATGAGCCCACCTACCGCTTGTCAGCTGTCTAACTTAGCGAAAGTTTTGGAAGACAATGCTTTGTTGCCAAGCCATTGTTGGGCTTTTCGATTTAATATTGTTGATACCTTATGATAGTAAGGCTCGAAACGACGCTAGACTCACCAACACTAAGTGGAAGCAATGTACGACTGAATTTACAATTTCTTGTTTGAACTGGGAAGTTCAATGATCGCTTCATCTACGGCACGCTAAAACTCTTGGAATTTCGTAGGATAGAACTATCTTTTCTTTTAGGCAGTTTACACAACGGCCTATTGCTAAATTTCAATTATGCCTAGTATCGTTTGCGGGAGATAGTGCTACACAACAAAACCTGATCGATTTAACCTCATTCATTCGACCAAGCGCAGGGCGCTCAAATTCCCCAGGCTCAATGTCTTTCTCAGGTAGCTGACCATGGCATAGCCTCCTGTCATCCCATAGTGTTGGCCCACAGCCGCTACAACAGTTACAGTTAAGAAGACCGTTATCATAGGTGACAAAGTTCTTGACCAGCGGTAGACCGTGAAAAGAGGCCAGAGGAAATTTCCACCAGTCATATTGAAGGCAGCCCAGTCAGGAAAATAAGTTTTGAACCAGAACGACCTAGCTAAGCCAGGCCAAGACGCAGCATTTCTGCCATAGTCTCCGATGTACCAATTGGAACAGTCTCCGGAAAAAACGGTATCAGCCAGAGATTTATGAATCGCATTCGTCTCACGGTCCTCAGCAGCCTGCTTGACCTCAATGACAGATGCTCTGCGATCAATCAATGGTTTGAAAAGTGATTTGATGGCATAATCAACCTGGGTTTCGCAGGCGAAGAGGGCCGAATTGTTGGCTGGGAAAGTATTAGGACCGAAAAGAATAGCGAGGTTCGGAAAGTTGTGAACATGCGTTCCAAGATACGCTTGTGCACCACGACACTCCTTCCATTGTTCATGGAGGGAAACACCAGTAGTGCCGATAATGTTCATTGGCGTCAGGAATTGGGAAACTTGAAAGCCTGTCGCTAAGACAATTATGTCAAAATCATCTTTGACCCCAGAGGAGCTAATGATACCGGTCTCGGTTATTTCTTTAATCCCCTGCGGAATCAGCTCAACATTCGGGAGATTGAGACTTTCAAGGTAACCAGGATCGAATATCCGACGCTTGCATCCCAGTGGAAATTTTGGGATGATATAATCCCAGTATTTTTTGGGCGCAACGGACTGGATGTATCTCGTGGATTCATCTTCTGCTTCAAGTCGTGCTTTCAGACCCTTGGGAGTTGGAAAATAAGTAGTCGTCTCCTCGTCTGCATCCAGAAAGATCTGAAGCCTAAGCCAACGCATCCAAAATGGCACCCATCGAAACATGAATTTATCGGTTTCTGTGTATTGTCGGTTTGGCCGAGAATGAAACCATTGCCCGCTTCTGGCATACTGCTTAACAAGAGCTGCGTGTTTGGCCAAGGCCGGTATAACTTGTGCCGCGCTACAACCGTTGCCAATGATTGCAATCTTCTTGTTCCTGTAGTCGACACTGTGATCCCATCGTGCAGTGTGGAACATGGCGCCCTGAAACTTTTCCATCCCTGTGAACTTCACGTCACGGGGAAACGATATAGCACCAACCGCAGAGACCAACACCGAAGCGTAACGAGAGTAGACAATCCCAGTCTTGAGGTCTTTCAAGGTAACTTCCCATTTATCAAGGTCATTGTGCCAATTCGCTCCAATACATTCCACACGGCATTGTACATGCTTGTGCAAGTCAAACTTGGTGCAGGTGTCTTCCATGTCTGGAATGGATCAGTCTGTATCCGGCAGTCTAATCACGTGTGCACTTACATTGGAGAATCTCTGCCTGTTCGCAAAGCTCTTTTGACCAATTTGGATTCAAATTGAAACTGAATGAATATAAGTGTGATTTCAGATCACATCCGCTGAGAGCGCGAATATTAGACCCTTTGATACTGGATAACATGTGGTAGGGAGAACTTACCATCCTGGATACGTGTTGGTCCTCCATGTTCCCCCCACGCCGTCAAGCTTTTCGTAGATGGTGAAATCCTCGAAGCCTAGCTCATGCTTCAAACGGTACGCCATGGCAATGCCAGACGGCCCAGCGCCGATTATGACGGCGTTTAGCGCTTTAGCATATTGAGACATAGTGTGCGTCCTGTGGTAAAAGTTTCGTCAAACTGGACAGATTGGATTGTGTTATAAAACCTTTGGGTAAAGTCCTAAAGCTTGGGAGGCGAAATCGTTGGAAGGAGCTTTGACTGCGATCCTTAATGATGGCTTCTACCAATTACGGAATAGATTTAAATGCATGTAGCGCAGCTGAAAGCTGCCGGAAAAAGCTATATGTCAATAAGAGAGTGTGTTTTGCCGCTGCTTGTATCCCGGCAATGAGCTTCGTACATCCTGATCTTGGCATTTTTTCGGGAACTATTACTACGGAACTAGCCAACGGTGGTCATCGGATGCTTAGCTCCGACAGATCTTAGGGATTTGCGATTCCGAGTAGTACGCCTACAACTACACTGCCAAGTCGGGATTTACACTCCGACTCCAAGTCACTAAGTAACTCACTCTTACCAATTTCAACGCCTTTCCAGACAGTGAGCCCCCATACCACGTGTGCAGACCTCAGTTTAGACACACAGCAGAACAATCGATAATACAAAAGAAAGAGTAGGCCTACAAAATAAAAACGAAGTTCGCTTATGTACAGGACCGTTCAAAACCTCGCATTACCTAGGAGTTACTTAGTGGGTGCTCGTAATAGTAGCGTGCCCAACTACTCATCATGGATTAGAGATTTTCAGCCTTGATTCTATGTATAGATGCCATAAATGTCTCCTGTTATCCCATTAAGTTGTCTTTATATTAAAAAAGTAAACTCAATTTGTAGCTATTGCTTTATTCGCCATAATAGATCAGTTTCACTTTTTTAATGTCTTGTTTTATTCGAATGTACTGATGTACTGCTTTGTCTCAAATACTTCATCACTTTAAGATGTAAGAGTAGATCGCTCCGAAATACTGGTAGAGTAGAATTAGGTTCGCTTGAATAGCTTTAAACTACCAAAATGATACGAAAGCTCAGCCTTGAATTCTGTCTAAACTAAATCTGTTTCCAGCCTACCAGTCGAGCATTTGTCCCGGCCAAGTCATCCAAATATATCAACACTCGATTTACGATTCCTTTCTTATCCAGTTCAAATCGGTCGTAGTTGCTCACATTGGAGGCTGAATAACCATATGTGGTCATGCCGATGCTGGCTGTGACATACTTCGCCCAAGTGGTCGCAACATACTCTTCAACACTCACAATTGGTGTCCCATCCTTAGGGAACACGCTGTCATGATATGCTTTATCCTGCTGATCGAAGTGACTGAAGCTTGGACAACTGACAACGCGTGTCGGAATTCCCGACGACGATAGCGACTCTGCAGCTGCGACTGCATAATGAAGATTTGTACCACAGCTGGCCAAAGTAAGTTTGAATCCCGTCGCATCTTTGATAACATAAGCACCCTTTTGAACCTTGGTCCGATCTGTTGACGGCACATGCCCAGTGAGATCTCTTCCCAGTGACAACATGGTAGGCCCATGGTGGTTACCCAATGCAAGCATCCAAGCCCCGATGGTTTCTTCTGCATCGCAGGGCCGGATATAAGTCAGGTTTGGCATTGCGCGGTATAGAGAATCCAACTCGACAGGTTGATGCGTCGGGCCATTTTGACCCTCTGCAAAGGAGTCGTGGGTTGCAATGTGAATGACAGGCAAGTGACTCAGTGCACCCATTCGAACGCCAGGTGCAGCCTACTAACAGGTAAGTTCCTAAACAAGAAATGTTTCCTAGAACCGACTTACATAGAGATAAAACATAAAAAATGTGGCTGTAATTGGCAAAAAGGTGCCAGGTCCATAAGCAGCCAATCCGTTAGAAATCGCTGCCATGGCATGTTCACGAATTCCATATCGAATGTAGCGTCCAGAATAGCTGATTGATGGGTGGAAAACATCTGAATCGAGATAAGGAATTTTGTTCGAATTGACAAGATCAGCGCCTCCGCCGAAAAGCGTTGGACAGGCCTTCCATAGTCGTTCAAGCAAAGCTCCGTTCACCTCGCGAGTGGCTGTCCCCTTGAATTGGCTGGAATCCAAGCTTTTGAGGACTTCCAGCCACTCAGGTCCGCGACTTCCACTTCTAGCTCTGAAGAACTCTGAAGATAGTTCTGGATAAACAGATCTATACTTCTGGAGCAATTCGTTCCATTCTTGTTCGATCTGTTCGCCATGAAGTTTCCTCTCTCGGAAGTACTCCAGGGATTTTGGAGGGATATAATGAGTCACAGTCGGGTCTTGACCAGCCAACTGCTTTGAAATTGCCACACTTTCAGGGTCAAAAGCGCCATGGTGTGCTTTGAATGTGCCAGCAACGCTTGTTCCCAAACCAATCACCGTGCGAATGTTGATAAAGATTGGCTTGCCTTTTAGCGATTTGGCGAACCGCAGTGCAGAGGTCATCGCTTCCACATCGTGATTGCCGTCAGCAATTTCAAGCACATGCCAACCTGATGACCGCATCTTGCTGTTTATGTCCTCGGTGTTGATCCAATCAAGTGGTCCATCGCAGGTGACTTTGTTGTTATCATAAAGCAACACCAAGTTGTCCAGTTGCAAACTGCCGGCCAGAGAAATAGCCTCAAGAGCGACTCCCTCCATGAGGCAACCATCTCCAGTCATACAGTAAATCCGCGATTGCACCACATCAAGTCCAGGTCTGTTGTAACGGGATGCCAAGTGCTTCGAGGCAATTGCGAGACCCACAGCATTGGCGATGCCTTGCCCCAATGGCCCTGTTGTAACCTCCACCCCAGGCACTTCGATCTCTGGGTGAGCGTGACAGATCGTTTTGTACCCTCCTGTCTTGTCGCCTCCGTACCCCTTAATTTGGTCCATGGTAAAGTTTTCGTAACCGACCAGATGGTTAAGAGCATAAAGAAACATCGCAGTATGACCTTCATAATGCCATTAGCAAAGCTTCAGCCAGTGATATATGCTAAAGTGGTTACTGACCGTTGGAAAGCACAAATCTGTCCCGGTCAAACCATTCGGAATTCTTGGGATTATAACGCAACGTATACTTGTAAAGGGCAACACCAATGGCGGCCATACCAACGGCCGAACCACCATGACCTCCTCCGTTTTGATTGCAAATGTCGAAGATCAGATTGCGTAACGCAAGAACGGCTAAATCATCATCGTTCAGCGTTTCCCTCCACCCCTTGAGCTGGGTGTTGCTGTTTCCATTGCGTCTATCCTCCATTGATTTCACAGGCGTACCGTTTGCAATGGTAGCCTTGGGATCAGTTCGATCGTTTTTGGAAGTGGTGTGAATACCGTTTTTGTAAGACGACATTTTGCGTATAACTGACCAAGTCAGTCTTTCACGAAAATGAGATCAATTGAATTGCGAATGCTGGACAAAGAATTTCACGAATCAGAAATTCAGTACGATAAGAAGTGGTGCAAATCTCAAAAACAAATATCAGCAGATCCTATACTCGGGTAGTGATAATTGGTAAGGCGCTACCTTAAGATAGGCATTGGATCTATATTTTCGTGGCAAAGTTTACCAAATGCGATTTTCACAAGTTTGTTCCATGTTCCGATGGAATTGCACTAATTTGATAGGTGGGGTTGTTGTTCGGATCTCAAATCCGGAGTGGGAAGCATCGGGAGTTAGGCTCCGGCTTAGATCTGTGCTTTGTTGACATCTAGAGCGGACAGTAGCAAAAATGAAATCCCGGAATTCTCCTGCAAACCAATCCGTGAAAAAGGTCACGGAAGAGTCGTGAAGAGGTCTACAGTCTCGATCTAGTAATGCCGTGTTGAGGCATACTTGATGAGAGATCTCTGAATGCGGAAATTCTGGTCCGGTCCCTTAATCATCAGTTATACATGGGTTGAGACAAGGTAAATAGCATGCAGGCTCTGAGCTGCCCTCATCTACGTACCTATATCAACCTTTCTGTTACCTTTAACTGCCAGTGTTCTAGCTCCTTCGAAGTACTTTGACTCTTACATGAACCGGTTTCGCAGTCTGACCCTTCAAATAGTAACATGACGTCCAACAACAAAGATCAATTCCATCCTTCAGCAGATGTTAATCGATACTTGGCTAATTCTGTCCATAACTTGTTATCCCTCAAGGGACGAACCGTTGTCATAACCGGTGGGGCACGAGGACTAGGATTGGCATTCGCACTGGCAGTCGCTGAAGTTGGGGGCAACGTCGCCATCCTTGATGCAGCTCAGGAGCCTCACGAGCACTTCTACCAAATTCAGAAAGAGCACGATATAAAGCTCAAATACTACAGGTTAGCTCTTACTGGGAAGGTCCAAGGCGCATGCACTAGTCAATTTAGCTTAACCTCACCTTCAGGAGCGATGTAACGAATTTTGAGGTCCTCAAACAGACTTTTGATGGTATTGTTGAAGACTTCGGCCGCATCGACGGACTGTAGGTCGGTTCTCACCTTGCAAAAGCCTGATGCCTGACTGGTTTTAGTGTCACTGCTGCGGGAATTTGTCCCGATGAACCCTTCTTGCAGCGAAACCCTGAATCTGTAGCTAGGTGCATCAGCATCAATGTCCTTGGAACTTACTTCGCTGCTCAACTGGCTGCCGCACAAATGGTGAAGCAAGAGCCGACAGAGTTCAATTCCCGTGGAGGCTCAATTGTCATGATTGCTTCTATTGCTGCGCATGTAGCGAGCAAGGGTCAAACAACAAGTGACTATTGCTCTAGCAAAGGCGCAGTGGTGTCATTAGCTAAGGCGCTTGGTGTGGAGCTAGCTGCAGTCGGTATTCGTGTGAACAGTATTTCACCCGGGTAAGGTGCCCTTGCTTTGGGGTTAACAGTTTTTGTATTAATATGGTGTGCAGATATATGGCCACAGACATGACTCTGGATTTGTGTACTCGCAACCCTTGGCTTGGAGAGATCATGCATAATGAGCCGCCTATGCGTCGAATGGGCGACAGAACTGACCTCAAAGTCCCGGTAGTGTATCTTCTTTCAAATGCAAGCGCATATCATACTTCGGACGATATTTTGATTACAGGGGGTATCCATGCAGGCAGGTTGATGTAGAAAATCTTAACCGCACGCAAACGCAAGTAATATAATGGGAAGAATTAGTATCGCAATCAACAAACTACCGCAAGTTGCCATGAGCCCCAAAATGCTTTGGATGTTTAAGAGTGCGCCAAAGAAATTATTACTCGACATCTGTCGTTGACTTTGCCAAAGCTTTCAAGATATATTGCAGAATGAATGTAGATGTTTGCATCTAGGATGCCGATCCCAGCATAGCATAGCCACTACCCTTTCAGTACCCTATGACATTCTAGGTCTCTTCTAGCAGAGCGTCGGAACGAGCCGGCTCTGTCTGAGACAATTTACAGCTAAGAACCAGAGCGTGACGATACAGGTTTACAACCAAAGCTGAGGGATTCGGCTTTGAACCGTCTGTTAGTACGAAGTATCTCCAGGTATTTTCAGTGTAACACCATCAAAGATAGCCAGCCAGCCAGCCAAAAGATGCTCTGTCATACGCGTACCTCACCGCCAATCACAGACATAACCTATTTAGGAAGGTGGCTGGGCTTTTCGCTGATGAGGTGCCCTGTCGTGCTTTGCGCTCGCCAGATATTACTGGACGTACCTATATATCTACCCGGAAATAAATCATTTCAACAATTGACTATTTCCTCACCTCAACAATAAAATCCATCAAAAAGCCAGAATCACTAGATTGTGATATCGGGGGCAAGCCATAGGTATTCTTAACGCCAGAGCAGCTCTTGCAAAGTTTACTGTGACGATACGTGCTGGTCGCTCCCGAGCGAGTTCAGACTGGGTCAATCCATAGATCTTCAACCACAGTACACTGGATTCACAATGTCCCGGCAAGAAACCGATGCCGAATGCTTGTCTGCTCAGAGAGCCTTGGAACAGGAAAAGAGCGGCGTGGAAGAAGAAGCACCTCAGGATCCAAATATTGTTGACTTTGATGGCCCCAATGACCCAGAGAACCCGCTTAACTGGTCGACGACCAGGAAAACAACCATCGTCATTGTGTCTCTCACCGCATTGCTCTCGTAAGATTCCTGTGCAACCTATTCCGATTATTTACTCGCGAATTTCGTCTAGGGTGCCAGAGCTGATGCAATTTGCTCTCTATCCTAGGCCTATCGGTTCCACCATCAGCGCAGGTGCAGCAGCTAACATCATGCAGCATTTTGGCACGACAGATGAGGCGCTAGGGGCGCTCATGACAACCATCTATCTTCTCGGATTCGCGTTCGGCCCTATCCTTATCGCGCCTCTGTCAGAGCTGTACGGGCGTGCAATCATGTTCCGAACTTGTACTTTTCTGTTCACTGTTTTCAATGTCGCCTGCGCGGCAGCGAATAGCTTCAGCTCCCTGGTAGCGTACCGTCTGCTGGCCGGCATTGCTGGGTCATGTGCGGGCACGCTGGGCGCCAGCTCTATCGCGGACATGATCGTGCGTGAAAAGCGCGGGACTGCGATGTCTGCGTACGTTATGGGCCCGGTCTTTGGACCGACCATCGGGCCCATTATCGGTGGTTATTTGACGCCGGCGGCAGGCTGGCGATGGAATTTTTGGCTTATAGCCATTGCGTCGGGTGTCATGACCGTCCTCGTCATCCTTTTCTTAAACGAGTCTTATCCGTACGCGATCCTAAAGAAAAAGACGGCAAAATTGCGCAAAAGCACAGGGAATCAGAACCTGCGGTCGGCCCTGGATACAAACAAGACCCCCAGACAGCTGTTCAAATTCGCCATACTGCGCCCACTCAAGATGCTGATATCTCCCATCGTATTCTTGATGTCGATCCATGCCGCCACCGTGTTCAGCTATGCCTACCTCTGCTTCACCACTTTCCCTCGTATCTTCAAGGACCAATACGGCTTCCATAGCGGAGCCTCCGGGCTGACATCCATCGGGCTTGGCTGGGTTCATCATTGGCCTTTTGTTTTGCGGTGCTGTCTCTGACCGTTGGTCTGCCCACTTGACAAAGAAGAACGGAGGCGTGGTTAAGTCTGAGTATCGACTGCCCATATTGGTTGTCGGTGCCGTTTTTGTGCCTATTGGTCTTTTCTGGTACGGATGGACAGCTGAGTACAAGGTCCATTGGTTTGTGCCTATAATCGGGACCACCTTCACAGGCATCGGCATTGTGATTGCATACGTGAGTTCTCTCAAGTCTTGGCAGTTGCAAAATTAATCAATACTTCGTACAGACGACCATCGCTACGTATCTTGTAGACGCATATACGGTCTATTCCGCCTCGGTGATAGCTGCAAGTGCCATCCTTCGCTGTCTTCTCGGAGCTCTGCTGCCCCTGGCTGGTGGCGCCATATTTGACGCCCTAGGAGTAGGCTGGGGCAATTCGGTCCTTGGGTTTATTTCTCTTGCATTTCTTCCTTTGCCATTTATTCTCTACATGTATGGCGAGAGAATCCGCGAATCACGACTCTTCAAGATGGAGCTTTGAAACCCTTGAAAGAGAGCCGGAAAGATTGCTTTCCCGAGCAGTGGAACTATCGAATTGAGTAAATCGGACTTGAAATCGAAGTAGAGGAGAAGAAGAAATTAAGAAATGGTTATTTTTAATAGATCTAGAGCGCGGGCAAGAACATGGACCTTGCCCATCTTGTAGTTTATTATCTATTAAAACAAACCCGAATCCACAAGATCACGAAACAACAGGACTGACACACATTTAAGGATCTCAATTCTCGCAGTAAGTATTAATATGCAGCGTGCTTCAACCTCTTTAACGATATGTATATCTAGAAGCACGGTGTTAGTGCTCAAAATGGACTGGGAGAACATACTTGTTCTCATGGCACAATAATGACCACACTGTCTTAGTAGCGCTTAGCTTCTGTGCAATCCATATGCTCGAGAGCGTAGCAGGCTGATTGTTCAAAGATTTATATCATCTCTTGCTAAGTGGTTTGCCTTCCAAAGACTCAGTGTCAGCCCCAGGTAAACCAAGCTGTTGGAGTGACCGTGGGGAATTGATAAATGTTTATACTAGCATGTGGCAGAATATTGGTTCCGATGACTTTTTAGAACATATGAATATTGTATCTAAGATGGGTTTCACAACTACCAATCATTGGTTGGTCTTTTAATACAGCGTAGTTGGATTCACCACTCGGGCAGATTGTTATTCTAAATCCCTGGGATCCGTTTCTCATACCGTCTCTTTTCTGGCCGATGTACGGAGAAAACCTTTAGCAGGGTTTGGGACTCACTGCATCTCGCGGATTGCTTCCACCTTGGCACCGGCATGAAAATCCATGCGGTTACTGGCCTCATGTTATGTCAGCGTCTTCTAAGCCCCCATGGGCGCTAAATATTGCCATGTCAGCTGATCAATAACCATGTACCTTGCAGGACGTATGAGTGCCGACGCGTGGATTTACTGCTCGCCGATCCTGATCAGCATGTGTGGGGTTGGGACTACTGGATGCGAGTCGGGTCGTCTGGGGCGCCGAACATTGGTCAGATGGTATGGGGTAATCGGACTCTTCCTGCTTGGGCTATAGACTGGTTGGAGCGAGGACCCCTGTTTCTAGAGGCCCGACTTGCGTGGTCATCTGTGACTTTTTACTTACCGATTTGGTTCGCAATCCAGGGGTAGATGGGCTGTGTGCCAAAAAGAGGTTTAGGGATCAATTATCTTGTTCTTTATCCATGATTGAGACGAGCAACCTCGGTTGTTTCGGCTTTAAGTGCTGCTATACTTTTGAACCATGTTTCTGGTACGTCCTCCGCACTTGACTCTGTTCTTGGTGTTCTTGCCTAAAGGCTACTTTCACCTAGTATGGAGCTACATAGGGTTTCAACTCCGTGTACTACGCTAGCCCGGGTTTTTGCTGTTTTACTACTTAAGGTGAACATGGGCCATACTACGATAATGGTTTAGCTTAGTAAATCTATCGTGCGTTTTAATACTAATCCGTTATTGAGAACATGAGGTTGTTGATATACGCCAGTCTAGCTGTTCGGTTATGCTGATAGCTAATATCACGAATATGTCCCCGAGAAACTTACAGGTTCAGACTTCATAAGACGGTAAAGGTTTTCCATGAAGCAAGAGCGAAGTTTAGAAACCTTGTCGCCACGGAATCGACATGAAATCGACATCGGATGGAGGTCGGGATGTTTTCTCGGATTTGACGGGATTGAGCCCCGCTGTGAAGCGGCATACGGCTCAATGAAGGAGACGCTAACCTGTATGAGTACTTGAAGATGTAAGAGTGGATTGCCCACCATGTCCCCCTTTAAACAGTTAAGCCTAGTTCCAAAGTATCATGAAGATGTATGTTGTTGAGTTGATGGATGGTGATGTACATGTTATCGGTTCGGCGATTACATCTCCGGCTGCGCCTCTAAGCATGAAAACGAGTTATCTCCGAAGCTGGCACCCATGTGCAGTCAGTTGACGCCAAGTTGTCCTCCAACATACTTGATGAGCAGGATGTCTGATAGGCGGTCAGGCGGGCAAGCGGGACAGGGTGCGGGGGGGTTGGCTGGTTCATTAGGAATCTGGAGGTACTGATTGGATGTATGGGTGATATGGCGCTAGTCTTTTCGGCGATGAAACGCATGGGTGGTGTTCGGTGTGAGAAGTGATGGTGGTTATCGACACAGATTATCCCCCAAGTATTTACTATCATTGCTTCCATGTCAACTCTAAAAGCTTGTTTATCAACGGAGTTGGCTCCGTTCGCCGTTCACGTGATTGCTCCATCAGGAAGGCCGGTGCGCGATCGGTCGGTATGACACGCCGTGTAGACCGATCTCTGACCGTGGGTTAGTGCGACTTAGTGTACTCCGTACAGGCGGCCCCACAACAGATAGACCTGTCACCAATAGTTGCCAGTAGGTGTGTGCTGAATACATACGCTCCTATGGATTTCATACTATTGTAAATATCAGGGACGATAGAATTAAGGTCTTTACGTAACGAGATAAAATAACTTCCAATGCCTCCTTGACGTCATATCTGTCATTTCTTTATTGCGTTCTACCACTGTTTTGCGTTAGTGCCCCTGCGCCCCAGACGGTCAGCTATCTTGGCATATTTGCCTTCCCCGCCCCCTCAGCTTTCTCCCTGTCAAACCAGTTGATCCGACTCCGCAGACAGAAGCGTACTATTACCACGGGTGCACGGGTAGTAGAACGTGGGAGGTGTTAAGGATGTAAGGTGAGTCCAGCATCTTTTAGCAGAGACATCAATACCCTTAGCCGCTGGCTCATAATGCCAGCTTTGACTTTTGTTGGTCGGGAAATTATCTAGGTCCGCTTTAGCGTGAGATCGTCGACTTTCCAGAGTCAATTGCGTCCAGACCGATTTTTTTTCGGTTCCGCCGCAGCGTCAAGCTTAGGGGTGCCGTTCCCTCCATGTTTGGTTGCCAACCACATATCATACGTCGCGTGACATTCTCGCACATCAGCTCAGCGAGGCTCTTGGGAGGAACAGGGTCTCAACGGACAAGTTGCACTTGTCTGGGGTCTTGGTCCGCCTTTGGCCTAGCCAGACCTGCGAGCTTTCATTCCACTGTCATCAAAGGCGAATCCAACATTCCAAGGCGCAGGGGATGCTTTCACGCCGCTAATTGGTCACAGAATTTGGGGGTGTCCACTGTTCCCGCAAGGGTGTGATGGCAAAGGGTTGAAATTTTGGCCAGCAGCAGGTTTCCAAGCGAACTTGGTAGCCCATCTTGAGGAGCTGAAGGAGGCGCGGCAGTCTGGAGGCAACCTTGCCGGGAAATGATGCGTTTCCAGAATGCTGGCGTTTATACTGCGTCTACTGGTTGCATCAATGCATCGGCAAATGCCAACTTGCTCCTTCGCTCAGGGCCTGAGCGAGGCGACAGATAATCCTAGCTCGGCAAACCGTTCAAGGTGGCATGGCCCGGGAAACTTCGACACAAGGGGCACGTAGAGACGAGCTGATTGTCAGAAGGATTGTGTACACGCATTTATTTCGGTATCTCTTGTCATCCTAACCTCATGGTCGTCTCAACAATGCGGCGCGTTGTAGGATAAAATGCTGCGGGAAATCGTCTCTACCTTATCTCTGATTTCCCCTGCTCTCTGCACCACAAAGTGGGGTTCGGTCTGCCCAGGCGATGTGGTACCAAGCCGCCGAATAAGTATCCCGTATGTCCGGCAGGCCGGCATGGGCCTCGGCGGCGTCAGCATGGCAGCAGGCATGCCGCACTCAGGCACTTTGGCACTTGGGTTGCTGCAAATGTTCGCCGGGACCCCCTGTTGATACAAGGTATTCGCTGTCCAACCAACGACCATGGCTTCTGAATCTAATCAGCGGAACAACCCCACGTTCATGGTTTACTATGTACGAAGCACATTGCCACAGGTTCAACTGTATTAGCTGCAAAACCAAGAGACCTCTAGTAGGCCCTGAATCCACTTCCATGCATTTCATCCAATCCCTTGGCTCGTGTTGAGAAGTCGCGCACTCTGTCGGAGTCAGCGAGGTGTGCCTCACTGCTGGGCAACTAACCAAGACGGCACAAGCAAGCCTTCTGCAATGAGACATTGGGAAGTAGTTGACTCCAACCAGAAGACTGGCCGCGCCGACGCCTCTCCCGAGAGACAAGCAAGCTTGTATGGGCAAGCGTTGCTTGGGATTGCTCTTTAGCCACTTAGGCGGTCGCATTGAGGCAACCAAGCAACGTGATCAATTGATTTTCCGCTCTCGTCCAAGATCGCACTGCCGATCATCGCAACAAATACCGATGGAGTGAATTAGATATTTTCAACCTCAGAGAGAACTCGCTGGAGTATTATTGGCAGCCCCGCTGATACCTTGAATGAAACATGTCGACGAACTCAGATGTAAACTAGGGACATTACTATTATGACAGTTGCTAGACACATCCATGGCCAGCAGCGACACGTGATGGGCTGGAGAAGTCCTCCAAACTAGACAATGCCTCTACCGTCGTAACGACAATGACACGGCTGGCTCCAGGCCCCCAGTCTGTTCAATCAGGTCGCTTGCAGCGTCTGCAACATATTCAGGGAATCCCTGAAGATGACGATGTTGTGTGGGGTAATTGAAACTCTGTGCACTCCGCAGCGCAGGGAGATGCAGACCAGTCTAATTTGCTTTGGGCAAAACGAGTAGAGCACGTCAGCCCACAATTACCATGTATCGTCTTGGGCCAAACACACTGGTACTGAGAAGTGTAAGCCGGTGTGTCTTTGGGGGGGAGGGTTCTGCGAACTAACCACTAGCTACACTGTGATTAGTGTTGGGTATCACAAGCTTGGCGTGCCCTGTCTCTGTCTCTTCAGCCAGTTGTACTGTCATATCTGAGTCCATCGCCACATTTTTCTTGCTCTTGCTGCTGAACCCCTGCCACACCACCCAACCCCGTCCTCTTATCAAGCCATCCCTGGCCCAGACAGCCTGGTTGTGCCCATGGCAAAAAAAAGGGACAAAAAAAAAGAGACTCCACCTCCGCGGCGGGTGTTCTTGCGGATAGTAGTATCTTGGCTAAAGTATAGTAGCGTATTCTTCCTCCTGTACGTGTAGGCTATCTCAAAACGAGTACGTTCCCCTCGTCTTGGAATGAAGATACGTATTTTGTTTTCCCTCACTCTGTCTCTATCTGTCTCCTAATTGGCTTCCAAGTCCTTTTAAGGGTCTGAAAGTGGACCACCGCCGCGGAACCGTACGCTGGAGAATGAGCCTGCCGTTGGCCGTTGAGGGCCCTCCCCGTTCCGACCGTTCGTGCCGTGTACCCCCCCGTGCCTTGGTTACTTTTACTTCCCAGTTCTCTCGCCCTTTATTTTTGCTCTTTTGTATATATGCTGCCGCTTCCCCTGCCTCTCTCTTGCCGCCAAATGAAGAAGCACATGCTCAATCCCCTTCTCCTCATCCTCCCCTGGTAGTGCACTGCTGTGCCAATTGGGCTACGGAGCTTACACCCAAATCAACCTTCTGGTTACCACAACCTACCAGATATACTCTCTCTACCTTCTACCTTTCTTCATCATCTTCACCCATTCTCCTCTTCTTTCGGGCTTCACGCCTGCGCTCCCAAAATGGCGGCGAAACATGAAGATAAAGGCGACATCAACGCCCTCGACCGCGGTCGCAGTCATGAGAACGAGAAGCGCGGCTCCATCTCCAATTCCATGCGCGAGAGCTCTGTGGGCCGTGGTGATCGCCAAAATTCCGACCAGCTTCAGCGCCACTTGACGAACCGACACATTCAGCTTATCGCCATCGGCGGTTCCATTGGTACAGCCCTTTTCGTCAGTATCGGAACCGGTCTCCAGCGTGGCGGCCCGGCCAGCTTGTTAATCGGCTACATCATCCACTCCGTCATGGTCGGTATGGTGAACAATTGCCTGGCAGAAATGTGTGTATATATGCCTGTCACTGGTTCCTTCATCCGCATGGCTGGCAAGTGGGTGGACGAGGCCTTTGGCTTCATGTCCGGCTGGAACTTCTTCCTCTACGAAGCCTTTCTCATCCCATTCGAAATCTCCGCCCTCAACCTGGTCCTCACCTTCTGGCGCGACGATATCCCTGTTGCCGCCGTTTGTGTCGCGTGTATCGTACTGTATGCGCTTCTGAACGTCGTCGCCGTCAAGTGGTTTGGAGAAGCCGAATTTTGGTTAGCCAGCGGCAAGATCCTACTGATCGTTATCGCATTTTGTTTCACCTTCATCACCATGGTTGGTGGCAACCCCCAACGTGACGCCTACGGCTTTCGTACGTGGAAGGATCCCGGTGCTTTTGCAACCTACATCAACACTGGCGACCTCGGTCGCTTCCAGGGATTGCTCGCCGCCATATACTCTGCCGGTTTCACCGTTGTTGGTCCGGAATACATATCTATGGTGGCTGGTGAGGCCCAGCGTCCTCGCACCTACCTCAAGCAGGGTTTCAAGACAGTCTACTGGCGATTTGGCGTTTTCTTCATTGGCAGCGCCATCGCCATTGGTATTGTCGTTCCCTACAACGACAAGAAACTAGCCAACGCAGGAGCTGGAACTGCCGACGGTTCGCCGTATGTCATTGCGCTTCAGAACATGGGTATCGGTGTTCTTCCTCACGTCATCAACGCCCTTCTCTGCACCAGTATCTTCAGCGCTGGTAATGCCTACACTTACTGCGCCATGCGAAGTCTCTACGGCCTCGCCCTCGACGGTCAAGCCCCCGGCATCTTCAAGAAGTGCCTGAAGAACGGTATCCCGATCTACGCGTTCGCAATTGTTATGCTCTTCCCGCTGCTGTCCTTCTTGCAGGTGTCAAACAACACGGCACAGGTTGTTACCTGGCTACAGAGTTTGACCCAAGCCGCGCAGCTGCTTAACTATGTCGTCATCTCCGTCATTTATGTCTTCTTCTACCGCGCATGCAATGCTCAGGGCCTTATTAGGAGAAACCTACCATACTATGGCTACTTCCAGCCCTACTGCGCATACATCGGCATCGTGTGGATGACCTTCATGGTTACCACCTTTGGATATACTACCTTCCTTCCCGGTCGATGGGACACTCTGACCTTCTTCTCGTACTACCTGATGATCTTTGTCGGCATCATCACCTTCACGACGTGGAAGCTGTTCAAGAGAACCAAGTTCGTTCGATCATCCGAGGCCGACCTTATCTGGGACAAACCCATCATCGACGCATACGAAGCGCAGTTCACAGAACCACCGACCCGATTCCGAGACGAGGTTCGAAAGATATTTGGTTGGAAGAAAAATAAGGGTGTATCTGAAGACGCTCCATAAACAAGGGGGATGAAGCCTAAGGGGTCCGATTATATATTCAAGTCTTGGACAGTAGTAGCAATGTCAAAGCTCAAAAAATACCTTGATCGCATATACTTTTGTCCGCGATAATGTCCTGGTCAATTGTCATCAAACGGGAAGTGTTGTACGCAATATGCCTAAGGTGATCCGGTGCGACCCATATTACCATTTGGCTGTCTGGTGCCAATCGCTGATTTTGACTAAATATGCAGAGACATTCTGTGACAACTAAACAATATTCCAAGCTACTATCAACCCGCCCGGGTCGAACTAAATAACCAAAAGAGCCTGCACCGCCGACCATGGCATGTTGTCAGTTTCTTTGGTTAAAGCAATGAAGAAAATGCTAGCGGGGAAGGCTACATCATTCGTCTGCAAGAATTTATGCGTATACGGGATTTCCTTTGCGAAGTACGATCAAGCTTCAAGTTGTGTTTCCGCAGTGATTGATTCATTATAAAAGCAGCTTCCATTGCCGTGCTTATTAAACATACCTAGCTCATAGGACATCAAACACAGCCAAATCATTGGTACCGCCACAGTTCTAGAAGTCCTGCCCAAGAATTAACGCATCAAACACCAAGCTATCAAATGTTTTTCGATCAATGACGGCCCCGAATCTGGAAAAGTTAGCACAGATGTCCACTGAAGCATAAAGGATAAGAACGCACCCGTGACATTTCACTGCTTCCCGTAGTTTATTAGCGAGCGCTTGGCACTTCCTTATATCAAGCCCACCGAATTGTGGCTGGCCTCTGACATGGTTCCATGCTTGGGCTGGTGTAAGTTCGTCGTCTGCGCACAAGTTCGACGAAAGAGATAGCAGTCGGCTCAGCAACTCTATTGGGGCTGCTTCCTGCGATGCCCAACGCTGGTAATTAGTTACTCCCGTAAAGTCTGGTGCGACAGCATAGAGCTGCGCCGAGGCTGTTAATGCGTGGCCGTTTGGCTTTTCCGGTTTCTCAGGGTCGCCATGGAGGTGGTCAAGGCAGGGTCTCTCAATCCTGAACAGGTAAAAGTCAGCAATGAACATTTGCCGTCTCGCAAAATGCTGAATATTTACGTCAAAACAAATTCCATGCCGACAGCAACCGCGTCAAGCTCGCAAACCCGAGTGGCGCCATTTGCCTGGAAACGTAACGTTTCCGTTGTCGCTGTAAATTGATTGTTCAATAACTCTCTTGAAGTGATAATCTCAAAGGGCGGGACCATGACAGCAGTGGTCCCGTCATCGACTTTGGCACTCAATGTTGTGACTTGACCCAATGGATTGTCTGTTCGAGGTTCTGGCGCGGCGTTGTGTTCGTTATTCGAAGGACTTGCGCCAGTTTCATCGGCTACTGAGTGAGGGGAAACAGCAGTCGAAGCCCTCGACCAGAGATGGGCTTCCTTGGGACTTTCTGACACCAAACCGGCTGGGGTGCTGATCCCATGATGAGACATGAGATGAGAAAGCTCTTGGATGGTGTTGCGCAGGTGCTCGCATTCTCGAGACAGATCAGCCTCTCTAGCTCTCGTTTGTGCAAGCTCTACTTCTAGTGATTTTGTGTAAATTTCTTTGCGATCTCGATAAGACCTTGGTTTGTCAACACGCGTCCCTTCTCTTGACGGAACAGACCCCAACATACTTTTGAGCCCGTCTCAGTTGAGCGCGGCGTTTGCCAGTGGCGTCCTCTTTCGGACCTGAGTCAAAAATTCAGTAAGGTCGGCACAAGAAACGTATATTTTTCAATAGAAAAACACCGATGGTCCATACTTACCTTTGGGGTTAAAAATTCTAAACACTGCGCTGGTCATGACGGGCAAATCGACGGGTATTCTTTGCGAATGAGGATGTTGCGGAAGGAAGTTGTGATTCTGTGCATACCTATGTGTAAAATAAAATCTGAAACGGCTAGGTCACTATGTAGTGTACGAAAACTCGCTCGTTCGGCTTTCTTAGCCGTAGAGTAATCATAGTTTCAGTTTGCATGTGGGTTCGGCTGATGATCAAGCAGCTTTCACCGTTTCATCAAGCACGATGAGAATATCAGAATTTCCCATTTCGGTTAGCCTTGACACATGGTTCAGACGGCGCTGACGCTGCAATTCGTTGAATGAGTGGGACCAGCAGGAAGTGGACAACCTCCATACGACGCCAACCCGGTAGGTGACATCCAAGGTATCGTGCGTCCTGTAATCCTTTCTTCCCAATTAGGCGATTTTGATTACACTTCCCCTACGTCTACAGAAACATCCACAACTTAGAGACTAATAATTTCTCTGCAGAAAATTGGCAGTAGATGGCTGTGGTATTCTGCGTAACGACACTTTTATAAATATAGCCACTCACCTAATGTTCTTAGATTATTCTCGACAGACTCCTCTAAATATCACAATCACAACCACACCATCGTTATATTATTGGCTCCAACTATCTTAGTAACTTCAAATCCACTTTTAACCGTTACCTTAAACTTTCTTACTCAATTATGCATCTCATCTTTCTTGTTTTTGTTTGCTACCTACAAACACTATTGCCAGTGGTTGTAGCATGCCCAACCCCAGGCAACAAGAAAATTCAACCCGGAAAAGCAGTCTACTTTATCACAAACGAAAAAGACAATGCGGTAGTTGCCATGAAAATTGCCGAAAATGGCATGCTCACAAATGGTGCAACTGCTTCGACCGGAGGAGCGGGCTCCAACTTTATCGACGGCGATACAAAACAACCAGCCGCCCCGGATGCTTTAGCATCTCAGTCAGCTGTAACCATCGCGGGCAATGTAAGTCAGCAATTGAACCTTCTTCGAATTGGGCTGACACTTGGATCTCAGTATTTATTCGCCGTCAATGCCGGATCAAACAGCCTTACAATGTTCGCCATCAACTCGGCAGATCCAACCAAGCTGGCAATGGTTGGCCAGCCCGTCGCTGTTCCTGGAGAGTTTCCGAACACTGTCGCTGCTTCGAAAAAGAACAAACTTGTGTGCGTGGGTTCTTCTGGTGCTAAAGCCGGAGTCTCATGTGCATCATTCTCGGCAAAGGGCGTTAGTACCATGGATGGTCTGCGGCCTGTCGATCTGAAGCAAACGACACCTCCAGCTGGACCAACCAACACCATTTCTCAGGCGTTCTTTTCCGGCGACGAGAGTGCCCTACTTCTCACAGTCAAGGGCGACCCAACGAAAATGAATACTGGATTTCTGGGAGTCTATCAGGTGGAACAGGCAAATGGCGTTGCATCTCTCAGCCAAAATGAAATAAGATCATCGCCTAATGGCACTGCCGTCTTGTTCGGATCATCGACAATCCCAAATTCGAAAGACATATTTGTTACAGATGCCTCTTTCGGCGGTGCTGTTCTCTCCATGGACCCAAAGACCAATCAGGCTACCGTAAAGGGCATGGCGAAGGTTGATGGTCAAAAGGCCACATGCTGGGTTGCGATTTCCTCGGCGACAAATTCTGCGTTCGTCACTGATGTCGGGAGAAACATTATGGTAGAGATGTCTCTAAAGGATGCTAGTATCAAAGGCAAGATAGATCTTGGTGCGAACGGCGACCCTGGTCTTATTGACTTGAAAGCCGCTGGGAAGTTCATCTATGCTCTTAGCCCAGGAAACGGTACCACGCAAGCTGCTATAACGGTAGTAGATGCTATGGAGAAAAAGCAGGTTCAACACCTAAATGTGCAAGGTCTGGGAGCTGGCAAGAACTCTCAAGGAATGGCTGTTCTGTTGTAATGTGTAGCATTAGAGGCGTAATGGCAAGGCCTCGAACAAATGAGGAAGGAATAGTATTTTAAGTCCTCACCTAGGAGACTCTTATTGACAAGCTTTTGTTTCAAACTATTAGACGCTTAAATTGGCTGTAGTAGCAGAATTTGAAACTGCATGAACAGTAAGCTGTAAGCAAGTAAGTTTCAAGAGGGTCGTAGTCTCCCCGCCAGTTTGGGGATGGAGGAGGGGGAAAAGTGGCATAACTTGATCTGCTGTATACCAGCAATGATTTTCAAATTTACTTGCCCTGAATCATCAAAACTTCAATCTTTATCAGATGCGTACTCTAATACATTGTCAAGAAAAGGTCACTTCGGCGCTCTCATGTGAGAGACTTGCCGTTAAGGTCTACATAAAAAGTCCGAACATTATCAAAGTGGAACCCTGTGCTTTTGTTACAAGGCAAGGCGCGGTAACAGTCAGTTTTCTCTTAGGCTTCTTTTTTTGAACATAAGAGGATGCGGAGCATTTTATCCGAAGAGTTTTTAGTGTAATTTTGCCAAGAATGCAAGAGTCTCATCAGATGTGCAGGAAAATCAGTTTTTACCATCAAACCGTGCCCAATTCCAGTCATCCCTTCCAATGAATACTAGTTGGTTTACACCTAGAATAGTAATGTGGAAAAATAAGAAACTATTCTTACCCATTTTGGACTAGAACATTGCTTGGAATTGCAGGAAATTGAAAGTTCCCGCAACTAATTCGCCTTGTTTTGGATGTCAGACAGATAGCGCAAAGTTGCATTCCGGAAACAGTATAGAACCGTGTCGTCTGTTAAAGGAGCCGCTAAGCATTATGGCTTACGCTGTTCTTCGAGTATATGTTACCTTGTCATATTGCTTAGCTTTTTCCTATTCAACCGTTTCCATACCCTTACCATTTTCGACAACTCACTAGGTGGCAGTGGAGAAGAATCAATTTTAACACTGAAACCTAACTGTCGCTGGTTTCATTCAAGTCTTATGTCATGGGAGGCGCCTTTTCAAAAGATGGAAACCAATTCAATGGCTGCGGGTCGATTGTCGGTGCGCCTGGTAACCTGGACCTCCTCTCTGATTCTGAGATGAATGCGCCAATCTTTTGTCAAAATATCTGCCAGCAAAATTCTCGCGAATATGCCTTGATCTACGGTCGGTACTGCTACTGCTCGAAGCCCAGCTCGCCAGATCTACAATTCTTGGATGGTCCATATTTTTTTGCAATAGGGGACCCCGGCCCGTGCCAAGATCCTTGTCCTGCCATTGAAACAGGAACTCCCCTCCCCCAAATATACATCACCGCCTCCTGTGGAGGGTCTGTTAGTAGCAGAACACTCTTTTCGGTGTATCAAGCCTTGCCAACGTCTACAAGTATAACTACAACGAGTTCAGAGACGACCACAACGCCAACAACGACGGCAATTGTAACAAGTAATGATTCAACAACTTCACTCGTTGTTTCTTCCGATGTACTCACAAGCACATCTACATCGGAAACGAGCTTAGCACCTACTGCAATTCCGTCCCTAAGCTCTGCCTCGCCCACATCTTCCTTTTCTCCAGCAACAACTATCAGTCAAATAGACACAAGTTCAACGAATGATAACTTCAATTTCTTCTCTCCAACAACAACAACAACAACAACAACAACAACAACAACAACAACAACAACAACAACAACAACAACAACAACCAATACAAACTTACCAAGTTCGACTAAAATACCCCCGAATTCTGAAAGCTTTGCTTCGGCTACAGCCAGCAATTTTACCCTCGGAAGCAGCTTCCAGTTGGGCACAAACAGTCAGACTGTCACCGTCAGTCATTCAGACAATGCCACTACATCTACAGGAAGCGCTTCTTTGGGCTCCAGCGTACAGAACCAAAGCCTTGTATCTAGCAGTGTTGTGAGAAGCACCACGGAAAGCCAGGCACTCTCAGGGGTTACTGCAACCCTTGGTACGGCTATTAGTTCTATAATACCGAGCTCAACTACTACTCCAACGTCTGTACCCGATCCAGCAACCATACCACCTTTTTTATTGGCGATCTTAGACATACCTCCAAACGAAACTAGAGCAGCTTCTACTTAGGCTTGCATGTGCCAAGAACCTTGAGCTGTGTAGCACTTGTAAAAACAATCAATGCATCCAACGGAAGGTTGAATTTGAGTTAAAGGTCTGGTAGAACCTTTTGAGTATTTCAATACCGAAGTATTGACCGACCCTACCAAAAAACGTGTTAAGTTGCATATGTAATAGTTGGATTCTCTCACGCAAACCGATACTGCATTCATTGTGTTAGTCGCGACCGACCAACATAATGAATTTCGCTGGATTGGCGTGTGTCAAGACAACCGACAAAGTCGGCCCGATTATGAGCGCTTCCATCACAACCGGAACCTCTGGAGACGAGAATGTTTGTCCTCAGAAAGGGGATACACCTTTTTTTTTTTTTTTTTTTTTTTTATCAGGCGGTTTTTAGTTCAGAAGCCGAGGGCATTACCAATTCCTTTATGTACTCGTGATCTCGGCAGACACGCCAGTTGAGTTTTCCTTCCTTTCGGCCAGTTTCCTCCAGCACCTTCTCTTCAAATGCCGTGATGATTTGCAGAGATCAACCCCGAGCTAGTATGCGTCGCCCCTTTAGGGTGATCTACATCTTGAGTGATTCGGATAATCATTTTATCGGTTTTGCATAATTGGCTCTCCATTTTCCGTAGGTTTTACGATCGTGAAATAGTCTCCTGCGGATAAAATGGCACAACTAGTAAAATCCTAGTATTCTTAATGTGTGTAAAAATACAGCAAAAGTGGTTATTTTGAATCAGATTGATCATCTATAGTCTTATGGCCCGTCAAGTGGGAAAGGGAGGCAGCGGTCCCTTCTGGGTCTGCATGCCGGGCATCTGGCCGGGTGACCGAAGCGACGTCTCTCTATTTCAACTATTCCGACAACTTCTGTAGCATAAGGCGAAGGTAGCAAAAACTCCTACCTGAAACAACAGGAAGGGGGGCTTCAAATTCATAAGCACCTTGCCGTTAACGATAAGATTTGTAGAGCAATGAACGCTGCAGTGCTCCTACTTCGATACGGGCCAAAAAGAATATATAAGGTAGATTAAGAGTTATGTACTTCAAAGGAAAGTATGTGAAAGTAACTATAAAAAACGAAACTCGGTACCAAGAGTCAGAAGGTCAAATATTGCCGAACCGTTAGATATTAGCCCTTCTCTAACCCAAAGGGTCTCCAGCTCTTTCCCCTTAGTTCAAATTAATCCCAACTCCACCAACACATAGTTGACATTCTCGTCATCACCACTCACGGTAAATGTTCGGTTTCCGACACACCAAAACACCTGCATCTAGACTTCAGATCCTGCCGATGCCGTAGTTGCTGTTGACAGTGCCTTTAACATTGCCAATAACAATTGGCTTAACCAGGTTGGACTTGTACTTGCCAAGTTCCTGGAGAACGATGGTATCCTTGCGAGAAGGAAAAGAGCCGGAGGCTGTGAGAGCGTTCCCCTCGCAGGCCCGCCCAAGGTTGGAGTTACAGGCGGCGTCAACCTGGTTGAAGATCTTGCCAGCGCTGCTGGCAGTGGTGATTGGAATCGGCGAGTTCTCCCAACGGTTGCCCTCCATGAGAACACGTCCGGAGCTGGAGATGTCAAAGTTATGTCCTGTGTTATAGTTGAACCAGTTGTTCACAGCTTGAACGACCTGAGTTCCCTCGCTTGAACCGATCTTGGGAGCGCGGCCCGAGGTGTCGTGGATGTAGTTTCGATCCAGGGTAATCTTGTCGGCTTTTCCTCCAATAATAATCGTCCAGTAGTGATCACTGTTGCAGCTATGGGAGTTGGCGGTGCGTCCGTCAAACTCGGTGTTGGAGATGGTCACGCGGGAGCCCTCATAGCTGAAAACGCGTCCGTTAGTTACGCTGTCTTTTGAGAAAGGTACTATTAATGCAGAAAACATGGACAAAAGAGAGACGGAATGAGCGGTTTCTTACTGGGAAACAAAGTGCTGGCGTCCCGTGCGCGAGATCTTGCAATGGTCAATCCAAACGCCGTCATTGCCCGACAGGCTAATGGCGTCGCCTCCCCAAACATACTGGGGGTTCAGGTTCTACTGCGAATCAGCCAAATTTGTCTCCTCAGGAGAATCTTCACGAAAATGCTCACATCAATGTGAATATTCTGAATGATGCTAATGACCTTTTAGCATTGTTGAGAAACAATAGGATGGGGCCTGACCTACACATTCTTTGCACCAGCCTTGAAGCGGAGACCCTTGCCGATTAGAACGCCCTTGTTACCTACGCCAACGAGAGACTTGTTGCTACCAACATCCATGCCGAGGTAACTGGCCTTGTCGTACTTGACCTGAACGGGGGTTTCGTTAGAATCGCAACCGCTGGTTTTTATGGTGTCTTGACCACCGTTAGCGGCGGTGCAAGACTTCTTCAGGCGGCAGCCCATCTCCGTTACTGTGCCCTCGGAGCCGAGGAAATTGAAAGTCTTATCGATCATAATGACGCGTGGAACATTGTCAGCCATCCATGACTTGAGCCTGAAAAACAATGTGTTAGCCTAAGGTGAAGCCACCTGCGACTTGTCCGGAGCGGACTAGATGTGAGCATACTGGGCAACGTCTTTTGGGAACGATGGAGTAGCGGACCCGCCGCCAGTAACGCCGGCAGCGAAGCCATACGGCGTTCCCTTGTGCTGGGGAAGGGCGCCGTAGGCTGTAACCGCCAGCCAGAGGAAGAAAGAACTCTGCATTTTGAGTTAATGTTATATGGTATTCGAAAGTTAAGAGGGAGTCAAGAATAAGAAAAATTAAGAATGGAAAACTTTTGAACGACAGTTGCCATCCAGAGAAGCCGGACAGAGTACACTCTCAGTTTGTAGTGTGTCAATATAGGGAGAAAGGAGACTTTTACCGATTAGGCTACTACAGAACTACGGATATTTCGAACATTGAAGGGGCAGACCTACCGCTGCCAAGTGTCCCGGATTGGGTACTGCCTAGGCTGTAGTAAGCAGAAGCATTTATTAAAGTGGCGCTAGCACTTCCCTTTTCGTTCCCTTACTGCGGAGGTTTATCCGTCCAGTCACTGTAGTCGTTGGACGAGGGCTATGGATGGCAGGTCATGCGGAGCATCTCATTATTCTTACAACAGCCCTATTAGGCACTGATGCTACAACTTCTACGGATAGGGGTTTAGCAAGACTAGTCAAACAGGCATTAAGCCCTGATGCCTCATCTAGCCAGCAGGCTTGGTTTCAACTAATAAATGTGGTTCGCTGAACGGCGGACCAGGTTAGCCTTTTTGTGGAGTGTTTTTCTGGAAGCTTTTTGCTGATAGCTACATGAGCTTTTCGGATTCAACGGCTACTTTTAGAATCCGGAACAAAGAATATCTGGGTTCTCCGACATAAGCTTAACTGTAGAGTAACCTGTGGTTAAACTTTTACGCACAACGTAGCATCCGCGGTCGTGATAATATCGTGCACCAATGACGGCGGCAACCCTTGGTGGAACCCACTAATAGATGAGAAAGCTGAGAACTCTAGTCTGACAATGGTGATCAGCTTGAGTGGCTACTCCGCCAAATTCCGCCTCAGGGCGTCAAAGTCCGCACGGCCTAGAAAATGTCAAGCGGATAAGTTTGCCGTAAAACCTGGGCGCCCCGCCACCTTTTCTTTCTTCTTTGGAAGTGGGAATGGCAATCCTTGCTTGCTCCTTGGCGGCATTGGGAGGCTCACGATCATCCCGAGGCGCTAGATGTGGAAACCAACTCGTTACGGAGAATTTTAAGATGAAGATTATTATTCAAGCTTCGTCCGGACCTTCAACGAATCCTCCAATTACGCCCCTTTGGGTTTACTGCCTCTGCAGCTCTCTCTTGACGTATTTGTAATGGCTTCAGAACCTGATTGAATGAAGACCCCACTGCAGGGAGTGAGTGTGGAGTGCCGTTGGTAGAGCATTTGGATTTTAGAACTCTCCGCCCATAGCAAGACAGCTACTATTCAGGCGGTTGGAAAACATGACATTCAGACAAAGACATAGTTCGAGACTTCAACTCTTTCGTTCCAAAATGAACGAGGGCTCTGTTGTTTCACATCTGCCTACGCATGTTCACAGTATGCTGCTAATTCGTAGATCAAAGCATAGTGCAGATACTTTCAACAGGACTCCTTTTTTGTCCTGGGGAGAGATATCTATGCGCTCATCCATGAAATACCCCGTCCCTGACCACCACCACATTTAGCACACAACAGTCAATATTACCAAAATGAAAAACGCTGACTTCAATGGACTTCTTGTTTTATTCTTACGTGGTAACAATTATCGGAAGACGCCCAGAAAGAGCCAGTAGGCATGTCAACTACAAATGCGCACACACAATGCTTGCCCAAGACAGCACTGCGACAATCTGTCCGCACACGTCCGGGCCAGACGTTTCTTCCCGAGCAATAATTATAGCAGGTGTAATGCCAGTCACCATCTGAGGAGTAACGTACTTGCCGTCTGGAGAGAAGCTCTTGAATGAGGCATTAGTGTATCATGGCGAGCACCCTTAGACAGAGCATCCTTGACTTGCACCATGATTGATTTCTGGGCCGTTAAAGAGATGGCGGGTCCGACTGAAGTGGATGTATCTAGCGGATGGCTGAATGTCCGACAGCAGGTTCAACAGTACAGTACTTCTACGTCTGAAGTTCGTTGTGTAGTTCCCTCATAAATGCGTGATAATATCTCTGGGAAAAGCAGGGGCTGCCAAACATTTTTTGGTAGCCTAGGTCTGGCAGAAATCTCTGCAACTCGTGTTCCAGCCAGGAGTATTTTAGCCATGATTTATAAATGACGCTGTGTCTCGCAAGAAAAGTTGGGATCAAGGCGTCCACAGTTAAACGACTTTATGTTCCACTTAGAGAAGACAAGTGTCGGTCCAACAATGATCATCTTGATCCCACGTCTTACAACCTTTCTCCAGCGTCCCAGGTAAATCCCGCGAAGCTTCCGCGGCAGTATCCAAAAGGAGTATGCACAATTTTGCAATGTCTCGATTTCCTTCTGACTCAAGGCGATCGGACGGCCCATTTGCTCAGTGAGCCCGAAGCCAAGCGCTTCTTTCCGATCTTGAATTAGACCAAGGGTTTGGACGACAAAGCGAAAGGTTATTATGTAGAAGGCAGATGTAACCCGAGATAACTTGTCCCAGACACAGCGACTACAGCCAATACTCTGCTGCCGCACTTGTAAGATAAAGGTATCAAGCAAGCATGCGTCTTTCTAGGTAACAATGCAATCACGGAGTATGTCGACGAGGCGGAAGACATGCCACAATGCGCAGCTTAAGCGCCAAACATCAGAAGGAGCATATGTGCCGACCATGAATTCATGAGTGTCTCTCGTGCATGTCACAATCTCGTAATCGTTGGAGCTTTCACGTCAGAGATAGACAGGCTTGCACTTGCTGAATTTAATCGCAGTGGGGCTCACATGACCGCGTAATCGTACTTTACCCGGGCGGGCTAGGTTCCCTCTCCCGATGCGGGCTTTCAGATGATCCCGCTCGGAAATGACCTCCCGGGGGTATGTTCTCAATTAGGATTAACGATGAAATTGGAGCCGCCGTGAGACGGAAGTGACCTTGATCAATATTTTTCATGTTCAAAAGAATTTTTTTTTTTATAAATACTCTCTGCTTTTTATTTACTCTATTAGCGACCCAAACAAATGTCTAAACGTTCCAGAAAGGCCACCATAAATTATGCTATGTGTATGAACATGGGCTGATAAGAAATTTCTCTGCGCAATGTTACTGATGCTACGGGATGTAGGCGTACCCTAATCTAAAATCATTTGGAAGGTTGCCCGCACGAAATAGGATACCTTTCTTCTTTCTAGACTCCAGCCGAAATGACAAGTCCCTTTTTTGCCTGCCCACGCGGTACGATCAGTCAGCTGTGTGACAGGCTGGCAGTCGCCGGGTGTTAAGCACTCCACTGTTCCTGCAAGACAATCACAGGCACGTTGCAAGCGGGACAAATTCAGACTGAGGAACCTCTTGAAGCAATAAGGGGAACCTGTTACTCTGAGAGCACGTTTGCGAGTTGGCGTCCTTACCCCTCATTAATCATGTGTTGTGGCAGTTATGCCGTGCTTAGGACAACTGCCACTACATGCTCATTTCCAAATGCTGCAGGAACAAGTGAAGAGCAATAGAGAAATTATTCGCATTGCTGACCCTTTCAATTGGAATCCCACTAAACTAAAGCCACGCGGGGTCCTAGTGGCATTGGTTCACTAGAAATCAGGGGTTGCTTGATCATTTCTAGACTTCAAGATTTAAATCCGTGGTTTTGGGCCGCTAGTTATTTAACCTTAAGTCTGTTTGCCTTTAGCGTCCACGTTGGAGGAGTCCTAACTCCAAACCCCTCATCTACCAAAAAGGGGAAGTTTCAATAGTGCAGCGTTAACTTTACGCCAAACCACATCACGGGGAAATAAGGAGGCATCTTATTTACTCAGCAGAACACCACAACGTATTAGTACTCATTTACAAGTAAAAGCTGTCTAAGTGCCGAGACTTCAACGGGAAAAGTCTCCTTCGTCCCCGTCAGACGGTCCAAATTAGCTCATGTCAAGAGATTGGGACGAGATAACTAAACCACTCAGCTGGAATTTGTAGCGCCGCGCTGAAAAGCAATAACGCGGAAGTGGATCAATCAGCCGCATGCCCCTTCGGGAGTCTAGGACTTGTGGACAACAACTAGTCCTCCATGCTTTTGATCATGATTCCTAAATGACTGATGCTCGAAGAAAGTTCTCTAATGAATTGCTGTCTCTGTGTTATTTGAACAGTCCCAGTTCCCTCCTTCAACATACCCTTTTCTGCACCTCCCACCACATCATTCAACCACTCCCAAAATCCCTTACAGTTACCTACTTGCCATTGGCCGCCATTTTATCATGTCTTTCATTATGTTAACTCGAATTGGCCTGTTGGCTATGCCTCTCCTGGGCCCTGTTGTTTCAGCAGCTGCCCTTCAAAGTCGCAACGGCATCGTCCCTAATTATTCGGGCGGAAACTGTTATCACGAGCCCCCGAGCAACGCGGGACGCGCTCTTAAGGGAAAAAGCACCAACAATGACCGCATGCACAAAGATGAATGCGCGCTTTTCTGCAAAGACTACAAGTATTTCGGTACTGAATTCGGCAGAGAGTGTTTTTGCGGCAACGACATCACCACTGGTGCCGTGGAGATTGCCTCCGCGGAGTGTACTATGACCTGCACTGGCCGGTCGACAGAAAAGTGTGGCGCTCCGGACCGCCTAAACATCTACAAAAACGAGGACTATAGAGCCCCTTCTGTCAAGACGGATATCACTGGCTGGACCTACCAGGGCTGTCACACCGAGGCCGACGGCGGTCGCGCCCTCAAAGATAAACAGTACTCTGAGGACAACATGACCCCTGAGTTGTGTGCAAGCAACTGCGCCGGGCTCGGATACAACTTTGCCGGTGTTGAGTGGGGCCGAGAATGCTTCTGTGGCAAAACCATCAGCGGCGGCACCTGGGCTCCGGAAAGCGACTGCTCTAAACTCTGCTCCGGTGACCCTAAGAGCTTCTGCGGCGAGGGCGGCCGCCTTAACATCTATGCTCAAGTGCCTCCTATCACGGCTACTGTTGCTAGTGCTACTTACTTGGGATGCGCTATCGATTCACAAACCCTTCGCGTCCTTGAGAATGGAAAACGAACTGCGAGCGACGATATGACCGCCGACACTTGCGCTACGTACTGCAACAACTACAGCTACAAATACTTCGGCATTGAAAACGGCCGAGAATGCTTTTGCGCTAATGAGCCATCAAGTACACCTCAATATGCTACCGCCTCTGAGTGTAACGCCCCTTGTGCCGGAGATGGCAAGACTCTTTGTGGCGCCAAGGGCCGTCTCAGTCTCTACCAGTCGACCAAGACACCTTCTACAAACGCTGTTACTGGCCTGGGCAACTTCAAGTACCTTCAATGTGGACTTGACAATGTCAGTGATCGCGCCTTGAAGGGTGAGCATTTCGCTACCGACGACATGACACCCGGAAAATGCGCCTCTCTTTGCGCCAACTACAGATACTTCGGTCTGGAGTTCGGCAAAGAGTGCTTCTGTGGCAATGAATACAACAAGGCACTTGAGAAACCTGCCGGCGACTGCTATATGAAGTGCTCAGGTAACAACGGTGTCGAGATCTGTGGTGCTGGGGACCGCCTTTCCGTCTACACCACGATCCCCCAATTGTGCCCAAATCCGACTTCGCACTTTGGCGTGTGCACCACCTATGCTTTCTACTGGCTTCCTAGGTCTCGTGCGACCACATCCGAAGAAGACTGTCGCAACGAAATTTACGGAGCACGCTTCTGGCAGAACATGGCCTATAACGCTTACTATTATCAATCAGCAGCAAGTGGAGGTGGCGTATCGACCTGTTATGGAATGTTTGCTACCGTCGAAAGCCCGCAATGTGACTTCCAATCCTCGAATGATAACGGCGATTATGGAGTCGGTTCCTATGGAAACCTTTTTTGTTGATTGGGATCAACTACATTATTCTGCCCCCCATCATATGGTGCAACAAGGTTCATTGGCTTCACTCATTTACCTTACAAACTACGTCACGGACCACATATCCCCATTGACGGTGCTCAAGGAAATTTTGTTTGTAATTATTTCACATAATACCTTAATAATAATCTGCTTTTTTTTTTGAGATTTGTGTCCTGCCGTACAAGTGCCAAATCGAAAGATAATGTGGGCGGGTTAAAGCTAACGTTGATAACTCTGCCGGCACGAAACGATCAACGTTCACAGATACACTAGACTAAAAAGATACCATTGCACGTTATTGCCCTTATGTATATGAAAGAGCAGCCCCGATTTAGCTCACTTGAAGCCTGTTGTATCCATTAATATGTCAAGCAAAAGTCACGTCCCATAGTTGATAATGGACTATCTTCTAAATAATCTCTATGGGTTGAATTATCCGCTGCACTAAGTTTTAACCCTGAAGGATACAGGAATGTGTCTAAAGCCATTAACACCGGATTCAACTTGATCTTAACAGCCGACAAGATTATGCAAGCAACTAGAAGTCACCTAGACATCGCCTCCTTTAGTTAGGTGCATATACTTGAAATTTGGAGACTGAGCCGTCTCTAAATGTTAGCCGAGAACAACTGCAGATCCCAAAGGTGGTGAATAGGTGACATGATGCTGTTCACAACAATAAGGTTAAGTATCCCAAAGTGTAACGTCCTTATGATACGCCTCCGGAACAATAGAGGATATGTATCTCAAACATTGACTTTTGCAACTTTGATGAACTATTAGCCACCGTAAAGCACAGTACTCCACTCAGCGGACAGCGTTTGAGGTTGATGGCTACAAATTTGAGAAGCGCAATCAAGATACGACTGTTTGTAGACACCTTAGTCGAGGCAACTTACCAATCCCGACGTACGGACTGTTCCTTCCGGATGACGATTTCCCATCTTTGAGTTTCGCAGACTAAAATGTCCCGTAATATCGAAGTCCGCTATAATATAGCTGATATCCATTCGATAACATATATTCATTATGAGCTTGCTTGCTAATGAGAAATAAATAATTAAATAAACCATCATAATATGAAAATGGGCAGCAGTAATGCGAGCCTTAACTAACTCGATGGGCCATCTGAGTACGTGGAAATCTGCCCAAGCAATACTAAGGTGATCAAACTACTTTAATTTGTGCCAACTCATTTAACACAATAAAATCTGTCTACTGTTCTGCCTCAGCTGGGAGACTCACGAGAGTTAAGTATATTACATTCTTCAGAACACCAGTTAGACCAAGCGGTGTAAGTGATAGGGTAAGAGAGACTTACAGTTCGCAGGACGTCTTGAATGGCCTCCGTTCCAAAGTTAATGTACTTCTGCTGGGCACTAACCAGGCGCTGTGAGCCCTCAACCAGCACTTGGGAGAGCGCATTCAACGGCACAGGAGTGGCCAGTGATGGCACAACACTTTGATTTGGCGGTCCAGGAGCACTGGCGTACGGTCGAGATGGGAGGCCCGGCAGCGGGGCTGGGGCGGTAACATAGCCCGCCCGTCTCTGTGCCTCTCTAGCATTTGCTTGCGCTGCCTCCGCCCGCGCTCGTGCCTCAGCAATCGCTCTCTGAGCTTGTTCTTGTGCAGCATCTGCCCGTCTCCGCGCCTCAGCAGCCGACTTTTGAGCCTGGGCCTGTGCTGCGTCTGTTCGAGCCTTTGAATCCCTGTGCAGCTGGTCCGTGTAACCACCTGTTAGAAAAGATCCTAAAGGATCAATGTTCGCTGGGTGGTTGGGGTCTGCATATTTGCTTCTAAACTTGGTCTTAACCTGAGTGGCGAGCAGGTTATCGGGATTCTCCGTGGCCTGAGGACAATCATCAAGTTATTACCGAGCATTTCCTCAGATCTACATGCCAAGTCTGGTATTTCAACTAGAAGTGGTTGGGTTCTGGAAGATTGTTACTTACATATACCGCTTGAGCCCTTCGGTCTAGGTAGTCGTCCACGAATCCTTTCGTTCGTTTGAATCTTTGCTTCAGCCCTACTTCTTCTTCTACTCCACCTTCGAGCTGCTGCTGTTGTTCTGGCGGAAAGACGAGAGGTGCGGCTGCCGGAATTTTCAAGTCGCCGTATGAAGTGCCACTCGAGGCTTTGAACCGGTTGCTGAAACTAGAAGAGTCGGTGGACGCACTTATAGTGGCGGTAGTATTCAGGTCTACTGTTGGATGCACTTCTTCAGAGTCAGGTCGCCATGTCATAACCATACAGAACACGCCTCGCGGTCGGAAAATCTCCGCATTGGCTTTGTCCAAAAACTTATTCGTCCTAAAAGAAGGGTTAATTGAGTTTGGGGGAGATTTTCGCTCGGCGCCTCTTACTTTTGCCGAGAATCGACCTCCTCGGCGATGCGAATCGTCTCTTTCACCGCAAGAGACACGAGCATTGAGAATGGCTCTGGAACAACGTGGCTTGCGAGAGATGCCACATTGATAGTCTTGATCCAGCCTGTCGCCTGCGTTGACTTCTCAAAATCGTCGAGGAAATCAAACCACATCTGTTGACTAATGGCAACATTTGCCAGCAACGGGGCATAGGCTCTCAAAAACCCACGGCTGCGCTCTTTAGGCCGCCGCTGAGGGAGAATGACAGGCAACTCTAATTTACCTGTGCAGTTCTCACCACTCCCACAAACTGCAGTCAAGGTTCCTGCCACGGGCAACTCGTTTGTTGATGAGCCCAACTCTGGTCCTGCTTGGTCACCGGGGCGTTCTTCTACTCTGTTCCGTCGTTCTCTTGATTCCCTTCGGGCTTGGATGCCTTCCGCGACGATCCCAACGCCCGCATGCAGATGCTGTGCGACGTTGATAAACTTGAAAGCGTCATCCGCTGGAGCCATTGGAGCTGGTAAAATGTGCGATGTGGTTGGATCTCTCAGATGTGGCACCAGAAATGTTGTGAGGACATTTGCAGGGGCTGGGGCAGCTATATATAAAGTTCAGTGAAGGTGGCTATGCTTCGTGATCCTGCATGTTGACTTCAGTGGCCATAGGTTTAGCAAACGAGTCCGAAAGCTACTCGCATGCTCTACAGAGCACGATGCACTAAAGTGGCGCCGGAGGTGGAAATTGATTAGCAGAGGATTTAGCCGTACATGGGCTGAGTAAAACTAGTTGGAGATATGTGGTCGATCACCGCTTAGTGCTTATGCTTATCCAAATTGTAGCAGGTAATTGGCTCGTTAGAGGTCTATCTCGCTCTCGGCTATCGCATTCATCGACTTCTATAGGTAGGGATTGCCTACTGGTGTCCCCAATATCCGACGCCTTCGATCGCCCTTTGATTGTTTTTTCTTTGTTTTTTTGAACCGCTTCGCTTACTTTCTATTTTTTTTTTTATAGCCACCATCATGCGATGGTTTTTGATGTTATTGTACGCAACCTCATCGTGTGCCCCAAGAGTACAGGCACCTAGGAAGTGTTGGATCATTGCTAGACTTAAGATCAAATAGTCCAGGAGTCCTTAGTAGTATCGGTTCAGGATATTTTATTGTCAAGGAATGTTGTCTTTTATTAATAAATCAAACTGGGACTTGATAGGAGAGGTTCCGCCTCACAAACTGGTACGACCATGAAGTCCCCTAGCACCCGGAGTTCACGGCCGTTACGGGTTGATATAAAGACAAATCGCTCTATGATGATGAAGAGCGAATGGTAATCCGAGCAAATAGCATACCCTCATGGAGGGCCGCATGGGCTGCTACGTGAGGTTTGAAAGAGTATATAAATATGCTGCAAGTTACAAGCGAAAAAAGCCAACCTCTTGGATGAATAAGTCTCACGTTACTTGCTGGAAAGCATCACTGATTCAACGGAGATTTCAGTCTATCATAAAATCTGAATCTGATGCGTGCCCGTCATCTCCCAGACTTAAGATGAATGGACAGCTCAGAACGATTGACCCAAAACTATACCATTTGAAAATGTTTCCATTTCCCATCCATATAACATATGCACACCCTTGCTTGGTATCGATTATTCATTATTACCGTGTCATCTTAGGCAACATGACAACTGAAGCCGGCCTAAGCCCATTTGCCGAGCACGCTCATAATAACCATGCCGGCAACGAGGCCAAAACCAGCAAAGAAGGTGACGATGGGGCTTGTACGAAGCAGCTCGGCGTCACCATGCATCCAGTCCTCAGCCCACATCTCCACAACACCGACCCAGACAAGGATTCCGGCGGATACAGCATCAAGGGTTCCGATGGCCAGGATGGTGTCGCGGTCATTGCCATTGAACTGATGAAGGACGCCGATGCCAATGGCCATACCGATAGGAGTGACAAGTGCGAATGGGGTTGCAAGGAGGAGCTTCTTGATGAGGGAGAAAGAAGGGTCTTTGAAGGGGTTGAGACTATTCGGTGCGGGGGATGTCTGTTCGCCTTCCGTCGGAGCGTTGTTGAGCTCAGCTTTCTCGGTGGGGGCGTCCTCGCCAAGCTGAGCGATACGGGTGCCAAGGGCGATGCCTTCGAACATTTGGTGAAAGATGATGACGACAAACAGGGTAAGGAAAAAGCTATCCCCAGCGACGACAAGGGTAATGCCGATGACTACTCTCAGTCAGACGGGATTCAGAAAATTATGAAATAGGGGATATACATACGGATAGAGTGGAAGATGATACCACACTCAAGGACAAGGACAGTAAAAGTCTTGGGAGAGAGACGCGAGGTAGAGCTCGGGTTCGCAGCCATCTTCGCCATTACAAAGCGTCTCCCAACGAACTCCACGAGGAAAGAGAGGAAGATACCAGCCATTACGACAGCAGATGTAGTGGCCTCGTATTTAAGCTCTCCCAGACACGGATTAGCGAACATTAGCTGAGCATGGGTGTATAGGTGGACGAATGCAGTTGAGATAATAATGCCGGTGCCGAACTGCTTTAAGATAAGGAAGACAGTATGCGTTTTAGTAGGCATCCACTTAATCATTAAAATAGGCAAGTAAACACCGATGGCGCTAGTAGCGAGGATAACGAATAGAAGGCCGATACGGAGAGGTATGTTGTAGTCGCGGGTTACCTTCTTACAACTCCGCGAGCTACTGTGCTCGCTCTCGCCGGCGCCAATGCAGTGTTCAACTCCGGCATGGAAGTGGCAGTTCTCGCCGTGGGGATGTTCACCACCGCTGTCAGAGCCGGAAGAGTCGGCGCCCTCTCCCACTAGCTGGACCTCTTCTCCGTTAGGGGCGATGCAATATGTATCGGAACCATGATTATGGCAGCCGTCGAAGGCAGTAGGGACGGCAGAAGCGGCCGTATTGGTTAGTGTGGTTTTAACTTGGTACTCCGAAGTACCCCACATACAGAAACTGGAAGGGTCAGTTATTGTTAACAAATCATACACAGGCACACTTACAGAGCAGAACCATGTAAGTGACAGCCAGATACAGCGGTTGGGGCGCCAGTCTCAGCGGGAATTGTCGCCGTTGCGGCGGTTGCAGCCGGGGCGTTGGCAGCTTCAATGAGGACCTCGCCATCATCATACATACAGTATCTAGCATAAACAGTAAGAGATAAGCACGTTGAAACGATGGGTAGAACGCCTACGTGGCGGCGCCATGCTTGTGGCATGCCGTATACGATGCGGGCAGTGCGCCAGAAGGGGTAGACGCGATTTTGTACTCATCTGTGCCAGCTTTGCAGACCCTTGAAAAGCGTTAGCAGTGTCCATATTGCAACAGAAGATGCGGGATAAAGGAAAGCGCTCACTGGGTAGATGAGATGACACTACACTGCGAAACAGCCGAGGGCCCTGTAACGGCGACAGTAGGGGTTACAGCAACCGTCTGTCGCGCCACCAGGGAAGCAGAAGTGGTGCTCACAAGGGCAACGACAGTGGCAGCGGAGAACTTCATCATGTTGAGATACTCGTTGTCGTTGTCGTAGGATTGAAAAGCCAGAAGCAAGCTGGACTCGCGTCTGCTAGCCTTAGAAGGATGGGACTTTGGTTGACTCGAACTTTTGGAAGTTCAATGTTGGATACTAGGTATGGTTTTGAATGCAGTTCGCTAGAACGTTCTCTGGCGGGCTTGGTTTATAGGAAGAAAATCGAGGTAAAAATATGCGACCAGGGTGAAGATAGCTCGGGGCCGAAAATTGTGAGAATGAGCACCTTGATAGACAGTGGAACGGGTAACTAGAGAAGCTGGCAACAAAGCTCGTGTCCGTCCTAGAACGAGATAGGGGTTTCTGTCAACGAGAGGTTCTAGAGCGGCGGAGTGACTCCTAAAGTGGGATAGGCTGCAGGGAAATCCCGGCAGGTGGATTAGAAGAGGTGTGGAACGAAAAGAATGGGATGTAGAAAGACAGACATTGGACGAGAGCGGTGTTGATCCCTGTCAGAAATATCGCGGCATGTTTCTATGAGCGTTCCTTTTGCACAGGACGTTAATGCCCCTTCTTTCGTCCACTCGCCCCTGTTCTTCCGTGCCCTGCTTATACTATTCCCCTATAAGTGCGTATTAACGGTTTAGGTTATATCAAACCAATAGAGCTAGATCTAATGAGCTTTCCCCTTACGTCACAAAGTAGTAATTTTGAGGGATATTTGCTAGTCTTGATACTATTATCTCCACGGGCTAAGTTACTACGGATATCACCAACTCGTTTTTACTAGCCGACGGCGGGCTATTTTCGTCCGACAACGAGAATAGCGCGCTAATTACGGCCAAGGCGGTTTAATCGTTTTGGAGAGAGGTAAGGACCTGGTCAGGATGATTAGTCTTCAGATAACACTGGGAAAATTGATCATGTTTCTGCTGGTCATCATCCTAATGGTGTTGGTGATGCTATTTCGACTAACACGGCAAAGGACACAAGTTTTCAACATAATTAATATAGGCGACAAATTAGGTTTAAAGAAGTGGGAAAAGCAGAACCCAAACTGCTGAGCTAAAAACGACACGGTCTCAATACCGAGGCTGAAAGACTTCTTCTTGCCAGGGCTGAGAGCCCGGATGGCCTCACTGGGGATTCACCTCCCAAGTGCATACATGGGGGTAGTTCGGCGAATAAGTAGTCACTTTGCGACTTATTTCTTCCAAGCTTGATTGGGTCCGATCAAAGATTGACAAACCATGGTGCAGAGAGACCGGACCCACATGCCGTTTTAGGCCTTAGAGGCCACTTCACATCGCAACCGCCACTTCTGCCCCTTCTTTTCATCTTTACCATTCCTCTCTCGTTCTAGTCGCACTTTACAGAGTGAATTAGTGTCAATGGCAAGTTAACTTGACTCTACCTCCAACTGGATTCCTAATAACTCGCGATACCTGCATGCAAAGGCATCTAAAGGAAAAAAAATTGAAGTTTTGCTAGGTACGACAGCACTCACCTGTAAAGAAAGTCAAGAAAAAAGCATTGCGGTTCTCAGTCTCTTCCTATTTCCATCATGGTTCGGCTCACTGTTGATATTACTTGATCGCCACCGAGACTAATAAAAGCACCCACCGAGCCGCATCCAACCTATACGAGATGCATTGGCTTGCCGATCATAGAGGACTCTTGCTTTATGTGACTAGTTTTTTGCCCTGCAGTGGAGGCGAAAACCCCTGCATGACATATTAGGACATCTTCAATTTAGCAATGACCGAGGGCTGCGGATCAGTGAGACATTTCTTACCTCTTGGATGCAGTTCGTTAGTACTTGCTGGTGAAGAGACGGTTGGTTGCCATGATCATCTATGTCACTGTCGCTGTCGCTGCTGCCGCCAAATACACCCATACCGCATTTAGTGTCCCACTCTGTGGATTAGAAGTTTGCAAAAATATTTCGCTTATACCGAGATGTTCTCCCGGCGGAATACGTTTCTTAAGGTGTGGCAGAAAAGAGAGAGTGTGTGATAGATGATGACTGACTGATGGTTAGGCAATGAAAGCGCTAGTCTCATGGCAAACGTGGCCATCGAGCATGTTAAGACATACTTCGTCAAGCTTTTCAGTGATATCCAGCGCTCCATTAAAGCATGATGATGAGAACTTCACGACTAATAACATAACTGTAATGCACCTTATTTCACAAAGCTAACAGGCACAGTTCTTCTGAAAAAGGCCTAAACCCATTTTTGTTGGGAAATAAAGCATGGCCTTTGATACGTACAATCGGCTCAGCGAATTTTCCTGTCTGGTAATGCACTGGTGGCAAGCTTGAACTTTTGTTGGGTGCGAATCCAATATGCTAGTTTAATCTCCTTCAGAAAAAATCTCGAGAATCGAAAAGGTCGATTTGCTTCTATTGGTTGTCTTGAAGACGACGGCAAAGACTGGCTTTTGTAACCCATGACTGGAATGCTGCCTGATTCGCTGGCCGGCCGTGGTGACTTGTGAAACTAGTTGACTTTTTCTCTAGTATAATGGACCATTCCGCCTAGATACAGGCGTGTAAATAAAATGAAGATGTATGGATTGAGACTGGTAAAGTTAAAATGGTAAAAAGACAAGGGGGAGATTATAGGATTCGTGAGCCGTTCGGCGGGGAGTTTTGCAAAGAGTTTGTAAGCAGGCTAAATTTTCCTCTTGAGGTTAAGCCCGATGGGACTAGAGCTTAGCTGCTTGGTTACCGACCCAAAAGCCCCAAAGTCCATAGAGGTACTCAAAGTCATCTCGGCAAGAGTGCAGACCCAAACGACTTAATGTTCGCCGAACTTAGTATAAGAACGCTAATGATTTCGAAGTAAATAAACTCAAGGAAATTTTGTTCTATATTGGCGACTTAAAAGTTACATAACCTTAATTAAAAGTTTGTTTTACTCTTATATCTTGGAAACGTCAAGATGAAGTCTACCTCTGTTTCCCTCCCAATCGCTTTAATCGCCTCAACTGTTTCAGCGCAAAGTTCTTTATGGGCTACTTTTAACCCTAAGGATTTATGTTCGACGACGACTACCGTCCTTGCCCTCGCTACACCTTTCCCGAACCCTGATGAGGCTACTTCGAGCTTAGACAAGAAGTATATCACGGGAGAAATAACCGGAGCCATCACGACTGCTGGAGAACTAGTCAACGTCGCCTCTACCACTTATACCAATGGTTGGGGTGAGCCTGCAACCGGTTACTGGGTAGCCTTTGAGAGCCATCTCAGGTCCGAAGGGCTTGAGATCAAAACCGCTGTTGAGACTTGGACTAGCGTGTGTACCCATAGTCTTGCTCCTTCGCCTACCGGGAGGGGGAAGTGTACGCCGCATCAAGATCACTGCAAGTATTTTTCTTTGAAACCTTTTGCAATGTGCAGATCTAGATTACAGCCGCTAATCGATTACATGTTGTAGGGCATTGCGACAATGCCCCTCCTGCTACTGGCACCGCTACCCCATCCCTTCCGCCCTCTCCCACTGCCTCAGCAAACTGCCATCCTCATATTGATCACTGGCATTGCGAGGGGCCTGCTACCAAGGCCTCGGGTGCTGCTTCCGTGACTGGCACTGCTTCTGCGACTGGCGCAGCTTCCGAGACTAGCACTGTCACCGGCGCCGCGCCTGTTAACGCAGTTTCGAGTTTGATGTTCGGAGGTATCGCACTTGCTGCAGCAGCTTTTGCTTAACCTAGGTTCAGATCATTTGCTTAGATTACCAAAAGTCTCTAAGCGTTAAATACATCAACATCACGTCAAGTCATACTGGAATACTGCAGGTATTGTTTTGGCAGAGTCTGAGGAGAAAGTGTATTAAGTGAATGACGTTGGTATGTAGCAATACTAGATTAGAACGATAGAGTTGATGCCACGGTGCCGAGCACCAATCAACTCGCATTTGCAATGCCCAACTCGGCCTTGAGCATTACCCGTGCCTTGGCTATTTGAAAACTTGCCTAGCATTGGCCATTTCTAAGTGATAATACAGTTGTGAGCCAAGGATCTCTTCTTAAGCATATTTTAAATCATCAATAGAGCGGTCAGTCTACAAAATGTTTGAAAGGACCTCTCACTGTCTGTCAGCCAATCCCTCAATGTCAGAAAGCTAGTCGTAACAACCGAATAAGTGCCTAATCATAACAGTTGTGGATCCATTGACACGCTGGGAATTGATGCTTCTGGCTCATGGAACATTACATGATATATTTCTTCATGGCTCAAAAACTCTCCCTTGAGCGCAAAGTGTACACTCAGCTAGTCTCTTTACCTTCTGATGGGTTGATGAAAGTGGTCCTCTGAATCCCAAGTAAAAGTGGCCCTATGGATATTGTGCTTACTCGCGACGGTCAGAATGACGTCAGTCTCGAAATATTGGGTCGTAACGCATCAAGAAGGATTTATTAAAAGTTGTGTACAATGGCGGTTTCAATGATGGTGTAATTTAGGTTTGGGTTGAGTGGTACAGATTATTACATGGGGATTTTGGGTGGATCCAACCTTCGGAACAGATCTCAACGCAGACTCAGAACATTCATTGTCAAATTGAAAGCTTTAATTGTGCTACGCCTGTAGGAAAATAACTCTGGGTTGCCTAGCTACGATACCTTGAATCGAAGGGCGCTCTGAAGTCAGGGCTAAAGAAGCGTGTAGGGTGCGTCATGCGATCGATGTGGAATTTCCCTTTTCTGACTCGGCAATAAGTCTTTCGGGATGACCAGGTTTATCTCGACAACAACCTAACGCAGTCAAGATGAGACCCACACCATACCTCTTTGTACCGTTGATAGGTATGCAAAGCAAAGTCCCATTCCCGGAAATGAAGAAAAGTACCTGATCCAAGGGACTTGTTTCTAGCCCTCAGTCGCTTTCTCCCCTCTCCCTCCACGGACATGGTTCACTCAACTCCCTTATGTCCCACACTAGTTCAGTAAAACCTCACATCCCTAGTAACCATCTCGTGTTTCTAGAGTCCTGGACCTTTGTACCATCAAGGTTGCTAATGCCATCACAAATGGCAAGCGCAATTTCTTTCTGTTCTCATTTTCTGGACCGAAAACTGATTCAAACCCGTTCAGGTAATCATTCCTATCAATGGACTCCCTCTTCTTTACAGCATGGCCACTAAAATGGGCTAGAATAACGGATGACTTACTGCCTAGTAGATTTTAAGTGGGTACCAAGTTGAGCAGGGTAAATTTTGAAATCTCAGCTGCTTTAATCAGGTTTGGCTTCATCAAGCTTGGTTTAGGGTAGGTTGCACGAGTTATAGGTGGAACGGGAGCGGGTGCTTTAGGATAATATAAAGATACCATAATGTCCGCAATTGTTAAAATGAATTCTGAGGCACAGTTGCTACTACAATTAGTGAACAGAACTTCATAATGCACTTGTTCAATTTGTGCAGCATTTGGCTGCTTTTACCCTGGGTTCAGGGAGCGGTGCCCCCAACTACAGATCACGAAAGTTTCATTATAGAGTATGATGAGGTAAGTGTCTCACTACCCAAGCTCGTAAAACGGCACCTGACAGTTACATAGCAAGCCAACGGTGGACGGTCCCTCGATCTTTTGTCCACACTCGGTCTCCGGGTTGTTACTACTTTCGACCACCCTCTGTTCTCTGGTGTCACGGTCAAAACAACAAACCACAACGTCGAAGCGCTGAAGAAGCTACCAGGCGTTCTCAACGTGTGGCGCAATGGACTCGTGCAACATGTCCAGCCTGTCAAGCAAGGTCAGCTGGTGAACCACATCAATAAGCGCCAGCAGTCGTCTACATATATTAACCACACCACTCACCTTACAACTGGAGTTGCCCAGCTGCACGACCAAGGTATCAAGGGAAAGGGTGCGAAAGTTGCTGTCGTGGACCTTGGTGTTGATTACACGCATCCCGCAGTAAGTAATTCTGTACAAGAATAACTGCTCTTAGCTAAGGTTATTTCATAGCAAAGCTTGGCGGTGGTATCGGAGAACGCTTCAAGGTTAAAGGTGGCTGGAACTACAATAACAATAATGGTATGTGATGAGTACAAATTCTTGTGATACTATCAAGTTAATCAATACACAGATGACCCACGCCCGACCGACCCGGAGGTAGGACATGGAACCCATGTGGCTGGCATCATTGTTGGTCAATCCGACGAGTGAGTCTCCTAACATATAGGGTGGGAAAGTTCCGCTGATGAAGTCGCAGCTGGGTTGGAGTGGCACCTGAGGCAGATATCTACGCGTACAAACTGACCGCTGGAGGGGCAAGTTACCAGCAATATCTTCAAAAGATTTTCACACTGACTTCTTGCTAGGATGAGAGCCAAACAATCCAGGCATTCCTACGCGCTCATACGGACGGAGTAAGTTATTCTCACCTTAAAAACCTGTTTTTTTTTTTCATTCTGACTATGTCCTTGTAGTGCGATGTGATCTCGGCCAGTATTGGCGCGACGGGGGGTTGGCCCAACGGCGTCTTGGCTGAAATGGTCACCCGGCTCTCCGAAGCTGGCATGCTCATTGTCATTGCTGGTGGAAACGGCGGCGCGTCGGGGCCTTTCCTCGGCACCACCCTTTCCGCAAGCCCTGATGCTCTCGCTGTTGGTAACATTGATACCAGAGCACAGCCGTTCAAGCCTGACTATAAGACTTCTTGGCCCACCACGAACGACTTAGAGTTCAAGCCTGATATTTCTGCTCCTGGTGTCGGTGTTTATAGCACTTGGCCTGGGGGACGCTTCAAACTTCTCTCGGGCACATCTATGGCGACCCCTTACGTTGCCGGCGTAGCTGCTCTTTGGATTGGTGCCCGAGGGGGCCGTCGGGTTCAAGGCAATGGCGTCGCAAAACGTCTTCGCCAGCGCATCATCAGCAGCGGTAAGCCCGTTGCGTGGCAAGTGGGAGAGGAAGACGCGAATCCCGCCAGACACGCCCCTGTTTTCCAAGTCGGGACTGGTCTCGTGAATGCCATCGACGTGCTGAACACCAAAACGCAGGTTGAAGGTGAAAAGATGAACCTCAACGACACAACTCATTTCAACGCAGAACATTCACTCACGATTATCAATCGGGACAATGTGACTATTACGTATAACCTAACAGTTCAGCAAGACAGTGCTATCATTGCATTTACTGCCCAGAACGACGGAATCCTCACGCCTACAAACTCTCTAAACATGGTACCCATGGACCTCTCAACAGAGGTCACCTTCCCTGCTGCGCTTACTCTTCAGCCAGGACAGAAGATGAACGTCCCGTGAGTGTTTGCTTCTTAAGTCTTTGTGGACGCATTAATAAATGTGAAAATAGTATAACCTTCACCAATCCTCTGGAGATGGGCTGGCCAAACATGGACACCAGTAGGCCTATATACGGCGGCAAGGTCATAATCCGCAGCAGTAGCGGTGAAAGACTCGCAGTTCCTTTCAATGGTCTCGGTTTTGATTTCAAAGAGGGAACCAAACCCTGGGTCGTCAAGGACCCCATGAACTGGCCACCACAAATCTTCCGCCAGCGTGGCGAGTTACCTTTCCAGAACGACTCGACATTTTCATTCAACCTAAGTGTTGCCGCTCAAGACTTCCCCATATTTCGGTTCAGTTTGCTAGTTAAGACACGAGAACTCCGATGGGACATTTTTGAGGCCAATTATACTGAAGCTCTTTGGTCGTACCCTCCACAGGTCGATATCAATGGCTATGTAGGTTCTGCGACAGCCTACAGGAATGCAGATGACTTGTGGTACGGGCAGCCATTCGACCCGGCAACGTCAAATGCCCAGGATGTTTTACCATTCCCGATGTATGACACGACGAAGTCACTGAGCATCCAAGATTTCCCTTGGTTCGGCCAACTTGCTAATGGAGCGCAAATTGGTAATGGTAAATATAGAATGCGCATTGCCAGTCTAGCACCCTTTGGTAACCCAAAGAAGGCCGATGATTGGTGGGTTTATAAAGACTTGCCTTTGCTTACAGTTGCTAGGTAGATAGGCGTATGGAGATAGACATAAGGTCTGTTGAATAGTACCAATAGGCATCGCATGTTCAAAGATGGGGAACCCAAACTGATACACATTCATGTGTAATGGGACATATTGGAAAATAAATCATCTGCCAAATGGTCAGACTAAGAGGGTGCTTTCTTTGGATATTCGTGTTAGGATTAGATAAGAACAACAACACTGTAGAGTTGGTACTGTGTCTTCAAAGATCGTGTCGCAGAAATTTTAGAATAGACACGCTAGTTTAGTTCGCAGATTCCGCATTAATTCCGAGCGAACGCTGCATTTAAACCCAGGAGGACAGGCAGAAATGGTTAAACAGGATGTGGATTTCTTTACTCCACACCAAGCTGAAAAAGTATTCTTTGCAGTTGCATTACAACGGTTTAGGAAACAAATCTGCAGTGAGAGACAAAATAGGATAATTGACCCAGTTATTCTCGCCTGAGACTTCTACCCCGCCCTTGCGACGGTTAAATTTAAGACCTATGTCTGCGGCCAATTGATTTACATCGGCGGTCTAATTCACCGTTCTCTTGCCTGCCGGAATTAGTTTAACCATCAATAAGCCACCAGACCTAGATGTCGCAGGTCTTGAGATACACAGCACCAAAAGAAGTACTTAGGGCCTAATGGGCGTCGTTAAGTTGAAGTCAACCACCCATAACGACTTTCACTTCTCTGTACTCTATCGGCCAATCAACATGTTGGGAAGGACCCTTACCCTTTGGGCATACATCTTTGGGATAGCCCATGCTGTTTCTCGCACCACCCCTCCCTTAGGTGCCAAGATTGTGTCTAAATCTGGAGCTTTCTATTCATCTGTTAGTTCATGTACCCAGAGGGGCACAGACAGAAGTTATGCAGTTTATGGAGATACAACTAATCTAACGAATTACTTAGCTGCAACAAGCTATTGACTCGATTGATCCCGCATCGACCGATACCACAACAATCTTTATTCAGCCAGGCAACTACACGGGTCAGACAGTCATAAACTCGGGATTTCTCGGCAAGATATCCATTTACGGATATACAAATGACGATCAGACCTTTGCGGCTAATGAGGTCGTACTCTCTGCTGGTGCATCTTCGGCCTCGTCTGGCGGCAACGAACAGAGTGGCACCTTGCGTATACGGTCCGATAATGTCTCTGTATATAATGTTCTCCTCGAAAACACAGCCGGCGATGCTGGTCCTTCCCATGCCGTCTCTATAAACAATGACAAGATTGGCTTCTACGGAGTCGCCTTTACAGGATGGCAGGACACTCTTTACGGGAGAAATGGGCGAGCGGTTTTCAAGAACTCATACGTCGACGGCGCTGTCGACTTTATATACGGCGGCGGAAGTTTGTGGTTTGATACATCCGAGATTGCCGTCAAGAGAGCTGCAGGCGGTTACATCACAGCATCGGGCCGAACCTCTAATGACTCTGGGTGGTTTGTTATTAACAATTCAAGGATCACTTCTGCAGCGGGAGTAAACGTGAAACCGGGAAGCGTTTTCCTGGGCCGGCCTTGGCGTGATCATGCACGTGTCGTCTTCCAACACTCCAACCTTAGCGACATTATTCATCCACAGGGGTGGAACCCTTGGGACAAGGCTCCTAACTTCGGGAATATATTTTATGGAGAATACGGTAACTTCGGCCCTGGCGCGGAGACGGCTCGCCGAGTGGAATGGAGTCATCAGCTCGAAGAATCTGTCAGCATTGATGAAGCTGTCAAGGATTGGGAACAATTTGTCGACATTCAGTATTGGAACGGCGCGGGGGAGAACTGCGAATCTAACCTCAATGATCCTTGTGGCGGTATTGGTTTCGACGGCTGTATGAAGTGCGCAGCTGGGTCGATCTGTAAATACTGGAATGGTGAGTTCGCTCTTGCCCCTTAACATCCCCCGACGTTTGCTAATGCACGGCTTGAGATTGGTATTCTCAATGCGTGAAGCTTTGATTATAGTGGGGCACTATCAGGGGTGGCATCCGCTGTCATACCAGGTCCTGATTGAGAGCCTTATCAATGTTATTTGAATTGGAACGGTTGATGAATTAGGCTGTGAATGATGAACAAGAGGCCGTCTTTTCTTTTTCTTTTTCTGGTGCCTGCCTCGAATCGGCTGTAACCTGACAATTCATCAACGGCACCCATGGCCCCATCTATCAATCGTTCCTCAGGATAGGTACCATGCGGAGTGCGAAGGTGAAGGATGGAGAAGGAGGTATCGAGGTCCTTCCGGCTGTAGTGGATGTCGATTCCTGAAAAAATGCCCAGTTCATTCCCAGCTGTAGCGAATGCATTCATGGGAATACTGCAGTGAGCTCTAATGCAGGTTGTTGTAGCATATTCATCCCAGGCGCTAGCGTTCACGGCTGGAAGACTAGCAAGGTTTGACGTCGTATCAGATACAATTCCCTTGTTCGAGTGCGAAAATGACCGCTCCCGCCTGGATTTTCCGAGAGACTCGTCTTGTCGATTGCCTCGCTTAGTTTTCGTGTGGCTTCTAAGGGGTTCCCGTAGTCTGATACCAGAAGTAATGTAATCTATGTGCTCTCGTATATCAAGAGACACATGACAATCATCCGCAGCGACCGTCTTACTGCCAGATGCAAGGTACTCGTACTCAAAAGTCGGCGCCTAAAAGATCTTTCACCTTATGGGCATGTGCATCAAATTGGATCCACTGTTTGTTGGCCGAAAGGGATATGACATGGGCGGCAAAACCAGCGCTAACAAGCCATATTTGAACGGACTCTATGGCTGTTGTAGAAGGGGAAAACATTTCAATTACCTCTTCTCCAGACATGTGTTTCCCGTAATATGGCGATGTTGGGTTTGATATGATATTTCCTTCAGATAAGGGCTTCCAGATTTTGGTTTCTTCCAAGGTCACTTACATGGCCAGTAAATGACGCAACCCAGCTTCAAGATTCTGTTGAACCAGACCAATCCGCATTGGAAGCAGTGCGTGAGCTGGAACTTTGCTTCCTTTAGTTCACTTTATTTTCTCACGGACACTCTGACGTTCATGAAGTACATAGGCAGCAGCCTTGCGTCTGTTTTTCGTGTTTATGACAACATTACCTGGCTCGGTAACGGCAAGAGAAAAGACTTCAAGTGCAGAAAGACAAATAATCACGGTATCGAAATGTAGGAGCTGCATCGTTGGCGAATAATTTAATATTACACTACGATAGTTTTTCTTGTTTTGCTAGCTGGTCGGCATCCCTTCAATTATTATATATAGTTTGCTTCAATCATCAAAGGGAGGGGAAGTTTGGTCTCATCTCATCAGCGGGACTACGGAGACAGCTGCATATACTTCCATAAAGATCGCTCGGAATCGGATGGATATTGTCTCCTGGAATAAGGCAATGTATCATGCCGTTTACATACCAGAAGATGAAACTTTAATTATGTGATTTTTTCCCGAAGGTAATTGAGCTTAAATATTAAGTTGAAAATCTCTCCAAATGTGACATGCATTGTGTTCCACATTTGTTCACTTAGGGTTGCCTAAAACCCATCATGTCCGCCTTTATGTCTGTTAACCATGAGAGCTGTGTAAACATCACCTTCGCCACCGTATTTAGTATCATATTGGACAAATTCTTTTTCAACATGGAACCCAAGCCGTTGATAAAGCCCTACTCCGGCTTTCATTGCATGAATAAAAATATCCAAGCCTAGGCCTTCCGCTTGCTTCATACCGCTCTGTACTAGTGCACTGCCGACCCCCTTGCCCTGGTTGTCTGGATGGACAGCCAGGTAGTCTAGGCCTACTCGGAGCCATTAAAAAAAGAGACATCTGCTGGGGATGAAGAGTAGACATACGTAAGTAAGACTGCTTGCCAAGTATTTCGTTCTTCGCCTTACAGATCGGGATGAGTAGCTCGTCTGACTCTTCGTTTGGGTCCCAGTGAGTTGTCTGGGCCACTCGCTGGATCTCGGCTTCTTCCTCGGCGCTGACAGCTGGTACCATGGCTTCTGACCACACTGGTGTACCGTCGGTGTTCTTCGAATGGGAAGAGGGCAGATACCAACGAGCGAAGCCTACGATACGCCCAGTTGCCGCATCAACGGCCTTCTGCTGTCGCTTCGTCTCGGAGTCGCTTATGAGGTTCCTCGGTGTGCGCTTAGCTACCTGGGAAATGTGGTACTCGAGGGTCCGATGGCGCCAAGCCAGCCTCCAATGCGGATCCGCCCAAAAAGCGGGAATGTTGTTGTTGGTCAGCTCATCGCTGTCTGCAACAGTGCAGCCCGCGATGATAAAGTCGGTTTTGGTAGCCATGGGACGGAAAACCATCGAGAGCAGAATGACAAAATCAGAGGAACAGCGAATCAGAGCTTGAGGCTTTTGAGGGATTTATTCCCTTATGGCTTGCAAAGGCTACTAGTTATAGTATGATAAAGTCATAGCTTCGGCTGCGGCAACTACATCCTTGTAGGACTGGCTGCTAGCCCATCTGTGGTGAAGCAAAGTGCTGAACGTAGGCATGTATTCAAAGTAGTAGATTGAGTGGCTTGTCTTCTCCTAACTATACTATGGAACGATATCGTGCCTAAATATGTTTTGTGGGCGAAGCGGAATAAAGATATTCCGGTTATTCCATTTCGGGATTATCCCTACAGGCGATATATGGGTCACGTGATGGTGAGGCTGCGCACTTCGCCTCGAAGGCATCACGACATACCCCCCTAGACGCGCAAAAACATCAACAACAGCGAGAACGAAATTTTTGAAAATCGGAGCAAAAACGGCCCCAAATACGCGTGCTCGCGGCCACAGAGCCCCCTTCGATGCAATGCCATCCTCGGCCTTGATTCTACGTCCCAAAGGGGCCCAAGATGGCCGCAGAGCACGCCCCGACTACAATGAAAAACTTGAGAGCAAGCCGCAAAATACGACATATCAATAGACAACACTGTTACCACCACCACAGGCGAGCCACAAGCCGCTACACGAAGCACTAAGACTGCGCCCAAACAATCAACTTCAACACAACAGCCGCCGACAGGTTTTGGGTCACCTGTCACCCCCGACAAAGTTTGCAACGTCCCACAACGACGAAGATGAGTCCGACAGAACAGTATCACCTTCCGCACGGAGAAAGCACCAGGCATTAGGCATGCTACGATCGATGCCACACAATACTACAGACCACAGACAGACTGGTCCCCTGTCGCCCCTTTTGCGAAGAAGGATTGGTGTCCCTTCAACGCGCGACAATGTCTGCGGAATCTGTGCGGGAGCTCTCATACCCAGTAATCGAACATGTCGGAGTCAGTGGAGCATTGTGCTTCGTGGAAGACCCTTGGGCCAATGTGGTGGAGGGCAATAGTGGTCAACAGGCAAGAAACAAGAGGCCACATAGGAACCCGGCAGGAGGCAACAAAGAATTTACAGATGCAACTGAGAAAACGGCATATACAAGTCCGGGAGGATACGGACAAAACAAAGAGACAAAGCTGAGCGCTGGGGGGAGACTGTAGGTACAAAGAACCAGATACGGTGCTACCAGCACCAACTGAACCGAAGCAGGAGGACGCAAAACAAGCATTCTAGAGAGCAACACAAAAGCGAGAAAGCAGACAGGAGAGCAACACACTTCTTCAACAGAGGGCACAAACACACAGAATAGAGAACATAGTGGGGAGCTTGGGGATAGCTGGCCCTGATGCAACATCAGGGCGAAGTGGGGCGTCGCTGTTCATTGTCGACGCTTCGGCTACCTGCCAAACCCCGCTTTCCGGGCATAGCTGCTGGCATAAGAGCGGCTTCATAACCGAGTAGGAATAAATCAATCAATCAATCAATCAAGCTTACTCACCCAGAGGGAGAAAAACATCAACAACAGCGAGAACGAAATTTTTGAAAACAGCATCAAATTGATCAAACCACGCCCGCTCGCGCTCTCAGAGGTCACTTTGGGCATAATGTCATCCTCGGCATTGATTCTGCTCCCAAAGAGCCTGCTCGTGGCCGCGGGCGGGCTCTGACCACGAAAAATTCGAGAGCAAGCCACAAAGTATGACACGTCAATAGACAACACCATCGACACCACCGCGGTTGAGTCACGGGCTATCACGTGAGCACAACGACCAAGCCCAAACAAACATCAACACCACAGCCACCGATAGGTTATGGGTCGCCTATCACCCCCGACAAAGTTTGCAACGTCCCGCGACAACAACGACGACAAGCCCGACAGAACGGTATCACCTCCTGCATAGAGAAAGCACCAGACACCAGGCATGCTACGATCGATGCCACAAAATACTACAGTTTGCAGACAGATTGGTCCCCTGTCGCCCCCTCCGCGAAGAAGGATTGTCGCCCCTTCAACGTATGACAATGTCTGCGGAATCTGTGTACGAGCTCTCATACTTAGTAATCGGACGAATCGAAGCGGTTGGAGCATTGTGTTTTGCGGATTGAGTCCGACTCCAGGCGGTGGATGGAGGTGGTGGTCGAAAGATGGAAACATAGAGCCACATAGGAACCCAGCATGAGGCAACAAAAAGATTTACAGATTCAACTGAGATATAGCACATGCGAGTCTGAGAGGATGCGGACAAGATAAAGAGACGAAGCTGAGGGCTGGGGGGAGACTATAGGTATACAGAACCAGACATGGTGCCTAGCACCAACAGAACCGAAGTAGGAGGACGCGAAAGAAGGATTCTAGAAGGCAACACCAAGCGAGAGAGCAGGCAGGAGGACAACAATCTTCAACAGAGGGCATAAACACACAAGAATAGATAGCATAGTGGGAGCTTGGGGACAGCTGGTCCTGATCCAACAACAGGGCGAAGTGGGGCGTCGCGGTTTATCGTCGATGCTTCGGCTGTCTGCCAAACCCCGCTTTCCGGGCATAGCTGCTAGCATAAGAGCGGCTTCATAACCGTGTAGGAATCAATCAATCAATCAATTACTCACCCAGAGAAAAAGCCGTTTTACTTCTAGTTAATGCTGCCTATACCTTGGTCAGTAACCACACATACAAACAGATCAACTACCACAGGTGGGTCATTCTCCTACATAAAAAAATTCAAAACAATTAGTCCGCAAGTAAAGACAATAAAGGCTCTATAAAATAGAAGAATGTTATCTTCGTAATGTTTAAATACAGCCTTTGTACTGTTTAGTATCAAGAGCTTGTTATTAACTGATATAACGTGTGGAACTCGTTCCTTAATCGCGAGGCGTTGTCCTCGTCACAGACAATAACCGTAGATTCAGATTCTATAGCTATCTCAAGCAATCACGCACGACCCCATCAGCGATGCAGCAAACAACCCTGCTGGCGATGACTCATCCATGAGTGCGGGCTGAGTACTGAGGCACGACATTGTGTACTATGCCTTCAACCTAGGGAAATTTGAGTTCCGTCATCCCTCAAAGGCGCGAGTTAAGCTGGCCGTCTTACCCATCCTGTATATCTACTGGGAGAAGACAGCCATGATAAGCCGCACTTCGAGATCTCTCTGATGTGTTTTCCGCCAGGAAGAGCACCAAGGCAAACCATCTAGCAATGTTACATAGCACTCGCACCTCCAAGCGCCAGTAATCATGCATGTGTTATTTGATCTATCTCGGCATTTGCTGCGCCGTCGGTAATCTCACGGGCATTTTATAAGATCTGTACAACTTAACGTCGTTGAACGTGTTTTCTAACTTGCAGACCACCTAATTCTTGAGGTGGTTTTGACCCATAGGTTGGTATCATCGGCAGAAAGCTTTTTTTCGGTATAATCAATGCCTGTTACAAGCCCTTCCGCGTAATCATGATTAACAACACGACGATGGTATATTCCATGGGGAACGGGATAGTCTTCTTAATAACAGAGGACCAAAAAACATACAACACTGGGCATTCGCCGGTCGTCACCGACCCGACTACTACTCCAGCCCTCATTGGCTTGTCTATGGGAGAGCGGACGGGATCCCGAGTTCTCCAATGGGTATGGCCGTATGTGCAAGTTCAAGGACACACGACGATCTATGTAACAATGGGAGAGCAACAACACCGTCCCGACTTGAAACTGGTGCAAGCCTCGAAACCACTGCTAGCTTCTATACAGACCTCTTTCATAGCCTTTTGCCGTTTCTTAATTGATTATAATCATTTCCTTTTCAACTAGGTTGTTAATATGCATCGTCGTTGATTGGCTTCTACGTCATCTCTAGCCGTTGACCCCAGACTCAACCTAGGAATCAACTCTTTATTACTACTGACCATAATTACTTTAGTAAGGCTGTAATAGGGTCTTTCGAGTTTAGGGATGGAAATTACCCACGGGCGCCCAAGTTTGGGTTGCCCATATCCAACCCATGGGTAGTTTGGGTTACCCAAACAGCCCATGGGTTAACCCTACTAAAATAGCCCATAACCCAAATACCCATGGGTAATTTAGGCCTTAGTAAATAACCTAAACTAACCCATGGGTAGTTTGGGCTTGACCCAGAATTACCTATAAGTACTTTTTATAAGTAGATACTAGTAAAAGTGACTTCATTATGGGTACCCAAAACAGCCTACAACCCAAACCTCCCATAATATGGGTACCCAAAATTACCCACTACCCATGAAAATAACCCACGGGTACCCATAGGTTTTATTCTATTGTTTTGGGTAACTTAAACTACCTAGCCCAAGCTACGGGTACCCATGGGCACCCGCGGTTTGGGTAATTTCCATCCCTATTTCGAGTTCTACTCCCGTAAGACTTGTAGGGTTACTTACTTTTCGTTCTCTTATAATTGCTAGCTATAGCTTGCTGCTCAAACAGCGCTATACGTGAAGTAGTATCGGGTTCCTAGTAGAAGTCAGCGCGACTTTCTTCATCGTGAGGAATACCAGGTCCACTTTAAAGTAGTCTTATGCAACACGGCAATGAAGCAATATTCTCATCAAGCTCCCAATCCTTTTAAGGCATCTTGGTATCTAAGGTTCTTAGCAGTAGCGAGTGCATTAGCGACCCATTGAACGAGCTGTCGACGGATGGCGTTGAGGGTCATTTGGAATACCCGCATTACGAACGATTTCAGGCACCGATGAGACAACAAAAATTGGTAATAGGAAAACGCTTTGTTAAACCTAAAATCTGCACGAATATCTGGGTAAACCCTACTATGTCGAAGGATCATACAGCCGACGAAAGGACACGCCAAGCCGAGCTGCTAGCTGGCTTTGGTAAGCAGCTATAGCAATGTCTCTCAACGTTACGGTAGGACTGAAACAGGGGCCGGATCTGTGGCCTCTCACGAACAACAAAACACCCAACCCACACAAACCACCATGTCTGTAAAGAGCACATATGAGGGGGCGAATTGCTGATTCGTCACCACAGGCCTAAAAGCAAAGGAAATAATGCTAATCGATATACGCCTGTTAATAGTTATGAGGCCTTCTGCGTGAGCGTATTTAATAACGACGCGAAAGTATTCTTAATAGAGTTCGGGATAGTCTTTCTAAATTATAGATAGAAGAAAAGACTGCAATCGCGGTCTCTATTCATCAGCCAAGTACCAAAAGTTTGCTAATGCCTAGGCGCTTCCGAGACTAGTATTCCAAGGCAAATTGGCTGGGGTAAGAATCTAGTTTCAGCCAGTTGCATTGCCATTCTGGCACTTGGCACACCCAAGCGTTGCTGATCCGCCTCTTTCCACAACGCAGAGGATCTCATCAGCCCGGAGAAAGAAACTCAAGTTGATAATGATGGTTCATCCTCACGATGGGTATAGATCATGACAACCCTGTGTGTATCCGGTGCCCGACTTACTACTTCACTGGCGACGATGTAACAGCTTTGACTTCAACAGTTCTTCCGTCTGAACTCTAGCCGGAAGTCCCCAACTCTAGGATGGCGTTGCGTATAATGCGTAGCCCTCTAGTAGCTTTGTTTCTCTTTGATCTTCAAGCAAAGCGCCGAAGACCCTTTCCATTTCCTTGTTGCATTCGCCTTTTAGCCGGAGATCTAATCATTAGTGGTTATCCTAACTGGACGTGGGTATCAATAATCTTGTAGAGCGTGATTGTTTAAAAGCAACTTTAACCTACAAAACAATCACATACGACCATACCCACTGGAAAACTCGGGATCCCGTCCGCTCTCCCATAGATAAGCCAGTGAGGGCCGGATTAGTAGTTGGGTCGGTGACGACCAGCGAATACCTGGTGTTGTATGTTTTTGCCATTTGTTTTTGCTACCATTTTATTTTGTCTCCACCGTGCTGTCTTCTTGCTGGTGGGTGACGAACGCAAGCTAAGCTTAGCGATCAATTTCGCCATCGCTGGCCAAGCCACACCTGGTACTAGTAAGAGGACTCGAAAACGCCTGACAAGGTTGTTTAGGAGAGTAGAGGGAGACAGGAATTAGGTTTCTACATCCATCTCCCAGGGCCTTGCTGAAACCATCGAGGATGCAATTGAGCGCAAGAGCTATCGGTGTAATAGTGTGGCCTATCAGCAAGGTGCCTAAGACTTTTTATCTACCTTGAAGTCAAAATCGCGCTGAACTTGGGCAAGCAGACGATTTCACGTTCACTGGAGTGAATAAATGAGATGCTTTCGCGGGATGATGGTGAACAGGACTGAAGTTAGTAGAGCGAATTCATGATTAGAATTGTCAGTTTTGTAGAGGCTGCTACTTGAGACTATTGCTCGTTATCCAATACATATCTGCCATCAAGTGCTTACATTGTGTTACTGTTTTGGCAGGTTTTAGGCCATTTTGATAATAAGACGAATACCTAGCTCACGTTAAAGGCAATGCAAGACAAGGGGAGTTAATAGCAGAGGTGGGTAGCCGGCCAGGTTGTAACCACATAGTCAGATGCTTTACAAAATGCCTAGAAAATATGCTTGACTTCACGCAGCAGTTTCTGTAGGTTTGTATTGATAGAATACTGTATGAACGGAATCGTAAGTATAGAAGTTGAAATAAACTCTAGTATTGATAGGAAGACCTCTTTATCGATACTCTGAGACGAAAAGTGGGTATTTGAAGTCTCTCTGATGGAAGCCTAGAATTTTACTGAGAGGTTCTGGCCAAAAGAAATCAAACGCAGCCCTCCTAATTCCATATTATAGTAAGTTGATTATTGATGAGGCTTGATTTTCCAGCGACTTGGCAAAATAAAATTGGTTCTGGCAATACCTTACTGCTTTATGGGCTGCTCAAAATACTATGCTGGTGCCTCTGGCCTCATATTATGAGACTCATTAATCCATTGTTGCGTAGAAGTATCCAGAAAAAGCGCCGCTCGTAACGATGGAAAAGCGCAATTGCGCGAAAGCGATCGACCGTATGACTTCGAAGCAAGATATAAGAAAGCCGGCGACGTTAGTGCAGCTCAAGTTCAGCAAGACAACCATCGATATGTGATAATGGGTGGTAGGATTACTAGGGCTGGACTAAGGGTGCACGCCGGCACGGGGAGTATGGCGGGTAAGGCCCGGGGCGACGGCTGGACGTTGGCACTGCATAAACCTTGAGACACCATATCATCTATACCCAAGGCTCAAAGACTAGCGCAAGGTGTGATGCTTGCCTCCGGGAGACGTAACACTGTACGCAAGCTGTCAGTTCAGGGACAAGCATGGTTGCTTTTGCTGATCGAGCCGCCGTCATATGGGCCAAAGCCGCATATGGCCGGGCGGAAGTAGGCGACGGCGACCACTTATGTTTCTAGCTGGCCCCAGCGACAGTGAGCCGCATTGAGAAGACCCGGAGGCACAAAATATTTGTTTGGTGACATCGCTAAGGAGGGGCTATTCCGTCCTCGTCAGAAAGCAGCGCTTATAGACGTATTATTTGGGCCTCGTTTGCTGGCAATCGAAAATTTCCCGCTATATAACCTAGCGTTTGGCCATGTGAAGTATTATGGCTAAGACATGATCTACGATGGGATTCCTTGTCGAAGTAGCTTTTTAAACCTTCGAGACGGAGTTCTTGGGTTATAGTCAGTTACTCATAGGATGCGAGGGTGTCGTCTGCATGAAATGTGTTTGGAAAATTGGGGGGACATTCAGCGGTAGCTACCCTACTTAATAGCGACTTCTCAAAATCTTCCTTGTTTAGCTACGGTCTGCTGGCAAAATGAAAGGGTTGGTCTATTATTATCAAATCCAGATGTGAGAGACGCGAAGTCGCCAGGGCGCCATTTCCATGTTAAGGGTCACGATGATACAAGCTATCATGATTAAGTGTTTGAAGAGCTTGACATTGGTCACCTAAACTCTATATGTACTCCATAGAATATAGTGATAAAATTATCATACAAATACGACGTAACGATATTAGTTTTGCAATTGGTCTATGCTATAAGTAATAATGTCAGCCTGCGACAAACTACTTAACGATCGAGTGAAAGAGATTACTTAGGGAAATTTGGCTCCTCTATCTTCTACAAGATGAGAGTGAGATGCTTTGCCAGGCACCTCAAGTGCAATTGGGTGTGTCGCAGCATGTGATGCCGTAGCCGGAGTTGGGACGCCAGCCGCAATTTTTAAGTCCGCCACCGCAGGGGCCGCCATTGAAGCCAGGGAAGCCAGGGTCTCCAGGGGATCGAACGGAGCAGCGAGCCTCGACACCGGTGCTGGCGGCAAGGAGTACTGCAACAAGGCTAATAATATGCTTAGAGAAGTACATCTTAGTAGATGATGGCGTTTTGCTGTATGTAAGAAATTGTAAAGAGAAGGAGGGCACAGTTCTTGCAAAATTGCTGTGCCAGATGCTAGCTTTTTATTGCTTTGACTGAGCGGCTATCCATTGGTTATGTATAGTAGTGCTAACTTGTGTAGTTAAACAGAGATAGCTTATCCCAAACTATGAGTAACGGCTCTAATAGATTTTCGCAAGTGCACGGGCGCCATAACTTTTAACTATCGGGATGATTAAGATTCCATGTGACATATAAATTAAGTATGACCGGTTTGAAGGCTCTAGTTTGTGTCGGATGTCAGCACTACGCATCAGAAACAAGAGTCATGGATGTTGACATAGACTTCCTATGACTGTCCTGACTAGTGTTCTGTAACGTTAAAAGTGGATCTTACATTTCGCGACTGTGGTTTATATTCTATCGACTGCCACATGGATCCATTCTCGCGGGCGGGGTAAGGACAGTCAAAGGTCATTTGGGTGCTAGGTCTGTTGACTTGTGTATTTCAACTTAGGCTTCACATCTTCTCCATAAGCTTTCAGCTCCGGCAGAAGTTCTACTAATCGTTAAAGTATATTATGCTTTATTCCTTCCATGCTTTGACAGCTGACGTAGAGATGTAGGTTTTGAAGTTCTCCCAGCCGGGGCACTATGCCAAGAGGATAAGGCAGACGGCTCCCCACCAGTCCAAGTCAGCCTAACCGCTCCAAATTAAGCAAAGATCGCTGCTTAATCTCACCGAAGAAGAAATTTCAGCTCCGGCGGATCGTTCATAGCCCAATAGTATGCTTGTATATTAGTTGAGGGTGGCATAGTAGCCAAAGGACCAGTGCTCGAAGATACCCCGCTCGCAGTGCCACTTTCTCCCTCATCCTCGTCGCCGCTGCTCGGTTCAATGTCAACGTCATAAGCGTCATTGTTCTTGTCCAGCGGCCACACCCATCCGGCGGTCCTCTCCTGCACCGCGCGCACTCGGTCATCCGTTGTCTGGCATGTGCAATCTCTCAGCGGTTCGGCCGTACAGACGCGGGTCCCCGCCGGTGCAGCGCACTGGAAGTCGCTGCATTCGACGTGATTTGGGAGAGGGCAGCATCTGCAGCCCGCGAGGATGAGGTGGCGACCGCTGGAAGGCTCAGTGAAGGGGTTTTCGTTGCTGCAGAGATACTGTGTGGCGCATTGGTGCCGGGCGCCTTGACAATTTGTGTCGTCACAACCTGGTTTGGGTGAGACGGGACATTGCTGAATCTCAGCCAAACGAAGCGGCGTTGCGATGCTGTCGGCCTGACTCGCGGTGTTGTTGTCGTTGTTCTTTTGAATGCTTTGTGCGCCAGGCGTCAAGGCGACCAACAAGCTTAAAGTATAGCAAAGGTGACGCATATTTGCAAGCATCGACATGGATGAGTTCAAGTCGTAAAGCTTAAGAGATGTAACTAGTGCATGCAGAAAATCAATGTGCGCTGCCTGCAAAGTGGTATTGTCACGTAGCGAAATTGAAATGTCAAGAAACGATTTATTTTGAATCTCACATAAGATGATTTCTAATTGGCTCTTTCACGTGACCAATTCTTGCGTTCTCTGTTGCCTCATGAAAAGCCCGACTTGACTATGCTAGAATACTGCAAATGATTCATTGCACGATATACAGACGCATAATTGTTCAGAGTATATAAATGCATCCATTACGATAGCTTTCTTTACCCTCTGATTCTATCCTTTGTGTAGCCTCTATGTAACTAAACCACTTGGCCCCAAACGCGTGGGAAAATCCGTGAAGCACGTCGCTTAGATGTTGACTGCGGCGGCTGAATACCCGAGGGTTGCAGTGTCGTTGGGTTCACGACGCCTGTACTCCAATAGGTTGCCCTTCCCTGGATTTGAAGGTATAATGCTGTGTCAATCTTGTAGTCAGCACAATGATCTGTGCCACGCTGTAAACTCTTTTGGTCTAGATAGTTACCTTTGGCCAGGATCGTCGGGCAGTCAGCTCGCGTTAGGGGTGTTGCACCGAGTCTGATAGCTGCCGGATTATCGCGGTTTTCGTTCATCCAGACACACATTTCATAACCATAGATTTTGTTCTGCTGAATGGGCGGTACCGGACTATCCGTGATTAACGCTCTCCTGTGAGCCGGCGGAGCCGCTGTGACATGTTTAGAAACCTTTCCCCCTCAGAGATGCCCGCTTATGCAAACTTACAGCCGCCAAGCGCATGCATCAACTCATGCAAGATAGTTTCCGACAAGGGCTTCAGATTGTCGAGAGCAGGGTGACTTTGGCGAAGACCGTCCCTGTTCACCACGTCGAGAGCTCGATGGTCGAGCGGAGAACGTTGGGGGGGATCCCACCGTTTGCTGTTGACGTGAATGTGAGTTTGCCTGCTATAGTCGGCAATGTCGCCATTAGGCATTGTTTCCCTAGAACCTTTTTTTCAAAATTAGAATCTTCCACGGTTGTTTCAAGAGTTCGAGTACTTCAAATCATACGTACCGATTGTCGTGAAGGATCCCGACCCTGGACGTCCCGGTTGAGGCATGCTGCCTCCTGCGACCCGAAGAATAGGAACGTTCTGCGTCGTGTCCGTAGAGTCTTGATAGTAGTAAGCTGTGTCGCTCCACACCTCTTGTGTCGCACCATTACTATCCATGTACTCGACCTTTCTGATGAAGTCTGCTCTGCAGTAGAACGTAATTTCTCTGTCGATATTGGCAATATTTACTACGCGGTTGTAGAGAACTTGCGGTAATTCTTGTTAACCAGTGAAGCCATGTAATTACCCAAAAATGGCATGCTTACATTGTAGTCTTGTCACATCGCCATTTCTGAAAAGTGGATTGAATGCTGCTGCGGTAGTGTCCGTGTCAAGGTTGCTGATTTGATTCATTGCATCTGCAGAAAATTGTTAGCAGGCTTTCAAATTAGTATACTGTAGTCTGTTTGTACTTCTTGCCATTTTGATAGCCTCCTGAATAGCATCCTCAATTCTCCTCTGCGCTATTCGATCATTGCAAACATGTTGATATGTAGCGAGACATCTTGTTGCCAGCGTTACCAGCAGAAAGAGTGAGAAAAGCATTTCGGCCTATGTCAAATGTTGAAGCCGATTACACATGGCAGTGGGAAAAGAGAGAGAATATTGGGGACCCTGTCGGATAACCGTGACTGTAAACTGCGATCTCAAATTGTAGGAAAGGCTCTGCACTAGTACTTTAACTCAGGTGATTTGCTTTCTGCTGCTTACATGTCTGACTTCATTGCCCCTGGCATTGCCAAGACGCCAATAGCTGACTGCAGCTTCGTTTTGGCCCCCATGTTTCTCCGGCAATATAATTATAGCCCCCACGACGATCTCGCAGGAAGGGGCGCGGTTGAAGCGGCTGTGTCTGTACAAATACAGGTACTGGAAAAAGGGTTTAATCCTTCTAGCCTTGGGTGTCTCTCATTTCGTACCAGTGACGACTTTTAAGTGTGCTATTCTGGCCAACCTATTTTGATGTAGACTCATTTAGCCGACGATCAACTCCAAGTGTAGATAGCGGGGCCGTCTTTTGTCACCTTAAGGCTCACTCAATACTATGAGCTGCATCATTAGCGCCGGAACAACTGAATTGACTATTCTTAGCATTTCTCAACAAAAAGGTGCTACTGTGCCGTGGGATGTAGATTGTAAAGAGCACTTCTCTTCAGCGAACTTAAAGTCAGCACATATCGCTTACTGTTTTCGATGTCCCTCAGTTCTACGTACCCGTTGTTGACCAAGGCATGCTGTGTTCTATCCAGAGACAGTGTTCACGATGTTCAAAAAGCTCACACGATTCTTGGCACTGCCGAACCGAGACCTGGATCTCAGTTCGCACAAGGTCAATGAGACGGGGTCTGCCGAGATTCGACGGGCTTTTACTGCGGCTCTCCCGCGAGAAACAGGTAAATTTGGGACCAGTTCCGAATACAAGAAAAGTACGACTCTTGAGGTGGGCAAAAGGCAAGACTACGCAAATCAAATCCCCTTTGTCTTTTGTCCAGAAGCTGCACGGAGACCGCCCAAGCACTGCGATCAATGCGGCGGCGACAGCTACCATCACGGAATCTGCAACGACCTCCTGCTATCTGGACGCCAGACCTACTCGTGTTTGGATTTTGGTTACAATTGCCAGGGTTACTATTGCAAGTGTACGCATGAGGGCCAGGACCACAATCCCCAAGTTACCTCAACCACGGTGGTCAATGGCCAGACCGGTACCGTCATCTATGAGCCAATTACACTCACTCAATACTCCAAGTTGCGATATCATACTACTGTAACAGTGACTGAGGTCGCTACTTCGACTGCCTCTGACGGTGGTGTTGGTTTGGAGACTGCTCTGGCTGTTGTCTTCGCCGGGGGCATCGGCTGGATTGCCATATGTAAGTCATTCACAGATTCAAGACAGCGACTGAAGACGGAATAAGATTCTAACCATGTATAGCCGAGTCGGGCGGAGCTGCGGCAGTTGCCGCCTTGAGGCCCCCAAATCAAAAGCCAGAAGACGCCGATGAAGACGATAGATCTTGCATGAGGGACCCTGAAGAGGATTGCCCCAACTGTGGTGGATCTGATGGCAATGGTCTCTGCTCCAGTGGTGACCAAGCCGGTTGTCCTTGTGAGGAAAAGCAAAATTGTCCCAATGAACCTCCTCGATGCTCAGACGAGCAGTGCGGCGGTGATGTAAGTAATATTCTGAAAATGGTTCACAATCTTTAGAGGAGATCTGCTTACATCATTGAATCATAGAACGGTCAATGGCAATGCTCAGCCGCGGGTGAGATCAATGGTTGTCATTGTTGCCCGGAGACGCCACCAATCTGCACGCACAGCGACTGCGTGGGCAATAGTCTACAAATGTGCACAGCTCCCAAGTGGGAGGAATGCGGCTGCATGGTCTTCACGGACCCTGGTGAGCTGGACGTTGGAGATGAATACGATGGCGTCAGCGATCCCGTTGCCCGTACCTCTTCTATGTCTTCAGTTGCCGGCTATGTCTTCACTGCCGTGTGGGATGCAAACTATTCGAACGTAATTGGATACCCTACTGCTCTCCCTGGCCCTGGTCGCTCCGTCCTACAGTACCGAGAAACCGAGCGAGGCAAATCTGTCAAAAAGGGTACAAAACTCCGAATTCTGCCAGTGGGAGATTCCATTACCGTAGGCTTCCTGAGCGATCGCAATGGGGGTGATGGAAATGGATATCGAGGGCAATTGAAAAATGATCTATCTGGTGAGTTCTACCGTCTTCCACCAGAAAGGATAATCAAACTTACGGCTGTATAGGCGATGAGGTGATCTTTGCCGGCACTGAACGTTCAGGGACCATGAGAAATGGTAACTATGTAGGACTCAACCCTTTCCGATGTCGGTAAGACAGTGATTGACGTAGTGATTTCTATAGGCTGCGTGGTCTGGACAGACTATCCAGTACATTGCAAATCACGTCGGACCATCTCTTGAGCAACGCCCCAATATCATTCTTCTGGCAGCAGGGACAAACGACATGAACCCCAACCCAAACATATCAAAGGAAGGAAACGACCCTAGGGGAGCAGCGGACCGTTTGGGTCGGCTCATTGACAAGATGATTGAGGCGTGTCCTGACGCCACTATCATCGTTGCCATGATAATCGACACATGTAACCAGGACCAGTCGCCGAGAACGCGGCAGTTTCAACAGCTTATTCCCGGTGTGGTACGGTCTCGCAGAGACGACGGGCAACACGTGCTAGCCGCCGACTTCACCACGTTCCAGACGAGCAATCTACAAGACTGCATCCACCCGACCAACGACGGTTATAAGCTCATGGGCGATTACTGGTACAGCTTCATCCACCAGATTCCCAAGAGCTGGATCGAGGACCCAGTCGGACCCGATCCTATCGACGATGACGACGGAGAAAATGGCGGCATTGACCAGAATATCCCGCCTCCGGATTGGGGTAGAAGTCCCATTCAGGTTACGTCCAAAGAGGAGGTGCGCGAGGCCGCCGAGTGGGCTCGAGGAGGCTTCGATCGTCCCGTTGCGTGCCGTGACGTGCCCAACTGGCGCGCCACGGGGAAGATTGCCCTGGGCCTCGAGCGCAACGGCGACTGGAAGTACCACAGGAACTGGGTCGCTGAAGGAGAAGTGGCCTCGGGCCTGGGATGGGACGAACGATATGTTCGGCTGCACGACATGAATGGCGATGGGAAAGCAGGTGAGTGTTTTATATATTGTCTGTCAAAAAGTCTGGGGTCCAGCAGTTGACATGTCAAGATTACGTCTGGATTCATCCCAACACGGGAGAAATTCGTTGCTGGCTGAACAATCTCCCTAAACCATGGTCGCCCGCCGGAAACAACAATAGCATCATCGGGAGCGGAGTTGGCCCAGCAAAAACTATCTACTTGGCGGTAAGCATTCTTCATAGGATAGCCAAAAGTGACGTAGCTGACACCCTGTAGGACATGAATGGCGACGGGGTAAGTGACCTACTAAGGGAACGTTGGTGAGCCAGAAAATTAAACTGACACTTATAGATGGACGATTACCTGGTGGTGGATCCTAGAGACGGCTCAGTCAGAGTCTGGTGGAACTACGGGCCAGACGAGAATTGGGTCAACGGCTGGAAATTTGTCGCTGGCGGTGAGATTGCCTCGGGAGTTCCACACGCCAACCTCGAGACCTTGAGATTCCCGGACATCAACGGTGATGGACGGGCCGATTATGTATACATAGGAGAGCATGGTTCCTTGAAGCATCACATGAACACAGGTTCTCCTGGGGGGCAGGATGTGCTATTTCATGCGATGGGTGGTATTGCCACCGGTGCCGTTGACGACATCTCACGATTGGTGTTTGCCGATGTAAGTGAAAGCGACCAACTATGATACAGGATACAAAATGCTGACGAGGAAACCCAAGATGAACGGCGACGGTCGAGATGGTATGTGTCTCTCTGATTTGCCTTGCGTATGCGGTGCATTTTCTTAACATTTGATAGACTACCTTATATGGGATGACGATGGGGGTTTAACAGGCTTTCTAAATCAGCCGACCAACCGAGAAGGAGTGCCTCTTTACATCAATCAAGGGCCTGCCAAAACCATCGCTGAAGGGATCCAAAAGCCGCCCAGCACCATCCGCCTGGCAGATATGGATGGAGATGGAAAAGACGACTATGTATATGTCGGCGACAACGGCGCCCTTTCCGTCTGGTACAACCGTGGCAGAACTGCAGATCACATGTCCATTGACGGCTTACGCTTTGCCGACATTGATGGTGACGGAATCGATGACTACATCTGGCTTGATCCTGATTCTGGGGCTCCGACAGTTTAGTAAGTGCATCAGCTTACTAGGTTTTACTATATCATGTCAGCGCTGACAGCCCACAGCATCAACTCCGGCATCAATGACGCTGACTCTCTTGGTTGGACATGGCGGCCAGCAAATGGCGGCAATCCCATTGCAACGGGAGCAGCCCCGGCATCTCAAGTAGTTTTCGGAGACATTGATGGGTGAGTCCGCCCACCTTCAGCAGGTGCCTGATGACCAATGAAACACTAACAACGGTCGGGAATCAGAGACAGGCTGGATGATTATCTGGATTTGGATCCCAAGACCGGCCTACTAAAGGCGTATCTCAACCTTGGATTCGACGTTGTCGACCGCAGTTGGCCATTCAGACCAATTGGCACCATCGCTTCTGGTCTTGGGCCTGGTCACAGAGTTCGGATAGCGGATATTGACGGCGACGGGGTGAGTAAAAGACTTCCTCCTTGTTCCCCACAATGTAAGCGTTATCTGAGGAGACTAACAAGTTCTTCATCGCTTTCCAGCGCGACGATTACATCCTCCTGAAACCTAATGGCGGCACCACCATCTACCGCAACATCTACGCGCCGGGCAACGATGGCAATAAATACCGCGCCATGCCTGACGCCGACGCCTCCGGAATCGGCCAGTCTCCCGACGAGATTGATTTCGTCGACATCGACGGTGATGGTCGCGCCGATTACGTGTGGACTCGCAAACTTGATGGCCGCGTACGGGTCTGGTATAACCAATACCCGACGAAGCCGACGTGGCGGGAAGGAGGAGAGATTGCGGGCGGCGTGGGCACTTCCGGGGCTAACGTAAGGTATGCAAAGCTGCAAGGCACGGGCCGCGCCGACTACGTAGCCGTGGACCCAAAGACGGGCGCCCTGGGTGCATGGCTGGGCGGATGTCGAGACCCGGATACTACTGCTAAGAAGAATCGCGTGTCGATTGGGCGCGGGACGCGGGGAGCGCCCGGGAAAGATTATGAGCACGTATGGGTGGTTAAGATGCATCCGGAAGGCGAAGAAGATAGCGGCGGGTTCTGCAAGCCGGATGGGGCGCAGCCGTATGAGTTTAACGATGTGGACCCCCGCGACTGGCCTACAGCGATCTGGAAGATACCAAAACTCTTTGGTAGCCAGTGCTTTTACGTTGGAGGTCGGGACCGCATCGGGCAGATGGTGTGTGATGGTGTAAGAGGGACACGATGTTTTCGGGATCCGAGAGCAGGTGTTGGGCCTGGCTGTGATGAGGCAGTGTCTGGTACTCGGCTAATTATATGCGAATGGTGACCAGGTATATTTTGTATATTAAAGAATTACTGTGAGATTTATGATTTGATATATTTTAAACTCTTTCAACCTTCTAGAGAAACAGCTTATCATAAACACGTCCTTCACAGGTTATCCTAGAAGTATATACTTTCTATGGGTTGAGTAAGTTGGTATCCGCTGGCAGTTGTGGGCCTAGCTGTCAGATTGAGCGCGCTACGCGAGGCTTCGGCAACGCTCGGCAGAACACTATTTCCGAGCGCCGAGCCCCGGGTCAGGGGGTGGCATACCCCCTTCCCTACGCGCCCCTGAAGGGCCCTTAGACAGTTACACACATAACGGAATATACATCGTTCTGAACCCTCAATTCGACAATTAACAGTCTGATACGTGCTGCGTTTACGTTAAACGCCGCCAGCCATCTATTCTACGCATACGAAAGCCCTT